TCCGAAATAGTCATTGTATTGCAGATCCAATACAATATTTCGAAGTAAATAGCTTATTTTTTGTAAAAAACATTTCTTGGTCAATAAAGTATTTTTACAGGTAATTGCCCCTATTGCTTTTTTTTACGAAAAACACTTTTTTACGACACTGTAAAAAAAGCGTTTTGCTGTACTCTTCACGACAGCCACCAGATAGCTCGTAATTACGCCACATAGCATGCCTTCAAGAGAGCTGCTCATCTCATTCACTCTAGCGTACTACCAGCACCTTATCTACCATTTCTGAATTCATCATGCGTTCGCAAACATCCTTCACGACCAAGCAAGTCTGCACCTACTTCTTCACCCCGCTGCTCGACGAGCAAGATGAGCCCACTGAGCACTTTCGCTGCCAGTTTGGCACAGTGCACAAACAAGACGTCAAGACGGGCTACTCGAACCTCTTTAGCCACGTGCTGAAGCAGCACCCCGACTACGTGACCACGCTGGCGAACAGCGGGTTCAACTCGGGGACGATGGTCGTTTTTATAGACCAGAAGAGCCAGACCGCCTACTGCTGGCTGGACTTTGTCACTGAGCGCAACCTCCCTTTTTCGTTCTGCGAACACCCGACTGTGGACAAGTACACGACGATGAAGCGGATTTGCACCGAGACGCTGTTGAAGTACGCGGTCTTGGTGACCAAGGAGGTCGAGATTGGCATCAGTGCGTTCATCCCTCTCAAATTCGGTATCATACTTGACGGGTGGAGTTTCCACTCGGAGCATTACGTCGCCGTTTTTGCGGTTTTCGAGCATGACCAGCGCTCTGAGAAGGTTCTCCTGGCATTGGCTCCAATCGCGGATGACGGTGTTGAGGACCAGACGGCTGAGAGCTACGGCGCTTTCCTGACCGGTATTCTACCGTTTTTCAAGCGGGACATTTCCAGCATCATCTACCTCGTGGCTGACAATTGCTCTGTCAACACGAGGTTGGCTGGTTTGCTTCAGGTGCCGTTCATCGGTTGCGCCAGCCATCGGCTGAATTTAGCGGTCAACGTGTACCTCTCCGACTAGAGCCACTGCTGGAGCAAATGCAGCAACTCATGCGAAAGCTGCGAGGACTGAACAAGGCGAATCGACTGCGGTAATTTGTACTTTTTGCTTTTTTGCTCTTTTGCTCTTTTTTTCTCAGGCAAAAGACCAATTTGCGCCCCTTACTTCGCCAGGCCACTCGAAGGGGCTCCACGTTCAAGATGCTCGAGCGCTACTTTGACCTGCGCGACGCGCTGGACACGGACGACGACGACATCGTGTCGTTGATGCCGACTCGCCGCCAAGAGTGCCCTGCGCGACCAGCTCCGTGATTTTCAGAGCGCGACGATGAAGCTGCAGGAGGTCAACATCACGCTTCTCGACGTGCGCGACATCTTTGATGCGCTCGTCGAGAAGCATCCCGTCGTCGACAAGTACCTTGCAGCCGATGCTGCCATCGTGAAGGACCCAGACTTCGAAGCGGCGTGCGTGCTTGCGCTGGCGGACAAGACCGAGGAGCTGACGGAGGGCCAGCAGCTCATGCTGAGTCCGTTCGAGGCCGTCGCCGCCGCTGCCGCAACTCCCAGCCCCGGCGGGCGCCCCCAAGGCTTCGCGGACCAGGTCCTGTCGGCGAGGAAGAAGCAGCGCACGGCGCAGAAGAAGTTTGGAGGGGTACGCCACATCCCTCCAACTTCTAACGCTGTCGAACGTTTGTTCAGTGCCGCGAAGCACACGCTGTCGAACCACCGACAGGGTATGCTGCCGGTGCACTTTGAAACGGTGCTGTTCTTGAAGCTTAATCGGCGCTTCTGGAATGCGGGTACCGTCACCAAGGTGGTGAACGGACAGTAAGTCACTCGATAGTGATGAAGGTAATGATCAATACAATACTTTCCACTCCAATAATTTACTTTACTGTTGCCGTTGTCAGTCATAATAGTTTATTTCTTACCATGGTGCTACTACTATTGCAGTATTATTATCGGAAGGCCTGCCATCCGCTCCATCCTAGCGTCCGCCTCCACACGCTTCTCGTTGAACCGCTGCGCCAGCCTGCTCACCATCACTGCAGACATAGCCAATAGAGGAGCCGCAGCTTCCTCGAGCGCTTCAATGAGGATGACCAATTAATAGAGCCTGCAAAAACAATAATGGTCTGACAGTTTTTAAAAATGCCGATCTGTAGATGGATGGGGTTGCGCGAGTACACCACCGTCCATGATTCCCAGCACATCCACCCTCTTATGCATAATTGCCGTGTGTGTAGGTGCTTGTGTACAAAAACCGACAGAATTGCAGCTGCACAGGCGCTTTTAGCGTAATTCTAGGCCTCCACCCATTTATGCACCTCGATTTATCGTAAATCTAGCAGGTGGTTGCTATATTTTGCTCATATTGCCAAAATCATTGCAAAGCACAATACTATTGCAGTATTATTATCGGTAGGCCTGGTATGTGCTAGCGGCAGTAGCACAGAAACAGCTCGACGAGAAGCAGGCACATATTAATTACTACTGCCGCCACTACATGTAGAGCACTCCTTCTCGAGGGTCGGTGTTGCCAAACTCTTTGAGCCCTTTACTACTCACGATCCCCGATGCGCTGTTCGACCACAGGGTGCACAATAACGCGCTTTTGCCGGTCACTTCTGAGCATTGTCGAGCATTGCATCATGCATCTTATCATTAATTCGAGAAGAGTGAAGCTGCAACACAATGGTTTACTTGGATTAATACTCCTGCACCAGTTTGCGGCCATACTCAGCGGCTCCTAAGACCACGGCTTCTTCGGGACGGAAGCTCTTCGTGTTGAAAGCTGACTGCTCGAAGAAAGACTCGAGCTGCTGACGCATGAACTCGGACTTGGCACCTCCCCCAACCAGTACCAGCGCGCTCAGCTCCTTCTTCGAAACGCCTGCGTCATCAAGCGCACGGGTGCACAGCTCAATCGATTGCTGGGCTGGGCCTTCCTGGATCCGCGCGAGGTCAAATGAGGTGACCTTGTGCACTAAGTGTTTCGCGCCCTTTTGGTCAGCGGTGATGAACGGCAGGTTGATGTCTGTGCTCACACGGCTTGACAGCTCGATCTTCGCAGCCTCCACAGCCTCCAAAATTCGATAGCTGGCCATGTAGTCGACGGACAAATCGATGCCGTGTTCCTCCTCAAACTTCTTGACCACCGAACGAAACAGGAGCTCGTTCACTTGATGCCCTGAAACCCTTTGAGTCGACAGCGTGTGAAGTAGGTTGAACCCGCTGCCTCGACGCTCCTTCTCGAGCAATGAGACTGTCGAGACGTATCCACCAATGTCGAATACTGCGATAGGTCCTCTGCCCGACAATGCATCGGTACTTTTCAGCTCTTGAACCGCACACCTCTCCACGGCATGCAACGCAGCCACAGGCTCGTCGATGGCGGCAAATACAGTGAAGCCCGCACTGTTCGCTATCTTCTCATACGCTGCACGCTCATGCTCACCGGTCCCTGCTGGAACTGCAAGAACTGCCGGGAAGTTTTCAATCGGGTCCTCCCCCAACGACGCCGCCGCGGCCGTGTGCAAATGGTTCAGCATGATCTCCGCTGCCCACTTAATATCCCCACAAAACATTCAAAGTCAGCTAAAAACCTCCTCAACAAACGAGAATCATCGCGGTATGGTACCTCTGGGCTGTACGTCTTGCCGTCTAATTCCAGACGCAGCGCGTCTCCTTGCTGATGCACCATGTACGGCAGCGTCTCGACCAGCTCGTCCCTCTCTCTCGTCGCATCTCCCAGCAGCAGCCTCGTGGCTGTTGCCGTGTAGCCAGGCTTCCGTCCCTGCAAGGCCCTGGCGACTGCGCCGACCGATACACTGCCGTTGTCCACCGCCACGGCCGCCGGCGTGGCCCGAAGGCCGTCGGCGCTCTCGATCACGCGCGCCGCATGCGCCGAGTCCAGCAGCGACGCCGCGGCCACGCGCAGATTCGCAGAGCCGACGTCCACGCCCAGCACCTGCTGCATCTTGCTGAGCGAGGACGCGCCGTCGTCGTCCTCGTCCCCTTCGTCGCCCTCGCCCGGGAAACCAGCGCGCCTCCGATTCACGCGCTCCTGGGCGCGCAGGATGTAGCGCGTGCCCACGAACAGTCCCGCGCACGCGAGGCCCACGGGTACGAGCCACGGCTTGGGCGGCGTCGAGTGGAAGTGGCGCAGGCCCGGACGCCCCTGCGGCGGCGGCGTGGCGACCTTCATGATACCTGGTCAATGAGCTCAAGAGAGCTACGGAACGATGCGATTGGTGCAAAATACAAGTTGAAGTCACATGGCTACATTTTTCAGTGTCCGAGGCGCGGCAACAAGTCTGACGCACGGATGAGCTTGGTGGTGCTTGTCACCGTTGGGAAGCTTTCTGGAGGTGCCGCATACTTACTCTCGACCTTGTGGGATGCTGCTCGGACTCGCGGCAACTCGCGCGAGCCCCGACTGTCGTGTTGGTCCGGATGACACTCGTGGACGCCCTCCAGCATGCGCAGCTCGCTCTCCTGCTGCTGGACGTCGTTCAGATGATGCTGCCTACGTCGGTGATGTGCCTTTGGCGGGGAGTGACTGTGGGTATCGTTGCCGTTGCGCTTGGAATTGGCTTGGAGCTCGAGCTGCTTGCACTTTTGCTTCACCTGGAGGCGTCTGTCGGCTTTCGATAGCTGCTCGGAGAAATAGCGGTACTTGGCAGCGTCTGCTGCGAGCTGCTTGGTGTCAAACAACGATTTGGTCTGGTCCAGTCTTCGCTTCATCTTCCTATTCTCTTCGGCAATTCGCTCTTGCTCGCGCTGCCACAGCGGGATGTTGGAGGGTCGCTGTGCGTTGAGATGCTCATCGGTATGATGCGAGACGTCGAACTGCTTCGGCAGCTTCTTGTGGATGCGCTCGAGACGTTGAAGCAGTATTTGGTTGTGTTGCAAGATCTCGGTCTTTCTATCTACCCAATTTGAGATAAGCTTCATGGTCGAAATGCCAGCTAGAGTACATCGAGGCAGACACGGACGCACCTAGCTCCTGCTGAATCCGTTTGGCATTGTTCACGGTGCGTTCATCGGCCTCCGTATCGAGGACAGACTGGGCGTGCTTGACTCGCTGTTGGTTGCGAAGCCGCGTCTCCTCATGGTACGTCGCAGTTAGGAGATTGTCGTCGCCAAACTCGTATTCCGCCGAATACGCCAGTGAGCGCCGCTGCCTGGTCATGAAGCCGGCACAGCACACCAGCGGTCTGTCGTGGGGCTCGTTATCCTGGCTGGTGTTGTGACGGACTCACTCAATTCCTGAAAATGAAAAAGACATCGCTATTTTCGGGAGGGCATAAGACTCGGGAGCAAATGTCGGAAATATCGTCCCACGAATTCTTTTGGCGAGGCTTGGAGGACGCATCTCGCTGGTAGGCATGCGTCAATGGTTGACTCGACGTCCTGGTGTGAGACCTGCCTTCACTCGACGTAATTGGTCGTAGATCACGCCTAAGCCAGCCATGTCAGCAGACCCATCGGCTCCTATGCTCCACGCCAAAAGATAAAAAGTATTCTGTAATTGCCCGACTCTTGTAGCCTGGCTCGGACATTTTGGTGTCCAACAATGCAGGTCGCTGCCCGACTGTCGACTCGCCAGTGATCAGAGACTGACTATCAAAGAGGTTTGAGTCGGGGACTTGAGAGGGCCGAGTTCTTGTCCTTAGCGGCAAATATCAAACGACAAAAAGTGGACAAAGTCGATTCTCCAGGCTTTGAGGGCTCTGCCGAACAAAGATAGCCAGGGGCTTGTGTTCGAGAGGTGCAGAATGAGCAGGTCGACAATACTCGGCGTGCTTGCCTGCGCTGCCCACTGCAGGGTGCACCATGGCCGGACATGCTGAAGACTTCAACTTGAGGCCGGTCCACACACAAACTTTCCACATCAACTTGACTGGAAGCAGCAATAGCGGTGGTGTAGCTATGGATATCGAACACTTGCCGATCACGATGCAGTACCGAGAGCTGCGTCGTCGGCCGTTCGACGAGCGCATGCTGGTTCGGAAGTCGTCCATCCACGGCTACGGGTTGTGCTTGAAGGAGGCTGTGAGCAAGGGTCAGATGATCGTCGAGTACCAGGGGCAAATGATTAACCAGGCCGTGGCAGATGAGCGGGAACGGCGCTATGAAGAGCAGGGCGTTGGCAGCTGCTACGTGTTCCGCCTTGATGAGAAGACGATCATCGACGCTACAAGGTGCGGCAACCTCGCCCGCTTTATCAACTACTCGTGTGACCCCAAGGCTTTCGCGCGCATGAAGACTAGCCGTCATTGCAGTGATGCGAACTCTCAGTAGAAACATTACTAGACCTCTACGGCCTTTAATCTGTAGGTCTCTCTATCAGATACATGCGAGCTAGGAACGCTTGGTCTGTTTGCCTGATTTCTTCCGCTTGGCCTCGCTCTGCTTGCTGTGAGAACTCTGGGCCTTGCTTTCTTCGTTGTCGCTGTGCTCGCTCGCATCCTCGTCCTCTGCATCCGCAGTTTTGGCTGTGTTCTTACCTCTGCGTCTCTTCTTCGACTTGGTAGCGGAGACCGGTTCTGCCTCAGTGTTGCCAAGGAGCAGCAAGTGACGAGTGGATGGAGAGGCGGCAAGCAGGTCAATGCGCTCCTCATCCGGAATGAAGGCGTACATGCCGCCGTCCGTGATGGAGGATTTAGTGCGCTTCCACACAGTCAGCGTGTCCATGCTGGAGTGCCAAGAAGGCAGCGGGATCTGAAGCACCTTGTGGTACACAGTCGCCAAGTGAGTCTGGAATTCCTCTGACGAAGTGCGGCCCCTATCACATCAAGTTACCAACGCCGAGGTTAGAATTTCGCTACCAAACTCCAGCTATAGCTGGACCACTCACCAAGCGCCAGGAAGACAAAGGGTATGGCCGAAAAGCTCGCCCACGTGGATCACCGTATCACCGGCGTAATTGCACAGACTCGCCATTGCCATAGACTCGTGACTGTCCTCAAAATCGTCCGGATAGCAGAGGAAAAGCGTACGGCCTGCATGCTTGCGCAGGTCCTGCTCAAAACATAACATGTAAGTGTCCCGGCCAGGTCATACATACTACATGCGCATTGCCTACCAACCTTGGGCGTTCCCTTGAGTACGTCCGTCCAGTAAACCTGTTCGACTTCTACCTCTTCCTCGTCATCTTCCCCCTCATCCTCCCCCTCCATTTCCTCCTCATCGTCATCAGGTTCCTCATCTGCTTCCTCTCCATCACTCCCCTGAGTCTCCTCTGCGTCACCATGACTCTCCTCTCCGCTCGTGGCAGCAGCCTTGCCATTCTCCTTCTCCTTGTCCTCCCCCTCCTCCTCCTTCGTCTCTTCGTCGTCGTCACCAGCAACGTGGAGGTCGTAGGCCACAACATCCACACCACGGAGCCGCAGCAGACGCGCCCAGTAGCCGCTACCCGCTCCCATCTCCACAATCTGCTCAACACCACACAAAACCGTCAATACTCCAATCCTATGACAACCACAGCCGGCATTATAGCTCACCGGTCCGTAGTGCTTGATAATCTGCAGCGCTCGCTCGTCCGGGATCGCCCAAGAGTATTTCTACATTGGTTTAACAACATTGCAATCGTTAATTAGCTTTGTTTACGCAGTGTAGCCATGATGCAGGACTGTACCCACCATTGCGACGCTCACGTCAAGCGCCGCGTACATCTCGGAGCGCGCCTCATCGCTCAGCTCCGGGTCGAACACAGCCGTGAGCTCTCCTGGGTGCTCGCGCACGAACTTGCGGTAGAAGTCCAGGTACGGGTTGCTCGTGGCCGTGAGCTCCAGTGCCTCCTCCATGGTCTTCGAAGGTGGTCCCCTAAGTTCAAAAGGCTTTAACACCTCTTGCCTTGGTTGATGCGCGAAATGGCTGGAAGAGCTACGATAAGATGTGATTGGTCAAAACTGGGTAGATGATTAACAGCCAATCCGATGGGGCTAAACATGGCTACACCAGTGCAAGTTGAAGTGCTACATGTACGCCTTACGCCGACAGCAGGGGCTGGTCCTCGCCCTCGTATCTCGTGGGCGGCGACAAGCTCAGGAAGCTGCTCGATGACAGCGACCGGTAGCGCATGTTGACGCGCGTGCCGCAGAAAAAGACGACCAGCAGCAGCACGGCCAGGCAGATGCCGAACGCTGTGAACGTGCTGCAGATCTTGAGCCCGATGGGCAGCGAGCCGCCAGCCACGGACACCACAGCCACCAGCACGGCGTAGGGCAGGATACTGCGCACGTGGTTCTCCAGCGGAACGTGGGCCGACAAAGACGCCAGGATGGACGTGTCCGCGATGGGCGAGCACGTGTTGCCGAAGACGGAGCCGCCCAGGATGCTGCCGAAGCACTGGCGCAGGTTCTCGGCGTCTCCGCCGCTGATAGACCACGACAGCGGCGCGATGATCGGGAACATGATGGCCATCGTGCCGAACGCGCTGCCCACTGCGAACGACACGACGTAGCACAGAAGACACGCGATGGCTGGCAGGAACTGCTTCGGGATGGAGTCGCCAACCACCGACGCGATGTACGGGGCCGTGCTCACCTCGCCAATAACGTAGCCCAGCGCCCACGCAAGCGTGAGGATCAGCGTCGGGTCGAGGATGTCCTTCACTCCTTCCATCCAGGCCTTGGTAGCTTCGTTGAGCGTGATGATACGCTGCAGTAGCAACAGCGTCACAGCGATGACCCAACCAGCAGCCGACGCACGGATCAACGACGACACGGAGTCGCAGTGGCTCAGTGCATCCAGAATGCCAAACGAGCCGTTGGGGTCTTGCGTGTACAGGCTGTTGTAGCCATCGAAGATCATCCCAACGAACGTCAGCACCACAATGGTCAGGAACGGCACCACAGCGTTCTGCCACCGCAAGGGCTTGGTAGTGTCGGGCTCCAGCGGGGCAAGCTCGGGCTTGGGGCTGTCCATAGGACCCTGGAACACGGGGGTCATCGGACCATCGTTGATCGGAGACGCCGCTGCATCCTTCTCGAACTGCACCATCGGGCCGAAGTCTTTCTCGCAAATGATTGTGATGAAGATGAAGGCGATGAAGAGGATCGGGAAGAACCGGTAGTGCAGACACGAGAGACACGTGACGAACGGGTCCCAGTCAAGCTTCAGGTCTCGGAGCTGCGCAGCCACATACCCGATTTCCACGCCAATCCACGCGCTAACCGGAGCTGCATGTACACCATCACAACACAACAAGTTAAGTCTACTGACGTATGACAAAGTATGCATAGCTTATCACGTACACATTGAAGGTAGACAGACACCGACAGTGTGAATAATCGCCGCGAACTTCTCACGACTAACTCCCGTCTGGCTCAGCACTTGACGCAATGAACTTCCAACGATGAGGATGCACGAGTAGTCGTCGAAGAAGATCACCAGACACAGCAGCCACGTCGACAGCTGCATGCGCAGTGACGACGTCATAAACTTCTTGGCAAGAAGCGCCAGACCGTGGCCGCCGCCGCCCTTTTGAACCACGCCAATGGTTCCTCCCAGCACAATCGTGAACAGCAGCACACCCGCGTGGTCGTCAACCGTGAACGCCTTCACCCAGTACTGGTCGAACGTGCGCAGGAAGGCTGTGAACGGGTCTCCGTTGGAGACGATGATCGCGCCGCACCAAATTCCAGCGAGGAGCGACACCGTCACTTGGCCCAGCACCGCCGACATGACCAGAGTCACGAGCGGGGGGATCAGCGAGACCCACCCAGGCGACACCACCACAGACGTCGTGTGCGTGGCCTGGAACAGCAGAACCTCGTTGAACTCGACCGTCGGGGGGAGAACCACCGCCGACTCATTGGCAGCACTGGCATCTGTGTCATTGACCTGCGGGGCCTCAGTGGGCTTTGGTGGCGCCTCCTCCCACACGGTCGTGGTGAGGTTGTGCTGTCCGAACGACTGCAGTTGCAGCTGCTTGATGGCGATCGACAGCTGCGAGCGGAAGTTGCCGTCGGCGTCCAGCGTCTTGACGCTGCCGTTGGTCAGCACCGCTCCGTCCGAGTCCTGCACGCGGTACCACAAATGCCGCGGGTATACGGAGCCTGCCGACATCAAATAACCATCAGAGACACAATTGCAGCATTCATAGTACCAGGTAGTACGCACCATTCTTAAGCTCCGGCAGCTCGATGGACGCCTCGAAGTCCACTTGCTGCAAGATGACCGAGGGCGTCTGCAGCGACACGGAGCTGCTGTGCGCGCGGTGGGCGTCACAGAGGCTGGCAGCTAGAGCCGCCGCCAGCACCACGAGACGCTGGAAGCCCATGGAGAGAGCAAGGCAGGCGTGGCGGGATGCCAATCAAAAACGCAATGGAGACTGAGACCTCCGTATGTCGGACCTCCTGCTCTTGCGGGCAGACGCTGGCCACAGCATTCAAATCACAAGATTTTAAGAGGAGTACCGTCCTGACTCGGTTAAATACACAACTTCAACGCGTATCTTTTGACTTCAACTAGGGGGGTGTAGCCCACTATTGCTTTTAGGCTGCGAGCGCGCGCGTGGCGCTCGGGTTGGCTCGACGCAACATGGGCATGAGGTTCGTCCACCGGAACATCTGCGACAAGATGCACGTGGAGAACCACACCGTCACCAGCAGGCAGATGGACGCCTCCGAGCTGAAGAAGCTGAAGAGCTGGGCCTTCTCGTAGAGCGGGGCTGTCAGCTGCCCGAACACCGAGGTAATAAAACTACGCCGAAGGAACAGCGAAACAAATACAGGGTCAGTTCATCTGTGGTGGTGTAGCTCGGCAGTGGATGTGGCCGACGTACAGGTTGTGTGTGGCGTGATAGACGACGCTGGACCAAATCACGTAGCTGGAGTTGCCCTGGATCCAGCACATGATGATGCGGGAGCCCACTAGCAGGAGTGTAAACACTGCGAGCACGTAGAGCAGGTGGAAGTCGCGGGTTTCGGCGACAGCGTATCCTGACCCCTTGGGCACCACCTCCAGTGCGTCGGCGATGATCATGGGCCAGTGCCATAGCGCCCAGATGCAGCCCGTGATGGCCGACGCCAAGATAGTAGAGTGGCTGAATACAATCTCCAGCGCTGAGGTAGCAAAAATGTGAGAAAAAAATTCCATTAGGCGAGGGGGATATGAAATCTTCGAAAAGTGTGATGGCACTAACCTGGGAACAGCGACCCGCTCCAGCCGATCTCCTGGATCATCGCGAAGAAGAACCAGCTTGTGCCTGTGAGCAATCAAACCAGACATATCAGATCAATAAATCGCCCCACGACCAACCCGTCATGCAGGAAGCGAGGGTGACGCCACCTAAAGGTCGCAGTCCCATCGAGAGGCCGACGTCGTAGCGCTGCGGCGGGACCGGGTCCCAAAAGATTCCGAGGAAGCTTATGTAAAACACATAGAACACCAGCCCAGAGTCCAGCGCCTCAACGTCGTTGAAGCTGAACACCATCTCGAGCTTCCGCACGAAGGTCCGGTTAAACTGCAAGACACCACCGCGAACAGCAAACATCAGTGGCGTAGTAAGAATCGCAGAGCCCATAATAACGCACTCACCGGGTTAACCATCCTCGTAGCGGCTGTGAACGAGAAGGCCGCTAGCTCGCACAGCACTGGCACAGCATAGCTCAAGAGCGCGAGTCGGAACGTAGATCTGGACGAGTGCGAGCTTCTGAATAAGTGGTAAAGTGGCGGGATGTTCCAGTGCGGGGGCGTATTGCAGGCTTGAAGTCTCAGCTTTGCAACTACATCAACAAAAAAACATAATAAACAAATACAAGGTCACGATCAGCGGCGGTACACATCAAGCTAATGCTCATTGCAGACGTACTGTTGCGTAGTGCGAGCGATGCGATGGCTGGACTGACAAACCAGAGGCAGCGGAAGGCGAACACAATGGGCGTGTTGGGCGGGATCCCCCACTGCTTGCAGAACACGAGGCCCGTGAGCGACAGCACGACCATCGAGTAGAGCGACACGAGGTAGGCGATGACGGCGTCACGGTAGGCCCACATGACGTCGGCCGAGAACATGCCGTGGAAGAAGTAGTTGGACGAGCCGCGGTCGTTGCGGTGGTGGTACTGGTGCGCGGGCTGCACGAGCGGGTAGTACTCGTCCCAGATATTCTTGCCGTCGCGTCCGGCCTTCTTGTTCGACGCCGTGACCGGTCCGGCGGGCACGGGCCCCACCAGTGCACTCGCTGCGGCGGCGCGGGACTCGGGTGGAGAGCCCGACTCCAGGTTCACGATGGTGCCGTAGTTGCTAGCGGACGCGGAGCTGCTGGGCGCGTTGCTCATGTTGCTGGCGGTGGTGGCGCTGCTGCCGCGGCTGCGCTTGCCCATGGGCGGGGGGGGTGTAGGACGTAGCGAGACCTTGCAGAGGTAGAGCGACTGGAGGCGCTGCGGGCTGATTGATGGAGTCACAGGCGGGCTCGGAGAATGAACGGGCGGGCGCTGCGCGTCTACCAGGCGCCCTCCAGCGATCGATCGCGCGCTTCTGCTTCAGCCCTCGGTCCAAAAGTGCAGCTAAAATCCCAGCGGCTTTCGAAGCACCAGCGCGGAAATCGGGGTGGTGAACGCGCTGTTAGGGGTAGTGAGGGCCCGTATATAGGGGTTTGTAGCCTCATCACGCGACCTTCGAGCGACATTCGAAAAATAGAAGCCCAAAGGAGTGCTATAGAAGGTGCATCCGATGGGTTACCCTGGGTTACGTCGTGTACTTACATCACGAGCTGTGCTTGCTTGCCCGCTGGACAAGCTCAGCGAGCAAGCACAGGAAGAAGTTCTATAGGCTCGAACCTTTGCATTGTCTTGAAGGCGGTTGTGGCCTTCTCTGTCTTACAAATTACAGACTGCAGCTTACAGTATTTTGATGCGAACTTGGTACGACTGATACGCCATGGATCAAGGTTCAATCGATCATCTCGCCACAACAGCGTGATTTGCATGACGCCGTTATGACTTTAGGTTATCACCACGGTTGGGGGCCATTATCGCGGAGCGCGACCACGAGTCGTCTTGCGCGGCCAAACAGCTTGCCTTGGCTTGACTTCACACCTGCGAAGAACGCTGCAGGTAAGACGGTGCAATGCAGATTGGATATCGGAGTCGTCACTCGGCCAACAGCCAATCCACGGCGGACACCGCCTCGCTGGGCCCTAGCAAGTTGCTAGTAGCAACTGGGGTGTCGGCGACAGTCCGTTGGCAACAACAGCAGGCGACCATCAGTCTGCAAAGGTGATCGCGAGGAAGGCGAAAGGCTGGCAGGTTCTGTGCGCCCCGAAGCAAGATGAGATTCAAACGACGGCTATTACAGCGCCCCACAATAGCTGGTCGGCGTACACCGGTCAAGCCCTTGAGTCTCTGGCAACGGCTAAGAAACCTGCAGACTGAAGACTGGAGGTCAGTAAGAGCCGCGATAAGGGCATGTTCTGGGGTTGCGACCGCAGGTCGGACGGTGCCGTCCGACCTGCCTTTCTCTAATCGCGAATTCGGGATCGATCGCTGGTCTCCGTTAAGAGGTGACAAACCAACATTCCTTCGCGAAGCCCGCCTTGTTGCCAACAAGTTGTTGGTCGCACATCTGCATGTATCGCTTCACTTACACGAAGATTAGGACTGCAGTGCTGTAAGATCAAGGTAGGATTGTGTAGCCGCTTCACTAAAGCGATGTCGAGTCCAATGAATTCCTTTATGGTACTACCTAAGACGCTGTCAACGGAAACTTAGCGTGGGAGATCACAGATAATACCAGGGGTGCTACTTAATTGCGAGTACACTTCACTGACTTCCGAGTAGTTTCACACGAGAGCTATGCGTTGGCTGGGATAGCTAAAGGATTTTGTGTGAGGTAATGCCACGCGACAATTCTGGGAAAATTACGGAAAACAACAATTTACGTAGCTGTGGGTGCTACTAGTATTTGTTTTATCCTTGGTTGTTCTCAGACAGATAGTTTAGAAGAAAGACTCTCAGATGCAGGATGCCGATGTGACACAATCGAAAACTATACTTCGTTCGAAGTAAGTAAAGTGAACGCGTGTGCTTCTAGTTGGCGTTAGTATAGAACCCGTTATATACTTTAGTGTCCGGTACAGTAGTTGGCGACTACTTGTGCAACTGCGCGTTGGGGGGTTAAGCCACAACTCTATGGACGGTTCTATTAGCCGAATGCAGGCAGATGCTGCGGCTGCAAAGCAGGCGCAGAAGATGCCTGTGGATAGCGGTTTTGCCAGCACAAGGTTTGATATAACACAATATTCGAGTCAAGAAGCGCGGTTAGTGGACGATAACTACGGCCATCTACTGCGCTTGCTTCGCAGCCGCAGCATCTGGCCGGTAATACAGGATAGTTCAGTGAGAAATGATGCAGTCCTGTTTACTTTTAAAAACTTGCAAACAATTATTTTGCTCTTCAGAAGTTTTTGCACTCTCGCTAATTGCGATTTCGCTGTAACTGGGAATTCATTTCGTGACGAACTAAGGGTTGTGAGGCTGGTACTTGTAAGCCAACAAGCTGGTCTCCCAGGATACATGCTCTAGCTAGATGAAGCAGCTATGAGCAGATAGTATTTCAAACACGCACCGTTATGGATCAATCAGGAACCGGACGATGTCGTCCGATACTTTCCTTGAGCTCAGGACGTCAGAGAGCATGTCTGTGTTTTCAAGGTAATATAGTTAGTTTAAATTACTTGCTCTTCTACTGTAGATGGACGAGCTGCCACACGCTGCTACACCAGATCGGCAAATAGTTTTCATATATGCTGTCGTTTGAGAGGCCGACCGTCGGCCTAACGGCTACACGATTAGCTGACGTTCCTTGAGTTGACGATGTCGGCGTCGGCTCGCAGCTGCTGGGGCACATATCGGTGAGCTACGGCAACAAGCGTAAGCTAAGAACATCGCTCATCAGCGACGTGGTGCCGAAGACCGGCGAGCAGCGCTGATTTCGGCAACGATTCCTCGCAGCACTCGTGTCCAAATGCGACGAATACGGAATTTTCGAAATGCTCTCGAGCTTGTCTCGGACTTGAGATGCATAGGCGATATTCAGTTAACTTCAGTTACCGGGGCCAGTTTTTCGGCTCCAGTAATACCGGCTTCAGTTACCGAGGTGCCGCCTAATTAATCTGTGTTGGGCTGGCCACAGCACTCCCTCCGGGGTTACTGCTATCCCAGGATAAACCTTATTCGTGGCTTAGGAAAGGCGCCACGTCCGGCATTGCCACCCTGGATGAGACCGAAGGAAGACACAGCATGAATGTATCTGGGGAAGTAACGCATCGAACCACTTATGTGGATGTAAGGAAGCTAATTGAGAATTTAAGCGTTATCCAGCAGAAAACATCAGACAAGTTGCCCTAAAGGGCTAGTAGCACGTTATTTACGTTCGTGAATGCCATACTGACATTCAACGTTCTTAGAGCGGAGTCAGTCAGTAGCTGAAAGCTAACGCAACGCACGAGTTCAAAAGAGGTATATGTACTCGAAAGTCCGAGTATATTACTCTTTACTCGAAAGTCCGCGAAATGTACTCGAAAATAAGGACGACCCCAATAACAGCGACCTGATCGCCACCGCTGAGAATGCTTGCTAACTAGGACCAATCTTCGAGAAGCCCAGCGAAGTCATTCGTACGATCTCAACGCACCGTGCACAACTTGTAAAATTGTATTAATACACAGCTGAACCGTACTTAAACGATTGTGTATTGTACATTAAACTTCAACTTGCTGGACTTTGCCTTTTCAACAAATTCATCAGGGCTAAAATAATGGCCCAGCCTGAATCCGTGCAGCGATTCCCGTTTTCACAGCTGAGGATATCCGCGGGAGGGCGTAGTTTGACGTCTTAGTAAGATTTTTACATGTATTTACGCCGTACATGTAAAGTAGACCTGGACTGGACTTTGCTGGTGTTTTTGTTGGTGAGGGAATGGGCCACGCTCGCGAGAGGCGCGGCCATGATCTCCCTGCTCAGGGCCGACAAGAAAGCACACCGTGTTGTGCTCCTGAATGCGGCACCGACCGCACATTTGTTCGTACCAAAATGGAGCAATCACGCGGGAAGCCCATGAGGCGTCACTGACGGCAGCCCATGAGGCGTCACTGACGCCTCATGGGCTGCCGTCACAGCCGAGCGGATGGTCCTGCTGAAGGATAATCTCAAGCAATGAGATACTGTCGCAAGGGAGATTTGGGTCCAGCAGCTCCACCTGGCTCAGGTCCTGAGATTGAAGGTGTTATTGCTGAACTGGAGCAATGATGTGGTTCGCTGCAAAGGGCGACTACTGTATTATGGCGCATTTTAATTAAAATTACCGGTCGACGTGCCCGGCGTAGCACGCTGCGTACCAGTCAATCCTCGGCTGGTTCCTTGAGTCAAGGCAACGGTTACGAAGCCTGCTGCTGGCCAGTGAGAGCCGTGAAAAAGAGCCTAGCCCTGTAGGTATGAAGCATGAGGTCGGACGTAGCGTCCTACATGCACCTCCCTTTTTCCAATCGAGAATTCGACAGCGATCGGAGGGAAACGCTTGGACATCGCTGGTCTCAGCTGAGGTGGCGAACCAACATTCCTTCACATCTGGAGCACAAGCCTGCCGAAGAACTCTGTCTTGTTGGTCTTATGCCTGACATTTGTTTCGCAAAAAAATAAGGACCAACAACGATGCCTAGATCTCGTTCAATTCGTCTTCATGCGTTTATTTTTCTTGACATACCGGTACCTACAAAACGCAGTCATCGGCAGCACCAGCAACGCAGCGCGCTCTAATAAACCGTCCAGAATGCTTGCTGGACAGCGCCTTGTGCCTAGTAGGCACAAGGTCTTCGAGAAGCTCAGCGATGTCGTTCGTACAGAAGCTTAGCGAAGTCGTGTCAGTGCGCACTTACCGTAGCGGACAAGTTGTACAGTAAATGCACAGAATAATCGTAATTGTACTTACAACTTCAACTTTGCTGATTCGATTTCATCACATCAAAGTTGAAATCATGGTCCCAGCCTGAATCAGTGCGGCGCTTCCCGATTTTCCACAGCTTCGGCTTTCCCCCACACGACGGCGGGAGTGGCGTGGTTTCGCGCCATCCTTCATAATATGTACCGGTAGCTCTGGGCTGGACAGCCCAACACGCAGACGATTGCTGGCACAGCACAGTAATTAGATGTAAATAGTTGCGGTGGTAACTCCAGCTGCTCTAGCGAGCCGGCAAGGCAGCAACCGCCAGCTGATGGGGGGATTGGATCACACTTGTGAGTCCCGTGGCCATAATCCCGTGCTCAGGACCGACAAGAGCGCGCCATGCCGTGTTGGTGTACATGTAGTGCCCTGCCCTCCTGCTGCTAATTGGGGCACCGACCGGACACTCGTTTTGTATTGTAATGGAGCAATCACGGGAAAACGTCAAAAGGTGTATGAATTTGAAACGTTTTGTCAAAAGCGGTTAACTCGTGTCATTAGGTGTATGCTAGGTTGTCGGTATGACAGTATGTGTATGTGGTTCCAAGCGCACTAAGGTGCATCATAAAGCTGCATCAGCAACGAATGCGGTGACTGGTGTGTGGGCTTAGATCCAAATCCATAAAACCCGGGGTTAGGAAGGCTTCTACCTGATGCAACTAGCAGCGAACACGGTCAACTAATAATAGCATATAGAGCAACTGTACTCGACAACTTCGCTATTGTGGCTGCAAGGAACTACCAACGCAAACCGCAAGCGTCTATAGCATGGCTGTACTAGGTAGGTTTTGCATCTGAATTTCGGAGGTGAAGGAGCTCTAGTGAGAGCCCCCAACCGGGGGAGAGTGTAGGTATTGTAGAACTGTGGCAACGCTGAGGCCTGGCTACAATGGATAACGACGTTCATTGTAGTCCCTCAGTCGTACAATTCGCTATCAAAGTCATGGGCACCACGAACCGGACGAGCGTGTCGTTAATAAACTACTGTGCTTGGAAGGTCGATCCTGGGTCTGTATGACCCGACCTCGGCAGAAATACCGCGGCAACCAAAACGTGTGTCAGTACGTGTATGATGAGACATGACGCGACGTGACGCCCACGACCACTACACCTATTGACAAACGTTTTCCCAACGCATACACCTTTTGACGTTTTCCCAGCAATTACCCGCAGACAGACAGCGAAGCGTCAGGCCTGCTGAAAGATAATCTCACGGAAGATTTGGAGCTCCGTCAGCGCACTCAACGCACGCTCCTCTACGTCCGGTGGCGGTAGCCTTTTCGGTGCTACGAAAAGGTGCGAAACTTACGGTTTAGCGGTTGCCAGTAGCCTTTTCTTTACGAAACTTTCGTTTCGGCGGTTGGCAACCGCCGGTTGCCTCAGTGTGTGAGTCATGGACACAATCCGTTTTATCAGATCCCGGGCAGATGGCAAGCTTCCCCACACAACAACAACAGCAAGCGGCGAGATTCACGTACATGTACAGTATAATAGCCCCCATCTCGACTCCCGCTCTTCCTGAAGCAAGCTGTTGGGGCAGATTCGCATGGCGGCGCCAGCTGCGAGCGTCGGGCGACGCGAAGATTTTTTGATCACGAAAACAGCGCCCTGATTGAGAGGCTCGACAACCGCTGTAATTGGTCCAACAAGCCGTTACCGCGCCCCCATTGGCCGCCGACCTCGCGCAGGAGTGTTGGTCGTCCAACTACTGATGGCTCGACGTGCGGTGAGGAAAGCAAGTCACAGACGCGGATAGACGTACGTGGCCCCACACGCCAATCAGTCTCCAATTTCCTGGCCTCCGCGCACTCAGCGTCTCAACAGCTTCACACACACGCATCAACAATGGCCCCGAACCCGTACGAAGTGTCCGACGCGCTGGCCGACGTCACCTCCGTCAACCCCGGCGTGCGCCGCCGTATCCTCGTGACCGGCGCCGCTGGTTTCATCGGCTTCCACACGGCCAAGGCGCTGCTCGCGCGCGGCGACGACGTGGTCATTGTGGACGAGATGAACGACTACTATGACGTGAAGCTCAAGCAGAGCAACCTCGACTGGCTCACCAAGAACTACGGCGAGCGCGTGACGGTGGTCATCGGCGACCTGTGCGACGCGCAGCTGGTGCGCCGCGTGCTGAAGGAGACGTCGCCCGCCGCCATGGTGCACCTGGCTGCGCGCGCCGGCGTGCGCCCCAGCATCGACAACCCGCTGCTGTACATCCACGCGAACGTGGTGGCGACGATGGTGCTGCTGGACGCGTGCCGCGAGTTCGGCATCAAGAAGTTCGTGTACGCGAGCAGCAGCTCGGTGTACGGCGGCAGCCTGAAGGAGAGCTTCAGCGAGGAGGACATCGTGGACTTCCCCGTGAGTCCGTACGCGGCGACCAAGAAGAGCTGCGAGCTGCTGGCGCACACGTACCACCACTTGTACGGCATGGACACGATCGGCCTGCGCTTCTTCACGGTGTACGGTCCTCGTGGGCGTCCCGACATGGCTCCGTTCAAGTTCATGGACCGCATCGCTCGGGACGTCGCTATTGACCAGTACGGCGACGGCTCGTCGTCGCGCGACTACACGTTCATTGATGACATTGTGCAGGGCGTGCTTCTGAGCCTGGACCGCGGATTCGGCTGCGAGGTGTTCAACCTGGGCCGTGGCACGCCCGTGCTGCTGACGGACTTCATCCAGATCATCGAGGGTCTGGTGGGCAAGAAGGCCAAAATCAACATTTTGCCGGACCAGCCGGGCGACGTTCCCCGCACGAGCGCGGACATCTCGAAGGCGGAGCGTCTGCTGGGGTACAAGCCCACGACTCCGCTGGAGCAGGGTCTGAAGAAGACGTGGGAATGGTACTCCGAGTTCTACAACAACGCGTCTCCGTAAAGTGGTTGCGTTAGCGTGTGCGTCGGTGAAGTTCTTGGGGCGGTTTTGATAAGCGAGTTGTTGCATCGCAGTACTCATCGTTTACCTCGAAGCGGACAGATTAGCTGCCAACTTTTGTATGAATTTGAAGATAAATGTACTAGTTTGAATCTCACTTTTAGACGAAAAGTATGAAAGGTCGATTGATACTTCTTATAGTTTGTTCAACTCATTTTAATGCGCCTTTTAAAGGTGCCTACATGTACACTTCGGTTGTACAGTACAACTTGTACTGCTACATGTATAGCGTTTTGGGCTAAATTCGCCGATTGAATTTACACTGGATTAAAAAAGTTGGCCTCATCCCGAGCGTAGGGCATAGCTGGCGCCGGGTTATCGTTTGACCTCCCTTACAGTGCAACGGCAGTCAATGAAGCTGAGGTTCTCGACGCTTATACTTCAGCGATTCGAGCCTTCCAGGTTGGATGCTCAAACGGACTGGTTCAGTGATTCTTCAGCACAACATCAGCTGGACTAACCGATCGTCTACCGAAGTGAGTGCACCGTCGCAGCGTCGCGGATTCGAAGCAGCTCTGGTTTGTCGGCCCACCGCACATTCTTGGGATGAGAACTCAAATCAAAGCGGCAATGTTTGCGGCCGCCTGCTTGGTTCCAAGGAATCGTTCAATACGGGTAAGCTACTGTAGTGACGCGGTATCGTGTCACATTAGGCGGACCCACAATTTAATTTTGCACCGGCGTTCGTCGAGGTAGAATCGTGCAAATGAGTCCCCACTTTGATCTGCTATGCTATCTGGTCGAGATTCTTGGTGTGTTCCATCGTAGCTTCTGGGTCAAGCTTGTGGCACGAAAGTGCCGTCGGCCAGGTTATCCAGACACCATGTGCTGGTTCGGCACAGCTTCAAACAGCACACTTTACACTCGGCCGGGATGCTGCCTAGTCTCATGTAATCTACATCTACCAAGGGCGTGGTTGCATCCGTACAAGTGAAGCGCTAGAAAACACGTGTCACGGGGTTGTAAGACGTGTTCGAGACTCTTGCCACGTCAACGATGTACAGTAGTTAAGTAGTGGCCAAAGCCTCGCAGAAGCTGCTAATAAAAAATATCATGTGCTTCAGCTCGATCTCAGCTTTTCGTTGCTACCTTGCTTGTTTGGCTAGCAGTAGAATTGGCACATCTATGGTAGAAAGAGTGATTCGCGCATATTATCGTGGACCAGAGAAGTAGGTAAATTGCGGATATTCGGTTGCTTTCATGCCAAGCTACGCTCGTATTCCCTCCCCCCCCCCTAGCCATGAACGCGCGAGATATTACGACTCATGGTACCAGAGCGCCGTCATCCTATGGATAGATACATGTCGGACGTGCGGTGCAAACAATAGCATCAACATTGATGACTTTGCCTTGTTGCCCAGACGGAATCTCAAGGATACGTCGTGACAGTTTCCTACTACGGTACATGTACTAGTGTCTGCCGACAGCAAGGATGGAGTAGACTGGAGGCAGTGGCCACTGCTGATATCCACGTATGGTACTGTTGCGATAGGGATCTCGCGCTCACGTTCTGCAATGGATCAGTGAAGTTCATTAGATTCACTGTATTTACACAACTGAGTCAACTACTGTACGCACCATCAACGGAAAGTAGGTCGATCACGTTCGCGTCTTTTGTAGCCTGTATCCTCGAAATTAGGATCGTATGTAAAAGGATCAACTCGGTACTCTTTACTTCAACTTGAGCAATGCAAACACCAAGTTTGTTTTATCCTGTAAGGGTGCTTCATCCTGTTGGTTCTTTTACATGTGAGAGGTTTTGTCCTGTTCTTCCATAACTTCTGGGGTCTGGAAGTAAAGATTTGTGCGACAGGTTATCGAGCCTACGTCCATAAGCAGCTGGCCAGCGTTCACCGCATACAGATATTAATAAAACTGCATGTATAATACATGTACGAGTTAGTTGTGCCGCGCACGAAGTATCCAAGCATTTATCTGCCAAAATCTAGCAAGAACTACCGTTGTGCATGTAGAAGCGAGAGTGATTAAGAGGGGAAAGTCTGATTCAGGCAGCTCATTCAGCATTGCCAAGTCCCGTTTCCTGTCCTTTGTGGAGACTGACCAATGCCTGTGTTTATGAAGTTGTACGTTCGTGAATTTCGGCGATATGTTTTCTGGGTTTCTGAAGCACCACGTCCATACTAATCAGCAGCTGGCAGTTCCTGCGAGATGGCTGTAAAAGCAGCAGGAGGACAGGCAGGGCATGGATCCGAGTCTGCAGTCCTGCATGGCACGCGCTCTTGGCGTTCATCAGCCCAGCACATGGTGTCAGGAAGTCAAAAGCCGCACCCCTGTTAGAAGCACGGAGCCGTTCACCGATGGGAACCCCCTTCCAAGTTAATGACGTGCGGTGCACGCAGCACCTCTGCAGAACGGATGCTCGTTCGTAAGATCGAAATATAATACATGTACATGTACGTAAGCAGCTACCGTAACTGAGAAACCAAAGCATGCAGCTCATAAGCAACACTTCAGTTCTCAATTCACCAGCTTCAGCTCAAGCAGCCCCAGGCACTCCAACACAGCATCAACAATGGCCCCGAACCCGTACGAAGTGTCCGACGCGCTGGCCGACGTCACCTCCGTCAACCCCGGCGTGCGCCGCCGTATCCTCGTGACCGGCGCCGCTGGTTTCATCGGCTTCCACACGGCCAAGGCGCTGCTCGCGCGCGGCGACGACGTGGTCATTGTGGACGAGATGAACGACTACTATGACGTGAAGCTCAAGCAGAGCAACCTCGACTGGCTCACCAAGAACTACGGCGAGCGCGTGACGGTGGTCATCGGCGACCTGTGCGACGCGCAGCTGGTGCGCCGCGTGCTGAAGGAGACGTCGCCCGCCGCCATGGTGCACCTGGCTGCGCGCGCCGGCGTGCGCCCCAGCATCGACAACCCGCTGCTGTACATCCACGCGAACGTGGTGGCGACGATGGTGCTGCTGGACGCGTGCCGCGAGTTCGGCATCAAGAAGTTCGTGTACGCGAGCAGCAGCTCGGTGTACGGCGGCAGCCTGAAGGAGAGCTTCAGCGAGGAGGACATCGTGGACTTCCCCGTGAGTCCGTACGCGGCGACCAAGAAGAGCTGCGAGCTGCTGGCGCACACGTACCACCACTTGTACGGCATGGACACGATCGGCCTGCGCTTCTTCACGGTGTACGGTCCTCGTGGGCGTCCCGACATGGCTCCGTTCAAGTTCATGGACCGCATCGCTCGGGACGTCGCTATTGACCAGTACGGCGACGGCTCGTCGTCGCGCGACTACACGTTCATTGATGACATTGTGCAGGGCGTGCTTCTGAGCCTGGACCGCGGAGTCGGCTGCGAGGTGTTCAACCTGGGCCGTGGCACGCCCGTGCTGCTGACGGACTTCATCCAGATCATCGAGGGTCTGGTGGGCAAGAAGGCCAAAATCAACATTTTGCCGGACCAGCCGGGCGACGTTCCCCGCACGAGCGCGGACATCTCGAAGGCGGAGCGTCTGCTGGGGTACAAGCCCACGACTCCGCTGGAGCAGGGTCTGAAGAAGACGTGGGAATGGTACTCCGAGTTCTACAACAACGCGTCTCCGTAGGCATTTCGACTGCGACCTCAAGACTATGTAGTGGTAAATGCGTAATACAGTGACACCTCCCTAAATGAACCCCTCTAACAGGCCATGTGTTCCCTATCTGGTTTGGATTCCTCGACTGCAAACGGGATTATATGGATTTCATTATAGGTGTTCTATAACTGATCAAAAACCTCTTTATTCTCTAAATGGTCGCCATTGTTGGCGCCTCAACCCTCTAAATGGACGCCGTAGTAATCGATCCAAACTCATATATTTTTCTCAATCACTTGCCTGCCTCCTCCCACGTATGCCATTGCTACCACTACTCCCGCCACAACAAATCGAGCGAAGAGAGAAATTTTATCTGGGATGCTAAGTTGGAACAAAGAGTTTGCAGTAGCTGCAAGCTTGTAAATACTGATAAATAAGCTAGCCACAGTATTTTACAATCAGCGCAGCGTACGTATATAATTTACGAAAAACTAAAATATTATGATGTCGAGACAACTAGGGGCTATGCAGTAGATACCAAGCAAAAGATAAAACTGCAGGCATGGTGGCAGGATATCGGGACAACAAATATTCCCATAACCTACAACCTGAGGGGATGCGATTCTGCTAATACCAATGAGAAGAAGGAGTAGGAACAGACAATACCGCGCCTACCGTTATTGGTTAAGTTCTGTCTGTGTGAAGACGAAACAAAACAATAGTACGAAAAAGCTGGAGGGGTACCAGGTAAAGAAAGCCCTTGTATTGTGCACCTAACATATGAAAATGTAGCCATTAGAAGTGTAGCCATTTCTTTATCCGATCAATTCTTTAACTGAAACAGCGTATTAGACCGAGCGAACTGGGTGTCATTTATAGAGGTGTGACTGTACTGAAAGTTGTCTTGTTCTCTGGATTTTATCCAGAGTTGTTAGGGTGATACGACTGCAGGTGCAAATCACTATAAAAATGCATGCTCCGCTATCGGTTAGAGCATCTCCAACGGTAGTGCATAGTGCAAAAATGATAAGGCGAAGTGAACGGCTGGACACTACGTAAAAACAGGACGAACATGCATGAAATAGCTTGCATTTGTTTTCGCTTCCCCAACGGTATTGCAGAAATGCATAGTGAAAGCGGAGGAGTTGCCCCAGAACAGTCAATGCAGCTGCCTTTACCTCATAGTACAGGTGTCATCCTACTATTGCGAGAACCTGCTTGATGACCTGCACGACGATGAGACCTCCCCCTGCTTGCAAATATGGGTTTGGAGTACACTGCCACTTTGTCTTGAGACTATAGCAACCGTGAGAGTGTTGCAAGCGCCTTACCAAGGAAGAAATTCCGCTGTATACCTAACTAGTGCCTATATACGTTCTGTAGGAGCATGTGTACCTGTTTCCAGCATCCGTCAACGCAGTAGGCGCTCACACGAGAATATTTTCGTTGTGCACTACGTGTGCATTACGGGCCGATTCGTAGGGGAAAACCGGGCTTTATTCCCTACGAGGCTTCCCTAGTGCACAATCACTTTTCAAATGTTACTTCACTGTTACTTCTGTGCCCCTGTTGGAGATCAATTTTTTTTGCACTTGCGCATTTTTGGTCATTTTTGTGTATATTGCACTACCGTTGGAGATGCTCTTATAAACGAACGGATCATTAACGTATCGGACCGTACCCGTTAACTTTAATACTTCTCCGGTCCGGAAAAGAATTAACAGTTAGGTTTTTTCATAAAAAACCTCGAAAAAATCGATTTATGATTAGTCGAAGCACCCTATTATGCACGGATGTCCCATCTCTCATTAGACAAAAAGACAACATCAGTGATTTGTATGGAAAAAAACTCAAATATGATTGGCTGTTTTTCAGGCGTTGGAAGATTCGATTGGTTATGGCGATATAAGACACGAATAAGCTTTCTTTCAGCTTTCTAAATCGTATTTTTACGTTCAAATCTGATAAACTTTGACAACGCTGCGAATTTAAACCTAACACACCTAAAATTCGACCATTTAAACTGGCCGATACAGACCGCAATGGCGGGAAAACGCATTTAAAAAACAATCCGTGCAATACAGCAGACAAAGGGCTTTACGCCACGGCCAATTACAGCTCTGTTGGCGTAGTAGAGCGTGAATTATGGTCGATTATATGAACTGTTAATTTTTTTCCGGACCGGAGAAGTAAACGCTTGGATAATATATTATCCAGCGGCGTGTTGCTTGAGTCTTTTAGGGTCGACATTTGCGTGACACGATTGATCGGATGTCGCTCGACCATACATAACTACAGTTGTGTTTGCAGTACATGTATGTTCAACGATGTTACATCGGTGTCGCCACGTTCAAGTCATGGAACGACACCCACGAATACCCACGACTTCAATTTAAAGTCGTGGGTGTCGTTGAAGTCTTCAAACGATGCTGGTCTCGTTTCAACCATTCTGCACGTGCTCGTTTCAACCATTCTGCACGTGCATACGAACCGTTACCGCCGCTATCAAGCCTTGACGTTGGCTGCATATTTTTGCAAGATAGCTAAGGCATAGTGAGTGACCAGTACATGCTCGCGTAAGGGCTTGAGATAGTTGGCAGTGCATGCTTTCATGGTTTCGGAACTTGGTAGCAAACCCGAATAAAGACAAAAGCACCAACTGCTGAAATTTAAGGATACTTCGCTCTTACCAAAGAACCTCGGGTACACCTTTTCCAGGCGTAATTCACGGTGTGCAAATACAGTTCGGCAAGAGCAAAAACAAATTCGTGAAGTGCAATACGTAATTCAGCAACCCTTTCCAAATCGATATCGAGATATTCATCCGATTATAAAGGGCATACGCATCGCGATCTTTCTTCAACTTCGCGCCTTCACTTCGCGCCATCTAGTGCAATTGGTGGCTGTTTGCGCTTCGCAGCCCAATTTCCCGCCTTCGCGCAACTCTGTTGCGCGCGAACGCCGCTGCTGGCGAGAGCACCATGCTCCTAAGACCTCCGTTTTCATTTTGCCACGCCACCAACAGCCGCTCCACCTCGAGATCCTCTGCCCAAGATGCCGCTCAAGTACTATCGCTACGCGTTAGAAACCAAGTTGCGGGTGGTGGATGCTGCACGCAACGACCGCAACTGGGAAAAGCTTGCTGCTGAGCTCGGTGTCAAGTTAAACACCGCACGATACTGGGTTCGGCTGAATGTTCACGGGGACGAGCCGGTTCAAGCACGCCCAAGAGGTGGGCGAGTCTCGCGGAAGGTGACGGGGGCCATGGTGGAGTTCCTGCTCGAGAAGCTGCGCGGGGACCCGGACCTGACGCTACGCCAGCTGGCGGACATGCTCGAGAACGAGACCGGCGTTCGTGTTGCGCCCCAGACCGTCAAAAACCATGTTGACGCTGCGTGCTTCACGATGAAGCAGCTACACAAGGAACCGCAGTACATGAACACGCCGCTGAACAAGGAGAAGCGCCGCGACTACTTGGTCAAGTTGCAAGAGTACCAAGCTGCAGGCAAGGTGATTCTGTACATGGATGAAACGAACTTCAACCTGTGGGCGACGCGCACGCGCGGGTGCAGTTTGAAAGGCAAGCGCGCGGTGAAGAAGGTGTTTGCGGGCGGAGGCCAGAACACGCATGTGATCTCGTGCATAAGCGAGCACGGCTTGGTCTACTTCGAGACGCGCTTTGGCTCCAACCGCTATGCGAATACCAACGAGCTCATCAGGAGCTTGTTGCGTCATGTGGCACAGCATGGTGAGATTGCTCTGAGTGATGTGGTGCTGGTGCTTGATAACGCACCTTGCCACTGCCGCGCGGAAGAGGTTTTTGGCGAGGCCGAGTTTGAGCCGGCTACGCTGCTTCGGTTGGGCCCATACTCACCAATGTTGAACCCAATTGAGAATGTGTTCTCCACATTCAAGTCCTTGGTGAAGGCGTACATGAGGGAGCGCCGCCTCGATATTTTGGTCGTGCCTGAAGGAGTGACAATGAAGGACTACCGTCAGTCGTTCCTGCACGAAGCGGCTCACATGTACATACCGCAGGCCGCGAGCACCGCCAATTGCCGAGCCTTTTACCGCCACACGCTTCGCTTCCACTTCATGGTAAGCAACATGGACGACATGCCTGTGGGCACGTGAGATTACGCGCTGTATGCCAGGTACTTTATTTGATTTGCTTTTGTACGTAACCTGGCAGTTCATGCTTTTAACGATTTCAATGAATACGAATTTGCACTTCACGAATTTGTTTTTGCTCTTGCCGAACTGTATTTGCACACCGCGAATTACGCCTGGAAAAGGTGTAGAACTGCTAGGCACATTTAAGATAAATTAACTTAGAATCAAACCTAGAATCAAAACTACATGATAAAATCCATGCTTTAGCACGGCTTAGTTCAACCTTGGATACGTTACCAGGTATGTTTCTCTTAGACTATTACTTCAATTATATCAAGGTAGGGGAAGGTGTTGATAACAGTTTCGGGGTAGGGTTTTCTTTCGTTTCATTTTTGTGTTGAAGTGCAAGTTTCCTCCGAGCCAAGCAAGATAATGGCGGGGAAGCGCTTGAAAGTGTCCGGGGACATCCAGACGCTGACTCCGGCGCAGCGAGAGGCGCTGAGCGAGATCATCAGCGACTCCATGAATACTGGCGGTCTGATCGCCTGGCGCAAGTTGACCGAGAGTCCGACGTTCGCCGGCGTGGCGTACGACACGCTTCGGCGCGAGGGGAAAGCGGTCAAGCGGCAGCTCTCCAAGCAGGGACTCGAGTCTTTCGTCCCCACCAAGCGCCACATCAGCGAGCTGGACGAGGACCCAGCTGAGCCGGAGCCGCAGGACGACCAAGTGGCGGAGCTGGAGGCGCTGGTGGCTCACAAGGACAAGCTCATAGCGGACGGCGTGAGGCAGATCAAGACGCTCAAGCAGAAGGTCACGGGGCTCGACGCGGCCGTCGCCGAGAGGGACGAGCAGCTCGCGGAGCAGGAGAAGCTGCAGAAGCAGGTGGAGGCGCTCCAGCAGTGCATCAGTGAGCTCAGCGCCATCATCGCCAGCAAAGATGTGCAGCTGGAAGAGGCCAACGCCCGTTATGATACGCTGCTGCAAGGCGTTCGGCAGCTGGCGTCCGAGGGGTAGACGCTGCTGTGCGTAGCTCAATGGGGAGGGAGCTGCGTACCTATCTACTTACTTACTGATCAAGTCGTCAACGTTTTTCTAGTAATCAAGCGCCTACTACGTTATGAGTGTTCGTTCACGCTGCGTCAAGTGAGCCTGTGGTTGCTTACCCTGGAGCGACGATGAAGAGTGCGCCCCATGGTGGTGCCAAGTGCACTACTTACTCGATTATCATCTCGTGCGCAACACGTTAGCGACGCCGTGGCAAGAGCTAGGCTCGGTTGGACATGTTCGCGGGGTCGCATCCCGCAGCAACGCACCGCAAACCTGGGATCGTCGGGTAGTGACTGCAGTTCCGTGCTACCCTCATAGATCCCCAAGGATATCCGCTTCAAGGTCGTCCAGCTACTCCAGAATAAAATACAAGCATGAGAATTACATCGGGGTGATGGCAGAATCTCGAAGCAAAACGCACCTCTTCCTCCTCCTCTTCCGCATCTTCAGCGCCATCATTTTGCTGCTCCGAAGGAGTGACCCGCAGTCGCTTTTCCCCTGACTCAGCGGTAGCACCATCCGCCTCGTGAGCCCGTTTAGCACTGTCGTTCTTGGTTCGACGGGAGAAAAGTTGGTCCTTAATGTCGGTTGAAGACTGCTTCCTCTTCTCCTCTTCCTTGCTTTCGCGCTCCTCCGCTTCAATGAGTCGCAAGAATGCATCGTCCACGTCCTAGCGATCATACACACGCGGGTCAAAATCATTAGCCACAGATATCAACAGGAAATAAAGACACGATAGTACCTTGGGTGGAGAAGATGAACGTGCCGGAGTCTTCTTTGCCTCCTCGACCTTTTTCGCCTTGACGCTGGCGCGAGGCGGCTCGCGCTTCGTTGCTTTGATTTTCGATAGGAAATCAAATGTCCCTCCAGTCGCTACGACACCGGTCGCAACAGGTCCGGCAGCAATGGTACGAGGACGACTGCCGCCAGACGGTCTACGAACTACTCGTGATCTCCTCACCATTTTCGACTTGTGCACAGCGCCGTCTTCACTAGGAGGGTTGCCCGAGTCGTCAATTACCTGTGCAAACGTGACTTGCTTACCCGGTTTTGCGTCCCCAGGCCCCCTCTTGACTAAAATGCTGGACACCGTCTTTCCTTCAGAAGCAGGAGCAGAAACTGGCGTCGGATTGCTACTATCGGCGTCAGTTTTGATTTCAGCTGACGGAGTCTTCGACTCAGAAGGTTCACCTGTATCGGAGGACGAGGTAGCACCATTCGCATCCGGTTGCTTTTCAGGTTCTGGCTTCTTGTGTTTGGCTTTCCATTGATCAGCAAGGAAATCTTGCTCGGAAACCCGAGACCACGACCGAGCACACTTGATAATCCAATCGGGGGTCACAATGAGCACGCCGGGTATTTTCTTCGCCTGAAGTCACAGCACCGCACACGGTTCAACATCAACGCCAAGCGTTCAAAACATAAGAGCCGCTGCAGCTCACTTACCTGAACGTGCTTCTGGGTTCCTAACCGTTCTGGGTGGATCACAAGGTGTGTAAGTGGGAAGTTGTTAAGCGTCATGCTGGGCTTGGCCCCCAAATCTACCGCCAGACGCCACAAATAATGAGATTCATGGCTTTGGGGACCGACAATGGGGAATACTCCGCTGAAAACAATGCTGCATCCATGCAGAATCGATCGTTTTTGCTGCAATAGATCACGCTGTTAGAAAACAAACACATTCTCCGGTGGTCACTTCGACGACGTACCTCGCTCAAAATTGCCTTCACATCGCGGCCATTGCCGGCCATCTGCTCTTCAGCAGTTGTACCTCTCATACCAGTTTCGTGACCCGCGTAGAAGGTTTCATGAACATGCTAGACGGTGCAAATAAGGGTATCGTTAGAAATCTACAGCAGCCATGAATATGTATGTCCAATATAACCAACGCGTACCTTCAGAACCGTTGTCGACTGCGCAAGATGCCTGTCTTCGCTGGTTTCGGAATTTGACTCGTCCAGCCCTGCCACGCCACGGCCTGACGCGTTGTTGATCTCGGATGTGCACTTAAAGTAGTGGTACGGCTCAATTAAGAACACGTTCCCTTCGTTTTCCTTCCATACATCGATTCGGTCATCGAGAACAAGGATCATCGAGTCATCACACGACGGGAAAAGAAGCTTGAGCGACTTGTGCAGCATGTCGGGTGTGTCTGTACGGGCCACAATCCGGTTTTTGAAGTACGATTCGTCAGGGTCGATGATCTTGACAATCTGCTCTGCGTACAGCCGTGTGCCGTGCGTGTAGATGAAGAGGTCGTACAAAGCCGAAAGCTCCGTTAAGAAATCCGTCAGCCCGGGTCGCAGTTTCACCACGTGTTGCTGAGCAAGACCGGGGATAAAGAAGAAGTAAATGTCGTCTGCACCCATCAAGAGCAACATCGTCAACCGTCTGAAAAGACCGACACCAAAAAAAACTTCATGCCACCATACCTGACTTAGGGATCTCGCCTACAACGTCGTCAACACGCACTGCGTGCAGCAAAGTGTGGTCCAGATCAAGCACCAACGACAATTTCTTCGCTCCAAGCTGACGGCGAATGTTGTCCGAGTCGAACTTTTCTAAAACCAGCAATACACAAAACAACGTCAGCCTACCTTATCCAATCCCCCCATTGTCCGCTTCAGCATCATCCACGTACTCGCTTCCTCGACATTCAGTCGGATCACCTGTCCGTGCGATACAACATTGACACTCTCCATGTCTTCGTTCTCTTCGTCTTCATCCACCACCGCGAGACACATCAAACAAGTGCGTCCATTGCGCACCCGATGAATGCAGTACTCCACAAAGGCCACAGTCCTCACCGCAGCGTCCTTCGTGTCTCGCATAATCTCGTCCGACTGCTCCTTGGTCAGAATATACAGCCGTCCCTTGCACGGCGCCTGCATGGGTCGCTGGTTGCCCAGCTCCAACCTGCCGGCCGTGCCGAGCCTTTGGCCCGCGTCCACCTCGGCGCCAGCAGCCACTACCCAGTCAATAGAGTCCCACAGAGCGGCGTCACACTGCACGCCCTTGCGGCGGATGTGGGAGCGGTCCTCCTGCTCCTGTTGCTGCTGTCTGGGGCCCTCGTCCTTCTTGACGTCGCGCTTGGCGGCCTGCTTGACGTCCCCAGCGGCCTCAGCCGCCGCCGCGACCTCCTCCAGCTCCTGCTTCTTGATCTTCTCCTCGATTTTGACGCCGCTGGGCGCGTCTTCCGCCTTGACGCGGCCGTTCTCCTGCTTCACTTGGGCCTCCTTGGGCTCGCCCTCGGAGGCCGCAGCCGCCTCCGTCTTCACGTCTGGAGCGCCATCCGCCTCCGCCTTGACGCTGTCCTTGTTCTCGTCCGCCTCGAGCTTCACCTGCGCCTCGTCGACGGCCTCCTCCGCCTTGATACTCGCCGCGTCCTCGCGCTTCACGCCGTTCGCCGCCATACCCTCAAGAGCGCGGAAGTGAAGTGCGGACGCGGATTGGCGCAAATTCGAGACGGCGCAGTATTCGGGCGACAAGTGGTTACGTATGGTTAATACAAACAACAAGTGATACGGTCCGACTTTATTACTGCGCGGTGCCCGCGAAACGACGCGAGCTGCAGGCAGTTGTTGAAGATGCCGCCGGCGCTCGAGGCCAAGGACGGAGGTGTTGATGCCACGCGGGGCCCCGAGTGTGTGGACAAGGTCTGGGACGAACAGGTGGACGGCGCGTGGGCCCCCGGCAAGGCGCCCGTGAGTCTGCTGACGACGTTCCTCAAGTGCGTCCAGGAGCGAGATAGTGTCGAGGCGGAGCGTGCAGCACGAGAGAGTGAGGGGCTTCGTGTTCTTTTGACTTAGATAGAGGCTAGGGAAGGTTGTGCTGACTTGCTGTGTGCTGCAGTTCTGGAGGTGGAGCCCAACAACCGCCTCGTGCAGGATCTGCTGGACGCCATGAAGCAGCACGACGCAATGGGTGAGTGGAGACGCCGTTGAATATGTGCACGGGTTGGTCTGAGTACAGTAGTCAATACATCGCTATTGCAGAAGCTGCTGCTGAGGCGGAGGAAGGTAGCTCGGGTGACGAGGAGGACGAGGAGGATAGCTCAGAAGACGATGACGACGATGACGACGACGAGGATAGTTCAGAAGATGACGAGGAGGATCAGCCTGACACCAACGAAGCTAAACCGCACGATGCTGACGCAAAGAACAACGACGGAGAGTAACGCATGAGCAGCAAAAAAGAGTTTGAACACTACCCTACAGTCTCCACGACCGCACTTGTCTTATCCTACAATTCATATTTCTCGCATACGCTCTGACCACGAAACGAGGCCAGCTCAAGCAAACATCAAAGCCATCGCGACTGCCGCCACGCAGGCAATCAGCGGTCCACACCACCGCCCCCACCATACCCGGCCGATCCCACAGAGGAAGCTGCCTTCGCCATCAGTGTACTGTTGCTTTTCAAACAGCGGAGACTTCTCTGCGCGGTCAAGCTCCTTTTGTTTTTTCTTCAGTGCCTCGGCGGCAGCAGCATTTAGCCGGTCTTTGATGACCTTCAACTCATTTGAGTTCTGAGCCATCGAGAATGACTCGATCTCTGCCACGACCTTTGCAGCCTCCTCCACCATTCCCAGTCTGATCTGCACCACGCAAAGTCCAATCAGCGCTTCGCACAAACGATCGTTGTTCGAGTCTTCAGTTCCGCGCAAAAGCTCCACACTCTCCGCAAGAACTTCTTCAGCACCCACAATATCTCCTCGGCCAGCTCTCCATCGCCCCACCATTGGGAGTAGAACCGATAGTTTTGTCTTTGGGATAGGTTTGTTCGCGATCTTGTCTTCACGTAGCACATCAACCGCGTTCTCAAGAATCTTGCGATCATCATCATCAAGCTCTCCCTCGCTTCTGCTCTCAAAGAGATCCACCAGTCTGCACAAAACCTTTGCGCGCAGTTGTTGTCGGCAGCATGGATCAGCACCACCAGGTAGTTCCAGATCCCGTAACAGCTTTACCAGCAAAGCCCTCGCTTCTTGCTGACCGGTAAAGTTGGAACTCGCCAATAAATCCACCTTGAATAGAGCAAGCTTCGTAAAGGTCGTAGCTTCAGATGTTGAGAGCTTCCCAATATTCACACAATGAACCAGCGTTAGCGCGCGCATAAGCTCCGAGTGGCCCTCGTCGCTTTCAAGGTCTCCCTTGGCTTGCAAGAAAGAAACCAGCACTTCTGCAGCTCGTACATGGCCACAAATCTGTCGCTTACCCTCGAAGTACTCAAGGGTCTGCCAGAGTTGCGTCTCCCGCAGAGAACCCTTGAAGGTAGAGCCTTCGGTCGCCGAGCTGTTGAAGTCTGGGTCAAGCAGGTCGAGTCTTGCCAGCATGAGCTTCTCTAGCAGCTCTCCCGTAGAAGCTACAGCCGCGTCCTCCTCAGCCAACGGGATCGTCACATCCAGCGTCTCCCTTGCCTTATCTGCCTTATTGTTTTTCAAGTAGGCCTTGCTCAACCAGTACGCACAATTGAGCGCGACGTCCAATTGGTTGGACACCTTTCGTGCTGCGTTGTATCCCTTCTCCAGGCGCTCTTCGGCTTGAGGGCACCTCCCCATAGTATAACAAATGCGTCCAGCATTCAGAAACATCATCGCCTCGCGATCTTTCCGGTCGGGACACAGCGGGAACAACTTGGTCTGGTCTTCAATCACTGATAACGCCGAGCTGTAGTCTCGTTTGCGCGAGTAGCAGCCAGCAAGACTGTCCAGGATGTCAAACATCCGCTCGTTTTGCGCCGCCGTAGGGTTGCCACCACAGCGAGTCAGCAGCATGGTGCGCTTGTAGTGCTCAATCGCCTTGGCATCGTCCTTCATCTTCACGTAGATAGCCGCGAGGTTTCCATGGATCAGACCCGTGAGCTCCGTCTTCTGGAGCAGTTGACTCTCCCTCAACGCGCTCACGCACGCTTCGACCGCCGCCTTGTAGTTGCCCGCTTGGAAGAACTTCATGGACGTGGCGAGGAACTGTTTGACCTTTTGCTCGGCCAGGAGCGCCGTCTGCAGCTCCTTGTAGTCGCTCTGAATGGTTTCGTCCTCCGGGTTCAGCTCCATCGCTCGTCGGAAATCTTGTTGCGCAGGCTGGAACGAGCCCAGCTTCATGTAGGCAAAGCCTCGGAAGTAGAACGCGCGTGCGAGCACCTGGTTCTCCCTCTGCTGGTTGTCGTGCGGCAGATCCGCCGCCCCCCGGGCCTCTTTGAGCTCCCCCAGCACGGCGAAGGTCTCCGCGGCCTCGGACACGACGCTGCTCCAGCGCTTGGCCTTGCTCAGCGCCGCCAGCGCGTTCATGTGGCAGGAGATCACCAGCTCCTTCTGCTGCTGCAGCGCCACCTGCGAGCGCGTGAGGTGCATGAGCAGCTCCCGGTAGAGCGTGAGCGCCTTGTCGAGCTGGTTGGCGAGCAGCAGCTCGTCCGCCTGGCGCTTCATGCCCAGCGTCACGGCCTGCAGGCGCGCCTGGGCGTCCACATCCACGTCCAGGTCGTCCTCGTCCGTCACGTCCCCGCTCTTGCTCGCCATCGTCCAGTACGGTGCACTGCTCTATTGGCGATATATAGTGATGAGGTGGCGACGAAATGGAAAGCGTGGAAAATTATGTGACACTTGTGTGCATACTGAAATCCAGTCAGATTACGTGTTAAATTCCTGAGAGCGGCCGCCTTTCGGCAGCTGAGCTCGTCCCTGGCCTCGACGGGATCGTTGGCAGTGCAGGCGACGCTGATGGCGCAGTGGATTGTGGGCGCTGGCGGCGAATATCCAGCCGATGCGCGGCCTCCTCGATCTTCTGGAAGCCGCCCGTGCGCACGTTCAGGTCCTCGCAGCGTCGAAGCACCACGACGGACTTGGCGCGGCCGAGCTCGGCCGGTGGTGACGTTGCGAGTGCTGCTTCGTTGCGAGGATCGTGGTACGAAGCTGAATGCTGCGTCGTCTTTCTCTTGGTGGTGCTGCAGCTGCCGCCGCCGACCAAGCAGCGATCGCTGCTGTCGCCGTCGCCGTCGTCATCCTGGTTGGATCGCTGGCGCTGCGGGACGCAGACCGCGGGCGGGCGCAGCATCGACGGCTTGGTCTTGCCCATGAACGCGCGTTGCGAACGGCAAAGCAGCGCCGATCGATCGCCGCTATCCATCGACCGGACGCTCACGCGCAGCTCGAGCCTCGAGATCGCAGCGTGGCGTCGAGACGGTTGAACCTGTAACGTGTGTAGCCATGTGACGGGCCTATTTTTAAGCTTTGCGGCGATGTCATTGGTTCAAATTGCTGTTAACTTTAGATGCGGAGTGGGCTAGGGTTGCCGTTCTAGCACACCGAATTCCCCGTCTATGCCGATTGGGCACTGTGAAATCGCATATTCGATGCCTCCCAACCAATCGACTGAGCGGAAGGGAGCGCACAACAGTACAGCAGCGCTAGGAATCATGCCCGCCTTCCAGCAGCAGACTATCGTGGACTTCGTGTCGGCCGAGGGCGCCTCGGCCACGCAGCAGCAGCTGCAGGCCGTGCACAATGGCCGCGGCTTCTGCGAGCGGGCCAACGTGAAGGTCCTGGAGATGTACCTGGCCGAGCAGGTCAAGAACAAGACCGTGGACATTGACGCCAACCTGGCGCTGCTCAAGCTGTACCAGGTGTACCCGGCCACGGCCAATGCCGAGAACGTGGCCACGGTGCTGGTAAAGGGCGTCATGGCCCTTCCCTCCACCTTTTTCACGGGCGCCTCCACGATGATCCCGGAGAACATCCGCGAGGTGCGACGCGTGTTCCCAGCCAGACTTGATGGGCATGGATATATTATTGGTTTTAGCGTTGTATTAACGTTCTGTATGCTTCAATTGTCGTGGATTTTAGGACGCCAACGTGATGGCCGTGCTGCACGCGGGCTTCCTGCTGCAGTCGTGCCTGTTCGAGGACTTCTGGAAGGAGAGCGTGGCCTTCGCCGAGAAGGTGCCCGGTTACCTGGAGTCTGTGCGCGCGTACATCCTGACGGCCATCAGCCGCAGCCACAGCGCCATCTCCCCGGACGTCTTCAAGGCCAAGCTCAACGTGTCCGACAAGGAGGTGGCCGACGTCGTCGCTGGTTCGTGGCAGCGTCTGATTCCGAGATGTTGAAGCTGTATCCTAACTGATTCCGGTGTTGCCCATTGCTTTACTTTCCCTTTGTTCGCTGCAGCCGAGAACTGGACTGTTTCGGCCAACCTGATCCAGGTCAACCCCAACGAGGACAACCAGATGCAGGCCAAGAAGGTCCAGGAGAACATCGAGTTCGAGGACGTGCTCAAGGTCATCCACACCCTCTCTAGATAGATTTGTTGTTAAAGGAGGTGGACGTTGGCAACCGTAGGAGCGGACCCAGCTAAATAGCGAAGGACCATGATGCGAAGAATTCGAATCGAGTGGCGCACTGCGTAGACGTGCTGCCCTTTTGCACAATTTACCACCATTTTGGAGCTTCCTCACCTATGAACAATGCTTTTGCACGAACACCAAGAAGTACTGCTCGACAATCGATCAAAGAGCACACAAATGAAAATCTATAAACCGGGGAGCCGTCAGCATCGTACTAGTATTTGTCATCTAATCTAACTGCTGGCATCCACACCGATGGTGCCGTTGGACTGAGCGGCCATGACCGAGTCCATCATGCCCACCACGCCCAGCACCTGCTTCTGCACACGCAGCTCCTCGTTCAGCTTCTCACGCAATTTCACGAACAAGCTGTCGATAAGCATGGACTGACTCAGCTTGGGCGCGTACAGGTCGCACACAATGGTGCACACGTGGATGAGGAGCGAGGCATACTTGGGGTCCGTCACGTATTTGATGAGGAAAGCCAGGAGCGGCTCAAGCGTCTCCTCATCACGTCCTCCCAGGGCACGCTTGAGTCCGACACGCAGACGCAGCTCCTCCAGCATACTAGCGACAACAACCGGCGAGCGTGTGTCCAAAGCCTCGTTCAGCGCCTTCTTGTAATCAAACTTCCGCAGCGCGCGGTCGTACGGCTGAATACGCTTGTGACGTGTGGTGGCCACGGTGTAGTCCGCAGGAGCCGGCTGTGCGTTCTTGCCACGCAGGAAGTACTTGTAGCTGCCACCACGGATGATCGCCTGACGGTTCTTGGCATCAGTCTGCTCTGCCCTCTTGACGGTACGCCGACGAACAGCAAGGATGCCGTCCACAGTGCCTGCGAAAAGGTGCGAGTTCGACGGGGACATGCCGAAGGCCAGCACGCCGCTCTTGTACTTGAATCCGTGCGCCAGCTCGTACGTCTTCAAGTCGTAAATCTTAAGGTGGCCGTCCAGCGATCCCGACATGAGACGCGTGCCACTGCCATCGAGACCGAGGCTTGTGATGGTCTTCTGGTGGCTCGAGAACGAGTGCAGCAGACGTCCGCCGCTGAGAATGTCCCACACCTTGATCGAGTTGCCGCCGGCCGAGAGCAGCAGACTGCCACCGGGCATGATCATACACGATTCCACGGGGGCGCCGTGGTCCAGGCTCATGGTGCTCTTGGACACCGTCTGGTCGGACGCGCGCAGGTCCCAGAGCTTGACAGTGTGGTCGTACGAGCCCGTAGCCCACACATTGTGCGACGACGGGTTGGCCGCCGACGAGCGCACGTAGTCACTGTGCTCTCCCAGCAGGGCAAGCGGCTTGCCCGTGGGCAGGTCCCAGTAGCGAGACGTCTTGTCATCGGAACACGAAAGCACGTGCACGTTGTCGGCCGAGAAGCGCGTGCTGCGGATAGCGGCCGAGTGGCCCTTGAACGACCGCAGAATTGCACGCGTGTTGATGTCCAGCACCTGCACGTAGGGCGCCTCTCCGCCGGCCACCAGCAGCTTGCCGTCCGACCGGAAGGTGCCCGAGTACACGACGTCGCGGAAGCGGCTGAAGGTCTTGACGATCTCGTTGGTCGTCGTGCTGTAGAGGTGGATGCGCGTGGAGGACGTGATGGCCACTTGGTGCGGCGCCACGGGCGACACGTCGATATGCGTGACGGGTCCGACCTGCTGCAGCTCCTGCGGCGCGTGGAACTTCTTCCAGTACGTGTTCTCGGCCGTCTCCACCTCGGTCGTGGCCGGGAACTGCTTGAGCACCAGGCGCTTGAACTCGCCGCTGGTCGCCATGGTCGGTGGAGGCTACCCTACTGCTGAATGCTGCAACTGGAAGGCCGGAGCGGTGTTTGCCAGCCAGCCAACAAGACTACTTTTTGTGTACACTTGGTGTGACAGAATATTTCGGATAAGCTAGACAACACTTTTTGGGACGAAAAGATGAAATTTGATGTGAAGGTGGTGAAGAGGACATCTTGACCTGCTGACAAGTGTTGCTTCTGGACAAGTGAAGCGCCCGCTGCCACCGCCACTACGTTACGGTTAGAAACAATGCGTTGATACTCTGAGATCAATATAAGAGCCAAGCAATTGTAAACGATAGATGATCTCGGGAATGCTCATTGCAAACTGCAGTTTCATATTCACACGAAGCGCTGCAACGCGTTTTAGTACATTACTTTCAACAATGGCGAGTTGTGTTCTGCTTAAGCCTTCGTCAAACGTTCCCTCTCTTCGTTGGAATAGCTCTTCGAGCGACGCGCGAAACACGCCATTGCCACGATAGCAGCAGCGGCAATGGCCACAAGCAGTCCAGCAGTCGCGACGGTGCCGCTCCAGTCGATGGCCACGTCCAGGAAAATGGTGCGGCAGTGGCCGTAGGGCGAGCCGTTGTAGATCTCTCCAGCCGTGCCCGTCGAGAGGAACGAGGCGCACCAAGTGCCGGTCACGTCGTTGCGCGGACACTTGTCGTTGGCCCAGGTCAGGATCTTGTCGTACTTGGCGTACGTGGTCGACATGTTGCAGGCGTCGCACACCGTCGACAGTCCGTCCACCCAGATTGCCGAGCTTTGCAGCTCGTTGCAGACGGACACAACACCGGAAGTGTTGGGCAGCAGGTCCACCAGCGTGGTCGAGGCGTTCGGGAAGAAGGTCGTGTACGCCTCCTGCGCCGTGGCGTTGTTGCAGTAATAGTAGCCCTCGGCATAGCAGTACACCTGGTTGAATGTCTCGGCCAGCTTGGACTCCTGATCTTCGGCCGGGAAGGTGGCGGCCTCCCAGTCCTTCATCTTGGTCTTGAACGTGAAGGCCGTGCCCGCGAGCACACCAAAGGCGGACATGGCGATGATCATGACAATCGAGTACAGCAGCAGCAGCACGCGGTTCTGCACGATGGCGCCCACGATGCCCACCACGGCCAGCGTGATGGCGCCGATGCCCATGAAGCGCAGCATGGTCGTGGCCGTAGTAGCGGCGGACTCGTAGTCGGTGTCCGTGAGCGCGTCAGCCCAGCCACTGCTCTCGAGGGACGAGCTGAAGCGCATGAGCATGACACCCGCCACCAGGAAGCCGATGTTCACCAGCACCATGAGCACGCCTGCAGTCGTCATGCGAGCCATGGTCGTGCGTATCAGTCAGCTCGTTGGCTGCGGTATTTTTAATGATGTAGAGACTCTACTAGAGTCGCTTGGCCGGAGAGGTCTGGTCCGTCAACCCAGCTGTATCCACAGCTGTATCTTACGGTCAGCAAAATCAAAAATAATCATGATTTTCTCAAAGGTATAGGTTTCAGCCAATCAGAGCCAGATTCGGAAACAGTTTCAGCGAATCACAGGGCTTGAGAAAACCTGCCATTGGCCAAGGTGACACTTGCCATTTGAGGTGAGCGGGACCCTGGGATAACTTGAACCCGGACACCTGGTCTTACCGCTAGAAGGCTTCTAGTAGAAGCTCAACCACGAAAAGAATTTGTACATTAAAATGTATCTGCACCACAGGACAAGAAGAGTCCGATCTCAACGCGGCAGTCGCGCTGTTGCAGCGTAGAGCTTCCTCGCTCTATTGCAAGTTGCAAGTTGCAATTTGCAACGATTATCCAGGCCGGCCATCCACGAGCGAGCCAGCGCTGTAACGACGTCCATGCGATCGCACCTTTCCACAATCGTATGGCCCCGGCCATCTCTGCATGCCAGATGCGCTCGGCAGTGATAGATTGCAGTCAGTCGCTCCTGCTCACGCTGTGCGAATTGATTCAGGGAAACGAGCCAACACCATCGGCCCAGGCATCGAGCCGCGTTATGTTGGACCTACCGCAGGATGTCTGACTAAGGAGTTCTGACTAACTATTCTGCGTAGCTAGCCGGCTCGTGGGCCTGTAGCGCCGTGTTGAACGGCAGGACTCCGCGATGAAGGCGTCACCGCTGTGTGTTGCAGGCTTAGAACAACATTTCTTGACGATGATGTTCTTGGCCCCGTTCAGGTCTAGGTCCATGACCGCGCCGCAGAAGTCGCACTTGTACACCTCCTTCCCGCCAAGATTCTCCTTGATCTTTCCGCAGCTGGAGCAGGTCTTGGAGGTGTATTCCTACTCGCAGGAGATCAGCCGCCCGCCAGCCCGCTCCATCTTGTGCTTTAGTATCTGCGAGAAGCTGTAGTGGCGGAGGCCCAGCATTCTGCGCGCCGTAGGGCTGCAGATGCGGCGCTTCCTGCCGCGGCGGACCTCGAACTGGCTGAGCTACTCCGGCGTGCCGTCCGCTGCCATCTCCACCTCGTATTTGCGCACCATGAGGGACGTCTGGAACGACGGCAGCAGGAACGTCTTGAAGGTAGCGGCGATCCAGCTGGCGAACTTGTGGTGGAAGTCGATCACGGCGTTGGTGATCTTGGTGTTGGTCTGCTGTATCTCCCTCCGCAGCCGAGCGCGACGGCGGTGCTCGCGCGACTTGGGGGGCTTGACCGTCTTGGCGTTGGCCACTTTCTGGTCGGTGTGCAGCTTGGTAGACTCGCGATCCTTGGCCGCCGCCTTGGCTGCGTTGTCCAGTTTGGCCAGGCGCGACTTCCTCGCGTCAATGACCTCGTACCGGCGCTTCAGGTATCTGTTGTCGGTCACGCTGAGTCCATGATGGTGCCGAACTTGCGCACGCCCGGGTCCATGCCGCCCACGCGGGTGCCAGCGCTCTGCTCGAACTCCTTGTGCGTGGAGAACGCGAAGTAGTACTTGCCCCCGCGCACGCGGATGAGTCGGGCCATGTGCTCGGGAGTCGGAACCGCGTGGCTCAAGCGGATGCCCTTGCCCAGAGATGCACCGAAGAACTTGGAGTGAAATTGCACGTAGTGCTTGCCGCCATCGTCGACCAACTCAAAACCTTCTGTCTTGGTGCGAATGCCGATCGAGTTACTGCGAGCTCGCTCGCTGCGGAAGCCAAGCACCGGAAACGTCGTCTTCTTGCCTTCATTTTTCATGCGGAAGAACTGGGTCCTCGAGGCAAGCACTGCCGTCATCGCGCCTTGGAATGCCGAGTTGAAAACAGCAACGTTCACCATCAGGTATTTCTTCAGCCGCTTGTTCCTGTTCAGATGGTCTCCATCGTGCCCTTCTGGAAAATGGGAAGGTATTTCTTGCGCAGCTCCTTCATCGATGTGCACTTGGCAAGGCCCTCGCGCGAGAGGAAGACAAACCGGTTGTACGCCGCTCGGTTGGCCGAGAACATCAGATCCAACAGGGACTTCTGCTCCTTGGTGGGGTGGAGCCGAACCTTGAAGGTGCTGTTGATCGCCTTCGAGCTGCTCACCTCCGCGGCGTCAGTCGAGACTGCCCCGGTCGCGGGGCGAGACCTCGTGACGCCCGACGTCTGGTTTTCGCGCGCAGTCGCCGACTCTCTGGTGATGCCGCCGCGCGCCGTTCTCAAGAGCGTGGTCAAACCTCTGTGGCCTCGTAGCATCAAGCGACCCAAGTCCAAGCCACGCAAGCGCAAGCCTCGCAAGCTCCGCCTCTTCATCTCCTAGAGCAGCGCCGGGGTCTTCCACTCTGGGACGACGGAGTTGGAGAAGTTCGCCACCTTCGCCATGCACGTGAGGAGCAGCGCCACGAGCTCGTGTTCGGCGAGCACCCCGGGGCGCTTCACCCTTGCAGCTACCTTCCCCTTTCCTCGAGGCCCCTCCCGAGGCTGCCGCGGTCACCCGCTTGCGCTTGGGGGCCTTCGGAGAAGACGCCGACGCAACTCTGGGGCGCTTGGCAGACGAAGACTGACGGGGCTTCTTCTTCTTCTTCTTCTTCTTCTTGGGCGACGTCATCTTGACGGAAGACGGCGAGTTCGCGAATGAGTTCTGTCGAGCTGCGTGCTGCCGTCCTGGCAGCGGCTACGATGAAGGCCGTCGGCGAGTTTGCTGCAGTTCGCCATACAAAATCGGAATCGCGGAGCTGCACGCGCCATCTACAGTGTAGTTCCACGCGCCGATCAACCGCTGCATCGAGCCGTGCGCCTGCTCCTCGTGAAAACTAATACGCTCATCAAAATCCACAGGTCTTCGATGTCTGACTCGAATGCAGACGCCGCCACGGTCGCCGAATTCTCGGAGTGAGCCCGTCGGAACGTCAAGGCGTCGGGCCATGGGCTGCCTGGACTGGCTTGCGCGATGCGTCAGCGCGCTGCTGCTTATCACTATCAACGTCTTCCTGGCGCTGGGCGGGGGCCTGGTGCTCTACGTGGCCGTGTTCGTGCGCCACACCGGCTGGGTCGAGGTCGTCCAGGCCTACTGGTCGCCCATCAACGGCCTCGCCACGACGCTCATCGTCGTGGCCGGCGTCGTCATCGGCATGGCGCTGCTGGGCACTATCGCGGCGCTGTGTCGCTGGCGAGCGGGCCTCTGCTACTACATGGTCTTCGTGCTGCTGGTGCTGCTGCTCTTCGCGCTCGTGGGGGTCTGCGCCTTCCTGCTCTGGAGAATGTTCTCCAACTGGGAGGACGACGCGTACCCGGCCAGCGGCAGCGAGCGCGACGTCAAGGCCGACTTCGACCAGGTCTACTGCTATGCCCAGGGCGTGTACATCTGCAACGAAGGCTCCGTGTCGGACGCGCTGAGCATGTTTGCCCCCGATCTCAATTCCACGGTCACTGCGCTCTTTGAGAACATGACAGGGGGCGTCAACACGCTCTGCGACGAATACTTAAGCGAGTATGAAGAGCTCACGGACGTGTGCGACGGATGCGATAAAGCTCGCGAGTTCCAGCACTTCTCGTCGGTGCTCGAGTGGTCAAACAATGAATGTCCCCGGGTTGCCAGCACCTTGTCGTGGTGCGGAGAGTTCTTCCTCGACGGGAGCGCGGCCAACGTCACAACGGGGACGGCACCGTACACGCACTGCCGCAACGCGTTCCTCGACCTTGTCAGCAACTACGCGCTGTATCTGGCGATCGGGAGCGTTATCGTCGTCGTCGGCTCCGTGGCGGTGATCATCATGTCGTGCTACCTGCGGCGCCACGACATGTACGACGTGTACGAGGCGTACAGAGAGTAGGTCGAGATAGAAAGCTATGTAGAGAAAAATAAGTGTCCAGCATGTGTTCAGCTTCCTCCAAAACGCTGGGTGGCGTTGATGGCTGTCGATGGAACTGATTGATGGCTATTGCCAGCACCAGAGGCCATTTCGACTTTACCCACGTCCTGAACAAGCAATGCTGTGTTCCTGTATAGCAAAGTGCATCAGCGAGTTGATTCTCATCGCGATCAACTGCGTTCTTGCGCTGGGCGGAGCGCTAGTGCTCTGCGTGGGGATCTACTTGAAGCATACCGGCTGGGTGGAGGTGATCCAGGGCTACTGGTCTCCGATTGATGAGATCATCACTGCGCTCATCGTCATCGGCGCAGTGATCATCGGTCTGGCCGTGTTGGGCTCCATCGCTGCGCTGTGTCGCTGGCGCTTCGGACTCTGTGTGTACGCGACGGTGGTGCTCCTCACCTTCATCCTGTTTGTGATCGTGGCGGTGGCGGCGTTCGTGCTAAGACATCGAGCTGAAAGCTGGGAGGACACGACGTACCCAGCCAGCAGCACTGAGGAGTCCGTCAAAGAAAAATTCGACCAAGCGTATTGCTACGCACAGGGCGCGTACGTCTGCAACCAGGCCTCGGTCTCGGACGCTCTCACCATGTTCATGCCGACCTTGGATTCGTCCATCTCGTCGCTCTTCGAGAACATGACAGGTGGTGTCAACGCTCTGTGTGATGATTACCTGAGCGACTACGATGCGCTTTCGAGCGTCTGCGACGGCTGTGACCAAGCACGAAAGCTCAAGAACTTCTCGTCTTTGATCGACTGGACGAACGAACAGTGCGGGCCCACCAAGGACGTCCTGATCTGGTGCGGGTCTTTCCTCGCGTCGGGGAGCACCAACAGCTCAAGTGGAGAGGCTCCGTACTCGGAATGCCGCACAGAGTTCCTCAATCTGGTGGAAAAGTACGCACTTTGGCTGGGCATTGGCAGCATTATCCTGTGTGCCGGTGCCCTGATGGTGGTTACCTTCGCCTGCATCTTGCGGCACCGAGACCGCCGTCCACAAGCCCATGCAGCATACGGACGTTTCTAAAGCTGAGGCAATACCAGCCGGCATAGCGAACACCGAGCAGAGCCATGGCGAGGCCTGGACGCGTTGAGTCCACTGACACAGTCAAGTGGCTTTGGACGTGGGAGTTTCCCGAGTTGGGAATTGCAAGCAGATCAATTGAAACTTGATCATCAGCCATTCCCAAAAATCGGCAACTACGATCCGTCATGTTGTACCCGAAAGAATGCACCATGTAACGGCTGTTGACTTGAGTAATATAAGCAACCCAACCTGCCCAAATAATTTCGCGGTACGTAGTGACATGTGCCATTGACAAGTTACACCACGCCTTCTAAGAGCCCAGGGCTCGGGGAGCCCGAATGTTATCTGAACGGGGCTCTCATGAAATTTGCGAGCCCGAATGTTGCTCGAACCCGGCTCCCCTATATTAAGTACGAAGACGAGGAGCCCTCCTCGCGGGCTCCTCATTGGCTCCCCTTCCAGGCTCCTCAAATTTAGATTCAAAACTTGACGGGCTCTTCGGATCCTTTTCTGATTGGTTAATCGTAACTAAACTTCTTCACGAGAATTCTCGCTCGAAGATCACAATTCTAAAGACTCCACAGCACCATATAGGTATCCAAGCAGCTATCATCGCCCCTATATCATCCTAAACTCGTGGATTCCCCCTTCGTGCCCTTAATGGCACGGCTTTCGTTCCTATGACCTCTAGGACAGAACTTGAAGGGTCATTATTATAGCCAATCATTTGAGAATTATATAACACCTGAGGTGGGGAGCCCTTAACACGGGCTCTCACAGTTTTGGAGGGCTCCTTTTACTTAACCTATTTAACACAGGAGCCCAGGAGCCGGGGCTCCCGACTTTTCGGGCGCCCGGCTCCCCCCAGGGCTCCTCACTATCCAGGTCATTCTTCAATTCCCAGACCGAGTGCCACCATGAGGGTCTGTCAATGCTTGGGCCGATGCGCGACCCAGCTCATCCTGGTCGCCATTAACTGCGTGCTGGCGCTCGGAGGCGCCCTCGTCCTATATGTGGGCATCTACACGCGCCGCGCCGGCTGGGTGGACGTCATTTGCGGCTACTGGTCTAACATCGACGATGCCGTGACTGCGCTCATCGTTGTGGGCGGGGTGATCATCGGACTGGCCGTGCTGGGCTCCATCGCAGCGCTGTGTCGCTGGCGCTTCGGTCTCTGCACATACGCGATAGTCGTGCTGCTGTTCCTGATCCTGTTCCTGATCGTGGCCATCGCCGCCTTCGTGCTCATGGCCAAAGCCGACGACTGGAGCAACAAAGAGTATCCTGCGGAGAGCATGGAGGAGACCGTGAAGAGCGACTTCGACACGGTTTACTGCTACGCCCAGGGCGAGTACATCTGCAACGAGGCCTCGGTGTCCGAGGCGCTGAACATGTTTGCCCCGGAACTCGACTCGGCGATCGTGGATCTGTTCGAGAACATGACTGGCGGCGTGACCACCTTGTGCGACGACTACCTCGGCGACTACAGCGAGCTGGAGAGCCTCTGCGACGGATGCGACAAGGCGCGCGAGTTCGAAAACTATACGACGGTGTTCGACTGGGCCAACGACCAGTGTCCCCGCACGAATGAGACGATGTGGTACTGCGGCGAGTTCCTAGTCTCGGGCTCGACGAAGAACATCACGGTTGGCACGGCCCCGTACACGGATTGTCGCCCCGAATTTTTGGATCTCGTGGAGGGCTACTCGATGTATCTGGGCATCGGCAGCGTGCTCGTATGCGTTGGCGCGCTCATGATCATCATCTTCGCGTGCTGCTTGCGTCGCAGGAAGCAGCTCGGCAGGAGCGTCGTGCAGGTAGAAGACGACCCGCTCACCCCATCAGTGGAGAACCCAAGATTCCACTACTCCAAGGCGTAGAAGACCCTAGCAACCGACTATTGTACGAATATTCAATCGTAATTCATCACTTCATAACAAAAAAAACGACCGCGCGTTGAAACTGAAGTTGCTATTTGATCATTGAAAGATATTATAGCTGTTCTGTCAAGGCGAGCAGAAGTTCTCCCATTGCTACAGCCCCTGCATTATGAAAACCGGTACAGGTACGTTAGGTTGCTATGAGCACAGCATTCGTGAATGGATTTGTACTCACCAGTGCACTGCTTGTCGTACATCCCAAACAGTGCGGTAATCTACAGTAATGAATGTTGGTTACCAGGTTCCAATCTTTGTGCTCGTAATTCTTACCTGATCATCGGTGAAGACACAGGCGAGGTCTCGAAGCGCTTCCTTCAGCTGTATCTTGGTCATGAATCCGTGATCTGAAGTAGTAAGGATAACAGTTAGCTTCCTCGCACATTTCATGGTACCTCTTCATCAAACTGCAGCTTACTCCTGCGCTCGTGCTTTTCAAAACTTCTCTTCACAGCTTGCAGGAGATCCGTGCGCTTAATGTATCTTTGCCATACAGTATGTGCGGCTGTAGTCCATAGTCGAAGAGCTGCTTGGTCTCCGCCGATGCGCATGATAGCCTGGTGATATTTTGCCTGAAGAACCGGATCAACACCTTTTATCTTGTTCCTTGGATTCGTAGGTCGCTGGTGCTCCTGGGTCTGGTTGGTAGATTGGCCAAGTTTGCTTCCTGCTGAGTGGCCCAATGCTGGTTTACCGTGAGATGGTTTGTTTTCACCATATCTCTCACTACTATCAACGGGATCGGGGGGTGCCGCGAAATTGCCATAGCCACTTGCATCGTCAAATTTGCCGTATCCAGAGCGAGGTGACAATCCCCCAGGAGGTTCAGCAAACGCTCCATACCCACTGGCATCGTCAAATTCTCCGTATCCTGACCGTGGTGACATTCCTCCTTGCGTTGGGGGTGCAGCAAACGCTCCATATCCGCTAGCGTTGTCAAACGCATCATAGCCAGACCGAGGTGACATGCCTGCAGGAGGAGCGGCAAATGCACCGTATCCGCTAGCATTGTCGAAAGCTCCATAGCCCGATCGTGGAGACATTGCTGGCGGAGCTGCAAATGCTCCATACCCGCTAGCGTTGTCGAACGCCCCGTAACCCGATCCAGCTGACATTCCTCCTGGCGGTGCAGCGAAAGCACCATATCCACTCGCGTTATCAAACGCGCCATAACCCGACCAAGGTGACATGGCAGGTGGAGCGGCAAAGGCCCCATACCCACTAGCATTGTCAAATGCCCCATAACCCGATCGAGGTGACATTTCACCCTTTGGTGGGGCTGCAAACGCCCCATATCCACTGGCATTTTCAAACTCACCATATCCTGATCGAGCTGATAGATTGCTACGAGCTGGCGGGGCAGCAAAAGCGCCATACCCACTTGCGTTGTCGAAAGCGCCGTAACCGGATCGCGGTGACATTCCTTTGTTACCTGGGGGAGCAGCAAAGTTTCCGTATCCGCTGGCATTGTCGAATTGCCCGTATCCAGATCGAGGTGACATCCCCACCGCTTTGGCGGCTCCTGATGGCTTGGGGGGACGATTCTTGTCGTCGGCGAAATAAACTTGACGCGGTTGGGTGCTCACTGGTCGAGCTTTCGTCGACGAGAGGGGCAACGCACGCTCTGCTGACCGTGTCGCGACCGCCAACCCCTGCGTGAACGTAGTGCCAATGCGGTCTTCATCGTGGCGAAGGTGGCCTCTATAGCCGAGAATCGGTGGATTTCTCTTCTTCGGTACATCGTCGGATTGGTCGTCTTCGGGAGTGTACGGCACGCAGCCCGTGTACGCGTGCTCCGGTTGAGCCACCTTCTTCATTACGCGACGTTCCTGGATGCTGGCGAATTGGTTTGGCGCTGCTACATTGGCACCTTTGACAGGTCTGGAAGCCTTGATACCATAGTTGGTGCGTCGGTCGAGAGCCATGCTTGGGTCTTGAGCGGGGACAAAGCAGTTGTGAGTGATAGATTCACTAGTTCATTGCATCGCGTTTGCTCGTATATATAGGAAAGCAGCACAAGTTCCCAAGAGGAAAACCGTTGCCTTGTGCGATGCAGCAGCAAGGAGAAGAAGTCGAGAACCTTTTTATTCATTTTGATGAAGTATATGCAGGTATCGAGAAGCTCGCTAACTTTCCCGTCTTCGGCTGTAAACGCAGCCATAACTCTCTCCTGGCGCTTATTCGCATGCGAGCTTTGAGTCGAAGCTGCTGAGTGTGATGGCGAAGGCCTGGAGGGGGCAAAGTGGCCATCGGAAGTCCATAGTGAAGAGGTCCTTGCCGACTCGGCCGAACTGGAGCACGACCGTCTCTTGGTCCTCCGGTGTCACGAGCTGGAAGTTCTTGACGGAGGCCATGGTCACGCGGCCGTTGAAGTTGAGCACGTACGCGCACACCTGGTCGTTCCAGCGCGGCGGCTTGTTGATAAGGTACGTGAGGTTGGTGTGGTCTTGCTCCTTGCACTTGTTGACCATCTCGTCCTCCTTGTTGAGCGGTCTCCACACTACGCGCGTGCCATCTTCACGCACTCGCGGCACGCAGACCTTCATTTTCCGCGGCCCGCGGTGGCCCAGAACGTTGGCTGCGTACATGGCGATACCCAGCTCCTGACGGATGCCCGCGGGGTTGCTAGTAATCGTCTGTTGGTCGGCATCTTTCGGGTTTGACCCGTTGTCGTAGATGGTGAACTCTGTTCCCAAGAAGTTTGCGCGCAGCTTGCCCACGTAATTGTCACTGCCCCGACGCAGCAAGTCGCCGCGCTGTAATGAGATCAAGTAGTTGCTCGTGCGGTTCTTCGGACGCTTCTTGGCTGTGAGCAGGAAGCGGTCGCCCTCCTTCATGTACAGACAGTACTCAGGGAACATCTTGTTGGCGCCTGACTTGTTGCGCTCAATGTAGCACTCCACCACGTCGTACGCCTTGGGAATGGGGCGCATGATGAAGGCGCGCATGTCCGTGATGTCAAGCTTCGGCTTCCGCACGTTCGCAGCGGCAGCGCGCGCTCGGTCCGCGTCGCGACCATTCGACGACGGATCGTAGGAAGTCGGCGCGTTGCGGTTGCGATCATCGTCCGACGAGGCATCCGACGCCGACCTGGACTGCGACCGGGATCGAGAACGAGATCTCGAGCGCGAACGCGACCGGGAATGCGAGCGTCCTCTTGCCTGGAAGAGTAACAATGTACATCCACAAAGGATCATTACACGTTCTACAGCAACAACGACGCAGAAACTTCAAGCTAATACTTACGCTACGAGTGAATCCTCCACGTCCGCCAGAGCCACCGCGGCGATCATCATCGTCGTCATCACGCCTGCAGCGGAAAATAACAATGCATATCTATCAGATCCGGCACAAAGTATTGTTGCACATATTGTGCTATGTTGCATACCTGTTCGTTGATCCGCGCTTGGTGTTCTTGGGTGGCGCATCGTCGTAGTTGCTACGCCGAGATCCACCTCGCGTTCGAGAGCGATCGCGATCCGAGTCATCGCTGTCGCTTCGATCACGGTCGCGACCTCGGCCACGCTCCCGGTCGCGGTCTTGGTCGCGCGAGTATCCGCGATCGCCCCGGCCGCCCCTGTCGCGGTCACGGTCTCGGTCGCGGCTGCCTCCTCGGCCGCGGTCTCGATCGTAGTCGCGGTCATAGTCTCGGCCGCGATCACGGTCTCGGTCTCGTTCCCGATCACGATCGCGGTCTCGATCCCAGTCGCGAGAACCCCCGGGGCGGCTCGGGCGCCGGTCATCATCGTCATCGTCGTCGTCATCGCGGCTGCGTCGGGAGTAGGCTTGCCCCCCTGAACTACCACGGCTATCGACGTTTTGGCGCGATGAACCAGCTCGACGCACCGAAGGCCGACCCCCAGTAGCATCATCGTCTAGCTCGTCATCGTCACGACCAAAGCGCCTGCAGTGGCAGTCAAATGAACAAAACCGACACCGTCAGAAAAGGGTAATAGTCACACCATGGTGGAGAAAATGCACGTACGAGGGTCTCTCATCCACGTCCATTGAGCGCGGAGCGGAGTACTGCTTAGGGAGTGAAGTGCGCACCACACCTTCACACACCAACCACACAAGCAAATTAGCACACTAAAGCCAACATGATCTCGAGTCTCAACCGCAGCCTCACCCCCGCCCATGCGTTCCTGGAGCTTCTTCTTTTGCAGCTCGCGCTGCTGCTGAATGACGCTGGAGCGCGCGCCCGAGAGGTACTCGGCGCCTCCGACCTCTCCTTCCAGATCGTCGTCGTCCTTGAGTGAGTTCGGGTGGGCGGACATGCCGCCGCTGCCCGTGCGGTGGTCGTCCAGCGTGAGCACCTCCACCGCGTCCGACACCTCGTCGTCGCGCCCTCCCTTCCGCCCCCTCGACCCGCCACGGGAGGGGGCGTCGTCATCGAACGACGAGCCGTTCATGAACATGCTGCCTGCGTGGCTCGTGCCAGCTCGTCACGTGTGTACCAACCCTTGCTTCGGACTCGTTTGCTAGAGGCGAAACCCCAACTAGCCGCCGACCGGAGGGCGGAGACGGAAAAGGCACCTCCAACGGTGCAACCGCCCCAGCCTCCCGTTCATGACGTAGAGACCCACGACCCCCGCCTATTCCTGGAGTCGTTGAAGCCGTTTCTTCATGCGACGCAGCTCCGCCCGAACTCCGAAGGGCGTTGGCGCGTGTCGAGCAAGCACACCAATGCAGGTATTATAGATCAATGGCGATGGCATCAAACGCCAGCATCTCAATAAGAATAAAAAAAACAAGAACTTCAGCTTCAAAAACAAAAGGTTGCCTTTTTACCGGTATACCGCTACCACCGGTATTCTCAAACGACCGATTCAGTATGCGCTTGCGTAGTTAATTCGAGGCGGTGGAGCTGCCGGGGCCAAAAATCTGGACTAATACACGACGTCGAAGCTGCTGGCGAGTGCTTGTGTGGCATGGTGTTCTCGCGCGAGAAGCTGGAGAAGCTGCTGCGGCAGGCCAAGGTGACGACGCAGAGCATCCAGAAGGTGTCGCAGTGGATGCTCAACTACCGGCAGCACCTGCCCGAGATGGTGGCGCTCTGGAGCGACCACATCCGCGAGGGCGACGCCGAGCACCAGATCGTGTACCTGTACGTGGCCAACGACGCCATGCAGGTGGGCGTGCGCAAGTTCGGGCGCCACATCGCCGCGGCCTTCGAGGAGAAGCTCGTGGACATCGTGCAGCTGGTGATGCGTGACGGGGAGGAGAAGGTCAAGCGCTGCGCCATCAAGATCGTGGGCATCTGGAAGGAGCGCGGCGTCGTCACGCCGCCCATGCTGGCCATGCTGGAGAACGTCTGCGCGGGCAAGCCGCCCATGTACGAGCTTGATCATTGCAGCACTGGATAGAGCGCGGGTTTCTAATGGTTGTACGTGTTTTTCGCGCAGAGAGGTCGTGCCGGAAGCCGACGGCAAGGCGGAAGAGGACAGAGCTAAGCTCCTGCAGGAGATGGCGAGCGATAGCGCTGTGGAGCGCGTTCTGGAGGACATGCCCGAGGTGGTGGAGTCCGTGGCCACGACGCGCCTCGCCGCACACTTGCAGGAGCTGGTTAACGCCACGATCAGCGCCGATATGCTCAGTGACAGGATGTTCCAGTTGGAGTCGAGTATCAGTGTATTCCACCACGCCTGTGGCGAGCAGGATGAAGAAGAGGACGACGTTGTCGTGGTTGGAGAGGAGGAGGACAAGACGTTCCCGACGGTTGGCGGAATTGCATGGGGCAAGATGGACCAGCAAGTGTACGACTTGGACGTGGACAACAGTCGCGGCCACGTGGAGCAGTACCGCAAGAACCTGACGGAGCAGACTGCCAAGCGCGAGATGCTGATCAAGGAGCTGCGTGGCTTGGAGGTGATGGACTTGTTCTCGTTCCCTCCGGGCTCGACGAATGAAATGGAGGCAGAGCAGCAAGAGCGAGCGCTGGAGAGGCTGTATGCCGCCGCGTGCGAGGCGGAGACGCTGGAGCTGAAGCAGTTGGAGAAGCAGCGAGCCGAGTTCCGTGCGAGACAAGCGTCCATCGCTGCCTCTGCGTCGGATCCCTTGTATTCGTCGTACCAACCAGTCGAGGACTCCTACCGTCCAATCACCCCGACAACGTCGAGCCGTGACCGCAGCGACAGTGGGAACAGTCATCTGGGATACCGCACGTCAACGTACGACTATGGCCAGCCCCAGCACTCGTCGCCTACTCTTCGTCGCCACAACAGCGCCTCGGCCGTGACGGATCGAGGCTATGGAGATGATCGGTACAACAACGATCATCACCATTATGGTGGACCGCAAAACGACCGATACGGCGTGGATTCCCCTTCGATGAGCAAGCGGCCGAAGCTGCACCACTCGCACAGCATGGAGTCGCAGAATGTGCAATGGCAGGAGGCCTCTCGCTACTCTCCCCCTCGAGGCGGGTTCCAGCCGAACCCGTACGCTGCAGTGGAAAGGGAGCAGCCGTCGTACTCGCCTCGAGACAATCGCTATTCTCCAAGGGACCAGTACCATGCTCCTCCTCAGCCACCGCGCCAGGGTCGCCGCTCTCGGTGGGACTCAATGCCGGAGGAGCGCTACAACAAACACTACGAAGACCGGCGATGGTGATCGTCGTCGCCGTCGCCATCGCACGCGTACCGTCCTTCCTAACAGTATTATTATTATCAGTATCAGCGCTGCGTAGCGCGAAGTGTAGCAAAAACAACAAAGCTTAAGCTTGACCTTGTAGGCTACGCTGCTGCTTCGCCTCCGCTAGTGCGATACTCCTTCTGGTATCAGGTTGGAAAGAGACGACGTCGAGCTTGCATCATTTTTCATGAGGACGCACATCACTACCAGAGACAACAACTGACACAGCCTTCCGAGGTGAGTGAACGTCCTAATCAAATCATATATTTTCCCTTCTTGCAGTTGCTGTGTGCAGGCTTACGACCCAAACCTTTCAAAATTCCCTGAACTTCCTGCAAGCAGCCACGCCAATAGAATAAACTCGCCTTGTGTTGATCACCTCACCCATTCAGACAGCTAGTTAAAGCTCCACGATATCCCCCTCCACTTCAACCAGTTCTTGTCGAGGGGCAGGAAGCGCAGTCCGAAGCGGCATCGACCGTGCAAGCATTGGTTGGTCCTGCTCCTTTCCAGAGCCAGATCCAGAGCTCGACGACAGACTCAACGACGAAAACGGCACCTCCTTTTGTGGCTGCACAGGGGACGGGGAACTCGTTTCACTAACCAAAGACGCCTCCGTCGACGTTGCTGCTTTCTCCTCCTTTTTCTCAAATGGTTGCTTGTCCTGCACCTCCGAGTCCTTAGTGCGCTCTTGTACTTCAGAAGCATCGGGCTTCTCCTCTGTTTCATCTCCAGAAACCTCGCTGTCCTCCAGCTGTTGATAACTCGTTGAGAGTTCACTTGCCTCACTGATAGTTGAAGAATGACGCGGTGAGTTCACGACGCCCTGGCCGGCAGCAATCAACCGGCCAACTGGCGCCTCTCGCGCTTCCTCCTGCCGACGCGAGGCCTCGCTCTCCTCTTGTCCGCCCTTCTTCCCTCCGAAAAATCCCATAAACGAGCTCGAGATGGACGACGCGAGACGCGTCATGTGGAAATTCGTCACCTCGCCAACCGAGGGCGACGCAAAGTATGTGTGGCATGAGCCACATCGAAGACACGCCGTCGCGGGCGGCACGAAGCACACCACAAAGCACCCAGGACACTTGACGTGGATGTTCACGCCCATATCTCGAGCCAGGAAGTTGGTGCTGTCCCTCAAATCCGTGCTGATTTTATCCAGCGTCGATCGAATAGTGTAGTCGCACTGCACACACGTAAGGTTACCTCCGTCGTTCAGGAACCCACACCGAGAGCAGAAAATCTGAGCCGGTGCTGCCGTCGTCACAAGCGAGTAGAACGGAAGACGACACTGGGAACACTCCTTCACTGCTCGTCGGTTCTCCGTGCCACTGTATCAAAGCATTCGATTAGCGAAACACAATAGAACTTACAAATAAAAATAAATAATTTTTGCATCTTACCAGCCTCCGCATTTCCAGCTACCGTCCGCCTGCACATCATGCGTCGGCGGCTTCATCTCCGCTCTGCAATCAATACAACAAATAGAACAAATAGAATAATGAGTAAACATTTTCTAGTATCTATGCCGAGGTAGAAAGACGCCAGTAAATGCAGTTGATGCCGATAATAAGTACCCGCACATTCCGCAGTTGGAGACGTCGGGGGCGTTCAGGAACGTGCTGCACCCGGCAACAAATATTAGTATTAGTCAAACTATTATTATAATTAACTAGGCGATAGTGCAATACGAGGCGTCTTACCACGTGGCGCAGGCGACCTGAATGCCCTTCCCGCCCGCCACGGTCTTGTGCTCGAACGTCCTGCAGCGATTAACAGTGCGAATTAGCATCAAAACCACCGCGATTTACCGTCATACACACGTCAGGTACAAGCGCAAGTTTGCGGTGGCACTTACACGCGCTGGCTGCTCTCCATCGCTGCTACAGCGATAGACTGGGGCGCGTCTTGGGGCCTTCCACCTTCCTTCGCTTCTGGGTTCGAGCTGACAGTTAGAGACGTGGTAGTGACGGATGTCACTATCACGAGGGTTATGGGTACAGTGTACCAGTTGACTTCAACATCGGCGACCTTTAGTGCGCAAGATTTGAGTCGCAATGCCGCCCAAGAAGCTGCCGTCCAAGCTCACGGCGCAGGGCTCGACGCTGAACCCGCCGCCCACAGCGCGCAGCTACCGGCAATCACTGCGGACCCCAGAATTGCCAGAGTCGGATACGATTCCTCCATTGTGGACGCCCAATGCCACTCCGACCGAAGTTTTCCCGGAATGGACAGACCCCGCAACGCTACGTACGCACGGCATCGATTAATTTACTGTGCGCCTCTAATTATTTTACTTATTTTTAAAAAAATACTATATTTTTGCAGCATCGGAGCATTGGGGCACGGCGGAAGAGCCTTTTGAAGATCCGCTGACGCCTGACAAGCTCCTTGTGCCAATGGAGGTCAGTGGTTGAGCTATTAATTATTAATTTTGTTTTTTTTTCTTAGTTAGTGTGGGCTATTGGATCCAGGCAATCGGCTACAAAGAGGAGATCACGTGGAAGCGTCCGTGCCAGTTCCTGCCAGTCATTGTGGATTTGCCGGTGGTGCCTGCCGCGCCTCCTCCTCCAGTCCCAGAGCCAAAGGCTGCAGGGAAGAAAGGAGCTGCGCCTGCAGCGAAGAAAGGAGAACCGGAACCCCCGAAGAAACCCCCTCCGCCCAAGCACGCACACGTAAAGTTTGCATCTGTATTCACTAAATTGCTCACGGTGTAGAGGTCTAACCAGGGTTTTATTTGTTTTACAAAATAGGTGTTTCTCCCCAGGTCAAAAGAAAAGGATTATGGATTTCTGAGAAGCGAGAAAGCAGGATCCACCGTGTCTGCCACAGCCGCGGCTCCATCGACGGCCGCAGCAGCGTCGGATCATCATCACGATCAAGAATGGCGGATTCCTCGAGATTTTCAGCGGCGCTGGAGTCCAGAACAGCTCGATGCACTTCAAGCCTGGGGCAGAGAGGAAGAGCGAATCGAGCGTGAACAGCAGAACCGAGAGCGGGTGTACATGGGCTTCGAGGATGCCATCGCGTACATTGTCAACGAGCGCCCTCGCGATCTTCTGGCTGAAGTGGATTTTGACGCGGACGATCTGGTGGACGACGGTGAGGATGAGGACGAAGCCATTACAGGAGACGTAGATGTGAGCAATGCCACGTCTCCTTGGGGTGTTGTGCCGCCTCCACGAATTGAAGTCGCTCCGAATTCCGTGTACAAGCCTGAAATTCCCCATGGAGAGATCGTTCACGCGGATATGGCATCCTACTTCCGAATTGTGGAGCAACTCTACAGCTCCGGTGAAGAAACTGCTAGTGTTGTTCCCAATCCAGCACCATTTCTGTGGCAAGCGATCTACCCGCAGGACAGCTCAGGACACCCAGCGTATAACGCTGGAGGGAAGTACAGCGTGAAACTATTTGTCTTCGGCCGATGGCGTCGAGTTGACGTGGACGATAAGTTGCCGGTGGATTCCGAAGGGAACGTCATTTATCTCGCCAGCTCCATGAAAAACGAGATTTGGCCGTCGCTACTGGTGAAAGCGCTGTATAAAGTGATGCATTGGCTGCATCCGAACTGCAATCAGAGCGCAGAACCCGGCAGCAGAAGTGGTAGCTTGGTCGATGGTATGTGCCAAACCATGGTGCAGATTATGCTGGCACTCACGAGCTGGAAAGTGTCGCGGTGGGAGCCGGGCATCAGCCAAAGTTTCAGCGAGAATATTTACCACCAGCTCCAACAGGTAAGCTCCTGACCGTGAATTTTTCCTTAAAAACCTGTAAATTCTCACTTATAGTGCGGTTGGTCTTCTAGTTTGTGCCACGTACTCAGCAGGCAGAGCAAACCGACGAGTCCAATGAGGTATCACTGGAAGCAGACATTGCTGCTGACGGTACAGCAGAAGTACCACCAGCAGTGGAAGAGATCGATGATACATCAGAAACTCAAAGCCTGTCCAAGGTAAGCAATACTTTTCCGTTCACCCGCTGCGTTATATGCAAGCTCACTATGACCCTGTCTGCAGCCTCGAGCTGTTATTTGTTCAGCAGGCCAAGACAGAACTGCCGACTTGATATTTGGCGAGGCTGTATTGGTGAGTGACGTCGTGGGCGACACAGGAAACACTACATTCAAAGTGGTCCGCCAAGGTGCCCCAGCAGCAATATCTGAGGAGGTCCATGGAGTCAACGACCTGGTTTTCCTGTTGGTTCATCCACTACTCCAATACTCCGACACATTTGTCCGTGCCTGGAAAGGTGTCAATGATACGAGCTCATCCCTCGTCCCGTTCGAGACTCCGCGAGTCCAGTTCGTGGTGGTGACGATGCAAGACCCTGTAGTTGAGCAGCCTGCCGGCGACAGTTGTTCAAGTGATACCCCTCATAAATTTGTGAATCTTGTTGCCACGCTTACACCTGTTCAGGTTCCAGAGAAACCCGATCAAAGCGTCGACAACCTGAACAAACCATCAGCTTTGATGGCGACTCACCTCGCCGTTGATCCCAACGGCAGCGTGATCCTGATCGAGGAGAAGGAGAAGAAGAAGAAAAGCTCACGGTCTTCGTTGCCTGCTATCGTAACACTGAACTCGATATTCTCGGGCTACATCAGCATTCCGGCCGTGGATGCAGGTAACATCGTGTACCGCATGTATCCGCAAAAGACTCTGCGGTATGGCTACAGCGTGCAAGTTGAGTCGGATTGCAAGGTTTCGTTCCAAGACGCACCTACGTATTGGCGCAGTTTGAGTCACCTTCGCGTCATGGAGTGCGATGGAACGTACCCAGTCATGCTGCCCGGATCGTGGAATATTCTCTTCAAGCAGAGCTTTGAGCTGACCCCACTGACTGACGAGAACGGAGAGAAGTTTGCATCTCCGCCTGAATTGAGGATTGATCTTCACCTTACAGAGGAACTTCTGAGCAACTTCACGCATATTTCTGTTGTGAATGACGCCACTGGTGAAGTCAAGAAGGCAACCACGCTCTGCTCCAAGATATCTCTTCCAGCTGCTTCAAACGATGGGGTATACTCGTCCACAGCCTACACGTTGATCGTCGACTGCGCTCCTGGCAACTTCCACGCTCGTGAAGGCAAGTGGAAACTCACTCTGGCTAGCGACTGGGATGTCGCCAAGCCAACTACTCATCAAATGAAGTTGACCCGATTCGAAGGAGTGTACGAACCCAACAAGCCGCTATTGTGCTTCCGAGACGTGATCATGGCACCAAAGCAGTCAATCTGGACCAGCTTCCAGCTCCAGCTCCTTCAGGACGGAGCCGTTGTGACTCATCTCGCTGCGAAGCTGGAAGTCTTCGACTTTGGCGCCGAGCAGAACCCCAAAATAGGTGAAGTTAGTGCCAAGGGCGACGTTCGCCTCCTGCAGCTCCCGTGTTTCCCTGCTGTTGATATCAGCCAACCCCCAGCAGCAGATGATAAGCGCGGCTATATCCTTCAAGGTAGCATCGACCGCAGCACCTGCATTGTACCGGGCGAGCTGCAGTCGCTGCGTCCGTTCCGAAGTAATGCAGGTCGCACGCCTCCAAAGGAAACAGTGACTACGACACCCGTTGACGAGAACGAGCCGTCAGAAGCTGCAGCGCCGTCGGGAGAGTCGACGACACCTGCAACAGCTCGTTCTTCCCGTGGCTCAAGCGGCATCAAATGGCGAGTCAATTGCTGGAGCACCGAAGAGGTCAAGTTGCTGGACGACAACACCAAGGAGCTCCAGTACGACGCCATTCGAGCGTCCTGGGCGGAAAAGGCCGTGGACCGCAACACGAACGGAGCCGTGTCACGCTTGCTGTACCTGGGCAAGCTGGACGAAGCGGAGGCGAGGATGAAGCAAGACAACATGACAGACGAGCAGATCGCCAAGGTCAGAGGCCGCTTCGAGTGGGTTCAAGCGGTCAAGAGCAAGGTCAACGCCAGTGAATCGTATCTGGAGGAAGTTGGCACAGGCGACGAAAAACTTTTGTCGGAGGACGAGCTCAATGAGAGCAGACGCCTGTTGTTAGAGCGGATTGGTGTCGTCGAGGCGGACAAAGAGCAGCGTCGAGTGGCTCGCGCTCTGGCCAAGGAAGAGCGAGCCAAAGAGCTGAAAGACATGGTTCGATCTGTCATCGAGAAACGCGGCGCCTCGCTCGAAAGACAGCAAGAACTGAAACGAGAACTTGCAGCGGTGCAGACCCGATCAGCCTAAAAACTGCCTGGATACATCATACATCAGAAACGTACGAACACGGCAGTCGTTTGGGGTTAACCATTCATCTGTGAGCTTCGTTATTTTCCTCAACTTTCCTCCCCAATTTTAATTCCTGGGGAGGCGCTCACTTTAGTACGTCACTTGATTTTCCTATATGCATGGGGGTCGCTCGCTTCCTCGCTTCGGGTCGGTTCATTTCGCGTTCTTTTTTGTCCTCTTGTGTCGCTCCAATGGGTCGGGAGTGTGCGTGACCTTCCACTTGAACCACCACTCCGAGTCCGTCGCAGCTCAAAGAGCACTGGAACGCTAACTAGCTACGAGGCGGAGCTAGCTAGCTACCCCTGGGGGTCTTCTGAATTTTCTTGTTTTTTGTTTCTCTTACTGCATTTCGCATTTTTCGCTCTCCCTGGTGTGCTTCAAAAGTTGTAATTTCATTTTCAATTTCACTTGGTGGCGGGGTGTGCAATTTGTGCAGTTTGCAATTTCGCTGCGGACCTCTTCATTCAACTGGCCTTGGACTTTTGTCCATTTCTCCGTCTTCATCCTCTTCATCTTCATCTTCACCTTCTTCAAACTTGTCTTCAATCTTCAAATCTTCAGTTTTTTTAGGTCACTTCAAAACTTCATCGTGACCATTCTTCACTTTGTTCACTTCTGTCGGTCGCCCATATCATCTCGGTCGCCGCGCAGCCGATTCTTTTATCGCTCGAGTCTCCATTCTGCTCGCGTCTTTATCATGTAGTAATTCCACTTCGCGTATTGTGTCTCGTTACAAATACAAATCCTCGGTCCGCCCGACGATCTTCCATCCATCCACTTCTGCTTGCGGTCCATTACCGCCGTCCGCCGCATCCGACCGTGAATCAAATTTGTACAACCTCCTGGTCCGTGTGGCATCCAGTAGCAGCGTCAGTGCGAGCAAGTCAGGATGGATAGATGCCTAGAACAGCTCAGTCTTGGTAATCGCCCCGCTTACCCGTCCGTCACAGGGCATGCTGGGGGCAGGAACCGAGCCAGAAAGCATCATTGACGATGTCATCGCGTAGCTGTTGGCAGCAGCAGCGGCGGCGGCGGCCTGTTCCGCGGCTCTCTTTCTCTCGGCTCGAGCTCTGGCAGCACTGGTGTTAGCATTGACAGTGATGACCGGAGGCGGAGTCGTGCTCACAGTTCCGGGCGGCTGGGCAGGGTGGCGCTCGAAGTAGTGCTTGGTGCACATGTTGTCGATGCGTCCGGTCTTGGAGCACTCCGGGATGATGCACTTCTTGTCGGCGCCGTGAGTCACGCAGTAGCCTGCACGACGATCCGTCTTGTTGCACCCTTCAACCATGCATCGACGACCGCCACCGTGCGCACGGCACAGTCCGCGACCCTGAGAGCTCTTGGTACAGTTAGGAACAGTGCAGCGGCTTCCTCCTCCGTGCAACTTGCACAGTCCACGTGACTGCGCCGAGTTGTCGCATCCTTCATGCTGGCAACGCTTGCCACCGCCGTGACTGATGCAGAAACCTCCACCCTGATCGCTGAGACCACACCCGGCGTATCCGCAACGACGGCCACCTCCGTGACCCTTGCAGAGACCGCGAGAGCGCACCGTGCGATCACAGCCTGGCACGGAACAGTCTTTGAGCTTCTTGTTCTTGCGAACACGCCCTCCGCTGCTCGAACCCGACCGAGTAGACGTCGAGCCACGCTTCTCGCCACTCAAAGTCGTTGCACCCAGGCGGTTATCAACAATGCGCGTGTCGATCGGAGGTGGGCGTCCACCTGGTACGGCATTGTTCACCTGCAAGATGTTGATTCCCGTCACTTGTGCTGATCCCACAGAACTCGGCGAAATGGACACCGCGTTGCCGCCGCTGGCAGTGGCGGAGCTGTTGTTAATAGCCCCACCACTGTTCAAAGACAGCTCGTTCTGTCCCGTCGTTAGTCCAGAAACCGAGACACTGTCACCACCGAGACCATAGCTGACAGGGGTCGCTTGAGGGATGCTCGTGATACTATTTGACGCCTAATGCCCACAGAACCAAGCATGTGAATACCTCAACACAATTTTGACGAGATTAAACTCAACAAGCAAACGTACCTGAGCGCAAATTGGGCACGTCGTCAATCCTCCCCACGACTGAAGACACTGGGCATGGAATCGGTGTCCGCAGTGACTAGCAACCCTGTCACTGTGGGCACCGCTGCACAAACTGCACGAGTCTTCACTGCTGGTGCTGAGCTGAGATGTCGGTGGTGCCAACGACGGCGGGTACAACGCGTTCGCATTGACCGATGTCGTTGTTGGACCATCCGAGCCAAGACTCACCATCGCCATGGACGTGGTGGAGCTCGCCACATCTGAGTAGAGCGTGGTCGGGTGCGTAGCACCAAGCGACTTCGCGACAGACTGCTGCTGCTGCATGAACGGCAGGTGGTTGCCATTGGACGAAGCTCCAGACGAGATATCCACGCCTCCGTCCTTCAACCGCGTCGTCAGGGAAGACCCTGGACCACTCGGACTGAACTGCGGCATGCGGGATCCAGCACTAAACATTCCACTGACGCCACTGCTCATGCCCCGTCCCATACTGGAAGAAGCAGCTCCAGTCCCGTTAGCATCGAAGCTAGTTCCCATTGCCGCGGCAGTTGGAGGCACCAGATCCAATGAACTGTGCTGCGTCGACGGCTCTTGTGTCCGCTGTTGCTGCTGCTGCACCTGCTGCGAGTAGTACGGAGCTCCACCGCCGTACATGTTGGAGCGCTGGTACATCGGATGCTGCTGCGAGCTGCTCGGAGTCGTCTTGAGCTGCACCACGTTGCCAGGACGCTCGACGCCGTGCACGTAGCCGCCGCTGGAGCTCAGGAACGAGTCGGTTGCCACCACATTGTACGGCTGCCTGAACTTGCGGTCTCCCGCGTCCTTGAGGCCGATATTTACGTGCTCGTGCGGCATGGCATCAGCAGGAGGAGGCGCCTGTGGGTTCGTGGCCGAACTCACCAGCATGCCCAAGGGATTTGACTCGCCGACTTGAGCGTAGCCACCATGGTACTGCTGCTGTTGCGGTTGTTGCTGTTGTTGTTGCTGCTGCTGTTGCTGGTAGTCTCCGGTGCTGCCGTAATTCTGCGCGTAGGATGGGTATCCGTATGGCGCAGCGTAGGACTGTTGCTGCTGATGCTGCGTCGAATACTGCTGACTCGGCGGCGTGTAGTCGAACTTGGCTCCGTTGTTGGTTGGCCGATTGTCCGCTGGGCTCTTGAGGTGCGAGAAGTTAGCTGCCGGCGCGTAGGGCCCCGCGTGGTAGTCGATCACCTGCTGCAGACTCTGCGGCGACTGGTACTTTGCCGACCCCAAGTTGTTGACGCCGACGCTGACTCCGCCACGAGGAGGAACTCCTTGCTGGAAGCTGCAAGAAATAAAATAATAAAACAATAACAAATGGATTAGCCACCAACCAATTCGAGCCCGGGGCAAAAAAAGTGTCGGAGCTCCAAGGCTTTTGGATGCTTTGGGCCTTCGTATGCATGCATCGTCCCCCATTCCTCGAGAGAATGGTCTTCCGTTCCCCTCGTCCCCGTTCTCCTTTTCAGCTGGTCGAGCCTGGGGTTGAGTGTAGACGAAAAGTTACCAACGGCCTTCCGTCTCACGAAGAGAGGGGAGGGGGGGGAAGGGGGACGGCCACGAACGAAGGCAGCCAGCTAGCTTTTCATCCCAAACAGCCTTGTCGCTCTTCAACTTGGGGCAGCCAAAAAGTGTAGGTACAGGTCAAAAGGTAGAGCAAGGGTAGGGCGCCCAACCTTTTGCGGTCCGTGGCGGCGAAGTTCACGACGTTGGCGTTCATGGCGAAGGCGTAGGAGGAGGGCGGGGCCAGCCCGCGCGTCTGCGCCTGCGCCTGCGTTGGCGCTGGCGGGGGCGCGGGATGGCTGGGTGTGAGCTCATTCATCTGCGCTCGCTGCGCCCGCTCGACGACGGAGAGAGGGGAGGGGAGAGGCCTTGAACTCGCTTCGGGCTGCTGCTGCTGCTGCTGCTTGGCTCGGGGCGTGCCGCGGGTGGCTGTTTTCTTGGCTGGCGTGGCGGCGGTCAAGTTGGCTCCGGCCGCTGGTGGGACGAGCGTAATAGTTGGCGAGGATCGGCTCTGTGTGTGTGTCGTGGGCTGTCTGCCGCAAGGGCGCGCCTGCCTTGTTTGGCGCGCGCGGGCGGGAGGGATCGATCGGAAGTTAGCGGGCTGCTGGGCGTGGCGTGCCTACGCTCTGGTCATTTGATTGCCGTAAAAGCGGCGAGCCTGGCCCGCCGCTGCCCAACCACCGCGCGGACACCTCGCACTTAGGCGGGAGCGAAGATCGCCTGCGCGCGGCTCTATCCTGGAATGCCGTTAAGCCCGGGGAGACCAGTGCACGGGTGCACATACACAGTCTCTTCACGCGAATAAGATTCGCAACTCGCAAAAGTCACTATACGCAGTTGGATAGAGCCACCCAGCTGGCGAGAAAACGTTCAGTTTGCCGCCAGCGCTCCAGCGGCCGCTTCTTCCAGGAAGGAAGAGCGGATAAGGGCGAGCTCCATGGCCGAGCTGGCGCTGCGACGCGCCCTCGTCGCAGCGCGGCACGAGCGCAGCGAACTCGCCATGGCGCGTGCGGCCCGAGTTCTTCATTCAATTGCTGCTACTCGGGCCCATGCTACTTTCGGTGCCAAGGGTAGTACAGTACTGTGTACCGCAGCCATGTGCTCGTCTGCCCCCCAAATGGCTGCATCCCTCAGGATCCCGCTTCTGCGCTGACAGGCATCGGCCGAGGCTGTCAGCGCTGCGGGCGCCGGTTTGCCGCACCGGGGGCGCGCCCCGCTGGCTTGTCTGCAGCCCTGCCCGCTGACGGCGCCGCCAGCGCAGCGCAGCTCGCGGCGATGAGCAGCGGTCGCGTGTTGCGGCGTTGCAAGGGAGTCAACTCGGCCCCAAGCAGCGGTCGCGTGTTGCGGCGTTGCAAGGGAGTCAACTCGGCCCCAAGCAGCACGCTGGACTAAGAAAATGCAAGTGTCGAGGCCGCGAGGCGAAATGGCTACGCCCCAGGTCCTTCCTCTATCTCTCCCGCGCGCTCACCGAAATTCGAACAGTATTTCGCCAGTGCTTGCCCGACACGCTCGAGCGGAGACCGTCCCGCTCGCAGCGGCTCAAGCAAAGGCTCCGGCGGCGAGGCGCAGTGAGTGAGCGTGCTGCGAGGATTAGAGACCAAAGCTGAGTTGCAGTTCTCGCCCATCAGCGGCTTCAGTCTTCCGCGCTGACAGCCCTGGACAGTTGGCTGGCTGGCTGATAGCAGCCTCGTCGTTCCAACGTAGCGGTGCAGGGACCGCTTTCGGTGTCCGATGGACAGCCCACGCGTGCACTGTAATGCGCTAGTGCGATCGCAATCATTTGAATTCGCGCCGCCATGCCAATGCAGACTTTCATGCCTAAGAGCGCACGGGAGCCCGTAATGTTCGTCCTGCGAACATGAGCGAGCACGGATAGTGCAACTATTGTGTGTGCGTGCTTCAGCTAGCGAAGGCTATTGCCCGCAGTGCCGGTGTTGCTGGCTGCAGCAGCGAAGTGGGGGCGGACCACGCCACGCGCATGTATCCGAGCCGTGTGCTTCTTCTGCCGGGCGAAAGAGTGCGTCCCGCAAGGACAGTGTCGACACTGGCGGCAATCGATTGCCAGCCAGCGAGCATCGAGAGGACAAACAAGGCGCCTGCAGCAGCGCCGATAGCGTTCGCTGTGTGCCATGTTTAGCCGCGGTGAACATGGCGCGATTTGATGCGGGAGCTTCTCGACCTCTGCATGGCTCGAAGACACCCAGCCAGGCATTCTGAATCTTCCCGGCCAGGCCGCGGGCCAGGATTTGCCATGGGTTCGTCCACCGAAATGCGAAGTTCATGAGGGAGTGTGCTGCACACCAACTACCTAGAATAGGTGCTTGTTTTATTTTGGGTCCTCGTCCTCAGTCAGGACATCTATCCGTTTAAATCCGTTTTCTTATCAGCCAATTACAGCTCTTCACCTACCCCTGAAATGTCGTCAGCCTGCGAAAAGTTATATTTAGACTGGCTGGCTGGCTGGCTACAAGGCCAAGATTCGCCCGCGGAGCCTCAAGTTGCCCGGTTTCCAGCCTGCGCCACGCACGCACACTCCCCAAGCTCCAGCGCCCCCAAGAACGCCCACCGTCCACCATGCCCCTCTCCTCCATCGTCGCCGCCGTGAGCAAGAACTCCACGGGCGCCGGCACGCTGGCCGTGCTGCCGCTGGTGCTCTCGTCCGCGGGCATCACCGGCTACGCGCGCTACGCCGCGTCGCACGCGCCCGCCGAGAACAAGACCAGCGCCGCCGTCGAGCACGAGCGGGAAGAGCAGCTGCACCAGCACGTCGCGCTGCCCTGGAAGGGCACGCGGTAGTTCTTCTCGAGAGAGAAGAAGAAGACTACATATATTTTTATGTGCGCGGCCCCCAGAAGAGCAATGCAGCGTCACCCCCTCCAGTCTACAAGCAAGCAGCAAAAGAAGAAGAGAGCGACCAAGCAGCTTTGGAGCCGCCCAGTCCGTTGCCCAGCTCGACGCTGGCGACACCATTTTGTATCTATTTTGACCGTTCGCCTCGGTCCGACCGAGCCGAATCCACAACAAGAACAAAAGAACGAGATCAGTTTTGCCCTCCACAAATTCGTCTACGTATCGATCACTTTCTCCTCCTGTGTCTCTTTCTTTCTTAGTCGATCGTGCAACTGTTGACACGCCTCGTCACATTTTTTTCCGGTCCTGGGGCTGCAGATCCAAAGTCGCGCCTTCTCGTCCCCTTGTGGCCAGCATGCTGGCGCCGCGCAAGACGCTCTACTCGACGCCGCGGAGCGCCTGCCGCCGCGCGCTGGAGCTCGTGCGCGTGCGCGCGTCCGACGTGGTCTACGACTTGGGCTGCGGCGACGGCCGCCTGCTGATCGAGGCCGCGCGCAGCTTTGGCGTGCGCGCAGTCGGCGTGGAGATCGACCCCAAGCGCGCGCAGCAGGCGGGGGACGCCGCCGCGGCCAGCGGCGTGGGCCACTTGGTGACGGTGCACCAGGCCAACGCGCTCGAGTTCGACATCCCCGCGGACGCCACCGTCGTCTTCCTGTTCCTCATCGGCCGCGGCTTGTCGTACGTGCCGGCCGGCAGCTGACAGGCAACCACGACCAGCTGCAGTAGACTAACCCAGTTGCTACATGTAACATTGACTGCAGGCTGGTGCGGCCGAAGCTCGAGAAGCTCACCAACTGCCGCGTCGTCACGTATTTGTATCGGATCCCGAACCTGACGCCGTTGGAGAAGCACCTCGTGCCGGCAAAGGAGCGCGAGCCAGAGGAGACCGAAGAGAAGACGGTAGACTCCGTGGACGTGGCATTCCCTGTGTACATTTATCACTTCCCCACGTCGCCGGAGTCCGCGCTGCACTTGCCGCAGTCGACGTGCAACTAACTAGCTAATGGGACCAAGACGAACGTGTTCATTTTAACATGCTTCTGTTCACTGCAGACTGATGCGGGGCAACAATTTGCTGCGCGCTTTGGGCTTCTGGTGTTTTGTAGGTGACAGACTGGAGGACGCGGCGCCGTAGGGCGCTCCGGACGCCGATGGAAGCACAACAGGACGCGACTGCTTTGACTTCTTCTTCTTGGCGCCAGCGCTTGGCATGGAGTTCTTGCGCGTCGACGGACTGCTGTTTGCACTGGTAGCAGGCGAGGCGGCGTTGTTCCTGGAGAAGGAGAGATGGCTGGTGCTACCCGACCGAGCCGACCATGGCGTACTTCGAGAGCTCAATGAACTCGAACGACCGCCGCTTGGTGCCACATCCATCGGGCTGCTGGGAGAACTGTCCCGACCATCAGCCTCTGGGGTATATGGGAGCTTCTCCAGCGGCAAGAGCGGGATTGCGTCGTCATCTTCGTCTGCGTGGTTGTCTTTGCTCGCTGCGTATCGCTCCTTATGCTGATGCTGAATCTTCGCCTTGCTCGAGCTCTTGCTGGACTTGGAAGTGGCGGCGGATGTGTTGTTGTTCTGGCTGAACTCGAGTCCGAGCTGAGCTTTGATGACCGCCATGGGCAAGTTCGAGAGCTCGGCCGACGTGAGCGGCTCGTTCGCGTAGAACTTGCGGTACTCCGCTGTACCCGCCGGCGACTGACTCGAGACTGGTCGATCCGCTAGCTCTGGACTCGAGTTGAAGCTGTCCGAGGAACTTAGTCGTGCTTGGTTGTCTTCGCTTCTGGAGCCTGTGGACACTGCTGGTGACTGGATGTGCTGTTGTCGCAGTGCGCGCTGCAGCTCAGCTCGGTGAACTTCTACCTCACGACGACGTTCTCGCTCCAGATCGAGCTCCTGTTGCAGTCGCGCTGCATTCCTCTCGCCTTGCTGCTGTGCTGCCTGCATTCGAGCGGTGGCGTCGGCTATCGTTTGGTTCGCGGCTTGTTGAACACTCTCCAGACGCTGCGTGGTTGCTCTGAGCTCCGTACTCGATCGATTGAGCTCTCCTTTTGCGCGCTCTAGTGCCTGCTTCATCGTCTGCACTTCACGTTGAGCACGCGCTACCTGCTGCCGTGAAGCCTCACTTTCGTCACGAAGCTCGACCAATTGAGTATCTAACGCGCGCCGTTCACGCGCAATTCGGAGAACTTCGTCTCGAGCTCGTTCTTCACTGTCCTGAGCCTCGCGAACCTTCGCGTCAAGCGCCTGCTTCAGCTCGTTTGCTTTGGCTTGAAGAGCATCGCGAGCTGCAGTGAGTGGTGCCAACTTGCGCTCGGCCTCACTAGCTCGTCGTGACAGTTGCTCCATCTCACGCGCTTTGGCGTCGCACTCCTGCTTCTTGCTCTCGAGGGTGTTCGCTGTGCGTTGCAACCTCAGCTCAAGCTCGCTTAAGCGCTCTTCGAGCTGCTCCTGGGTGCATGAAGCTTCGTCGCGAGCTTCACGGAGCTGAGCTTCTCGAGACCGCAGTTGTTCCTCAAGCTCACGCAGTTGGGAGCGCGTTCCACCTCCATCTTTCTCCTTCTTGGCTCGAGCACGTTCGAGCTCGAGAGCATCCTGCGCGCCTTGTAGCTCCGATACGAGGTCGTCGATGGTAGCGTTTGCAGCGCTTTGGATCGTCGTGATCTTGCTCTGCAGTTCTTCCGACAGAGCCGCGTTTTCTTGGCTCTCAGCTCGAGCAGCTTCGAGCTCCTGTCGAAGTCTCTCGTGCTCTTCACCGAGTTGCTGGGTTTGAGCTCGAGCGTCCCGACGTGCAACTTCGACTGCGCGTAGTGCGTCTTGAGTGTCATCAGCAGCTCGCTGGAGCTCCATCTGCAGCGATTGCTTGCTTCGTGTTGCGCGCTCAAGCTCAGCTTCTAACCTACGCAACTCTGCAGCTTGCGCTTCCTTCTGAGTCTCGAGCTCAGCGAACTGAGGCGTCAACGTAGCTCGAAGCTGCTCCACCTCGAAGCGAGCTTGTGTTTGTATGTCTTGCTGGGCTTGTACAGCTGCACTCAAGGCGTTTTCAGCTCGAGCTTGGGCTTGTTGAGCCTCTGCCAGTTGATGCGAGAGCGTATCACGCTGCTGGCGCGCAACCTCAACGTCTTGAGCTCGAGCCTGCTCTAGATGCTCCGACTTGTTCTGCAGCTGAGTGAGCATGGCGAGCATCTCTTCGAGTCGATGGGTCTTCTCCTCCAATGCGCGCGATAACTCCTGCTCACTATGTGAACGCTGGGCTTGCTCAGCGTCTCGCGCGCGTACGAGTGCGTCTCTCTCCTCACTCAAAGCTTGAGTGACTTGCTCCAGCTCACTGCGAAGTTCTTCAGCTTCACGCAACTTTGTCTGCACTTCTTGTTGCGCGCTCTGGAGTTGAGTCGCGAGGTGTTCATTCGTTCGCCTCGAACTCTCCTCCAAGTCGGCGTGAGTTTCCTGTAGATCTCCATGCGTAAGCTGAAGCTCCCGGTAAGATCCGCGAAGCTGCTCCAGCTCCAGTTGCTTGTCATTCACTGCGCGGTACTGAGTTTCCAGACTGGCGTTGAGTTGCTCCGCTTCAGCGAGTAGATCGCGCTTCTCAGTCTCAAGCGCTGTGCTGCGCGCGCGCTGGGCGTCCAGCGCTTTCTGGAGCTGCAAAAGCTGCGACGCACCGGCAGAACGAAGATGCTCGAGCTCCTGAATCTGCTGACGGAGCTGTTCGTTCGAGCGCGTTAATTGAGCTTCTTGACCCCCTGCAGCTTGAGAAAGTTGGGCCAGTTCCTCAGCTAACGTCTTGGCGTCTTGACGTGCAGTCTCCAGCTCTTGAAGAGAGTTCTGCACTTGTGTCTGCAGTTCTTGCTCTCGTGCTCGGTGCTTTTCACGATCACTATCCCTCTCTTGTTGTAAGCGGAGGACCTTCAGTTGCAGAGGCTCCAACGCACCCGACACCTTTGTAAGATGCTTGAGCGTGCGAAGCACTGACGGCAGTTGAGCTAGCGGGTCTTCCTCACTGTCAGAATTGTCTTCATCCTCCTCATCCTCTTCGGAGCTCGTACTGTTCCCCATCGGCGTTTGAGTGATTAGGTCGAGACACTGTCGCGTGAGCTTTTCGGCCGTCTTGCAGCGGCTTGAGAGGTGCTGGAGCTGGGCGTGCGAGTCTTCCAGCTGACCTGCAGTCTCTCGTAGTTGCTCATTCAGCTCTTGCAGCGTGCCATTCTCTGCAGACCCCTGAGCTTCTAACCGAGCCTTCTCCGCTTTAGTGGTTTGCAGCTCGGTACGCAGCTCACGTAGTTCTTCTTGAGCTTCGCGTACAACTCGCGCAGCCTTTTCTCGTAGCTCCAACGCCTGCACACGCTCCTCCTCTGCTAGCTTTTCACGTTCGGCGAGTGCTGTTGCGTGTTGTTGCGCCATTTGCTCTAATTGAGCTTGGAATCTCGACACCTCAGCGATCATCAACGCGTTGAGCTCTTCCTTTTGAGAGCGCTCTTCGTTGGCCGTCGCTCGAGCAGCTTCCAACTGTTTGTTCAGCTCTTCCAGCAGCTCTTTGCGTTGAGCTTCCGCCTTCATTTGTAGCTCGCGTTCTCGTGCAACAGCGGCGGCTTGCAGTTGTGCGAGCTCTTGCTGAGCCTCCTGAGCTTGTGACCGAAGCTGCTGCTCTCGAAGCTGAGCCGTAGTCTCTAACTCTTTCGTAGCGTTCCAAAGGTGCTGACCGAGCTCTTGCTTTGCCTGCTCCAACTCGCGCGATTTCTCGAGTAATTTGGTGCGTTCTGTGCCATGCTGAGCCTCAAGTTCCTGGATCTTCGCTTCATGAGCCCGTTGAAACTGGTCCAGCTCTGCGCGATGTTCATCGCTCTGTGCTTGCAGTTGCTCCTCGAAGCGAGCGGTAGTATTCTGCAGCTCAGAGCGGACTTCGTTGAGTGTGGCTTCATACTTCTCGCGCATCTCATCAGCGCATTGTTGCTGCCGCTGCACTTCGTCGTTCATCACTGAAAGCTCCTCGCGGTGGCGTGTTGCACTCTGCGCCGCCTCCGCTTCTAGCGCCTTAAAAGCTTGCTGGACACGAGCGAGCTCCTCACTAACCGCGCGTTCATTGTTCGTGGCAGCATTCAGCTGCTCTCGAGTCTGCGCTAGTTGATCAGTCAATTGTGCCGTCTCCGCGAGTTTCTCTCGCCACGCAGCGGCGGATCCCTCGGACTCCTGCTTCATTTGCTGCAGCACTGAGCCAAGCTGCTCCAAGACTTGTCCGCTCTTCTCAGTTGGTGGGGCTCCCCATGACTCGCGACTTGCGCTGGAACTGCCCGGCGCACTGATAAATTGCTGTGATGGAGGCATGTACGCTGCCGATGGGTAGGCGCTGGGGCCGAGCGGTAGAGTGTGAGGGATTGCTGGACCAGGCGTAGGATAGCAAAACGCTGCGAGGCTCTGCTGTTGTTGGAGTTGTTGAAGTTGAAGCAGCAAGTCCGCGCCCCCCACTGGAAGGATCTGCGGCTGAGATGGCGGCACTTGGCGGCCGTGGTCATAGTCAAAGTTGCTGTAAGCTGCAGCGTTGTCTGTGTGGTTACCAGCGTTTGACTTGCGTCGCAGCTTGGCAGTCACCGGAGGCGAACGCTTGTCCCCTAGCAGTGCATTAGACGAAGGTTTTCGACCCAAGTTCGACTTCATGGCAACTATAAACGAGATTTTCCCCTTGGCTTTGGCTGGGAGCGTAGCAGAACTCGCCCCAGAGCTTGGAATCAAAGCCTAAGCTTGCAAACTTCCAGCACCCACTACAATCTGTACCAAATGTGTCGTGTCCGTTGAAGAGACATGGCTACAAGTTCCAGGAAAAGGTAGCCATGCTCCATATTTTTAGTTTTTCAGAGCTGGAGATGGCTACACACCCGATCGGTTCTCCTCTCTCTTGTCCTGCCCCCCTGCATTTAGCCTTCACGAACTCGTCGGTCTTCTTCTCGACTCAAGTCCATCAGTAATCGACGCGTGCAGTCTTCGGTTTGGCCATTGCGGAGAGGAATTGACCGCTATGGGGTCGCCCGTGAAAGCTCGCGAGTGGGAGAAGACGCTCAAAGTCAAGTGTCGACTGTGCGGTGGAGCGCGGTGCAAGCGTTGCAGTGAAAGTGCGGCGTTGGCCAAGACGGATTCGCCCGTGCGAGGGCTCCACGCCGACTGGGTGGCGGATTGTGCCTTGGCCATGATGCGGCCATCCTCAAGACTCATGAGCAAGTACAAGATCGCCGAACAATTCCACAAGTACGTAAGAAATCCACGCTTGAAATGTCACCAAAAGCTAACAACCGTGAACTTTTGTAGACTGAATATCACGGCCGTGTTCAATCTAACGCTCCCAGGAGAACACCCGTACTGCGGTGATGGTCTCGGCCCCAGTGGCTTTCCGTACGACCCGGAGAAGGACCTCATGGCTGAAAACAGTACGAAACTTGAATCTTTTCACCACAATTTCATCCCCAGTCAGTAAACTAACCAAACCGCCTTGATATTTTCCTTGCAGTTCGCTTCTACAACTTCGGTTGGGAAGACATGACGACACCTACGCTGTCGTTCATGATGGACATCGTCAAAGTTATCGCGTCGGTCCTGCTAACAGGCCACCATCGAGTCGCTGTGCACTGTCACGCCGGCTATGGACGTACGGGTATCACCATAGCGTGTGCACTCATCTTCCTGCATAACATCCCACCAGAGCTGGCGATCCGCCTCGTGCGTCGCGACCGCCCTGGATCGGTGCAAACTGCTGGTCAGGCCCAGTTTGTCCACGACTTCCACGCGTATCTCAACGCAGCGCGCGTTGTCTTCGCGTTGCCGAAAATCCACGATTTATTTACTCTCGCGGAGACTGTGGAGCACCAGAACCGCCGTCTACACGGTGAAGGAGCGGTTAATTCCAACCTGCCCAGAGTGCTCGACTTCCTGTGCGCCGAAGTGGAAGGAGCTGTAGCTGCCTCCTCCGACGTCGTGACTGTGGCCTCAGCGTTCGTCCATCATCTCTGTGTTCGCCAGCAAGAAGCGTGGCCGCGTACGAGCGAATGCACCAAGGATTTCTACCGCTCGACGCCTTCGGGGTCGGCTGAGTTGCTCGAGCGACATCGACAGTTCATCGGAGGCGCAGTGAACGCGTCTCTAAGTGAGAGCAGCAGCATCTCCTTCGACGTCATCGAAGCCCCCGAACCGGTGACTCGGGAGCAGCTTTTCCCCATCAAAGTTGGCTTCAACGTAGGTGAATGGAACTGGGAGGAGGCCTCGGCGTTGTGCTCCAATGCCTCGATTCACGCCATACTGCTACTCGACTGGCTCGAGCACCTGCGCGAACCGCTATTAAGCAGCCAACTCGTCGAGAAATTGCTGTACGTAGCGCCTGTGCCTCCGTTGAAGCTTCCTGCTCCAAAGACAACGAACCCCGCCACGATGCACCACGCACGGAGCGAGAGTGAGACCCACGGCAACTCCAGCAGCGCCACGAACTCCAATTACCGCTTCCAACAGCTCCACCAGCTTCCAGCGTACGCCATGAGGTCGCTGGACCGGGTGCTGTCGTGCTTACGCGTGCTGGAGGCGAAGCTCGAGCAGTTCGCAACGGGAGATATCCTATTTGATGCTGTGTGTGTACGTACAGCCATGGCGTTGTTCCACCTCTCGACTACTAGCTGCTCGACGTCATCTCTTCGACGACATGCCGACTGTATTGCACTATTGATCGACAAGTGGCACGCTCCGAAGCGCTTGGAGCTCAACTTGGACACGCTACAGAAGCTCAGCATCCACAGACCTTCCACCTGTCGCCTCACTCAATCAGCGAGTACACTCGGATACAATTCCGAGAGTGGGGAGAGTGCAACACCACCGGACGAAGAACTATCCAAGCCCCACTCGCCCTCTCGATCGCCTACGCGCTCGGTGTTAACCCCTACATCGTCACCCACTCGATCGTTGACGATGTCGCCAACTTCGTCACCTCAGCGAACCCCTCGCGACAATTTGCCAGGAATGTTAAGCGAGGACATCCCCATCCCCGACTCCCTCTTACAGACACAAACAACGGATTCCATGGCCTCATTTTCGCCGCCACAGCCTCACAAACCTCAGGGTGAGGCGCATCCACGACCGAATATTGCCTCGGTTACGATCACCTCCACGTCCCCGCGGCCGTCGCCGAGATCGTCGTCTCCAATCAAGATCGACCCGCTACCGACCAGCTTCAATAGACGCGAAGAAGAGGAGAAGAAGGAAGAGAAGTCCCTGGCTCTTCCTTCCTCGCCCTCTTCGTCCCCCAAGAAAGTCGATCTCAGTCCATTGCCACCCCAGCCAGTTCCAGACAAGGAGTCCGAGTTGAGCGACGACAGCTTCGCGATATCACTGGCCGCAGAGCTCACAAATCCACCGGCACTTCCAAGCGTACGCGACGGAGGACGCTACAGTAGAAGAGCAGGGAAATAGCGCTAAGGTATATCATGATAAAAAGCAGAATACCAACAAAACAATCGCGGATTCTATGGTCCTCCTAGCCGTCGATGGGTATCCAGCGTTCATCTACCGGACACGCAGACCAACAATGCATCGTGGCGAGTTCATAAGAATTAATTAGCGAAAGTTGACGCGAATACGTACAGGTACAGCTCTAGCTGCTTGAGATCCAATTTGCGGCATCCCGGTTGCGATGTATGCAACATACAACGGCACTTGGGTCGGAGGATTGGCTGGACTAAGTTGAAACTTGTCACTCGTTTCTTTATCCGGCACCAACGCAACGTATCTGACATCGCCCGGACACAGCGTCGCGTAATTGCTCAGCGCTTCCGAGTCAACTGTAACTTCATCGGCCTTCGTTATTCGGATCATCGCAGTCACGTTCTGTTCCCCGCCCAAGTTCACCTTGGCAACACTGTCGATGGCCTCCAGACAACGATTCAAGGGATGCCAGTAGTCGACATCCGTCAGTTGGCCCATGATTGCTTCGCACTCTTCTGCATTCCTCCCTTCGTTGCGGTACTTGCTGACGTTTAGCTCACTGGCAACGTAGGTATGCTGGTTGGTTTCGGTTCGACCGTATGGTCTGGCCTGCAACTTGATCGTCTCCCCATTCCTTGCCGTCGTATGAACGTAGTTCTCGAACGCGATCCTCATCAGCCCGTCGTCTCCAATAGTGCGAGCATTGGACCATAAAGTCGTGAAGTAGGAGGGCTTCACGATAAGGCTCAGACGTCTCAACACATACTCGGAGGTGACCACACGAACCCACTGGCCGGGCTGCCAATACTTGTCCACGCTCGTTGGGTCCATAGCATCCGTGGTAGCCTCGAGTGCGATCATCCGCAAGCGATCAACCTGGGGGCCCCACGCACGTCCATACTGAGTACCGAGAACTTCTGCATCATACGGAACGACGCGGGCCAATGCTCGGTCAATTGCAGCCTTGGTAGTACCGTCCCCCGCCAAGAAATCGCTCAAGTTTCCACCCGAGTAGTAGTGCCGCTCCTGGATACCCAGTTCAGACCAACCGAAATGTTCACCAACGGCGGTGATATCCACCTTCGACCAAAAGGGGACGAGACACTTCCTTCGTATGCGGGTTTCGTCGTTCTTCATGTCATATTGAGTGCAAGTGGCAAGCATCCGAAACCTGGTCAGACGGTGAAAGTTGATTAAATCATGATCGATTTCCTCCCGGAGGAAGCCGTCAAGACACAGCTCAAAGTCTCGATCCCCCACAAGATCCAAGCCGGCGATAGACTTTGTATGCTTGCGCCAATATTGCTGGTGCACCGGATCCAGACACAACATGGAAAATTCGTCCGCTTTCAGCTTTCGAAACAAAACGACACGCTTCTGCTGGTGCAGCGCCATGTAGAGCGCGAGCAGCACGACGAGCGTGCTGGTCCCGACACCAGGCGATCCCACAAACACAGTGTTGAACGTTTGTTGCACGTTCTGGCGGAACAACTTGATGAGGTCCAGAGTTTCCTTCCGAGCGTAAAACCAGTCGGGGAAACTTGGCTCAATATGGTGAATGCCGAGTGCAAAGCCACCAACTTGCCACGTATCGAGGTTCAAGTTGCGTGCGATAGTACTGATCGTCTCGTGCTCGATGGGAGTAGCCAACTGAGCTTCCACCTGCTGTGCGACCTCCGTCCTTTGCTTCTTCTGGCCTGGCATGATCACCGACTGCTCCTCCGGAACCACTTGAACCACCGCCTTCTTTCCTCGTCGCGGCGGATTTTGGAATGATGGGATTCCATTCAAGTACTTTGGCTCAACCTGTCAATCAGTGAAATGTCCGAGCTACAGAGCGAAACACAGTCATATAAACCGTTATCGCCACATGGGCTTATGGCCGCTCTCCTCAGACATCCTGGCGGTGCTACGGCGTTGAGCCCTTCAGGCCACAATCTCAGTCTTCAATGTGAGCACCTTCACGTTCGCGCCAACGGCCAGACGAGGAGGGTTTGCTCTATCATCCTTCACCTCGAGCACCATGTTGGAGCCGAAGTATCCCTCGAAACTCTTGCCGTCGGTAAAACCCAGCAGAGCGCCATTGCGCTCCCGCACGATGGCGCGAGACGGCTCGCGCTCCGGGTGGACTTCACCGGTTACTTGGTCCACGCTTGGCATGCCGCAACGCGCGCACGGACGCACATTGCGGAACTGGAGGCCGTCGATGGTGATGCAGTTCCACTGCTCATCAGCGAACGCCGGGCTGCCGCGCAGGACGATGCTGTGATAGATAAACACCACCAATAAATTAGTCTAGGCACGCGTACACACCACTTCATCGCTCGAACGTACTTTGGACGGAAGCGGTTCATCGGCACCGGCGTCTTGAGCGTCGTGTTGAACTGCTCGAGCGATTCCTCCAGGGCGAGGAGGAACGGGAAAGCGTCGGCGAAGTTTGTCGCGTGTCCGGGCGCGTACTTGGGCTTGGTGTGGCGCGTGAACCCGTCGCGCACTCGCACCAGTCGAAACCCGCGCTTCTCTTCGCCTAAGAAAGTGTCCAGCCACTCTGCCGCTGCGTCTCCCTGGTCCACAGCCTCGACCTTGTCCTTCCACACGCTCACAACTCGCAGCTGTCCCTCTCCAGTGCGCACCACCGGCACCTCCAGGTCCGGCATCCCCTCAGCCGTCAGCACCAGACTCGTCACCTTAGCAGAGTCAGTACTAGGCAGCAGCTTCGGGTGCAGCAGCGCCAGCTTTGCGTATCGTCTCTGAGTCACGAACTTGTCCCTGGCTCCGTCGATGATGACCCATTCTCGGTCGTGCAGCAGTCCCTTGGGGGTCAATTGGGCCTCGTCCAGCTGGATACCGGCACACGACTTGATAGGGTACACGCAGAGCCCCGTGACTTTGGGGAACTGCAGCTCCGAGGCTTCGAGCGCCACGGTCTCACTTGGGGACAGCTCCACCTCGTAGCGGTCGGAATCGCGGTCGTAACTGCGCACGGAGCCGGTGCTTTGCCCGTTTTGGAGCGTGACAGCAGCGTTCACTGGTAGTTGCTGGCTGGAAGCCTCCGCCAGTCGCTCCTGCACCTCGTCGCGCTGTAGGACGCAGTCTCGAGACGGTGGAGTCGCCGTCTTCTTCTTCTTCTTCTTGGCCACGAGCGCCGCGACGACTAGCGCAATAGACGTGGCTAGCAGCACAGTGTAAGGGATTGAGAGCGCCGACGAGGCAGGCGCAGCGTGGGCCGCTCGAAGCAGCAGGGAGGATACCACCAGCGTCAAGGAGGACGGACATCTTGGCCAGCTTCGACTCACGTAGCGGTAATCTAATCAGAATGGCCAAGTTCGGATAGGGAACCAATCAGAAAACTCTGTGACGTGTTTATGACGGCCGCTTTAGAGAATCGCTTACACTTAAATATCAAATTACGGAGAACTTAAACAAATTAAAGAGAATCTGGTGATCAAAGTACGCATTGGACATTGGACACCATGGCCGACGAGCTGCAGTTCCTGGTGCACTTCAACCGCACGCTGTGCGTGTCGCTGGCCGCGGGGGCTGCGACCGTGGCGCGCCTGGCCGGCCTCGTGGAGGCGCGCGAGGGCGTGCCGTCGGCGCTGCTGGATCTGTACGTGGACGGCCGCAAGCTCTCGGAGTCGAGTCATGTGCCGAGCTTCCCGGCCATCATCCGCGCGCGGCTGCGCGGCGGTCTGCGCGGCGGCAAGGGCGGCTTCGGCGCCATGCTGCGCAGCATGGGCAAGGCGTCGGGCGCCAAGGCCACCACGGACTTCGGCGCGTGCCGCGACCTGCACGGCCGCCGGCTGCGCCACGTGAACCAGGAGGTGGCCATGCACAAGTGGCGGCAGGACGCGGACGCGCGCGCGCAGCGCGAGAAGGACGGCGTCTCGGAGCGGGAGGTCCTGGACGAGGACACGCCCAGCGGCATCCCCGGCTGGTACCTGGCCACGCCCTCGTGGGCGGAAGGAGTCAAGAAGTCCTACATGAAGAGACGACGCAACACGGTGCTGTGCAAGAGCTGGCAAAAGGCCAGAGAAGGAGGACGCGCGCCCCCGCCCGGCGCGCCGCGGTGGTGGGGCTGTCCGCGTGGCCGTGACTGCGACTTCGCGCACGGAGAGGAGGAGTTGCGCGGAGAGGGACTGACGGAGTTTAAGCGCGCCAAGAAGGAGGAGGCACAGCGAGCCAAGCAGCAGGAGCTGCAGAGCTACGTGGACTACGAGCAGGAAATGCCGGACGACGTGCTGAACGCTATCAAGAGCGGCCTGCGACGTCGGAAGACCAAGGCCAAGGCGAAGATGGGGCTGGAGGAGGAGAACGCGCGCGTGCTGCCGCCCGACGCGACGACGTACATCAGTGTACGCTCGGCGCAGCACCCGTCGCCGGCTACGGAGAAATGGCTCAAGTTGGTGGGTGAAGGAAGTGAGGACGAAGGCTCGGCTAGTGTTGGGACTGCGTTCAAGCACGGACTGTGCGAGCTCCGTGGCCGAGGCAACTTCGGCACCGCAGCGGCGCGACACTGCTGCGCGGTCATGAAGGGCAAATGGTACTACGAAGTGCGGCTCATCACGGCTGGCGTGGTGCAGATTGGCTGGGCGGACTCGACATTTGAGGCGAACTCGGAGACTGGAGACGGTGTCGGCGACCACGAGCGGTCGTGGGCGTACGATGGTGCCCGGCAAGTGAAGTGGAACGGCGGGAAGGACGAGGAGTATGCTGCAGACGACTCCTGGAGCAAGAACGACGTCATCGGCTGCATGTTGGATCTCGATGAAGGCACGGTCGCGTTTACCCGGAATGGAGTTGATCTCGGTGTGGCATTCCGCAATGTCAAGCACACGTCGAGCGACCAGGGCTTCTTCCCGGCCATCAGCGTCGAGCAGACGGAGATCCTGCTCGTGAACGTCGGCTCCCAGCCATTCCTGTACGAGGCTCCTGGATTTGATCCTGTTATCGATGCTATCGAGGCCGAGAATTCGGGCGCGTCGGCCGCAAGTGAGGCTGTCAACGAAGCCAGCGTATCCGTCAGTAGCAACGACACCTCCGTCTCCTCAGCCCCAGATGATGCCGAGAAGCAGAGCAACGCGCGTACATCAGAGACCAACACGCCAAAGATTGCGAAGGAACCGGAGAAGAAGTCGATTCCGAGTGAACCTGCTATCGACCTGATGAAATTTGAGACTGTCGAGTCACTCGAGGCGCTGGGATTAGAACGGTTGAAGGAGGAGTTGGCTCGCCGTGACCTGAAGTGCGGGTACGTTGTTGCAGGCGATGATAGTATGAGTTGTGGATTTTTCAAAGACTAACGTAGTTGTGTCTTATTTGGCAGTGGCAACCTTAGTGAGCGTGCGACTCGCCTGCTCAGTGTTCGCGGGAAGAAGTGGGAAGATATCGACGCCAAACTCAAGGCCAAGAAAAAGAGTCGGTAAAGTGCCAATGGACACCTCAGTAGGTTTTTTTTCTTCATCAGAATGGAATTCCTCTGGCAGAGTGAAGAAAATGAAAAAGCTAAAGATCGAGTATATGCGTCAGCTTCCTACGTAGACCAATCACCCAGCCCGTTTAGTTCTGAAGCATCCAATACAGTCGACTTGCCACCTTCTCGACACAGCTTACATCGCAGGGCGGAATGGCATCTGAACACAGCACGATTTCACCCCGAGAGCGCTTGAAAAAGATCCACTCGATGCAATCAGTCACAATGCCGCGGACCTCATCACACCGTTCTCCTCTCTCGTCACAGTTGTCCATAACCATATCCGCCATCACATAAGCCTTCGCCAGGCCTCGTTCGTAGTCCCAATTGCGGACGAGAATGACGGGGAGTTTTTGGCTTCCGTGCTCAACGAAGAAGTCCGCAACGCCGACCATACCAATGCCCTTGGACTGCAGAATTTTCTTGTCAGTAACACTTGGTCGATCTGCCTGTAAGAGCGACTGGACGTGGTTCAGGACAGCACGGACTGCATCTCTTAGCTGCTCCTCGGACGGGAAGATGGTATCAAAGACGCTGAGATTTTCAAAAGTGGCCGTCAGTTCCTCAAATCGCCCACCCTCCACGGACGCAGCAGAGAACAGATCCATATCACCAGGGCCTCCGAAAATAGCATTGTCAATAACATTATTTCAGAAAATAACAATAAATTACGCATTTCGGCGAGTTCAGCCATCTACCGTGATAATTTATTGATGTGCTTTGTGATATTACATAATTTATGCCAGTTACCTTTATATAATAATGTTAGCGTTTTACCAGTCATCTTCTCGCTTCCAGTCGTTCAGAAGAACTGGAATCACTGGTTGTCTGCGTTGCTAGTTGCAGCTCATTTGGCAGCGCTCCCTTTTCAATTTTCACTTCTCAAGTCTCCAAGACCTCATCCAGCATGGTTCGCGCTATCCGCCCCCCTCGCCCTACCTACACGAACTCCCAAGTCTCGGGGTTTTACTTCCACCCGTGTCGCGACGAGAACGACGAGGTGATTCGCGAGTATTTCCGTTGCCGTTGCGGCACGGTTCGGAAGCAAACCCATAGGAACGGGTACTCCAACCTGGTGCAACATATCAGGGGGAAGCACCCTGACTACGAGACCGTCATGCTCGACGCTACGACGGCGGAGACAGGCTCCCTCGTGAAATTCGTCCGCCACTCGGCGCTCAACCTCCACGGCTGGATGGTTTGGATTGTCATGTGCAACCTGCCACTCCCTTTTTGTGAGAGCCGAGAAGCTCGGCGGTACGTGTATGCATAAGGTCATTGTGTTTACATTACTACGGAAACTAACAACTTTACTTTATGGATGTTATTCAGCTACTTCAGCCTGGACCCCATCTCGGAGGAAACGCTGCGGGCTGGCATGGACGGGGTCGTCGTCGCCGTCGAGCGTTCGATTGCGTCGGAGCTCCCAGCACGCTTCGGCATCATGCTCGACGGCTGGACACACGCATCTGAGTACTACATCGCCGTGTTCGCGTGCTATGAGGTGAACGGCTGTCCCAAGACAACGCTACTCAGCATGGCCCCGCTGCTGGACGCGCTGGACGACGAACTCTCCGCGCAGGGCCATCTCGAGTTTCTAGCGACCACGCTGCCGCGCGATTACGGCGTACAGCTGGCGCAGTGTCGCTTCCTCGTAGCTGACAACTGCGCCGTAAACCGGCGGCTGGCAACTCTTATAAGTGCGCCGCTTGTTGGTTGCGCAAGCCACCGCCTGAACCTTGCTGTTCAGGCGGACATGGCGTCGCATGAGGAGGACCTGACTGTTGTGCAGGCGCTCATGGTAAAATTGCGTACTCTCACCCAATCTGCCAAACTACGGTAAGCGCCAATGTGTAGGTGTGGTGTGTCAATATGTCTCTAACACATTTTGTATACTTTTGTAATTTTTTACAACATAGGTTGAAAACGCCACTTCGGCCTGTCATTCGCCAGGACACGCGCTGGAGCTCTACGTTCGAGATGGTACAGCGCTACCTCCAGCTCCTCGAGTTTCTTGACGCCGAAGGCGACGACCTCATGGACCTGCTGCCGCCGCCGGCGATGAACAAGCGACTGCGGGCATTGTACCAGGAGCTGTGCGACATCGAGTCGGTCTCGAAGGCCCTTCAAGGCCACGACGTCGACCTGCTGGACGTTCGCGAGTGGTTCGACGAGCTGATCGCTGTCAAGCCACAATATGGGCGCTACATTGGTAAGTTTATAACTGTTGAATTTGTGTTTAATATTTTCACTAACAATTGTATAATGGTTTTTATTTTGCAGGGCCTCGGGCCAACATTGTGCACCGCCCAGATTTTGAGGCTGGGTGTGTACGCGTTCTCCGCGGGAAGGCGCAGCGGCTGACGCGTGCTGAAAAGGCCGCTTTGCAGCCCTTCGAAGCTGCCAGACCGGACGACGCGGCCGCGAGTGAAGTGGAGGAGGATCCAGCCGCGTCGTTCGTGGAGCGTCTTCGGAAGCGCCGGCGGCTTGCACAGGACCGTGTCAAGTATGAGCAGCTGAAGAGCATCCCACCCACGTCGAACGTGGTGGAACGCTTCTTCAGCATTGTTTGGGTGACGTTTGGTCATCAACGACACGGCCTGCTGCCACGCACGCTTGAGACGATTTTGTTTCTCCGCCAGAATCGGTCGTACTGGGATGCAACGACTGTGGACAATTTGAGCTAGATGATAAGCTAACTGGTGTCTTGTTAATAGACTTCATGCTTTTCACAATGGCATTATTTATTGTGGTACGTTGGAGGCAATGCCATAATGTACTGTTGTATTGGTAGGAGCGTCAGGGGATAATTTATTCAGCAACGCCCAACCTGCTAAATAAAAATGCCATATTCGGAGGCCCTGCATATCACGGCGTTCTAAGTGCAAATAGACACCTTCCACCATTTCCCATGTCAGCCCGTCGCACGAGAAAAGTTGATCTACTTCTTGCACTTCGCCTCTCTCTTCGTTATCGGTTTGCGGGGTCTGGCGGATCGATACTTCATCTTGATCGCGTTGAGGGAGCGTTAATGCCCAGAGATCCTGGCACAACGTCTCCTGGCGTGTTGAGTCGGGAATTTTGGTGACGGAAGCATTGGTGGGTTGCATAGTCTGGTAGAATGAAGCCTTGCGTGCCTTTGGTATGCTCATTCTCGGACTCCACTCATTGCTCTGGTCAAAAATGGTATGTCAATAGCTGGTGGATGATTTATAATACTCGTTTGACCAGTTCAGAATACGACGAAATGAAGAAGTGCCAATCCCAAACTCAACTATTCCATGTAGTAGTGGTGAAGCCTTGCAATGCCAATACCAGGTAACGCAGTTGTCTACTTCCATTAGAATGAATATTGGTGCTGTTCTTCATTGTGGCATTTTTGCGCCAGGAAATTACATGCAACGTGCAACATGCAATATGCAAACGTGCAGCTATACAAATATGCAGATTGAGCGACTACTGTACGGAGTTGAAGCTTGTAGGTAGGTAGACGTCCAAAATGTTACTTCTTCTGGCGCGTCGTTGTGACCGAGGTGTACGACATGCTGGGCTTGAAGGTGGATTGCGGCGGCGGAGGGGGCATGCCGAAAGGTGGGGGAGGCATTCCTGGGTAGAGTTGCGGGCCATTCGGCGGGTAGCCCATGGGTGGGCGAGGGCCACCAAAAGCACTAAAGCCAGAGGAACCGTTGATGCTACCCGAGTTGTGGAACTGCATTGCAAGCGCGGCAACATCGAACGCACCGCCACCGTTGTTCGAGGGAGGACCGGGAGGAGGGGGCGGCTGCGGATAGCCGCGAGGCTGCATCGCTCCAGGCGGCATGTTCCCTTGAGCAAAGTACATGGGGTTCTGCTGCGGCATCATCGGCGGCATGGGGTATCTTGGCGGGCCACCGGCGAACTGACCGTTCGGCATGGGGGGCATGGGACGACCAAACGCGCCTTGACCCTGCTGTTGCTGGTTCAAAAATGGTTGCTGCTGCTGCTGGGGTTGAGGGGGCTGCGGTGGCTGGGATGGTTGCTGAAGAGGCTGCGACGACGGGGCCGAAGCAGGCGGTGCGGGGCCACTGATCTGGACGGACTTGGCAAAATCGGCGAAGTTGAAGCCGCTAGAGCCATCCTGCGCACTACCTTGATGAGATTCACCCTGCGAGACGTTAACGAGGCCCGGCGGAGGAGCAGAGATACCAGGCGGACCTGACTTGCTGCGAGGCTGGCTAACGGTATCAGCAGTGGGTGCTTGTGCTGCAGGAGCAGGGACCGGGGCAGGGGCACTAGGAAGGGGCGGGGGTGGAGGTGACGAGGCCCGTGCAAAGCCAAAGCGTGACTGACCTGCAGATTCAGCTGGCGGGTTGGGTTCTTGCTGCTGCTCTTGCTGCTGCTCTTCGACTTGTTGACTGAGTTCTGTAGCGGGTGTCTGCTCTTCTTTCTTAACCGTCTGCCCCTCCTCTTCCTGCTTGGGCTGCTTGGCCTTCTTCTTGCGCGGGAAAATCTCCTGTTCCTCTGACAAAACAATCTCCACTTCTACAGGCTCGAGCTCAACCATTTCGTCCTCCGCCTGCGCTCCCAGCAAAGAGTGCAGATTCTTCTGGATTGTCGGGTCCTCAAACTGCGCAAGCCGCAGCTGTGCATACTGCCGGAACTCGAGCAGTTGCGTCTGCTGCGCCTTCTCAATCGCCGCAAGCTCGTCAGTAAACCGTTCACGCAGACGCAGCTTCTTGATGTACGTGGTTGCGACGTGGAACTGCCCGTACTCCATCGCTTTGCGGATCAGCGTCTCCACGTTGTATTGCGGCAAGTACTCGGTGTCGTCCTCTACCTTCGGGGGTGGCACCTCTTCACCGTTAGCGAGCGCAAGCGCAGCTTCCGCCGCTGCAATTGCATCATCCAGCGGGTTCTTAGCCAGATTGAACTTGATCGCGTACTTGATGGCCTTGTAGAACTCTCCATGCGCGACCATCACATCCACCAGGTACCGCAGCAAGTTCACCGTGGCGTCTCCGTTGCCCTGATCCAGCTTGAACTCGCGCAGATAGCGCAGCGAGGTCACAAAGTCCCCCACGTGCGACGTCTCGCGCACCAGCGCCTCGTAGAACTTGGCGCGCGTGTCGTCCTTGTCGGACAGCTTGTTCATGCACTTGACCGCCTGCGCCCACTGCCGCTGCTTCATCATCTCCACCGCGAGCGCCTCCAGCGGGAACTCCTTGAAGAGCTGGAACTCCATGACGCTCGAGATGGCCTCCTCCCAGCTCCGCGTCTCCAGCATGCCCGCCACGAGCTGCGGGACCGGGAACGTGTCCAGCAGGCCGAACTGCTTGGCGAACTTGAGCGCGGGGCGGAACTTGCCCACGCGGATCATGGCCTGGATGAGCGCGGGCGGCGTCCAGCTGGGCCGCTCCGCCGTGGCCGACAACTGCTCGAAGTTCGGCACCATCTCCTGCGCCAGCCGCACCGCCGCGCCGAACTGCAGCGCGCGCACCATCTCGTTGATGAGCAGCGTGACGAGCGCGTCGTTGTCCTTGAGCTGCAGGTCGCGCACCAGCTGCGCCGCCTGGTCGAGCGTGTGTGAGCTGCGCGCGCGCTCCAGCATGAGGCGCACCACGTCCGCCGTCTGGAAGCGCGCACTCAGGTGCTCGCTGGCGGCGATGAGGAAGGCGGCGTCCGCGAACTTGGCGCCCAGCAGCAACTGCTGCAGCCGCGTCTCGAGCTGCTCGGAGGTCGCGCCGTCGACGAACGCGCGCGCCTGCGCCACGCCCAGCTCGAAGGCGGAGGGCGCGGGCTTGGTGGGGGGCTTGGACTTGGCGTTGGCATTGGCGTTGGCGTTGCGCTGCTTGGGCTGCGACTTGGAGCGCGCCGCCGACGAGGAAGGGCGCGCCTTGCTCGCGGAAGCAGCGCGGCCGGCTTGGGAGACGCCCCGCCAGTTGGCGGGTGCTGGCTGCGTCATGGAGGGCGGCGAGGAGGAGGCGGGCGGGGTGCTGTGCGGAGACTTGGGTCGTATGGAGCTTTGGTGTCGGGGGCCGGATTTTTGTATGGCGTTTTGTATGAGAGTATTTTGACCAATGGATAGGAGTATGAGGGCAGAGTTATCGACCAATGAAACGCCGAATAAGAAAAGGACACAACGCGGTTACGGCTACGCGGGCTACTGGTTACATGTTGAAGCAACTTGCTGTTCAGGGTATGTACATGCTGCTGTTGCCAGCAGCTCAGGCGATGGCGGGGAACTTGCAGATTGGACACAACGCCTTCTCCTGCAGCCACGGGTCGATGCACTCCGGGTGGAACCGGTGGAAGCACGGCATCATCCGCACGCAGCCGCCCAGCTCGAAGGTGCTCAGACATACCGTGCAGCTCGCGTTCTCCGAGGCCTGCAACATGCCCTCGCTGCGGCAGTAAACAACAGCACCATCACCGCCAGTATGTTAGCACCAGTACTTCAACAGGCCACTATGGTCAGCCTGCCAACGATAGAGAGAGTGATCAGCTACGTACGTCACCGCGACAACAGGCAGCTGCTGGATCTGCTGCGGCGTGGCGCCTTCGTGCCTGCGCTCGTTGAGCGTCTCGAGGCGCATGAGGCGCTCGTAGTCGTTGCTGTCAAAGTCGCGGTTGCTCAGCAGCAGCTGCAGCATCTCGCCGTCCAGCTGCTCGTACAGCGCGCGGCTCATCTGCATGACGCCGCGCGGCGCTTGTCGCCGCTGCTGTTGGTTCTGCGTCTGGTCGCGCTTGGCGCCGAGAATGATCAGCTCCAGCAGCGAGATGATGGCGTACATGACGACGGGAAGGCCGACTGCGACGAGATACAAACGGAGGGCGGATTAGACGACCACGACAACGCTGCAGCCTTCGTGTCTACTGTAACGGAACGTACAGGCCACCGCGAGCGGGAAGAGCGCCTGAGGCAGGTACATGGCGAGGAAGCCGATCACGGCCCCAAGGCCGCCCGTTGCGAGGGCCACGAGCGCCGCCATGTTCTTGTCGGGGTGCAAGCCGAAGCAAGACTGCGAGGCTGTGCCAAGTGATATTGCGAGTGTACAGTACCCCCTGGGGGGTACACGAACGAAAGGCACGTCGCCCGTTTGTACCCCCACTCACGATTGGTGCAAACTCCGCTATTTCTGCCAATCGCCGAGTCGCCTGCAGGGATGCGCACCCTTCGCCCGATCTATGCGCGCAGACTTTCAGTCCAGGCGGGAGAACGCCCAGACTCAAACACAGTCACCGAGGGAGGGAAGAAGCCGTCGACCGCCCCACGCCGCCTTCGCCATGAGTGACAACAAGGAGTACAAGCTGGTACGCGCGCAGTAGATCGCCCTCCCCCCGGAAGTAGAGCGGAGGATAACGGAGTAGAGTGGAGGGAGAACGGAGACGCTCGCTCGCTCGTTCCCTTGTCCCTCGCCGCCTCTCTCTCTCTCCGCTCCCCCCTGAGCACGTGCGGAATACGCTGACTGAGGTGTTCTCTGTGTGCTTATGGCTGCAGGTGGTGCTGGGCAGTGGTGGTGTGGGTAAGTCCGCACTTACCATCCGCCTCGTGACCGACAACTTCCTGGAGGACTATGACCCGACCATCGGTGCGTGCGGATAAATCGAAGTGATTATGGGTGACATAAATAGTTGATCACTTACACACTTTGTCGTTCACCCCCGTGATGCAATGCAGAGGACAGCTACAGGAAGCAGACGACCATCGACAACAGTCCCGCCCTGCTGGACATTCTGGATACGGCCGGTCAGGAAGAGTACACGTCCATGCAGGACCAGGTGCGGGTCTCAGGCACAAACATAGTTTTATGTTATAGCTGAGATGCTGACGTGGATGTTTTGTTTTTAATGTTGTTGTAGTGGATGCGCGAGGGCAAAGGCTTCCTGCTGGTGTACAGCGTGACCAGTCGCAGCTCGTTCGACGACATCGCCGCCTTCAAGGACAAGATCCTGCGTGCCAAGGACGTGGACAACGTGCCCATTGTGCTGGTCGGCAACAAGTGCGACCTGGAGGCCCAGCGACAGGTGGCCGCTAATGAAGGCAAGGAGCTCGCACGCCAGTGGGGCTGCTCGTTCATGGAGACGAGTGCCAAGGAGAGAGTACGTCGGGCCGGTCTAGGTTCTCTGCAGAAGAGTGGGCTGAAGCTGACACTGTGTGTTATTTATTGTGTTTTGCTCCACAGATATTGAATGAGGAGTGCTTCTACCAGGTGGTGCGCGAGATCAGGAAAGCCGAGCGCCCTGTGCGCGTGGAGCGACCTCAACCTACGCAGAAGCCGCAGAAGAAGTCGGGGTTCAAGTGCACCATCCTATAGAAGCGCACGGAGCTATCAAGCTCTTGTCACGTTGCGTCGCGTCGCGCGGAGCCATTTGGCACCTCCCTTCTCGTCGCGACGTTATGCTGCTTACATACAACAGTCAGTTTAGCCCACTTCTGAATCCATTTAGCCACTCACCCCGCTAACTCACTTGGTCTGGTTGCTGCCTCACGGACACTATCGAGCCACCCGCCCACGCTGTGTACTCGCTCGACATATTCGTTCGCCGTCCCCTCCGTCCGTCCGTGGAGTATTGTGTCCGCTGTGGCTTGGGTGCGAGGGCCCGATTGGTATCAAACGTTTTTCACGACACGATAACAAAATGAAAAGAGAAAGAGAGACAAGAAACAACATCCTTCTTCTTCTTCCTATTGTCGTCTCTGCAGAAACAAAACAAGATCATACTGGTAAATTTAAGACAAAATGGCGGTAGTTTTTATAGTGCAGGTTGCTCCCGCTAAGTCGGTTGCTTTAATCCACCTTGGCAAAGAGCACTATCATAGGGGAAAGACGTCATAATTGGAGACAGCATTCAAGGTATGAGTCAACCTTGATAACCATCCTTCACAACAAACGTTACTCCATCACACACGGGGGTTCTTGCAGCCGACTCCCAGATGTGTAACCAGAAGTGAACGGGCTCAGCCTGCGAGCTCACCCACTTCAACACGGACAGAGGCGCTCTCAACGAGAGTGCTCGGCACATCGCTCCATTCACGACGAAATGCCCGTCTGATATCTCACGCGGTAGTTGACAATGTTAGCCGGCGCGTTATCCATGTACTGCACCAGCCACGACACCATTTCGGCCTCCGAAGACCCAAAATCATCGCGGAAGATACGAAGTACACGCGGCAGCACAATTTCACCCGCACGCTCGTCCACCTCCACCAGCCGCTCGCAGAACTTCTCGGCCTGCTCCTCCAAGTCGGTATCCGTACGACCGGGCTTGAGAATAGGAACATCTTCAGCAGTCGGGAGGGGCTCCGCGCAGTCGATCAGCACTAGCAGTGAGCGCGGGTCACGGATGTGCAGCCGGAACTGCAGCTTCGGGTCTTGAGCCTGAAGCTGGCGCTCCCAGTAATTCGACGGCGGCTTCCGGTTGCAACGCAAGATGCCGTGCTTGATGTCACCCAAAGTGAAGTCTAGTCCTCCAATCGTGTAGGCCACATCCCGCTCGAAAGCCTTGTACTGCCCGATGTTCTGCGGCACACCGAACTCGACGAGACCGTGAAGCACCATCGCGTTGTAAATATTGATAAAGAAGGGCTGACGCTCGTGCTTGGGCAGACTTCCGACATCAACCTTCTGCAACTTCGACGCCAACTTCAGGAAACGACGGTATTTCTGGCACAACGGCGCATCGAAATACTCCGTGGCGCTACTTCCAGTGACCGAAACGTGATTAGGAAGACTAAAGCCAGTAGCAATACCCCGCGGGAACGACTTGAGAGCGTGGAGCTCAGCGATAGCCTCACGGACGCGGAGACACACCTCCATGGGTCCTTGCTGGACATCGTCGACGCAAACGTACTTCATGTTCAACGGAACGAACAGCTCATCCACTTGGAAACGCAGGTAAGTGCCGCTCGAGGCCAGGTCCGGGTGTGTGGTGTCCTCCGCGAACACAACGTTCAGCACCCGCGTCTTGAGAAGATCAGCCAGGATTTTGGCCGCCTGCTCATCCGTCTTGTTGAACTTGGATTTCAGCACGCGGACAAGTTCATCCGCTGCAACACACGCCGTGTAGGTGGTAAATAGTCCAACACGAACGTCACCAATGGTCACTTGCGCGCGCAGCTTGTCAGCAAAGTTATCCTCCACATACCCGGGAGAATCCACCGCAATCTTGGATAGATCCGTGTTCTGTTGCGGTCGCGCATTCGAACCAGGAATCGAGTCCGGGCCCAGACCGATCGCAACACCAGCGAGTGCCGAGTTGCGCAGATCACCGTTGTTCACTCCAGCGTTACTGGAGCTATCACTACGGGTGGAAACATGAGAACCTGAATCAGGGGCCGAGTCTCCGAAGCCGCTAGTCGGGGTTTCGCTACTGCTGTTGTGGTTGCGTCGATGCTGCGTCGGCGACACCGAGGGCGCCGGCGGGTTGCCCGCGCTGTACAACGATGGCTGGTGCAGCTTGGCCTCCAGCTCCAGCGCTTCCTGGAACTCTGACACGTGCTCTGACAGGAAAGCCTGAATGGGGTTCTGCACGAACGGGAATCGGCAGATATCTTCAATCGACGGGCGCTTGGACGCATCCTGCTGCAGCATGAGTTGCACGAGGAGACGCAGGTCGCGCGAGAAGGACGGCAGGATCGGCGGGAACTCGCCCTTGCAGATCTTGGTGAAGATCTCTGGCAGCGTCGAAGCTTCGAACGGGCGGCGCAGCATGATCATTTCGTACAGGATGCAGCCGAGGGACCAAATGTCTGACTTCTTGCCGTACGGCTCGCCACGGCAAATTTCCGGCGACATGCTCTCCGGCGTGCCGCAGGCCGTGTTGGCCGTGGCGTCTCCAGCCAGAGCCTTGGAGATACCGAAGTCACCCAGCTTGACCACGTTCTTGTGCGTGAGGAAGACGTTCTGCGCCTTGAGGTCACGGTGTAGCACGTTCTTGCCGTGGATGTACGCGACAGCCAGCACCAGCTGCGCGAACCAGCTCATGATCACAGGCTCCGGGAACGGGCCCATCTTCTCCCTCGCGCGCAGCTTGACCAGTTGGCGCAGGTTGCCGCCGTCCGAGTACTCCATGACGATGTTGAGCTCGTCGTCCGCCAGGAAGTGGTCGTAGAAGCGCACGATGTTGACGTGGTACAGCGACTTGAGCAGGATGACCTCGTTGTCGGCCTGCTTGCGGCCGTTCTCCGAGATCTGCGAGATGCGCACGCGCTTGACGGCCACGACGGCGCCGTCCAACTTGCGGCGCGCCAGCACGACGGTGCCGTGCGTGCCCTTGCCGATGGTGCGGATGACCTCGATGTCCTGCCACATGCTCTTGTTGGACGTGCGCTCGAGGCGGCGGCTGAGCCACACGTGGCGCACGAGCGTCTTGGCCGTGTTGACCTGGATGGGCTTGATGAGGTAGTCCTTGGCGCCCTTGCTGAGGCACGAGGTGACCACGTCCATCTCCTCGTTGCTCGAGGTCATGACGATCGGGATGTGGCCCAGCGTGGCGCTGTGCTTCTGGATCTGGTCCAGCAGCTCGATGCCCGTCATCACGGGCAGCATCACGTCGCACAGCACGAGGTCGAACTTGGCGTGGTTGGCCACGAGCACGTCCAGCGCCTGCTGCCCGTTCTCCACCGCGAAGACCGTGTAGCGGCACGACTTGAGGATGTCGATGGTGGCCATGCGCGTGAACTCGTCGTCCTCGACGACCAGCACCGTCACTTCGGACGGGTCCATGGCTGCGGCGATTGGGGCACTGACTGACTGGCGGAGCTTGGGGCCTTGGGTCTACCGAGGGAGAAGAGGCTGGAGAAGCTTTGGGCAGAGAGCGAGCGACGCTTCGGGGACGAGGAAGGCGGCGCTGCCTTGGGGGCTTTGGACGACTTGGGACTCGCTGAGCTTTGGCTTTTGTTTTTCCTATGTACTGCGGAGCGCCGGATCCCACAACGCGCTGTGATTGGTGCAAAGTGAGTCGGGGATAGGGGGTGAATGAAAACCTGTCTATCCCGATTGTGACTCACGGAGGACTTGATACCGTGCAAAGGGGACTTTCTTGGCAGGAGGGCTGGAACTGCACTTGGCGCTGCTTTTCATGCTGGTGGGAGGAGAAGAGGGTACTATAATATATGGTTCGCGGGAAGTTTGTTGATTGTACATTGGCATGAACAAGCTCGTGATGGCCAAGGATATGGCCTATACGTACCATCTCGGTTGCCGATCCCGAGTTTTTTGGTGTGGAATGGCCGCGCTCACTGGAAGTGTGTGTAGCCGAACACGACTCGCGTTCTTCGCATTAGCACCGCCTGCTGAGCTGGTATGTATATGGTGCGGCAAAACTACATGTATCCATGACGGATAGCATCGGCAGGTTACATACAATCGAGGTAGTCTTGTGCGCTGTTCCCAAATGATGTAATACATGTACAGCGCCCCGGGAGGCATCAAATTCATGAGTCGTGACTACGATAGCACACCCGCATTGACACCGCCGTCGCCGCATTGCCAATTGATAATTGGTGCCATCAAGGGTGTACCCCCCCTTGCAGTGCTGCACGCTTTGGCTTGTACCGTCCCGCGCAGAACCTCGAAGCCAAACCGCGCAAGCCATGCCTTTTATCAAGCCGGCATTCGACGCGCTCACAATTTTTATAGAGACCAACGCCGTTTCCTGAAGCTGCGACTTCAACACTGTGTACTGTATTTTTCTGCTTGGTGCAGTTTTCCCGCGTTTCGATGCTCGTTTCAAAGACCTGCAGCTTCAAACGCCGATGGCCGATCCTGGCGCCGTGACAGCGCATTGTCAGGTATCGCCGGCGCCGATGTCATGTTCGGTATGTGTGTTTGTTTGTTTGTTTTTTCAACAAACCAACGACACTAAGAAGAGGACTCATATTTTTCAGCGCGGGCAACAGTGGTGCACACTTTTCACGACAACGTGCACTTATCGGTGCGGGTGTTGGCGATCGTTCGACAAACGCACATAACAATGTACTAGTATCTCACCACGAGCATGAATTCATGAACAACGGTCGACAGCACCAGATATAAGCATTGACATGTTCCCAATGACACAAAGAGTGAGAGCCTTGGGAACTACTAAAGACGAAAGCACGAGAGCACCGAGGTCTCATACACTCGGTAGCTGTAAATCATGCAAGCTCGTCAGATTTACTGATATCAACACTCCTATTCAACACTCCTACCGCATTCAAGGTAAACGGTAACTTATGTAAAATGAACTCGCTGTCAGGCGCTACATGACTACAGTGCTCTCTATCGGCGCTCTATCTACCGGTAGACGCGACGAAGCCGATGAGCCCCTAATGCACAGCTCCCCAGCCCAGTGTTCGTAAACATCACGAATCTGCAGCTGACTCCGTTCTACGCGTTGTCATGAGTTTCAATACTGGAGGTGGTGCCAGCACGACTCCAACGTATATGAGAGAGAAGCGGACTCGGAGCACCAAGTATTTTAGCAGAGAGAGTAGTTTTCGTCTTTATCGACTGGGGATCGGGTTCGGAGCGGTTCCACGACGTGACTGTACGTACAAAACAAGTTGGTGCTGGTTAGGCACGTTGAGTTAATAGATCCAGATCGCCTCTTGACCTTTTTGGTCGTCTTGGTGTAGAGCTACTCTCAGGCAGAAATAGTCGTTTCCGCTCTGGTATCGGGCGTCCAAATCTCAACGGGATGAGATTACTTTCAATGCAAAAAAGGTGGAGTTTCAATGTTTCTAAAAAAAGGGTGGAGTTTCAATGCATGTATGTGTTCCGTTTTAGAAACGACCATTTGTTGTTTCCAAAGCTGCCCCGGTGGCACATGCCATGAAGATCAACAACGTGCCAGACATGGGCGACAGCCCGTACATGGGCAGCGTCCCGAGGCTGAGAAACGTCCCGGAGCTGAGCACCGTCCCAACCATAATAACTTTCCATTATTGAGCGACAGCCTGTGCATGGGCGACAGCCCGCACATGATCAACGTAGACTGGCTGGATTGCTCGGGCCCCACAGGGGTTTTTCCGCTGGACGGTTCGCTTTCAAGGCGGTCGTGAACTGCAGTTCGAACTCGATCAACTCGCAGAGCTGCTGAGTTCGTCTGCCGCACTGGATCTTAAAATCACAGGAAATATCTTCTAGATTGAAGCTATTACCGACTAGGGGTCACTCCAGCACACACCTTCTACGAGCCCTGGGGAGAGCCGGGCTCCTGGGCTCTTGGGTGAACCCAAAAAGTCGCGAGCTCGGGCTCCTGGGCTCTTGAGTTCGATAGGTTAAGTGAAAGGAGCCCTCCAGAACTGTGAGCCCTCGTTAAGGGCTTCCCCTCACCATTTAAATATCTCGCTGATGATTGGCCGTCATTGAAGTATCTCCAGGTTCTAACCTGAAAAGGCATAGGAAAGAGGGCTTCTCCTTGAGGGGAAGGAAGGACTATCGGCGACGCTGGGGTGGCCTCGGAGCGGCTGTACGCATATGAGCGGCGCGAGATCTTCTAGTGTGGCGAAGTAGACGGGCTCGGGCTCGTAGAAGGTATGCTGGAGAGCATATGCACATTGCATACACCACATGACACACGCCTTCATTTCTAAATGCCATGAACCTCCACCTTGCTTTTAGATGCATTGAACTTCCATCTTTTTGGCATTGAAAGTAATCCACACCCAATCTCAACAAATACACATGCACGGCAGTAAACTTACTACTGTATCTACACTCAGTTTTATGGTTCGCGAATGCGAGTTCATGCTGTGAGATGCATTGTTTGGTACCTTTGTGCTCGAACGAGCACAAATGTCCGCACCGAACACGCTTCCACGTTGTCGCTAAAAGTGCACACTGCTGTTGCCTGTGAACCTCTTCTTGGTGCTTACACCCCGAAGGCGCTACTTGTACTTACGTCACCCCCGTTTCGGCGCCGACGATGCCTGACAATGCGCTGTCATGACGCCAGGACCGCCATTGAAGCTGCAGGTCTTTGAAACGAGCATCGAAACGCGAGGAAACTGCACCAAGCAGAAAAATACAGTACACAGTGTTGAAGCCGCAGCTTCAGCAATGCCGGCTTGGTGCGGTTTGGCATCGTCCAGGTTCTACGCGGAACAACTCAAGCCCAAAGCGGCGGCAACACCAGCAACAACATCGATGGCAAATTGCCACTGTCAATGCCGTCCGTGTTGCGCTGGACCCTATCGATGCGGCAACGCTACAAACACAAGTTTGTTTGCACTAAAATCAACTTGGCAGGCTGTCAGCAAGATAATGACACACACAGGGAAAGCACGCCGGCTGGGACGCTGAGGCTGCAGCTGCAAATCCAGGCAGCCGCCAGCGATCAAAGCAGCTCTCAGTCACCTTGACGTGGCAAGCATGTGTGCGTCGCTCGGGCCGAGTGGCTCGGCACGCTCGCCGCCTGGCAACACACGTGGCCGAAACTTCAAGACAGCGCTTGAACACGGCGGCCTCGGTACCCTCGCGTGTGCAACCCGGATGCATTCATTCACCAGCCGCGCGTGCCTCAGCGATGGTGCAAGCACCCGCGTTGGGATCTGATTATTTGCGTCGGGGAGACCTTGAAGCGCTGCAGAGCCTGCTGCCTGCGCTATCCACAGTGTGCGGGACTGGCGAGGCGAGCGCTAATGATGGCAAGCGCGGAAAGCCTCGCCCAAGTATCCGCACTTTATAACGGCCCGGGTATTGTTCGAAAAAGCGTTAGGCAATGTTAAACATTCCCGGTACAGGTCCGTCAGCGGGCGACCGAATACAGCGAACGCGGCGAGCCGGCTGGCGTGTCGACTCGACACTGTCGAGGCGCCCGGCGTTGAGACCCCGTGCGTGCTGGCAGAGCCTGCAGCGGTTAGACCGCCCGCCACTATCCAGCCCCGCCGCACGGCTGCAGGCATGTCCAGCGGCGGAGACTATCGCGCTCGGCCGAGATCGAGACAGGCGAGATCATGAAGCGGCGCCGCGCACTTCAACGTGCAGAACCCACTGTGGGCTGCCGTTCAGCGCATTTTATCGGCGGCGCGCGCTGATTGGCTGATTTCGGTGCAGCCAGCGCACCGTAGCGTCACCCCGGGTTCACCTAACGACGGCGGTTTCGCCGGCCAGCCAATCGGCGCGCGCCAGGCTAAAACGCGCGTGTTGAGCTCTCTTGCCCCCACTATGGGCACGCGCCGACGGCGAACGGCCGTTACGCGATTTCTCCTCTAATCGCGTGCGTCAGCGCGTAAATTACGGTTAGATTACCGGCGCTGCTTCGAAAATGCCGCTTCGGCCGGCTTTAGTTTGCAGCGCCCACGGGATTTCACCACTTGTCGACGCGCGGTTCAAGCCCGCTGCGCGCGTGGCTCTGCCGGCTGGTAGGCGCGTGAGCTTTATGCCCGCCGTTGCTGCGTTTTAGCCCCCGTTTTGGCGGGCCGGGCGCGGGTTTAGCGCGCTATATCTCGGGGTAAAAGCGGCCAGCGGCGATAATGCTGCAGATGGGACCCGCGTTGCCTTGCAGTTCGGGCGGAGCATCCCTGCTTTTAGCGGCCGAATACTGAGCGCGAGACACCCGCCAACCTCGACCGCCGACTGGTTGACAACCCAGCCGAATTACCCTACTTTTTGCGCCGGCGAATTAGCGCCCCCTCCTTCTTATCGCCTTCGGCGCGCCCGCGTTCCATCCTTTCGGGCAAACGAGGGCTCTCCAGCGGCCACCGCGCCGCTGTGGCCTATCGCCACTTCATTGTTGAATTCACCGCCTTGAGCTGAGCCCGACCCCCTCCAACGGTAATTTACCGCACGCCGTTTCGCCCGTTTCTGTCTGCGCGGCGCCTTCCAGCTGCTGTCGCCAAGAAATTACGAGAACCAAGCCCGCTCGAGAGCGTCCCCACTTCCGCTTTCTCCGTGTGCCGGCCACCACCTTCAACCAGCACGAGGCAATCTCCGTCCAACTTCTCCGTCCGCCCCCGCAGTAGTGACCAGCGGACTCCCAAAGCAACATGAGCGCCACCGTCGTGCAGTACCCCGTGACCCCTCGCGCGCCGCGCTCGCGGCTCGCCGACGAGGTCTCGGCCGCCAAGAAGCGCGGCGCCGCCCACGTTCGCGCGCCGTCCGAGCGCATCGCGCTGGTGCTCGACATGGACGAGTGCCTCGTGCACAGCAAGTTCCAGAACGAGGTCGAGTACCGCCAGAGCGAGTACCGGCCCGAGCAGCTAGAGGAGTACGGCGACTCGTTCGAGATCGTCATGGACGACGGCGAGCGCGCAGTCGTCAACAAGCGGCCAGGGCTCGACCGCTTCCTCGAGGAGGCCGCCAAGCACTACGACGTGTACGTGTTCACGGCGGGCCTGGAGGCCTACGGCAAGCCCATCCTGGACGCGCTCGACCCAAAGGGCAACCTCTTCGCCGGCCGCTTCTTCCGCGAGTCGTGCCAGCAGCGCAAGGGCATGTTCCTCAAGGACCTGAGCGTGGTGCGCGGCGGCGACCTGTCGCGCGTCATCCTCGTAGACAACAACCCCGTGTCGTTCCTCATGCAGCCCAGCAACGGCATCCCCGTGCCGAGCTTCTATGACGACGCCAACGACCGGACGCTCGAGTCGCTGAGCAAGGTGCTGGCCAGCCTGCAGGACGTCGAGGACGTGCGTCCGCGGCTGCACCAGCTCTTCCGCCTCGCGGACCTGCTGGCCGAGCACCAGCGCGTGATCCTCGGCTGAGCCAAGCCCGATCCCAGCAACAACCTCATGTCGTGTCGTGCCGTTCTCTCCATGGGTGGATATGAGTGGGAATGGATGGACCAAGTGGGGCTCGCCCCAAGAGCCCCCACGTATCAGTAGCAAGTATATAAGCCAAAGGTGCCGTGCAGTAAGTGAAAATTAGATAGCCACTATATTTAAGAGCCACAAGAGATCACAAAAATGCCATGTATCTTATCCTGCTTCGTCCTCCACATCAGCGATAGTACCTGAGAGCATCGCTGTAGACGCCGAAGGTGTCGTCACTTTTTGTCTCATTTTTACTATGCTTTGGTCATTCGACACTGCTGCGACGCTGGAGATGGAGATTCCTCCGGGAATGGAAGCGTATCCAAAGCCGACTCAGGGAACATGGCTCCGGCTTCCTCGCGCCAGGACCGTGCAGTCTGCACTGCAGACAGACAGACTCAGGCCCGTGCAGTCTGCACTGCAGACAGACAGACTCAATGCAGCTCCTTCAATCCCTGCTTGCTAGCGGTCCGCTAGTAGCGGAGCTGGCCATCCACCCAACCGATGCAGAAGATACAGAGGAATGGAGAGACCTGGTGGTGTGCACTGCAATGCAGTCTGCACCGAGCCGTGGGCAACGAAGACCTGCTTTGAGCGGTGCTCATGCTCGGGGACACTCAGCATACCATAGAGCTGGAGGCCTTCAGTGACAGCGATGCTGCCTCGTTGACTGTGCCATGCACTCCGTGAACATGAAACGTCACGGGAAGGCAACTTCAATGAGCCAAAAACCTGGGAAAGGGCGGCGCCTGTCAGTCGCAGATTCCCGATAAGGTACGATTTGTCATTCACTCCTTTTTCGTACTTAACGCTGTGTCCATCGACACGAGCGAGCGACTGACTGTGAAGGCAACAAGCATCATGTCGGCGCGCGCGTCTCGACGGGGCCATGCGGCGGCCTACGGCGCGCTGCCGAGCGTGCCGATCTCCGAGATCCGCCCGCGCAAGTGGAGCAAACAGCTCAAGACGGTGGACCACCTGACCATCCCCAAGTGGATCCCCGGTACGCCTCCGCCCAGTCCACAATAGAGTCGGGAGCGAGTCTCAACTAATGAACGCTGCATTGCTGTTCTGCAGACCAGGAGGTGCGCGCGCCACCAAGTCCGGCTTGTAGAAGCGTCTAGATCTGACTGTGGATGTTGCTGGCTGTGTGCGTGTGTGTGGTTAGAACCCGACGGAGGCGCTGCAGAAGGGGGCGTTTAAGAAGTCCAAGGGTGCGCAGTGCATTGGTGTTGCTACAGTACTGGGTGGATGGGAGTGCTGACGGTGGTGTGTTGTTGCTGTGACCACTAGGACGTAAGCGTGCAGCGGGCGAAGTTGGGCGCATGACGCGCAGTGTGCGCCAGCACCTGGACGCGCCGCTGGAGCTGCTCTCCGAGTATCCTGTGCGGGTGGTGAGCCTCACTCACGCACGTGGCTATTGGAGAAGATGGACACGAATCTGATAATATGTGTGTGTTGGTGTGGTGCAGCACTCCTCCTCGAGGCAATCGTCTCCTGCTCGTGCGTCGTCCACTCCAGCACGGACGCCCGTGCCGATGCCGTCTCCTGATGGCATGGCCGTGGACGCTGGTGCTGCGGTGGCAGCCCCAGTAGCTGCTGCACTGCCCACTACTACCTCCGAGCCTGTCAAGATGGAGTCGGCAGTTCCTGCAGCGCCGATGGTAGCTCAACCAGCGCACCCGGCAGCACCTCAGGCTGCACTGAAGGTTGAGACGACGCCCGCCGCACCTGCAGCGAATGTTCCGCCTGCTCCAGCGATGCCCATGATCCCGATGATGCCTCCTGTGTCGAACCAGATCATGGCGGAGGTTCCATCGGATGAGCAGCTGGAGATGGCGCTGGACGATCTCCCCATGCTCGACGCTGACGACAGCTTCAATCTCGACGCGCTGGACCCGGCGTTTTTGCCCACCCCGGTTCCTTCCGGCATTCCACCAATGGATAGTGCCCACCACCCCAGCGGCGCCAATTCGAAGCAGCAGTCGGCTGAGAATTCTTCGGCCTCTGTCAGCGAAGATGACGGATCTGCCAATTCGGGCTCGTCACTCCCGTCGGCATCTCCTCAATCGTCGCCGGGAATGATGTCGCGCTCACCGTCGCCTTAGACGTTTTGGTTGCATTTGATGGTGTGTTGGACGGCACCAAGGTGTTTAAACATTGTTTTTCTTTCATTACCCGAAGTTGTATTCTTCTATCAAGAGCGAAGTGCAAGGCTGCATTACTTCTACTTGCGCAGAAGTCTTCGAGCTAGCACTTGCAGCTCGACCATCTCGGTAGTCTGACGGAAAAATGGTTAGAAACTTTATCACGTGTTGCCACGGTGCTGGAAGTATTTCAACGTACCGGTTCGTTGTGGCGTGGGTTGCGCCGAAGCATGAAGCGAGCGAGGTGATCCAAGGGTCGGATGGGAGGTCCTGTGTCTCCACCTTCTTCGTCCTGCTCCTCGCTCGCTTCCACAGCCTTCAGCAAATGCACGATCGCTATAATAACAAAGCACAGATAAGTCAGCACTGGCGAGCGACAGTTGATCAAACACCACCTCGTACCTGGCACAAGGACCGGTAAGACCTGCTCCACGACGATCTCCAATTCCTTCGGCGTGGACGCTCGAGCCTGCAGGTTCTTCAGCAGCGCCACCATAAAGTCACGCGAGGCGGTCTGCTCTTCCTGAAGCCCCATCGTGCTCGAGCAAGGATAGGTAGCAAACTGGCCTTCACCTATTGCAGCATTTGCACGCCAAAAAACGCGTAGCCATTTCGCTGAAAATAGAATCTGTAGCCATATTCTACTAAGTTCGACCCGATCAATAAGTACGAGCGGCCTCGCCACTCAAACTTGTCAACAATGGCAACATCGAGTCTTCGGATCTCTGTACGTGCGCAGCATTCCCGGCCGCATCATGCCCCCCCATGTCGAATATCTCCGTGCACAATACTAACCGACATATAAACTATCTGTTGCTTCAAATTTTATTGTAATTGGCCTTATATTGGCGATGCTACGGCTAGGTGACTGCAGAGGTCGTCGGCATCGGGTCCGATGGCACAGAACCGTCGCTGCTGTTCTCCGTGCAACGTCATGGACTGTACAGCGACGACGTGAAAGTGCTGAAGAGATACCTCTTCAATTGTGGAGAAGGTACGCAGCGTCTGGTCGGAGAGAACGGAATCAAGCTCAGCTCTCTGGATGCCATGTACTTCACTCGGTTCGACATCAAGGTAAGGCTTACGATGAGCATGCCGTCCCATGCCTACACAGTACTGATATACTGGTGGCGATAGTCAGTGAGTGGTGTTCCTGGCGTTATCTTTGCGCTTGGCTCGTGCGGTGCAGCTACATTAAAACTCCACGGACCTGTTGGACTTCGCGGGTTTCTAGGCGCTATTCGGAGCTTTGTGCGGCGCAAGTATCCTCAGATTCAATGCGTTGAAATCGTTGATACAATTGGAAAAGAGCAACCTTCAACGCGTGGAGACGCTGAGTCCACTGAGTTCGAAGAGTGGAGGGACGGGGCTGAGCGAACTGACCAACACGCGATGATAATCCCGGTTGCGCTTGGAAGAGATGGTGTGAACCCGCAAGGCTGCATACTCTGTGAGAAGGGTGCACCTAAAAGAGAGCCCCAGGGTGCGGGTAGTAAGCCATCTCCAGTTAGTGCCGGCGACGTTCAGATCAGCCAGATTGGGCGCAGACGTGAGAACGAAAGTGACGAGCATGAGCAGTGGCGATCATGGCTTCTTCGGTATTACACAGCCAAGTTACCAGCGAAAGTTCCCTATGTCGATGTCGTCCTGAATCGGTATCGTGGACGCTACGATGATTTGAAAGCGCAATTATGTGCGAAGTATGGCGATCTCCCTGAGGACGAGAGCTCGTCATCTAGCAATGCTGCTAGGCATTCCTGCTCCTCCAGTTCAGATGATAGCGACAGCGACGATGACGATGTGACTGAGTTCGACTATGCCGAGAGACCGCTGGATCGAAGGTGGCTGGAAAAGTTTTACGCTGCTCATCACCCGGAGAAGGTGGCTCATATCGATAGAGTACTCCGCCAGTTTTCCGGTCGAGAAGATGATCTCAAGCAAATGTTACTGAAGAAGTATGAAGGAAGTGCTTCAAGTACTTCTGGGCTCTGTTTCGAAACAGACGAGGGTGTACCGCAGAAGAAGCGAAAGCTGACTCATGACCAAGAGCGTGATGACGATGAGATCCCCAAAATTCAAGCGGACGAAGCCTGCCTCGATGACAGGCATTCTCTTTCTTCAGGCGAAGTGGTTGGCCTTACTAACCCCATTTGCTACGTTATACAGTGAGTTCATTGTGTGGTTTATGCAGAGAAGACAACGAATTCACGTTGACTAACGCACTTCTGGATATCCTCCTGTATTTCAGGTTTCAGTACACGCCGCATCCAGTAGTGTGGATCATCGACTGCCCCACACTGGACCATCTCGCTGACTTGGAAAGCAGATTCTCGGGCTACTGTGAAGCGCATTTCCCCTCGCTCGTGGTTCATCTAAGCCCGCCTAATGTGCAAACACACCCCAGGTACGATCACCACCGAAGCTACACTCCACTTATACCTGCTAACATGCTGTTGTCTGTGTTTGCTAGTTATAAGCAATGGATGGCAAGTCTGTGCTCATTGCCTTCACGGCCTGAACAACTGGTTTTTAACGGCGCAACGCTGCAATCGGTCGCACAAGGTGCATTCAGCTACGCGTTTGTGTCATCGGCAAAGGCCGCTGTGCGAAAAGAACTCCAGATTCGTTCAACCACTGCCACAACAGCGACAGAGTCCAAGCCAGACCAAGCGGCAACGGCGATACAAAACATCACCAACCTTTTGGAGAACGCGTCGTGGTCTGCTGAATCCCCGTATCAGCGCCAAATTATCCAGCGTGCAGAGGGTTGCGACCGTGAAGTACACGTCGCTCAAAGCAAGCTGCACTTCCGCCTAATGCACCCCAAGGAGCCGCGACTAGAATTTAACTACGAACGCACGGGGTGGCACCAGAAAGCTGATCAAAGCCAAGACAAAGATGACGACGGCAAGAAGAGTGATGAAGCAGCGCCTCAGCAGCCAAACGCACCTAGCTCGGCATACGTCCAAGGAGATATGGTCTCCACAAGGAAGCTCATTGTGCTCGGCACTGGAAGTGCTGCGCCTTCCAAGCTCCGCGCAAGCAGCGGGATCTACATGGAGCTGTCAGGAACTGATGCTGCTGACGTGGACAGTATGCTCGTGGACTGTGGGGAAGGAACATTCGGCCAGTTGTGGCGTCAATTTGGCTCCGACGTGACTCGACGCATTGGTGGCTTGCGCTGTATCTGGATCAGTCATAACCACGCCGACCACCACTGTGGATTAGTTCGCGTGCTGTACGAGTATTGGTATTTCCAGACGCATCGCAAGGATGGCAACTGTCCACGACCGCTGGTGGTGGTGGCACCTCAATCGGTGCTATCGTACGTGGAGAGTTGGCTGCCTCAGATTCTTCACTCAAGGTCCGACCGCGAGTTGATCAGATTGGCAACGTGCTCAGATTTCAACGACCCTCGTCACCCTCTGCGGCAACACCTTTTGTCACAGATCCGCCACGCCGTCTCCAGCTTTCTCAGCGTGCGCGTGTTCCACTGCTACGACTCGTACGGACTCGTGCTAACGCTGCAAAACGGGAAGAAACTCGTGTACTCCGGAGACACCAAGCCCTGCAACGAACTCGTATTGGCAGGTAAGCATCAGTGTATGTACCTACACGGAATAAGATACACTAAATCATCGACTAATCAGCTGACACATCGTTATTGTTGATAACGTAACAGGTTTGGGGGCTGAGTTGTTGGTGCACGAGGCGACATTCGACGACTCGATGGAGGAGGACGCAATGAAGAAGAAGCACAGCACAGTCGGCCAGGCGCTGGACATTGCGCGGCGGATGCGAGCGCGACAAGTTGTGCTCACACATTTCAGTCAGCGATATCCGTCGCTCCCGCCGCCAGTATCGGACGGCGAAAGCAACATTGCAACTGCAAATGTGCTGTGTGCGTATGACGGATTCGTGCACCCGATGCCGTTCTGAGTGTATTTCGCTAGTAGTGCAGTGGTGTGTGGAGTACATGTATCCAAAGTCGACCAACTCAGATCATAGAAGGTGGATAGATACGCTTCGACCGGCAACTTGCAATCACGTGCTTACCAATGTTGCAGATTACACCTCGCAAGCGGTGATGGCAAAGCTGTCGCAATGCCCGCCGTCGATCCCGAGATCGCCATTTTCACGCAAGCCTCAAGCACGGGGATCGACAATCTCAACATCTTCACACGAACAAACGCTTCATGTTTACTCCGTCGGCAAGCGAGCGTCGTCGCTCCAAGGCTTGGAGGCAGGAAGCCACACGTGAATGCAAATTCGTGCAACCCCAAAACGGATGGTGTCCGATAGATTGTCGTACCGGATCTGTCTAAAGTTTCAACAGATACCCCGGAATTTTAATATCCCTAGCTCACCGATGCCATCGTTTTAAGAATAAATACTATATCGAACTGAGATGTAACCCAAATAATACATATCCCTCTAATGGCAGTAGCTATTGCGGTTAATGTGTTTGGGAGGATCGAGTTGCCTATCCCGTCTGCCACAAAAGCGAGAGCTTTTCCGCTTTTCACGCTGCAAGTGGCAAGCGGCTCGGCTGGCATTCGCAGATTCGACTCGATGAGCATGGGGAAGGGCAAGATGTGGTCGCAGGACCGCGCCATGTCGACGGGCGAGGCGCCGCTGCCGCTGCTGAGCCCGCTGCAGAGCGGCCAGAAGGACATCGCGCCCATCTACAAGTTCGTGCTCACGGGCGGCCCGTGCGCCGGCAAGACCACGTCGCTCGACCGGCTGAGCACCTTCTTCCGGGACCGCGGCTTCCGCGTTTATGTGGTGCCCGAGGCGTCCACGCTGTTGCAAACGGGTGGTGCCTTCTTCCTGTGAGTGCACTTAACCCCCTGTCGCGTTAACACTATCCTAACCAAGGAGGTGCTAACCGCGCAACTTGTTGCCTTTCACCTAAACTGCAAAATGCAACAGGGACCTCAAGGAGAAGGACATTCTAAACTTCCAGTGGCAGATTCTGAATCTCCAGATCTCGCTCGAGGACTCGTTCTATTCTCTGGCCCAGGACAGTGGCAAGCCCTGCGTGATCCTCTGCGACCGTGGAGTGATGGACGGCTCGGCTTACATGACGCCCGAGCAGTGGGAAGAGCTCAAGCTCGAGCACGACCTGGACACCGTCACGCTGCGAGACACGTACGTCAAAATTCTAAAATCTGGAACGGTTCTAAAAATTGACAGTGGCAATTTTTTTCTTGTTGCAGGCGCTACATTGCCATTTTCCACCTCGTGACGGCCGCCGAAGGCGCCGAGAAGTTTTACTCTCTGGAGAACAATGGGATCCGCATCGAGTCCATTGAACAGGCTCGTGAGATCGACGCGCGCACTTGTCGCGCCTGGATCGGACACCCGAAGCTCTACGTCTTCGGTACGAACATTCGTTATCGGTTTAGATAGATAACACTTTCAGTTGCTTATGTGAAGTTGTTGCAATGATGCAGATAACTCGACGACTTTCGAGGGCAAGATGCAGCGTCTTGTGGACACGGCGGCAGGATTGTGTGGCATCCCCACCACCGTCAAGGCCTCCAGGAAGTACCAGCTGGCTAAGACGCCGATCGAGATCCCGTTCCACCACGAAGACTTCGAAGTCGAGAAGGTCTACCTCAAGCCCGAATCTGCCAGTATGTTGCTGCATCGTGTGGGTTGCCTTCGAGAGATTATGCTTGAGGTACTAATGATGTTTTCTTTGCGTTGTTACTGCAGAAACAAGCAAGGACTATTCGTTCGTGCGTTGCCGTTCGCAGTATGGCATCCCCGCCTACGGCATGACTACCGTCCGCTACCTCGACACCGGCGACGCGTACGTTTACTGAACTCAAATGGTGTGTTATTAGCTGGATTTGAGTATTAATTAACACTGTCAATTTTTGCTTTGCAGGGTGCACTTGAAGCGCGTCCTCAGCGCCCGCGAGTACTCGTACGCCGTACGACACCGCAGTGACCCGACGCGCAATGTGATCAAGCAGCAGCGCATGTGCTTCCTGTACAAGAACCAGTCGTTCCAGATCCACGTCTACAAGGAGCCCGTCGAACTCGCCGGCTTGGCTGTGCTGCACGTGCAGGCGTCGTGCGAGAACGACCAGGACATCGTGATGCCGTCGTTCCTGAACATCGAAAAGGAGCTGCCCGACACCGACGAGTCCATGTCTGCGTATAATGTGTCGAAGAAGGATCTGGTGGAAGGTGAGAAGGAAGCAGCGCACGTGTAGGACGTGGGTCCTCACCCAAACTAGAATACTTTCGCACTGGCATGCCCAGCTACTAGGGATTTGTTCGCACCCGAGGCTGCAAACTCACGAGGAGCTCATTTATTCACAAAAAGAAAGAAAAAAAGCGGGTGGAGCGTTTATCGGTGGTTGGCTGAGTGCACTCTACATCCACATCTCACGCATCGAAGCAAAGGTGCACGAATTGTTGATAAACTTTATGAATTGAGCAGAAATACTTGCTTAAAACCAAATATTGTGGTTTTCAACTATTTTGCCGCTCGATTTGACGTGTTATCTCGGAGTCCGATTTATATAAAATGTAGCTCCTACATGATCGGTTAGTCCAATTTAGCTATATCTGACCTGAGTTAGTAGCATAAGGCTCAGAGGGGAGGCATTCCAAGTTGGCCATACCTCCTCACCTCTCATGACGCATTAGAACTGCAAAACATTGGGGACAATAGTACACTGTATATAGCCACTTCGTAGCACTATGGCCAGCTAAAATCACTGTGTGATCATATACGGCCGCTACAACCTCGTGCCACGCCGATCTGAGAGGGCCCCAGACATGTTTTCGCGGCGGTCCCTTTTGCCGGCGAAAAGCGGCATTTCTGGCCCCTGCTTCGCAACTCGCAGCCCCCAGACGTAAATCGGGCCAGATATAGTTTGCTTCCCTCGGCCCTCCTGCTAAATCGGAGCACTCCAGCAAATCGGGCCCGATATATCGGACCACCCGATTTGCCAAAACGGATGAAAGCCATAAACATCTACAGACAACGACTTACAAAGCCGGCAGACACAAAAAGCCGGCAGACGAAGTCAAGCAAAGCTTAACATAAGCAAACCAGCCAATCAGATTCAATCAAATGACTTCATCTTTGTATACCATCTGGTTTTGTGTACTTTATATGCTTTCTTGTGTACTTTATGCAGCACGCCCGTGTGTTTTATGACAGTTTTACAGATTTGACGGGAGGGAATTTATCGTTGTTTTTATATAGGAGGATGGCATTAAGCATGCTGGCTTTGTAAGTCGTTGTCTGTACCCATCTTCCCGGATCTCTCCTGTGACGCTTCACCATGGCTTCTCGCCCCTCGTACAACTTACGCGATGATTTCTTTCAGCCCCTGGCTTCGACGAGGTTGACTCCGTGGTCAATAGTGGTGTCCAGCTTGCTAAAGCTACGAGAGCGCGGCGACTACGAAGTCTCCAGCGCCCGTTCTGTTGAATTTATCGTGAGGGAGCTCGAAGGTTTTGGGTTTCGGTGCGAGCCTGAGCTTATAGTGACGAAGTTGCAGTGGATCCGCGAGACAATTACCACAGCGGCGGTAGATCCGAGCGCGACGAGCAACAATACTGCGAATTATGAAGTGCAGACGCTAGATTTAAGGATGGAGATGATGCTGCCAAATCCATGGATGGAAGCAGTCTGGCAAGATTTTGACCTCTTGATTGATCTATTGCTCACCGAGGCGGAGCGTGCAAGTTTACGTCGGTTTAGGGAAGTTGTTGCTCGAGAAGATGACGCAAAGCGGGAGCGTGAAGAAGAAGTTGCGGAATTCTATCGATGTGGGGGAGGGACAGCGGACGTGATGGCAAAGAACGACACGGAGTGGAATAACCCGTTGCCTTTGGGTGGTCCTAGTCCTGTACGAAGGTTGGAAGAATGGATATCCACCAACTACAGATCGTATTGCGCGTCTGACACTAGCGACAAGAGTGCCATGATCCAGGATCTCTGCAGAACGATGAATGCCGCAGGATGGTCCAGCTATACGATGACAAAGCTCGAAGAAAAGATCAACGACATGATTCGAGAGGTCAATGCGGAAGACGGACGTCGTCATCGCCTACGAGATAGCGGTGATGACTATTGCTGCTTGGCTGACTTCGTAGCTCGAAGATAAGCCTAAATTGCTAGGTGGGCACGTAAGACTCCACGCATGAGATGAAGATTCTCTGGTGGCAAGGGTGATGGCCGAAGTATGTGAGTGTGCTTATGTTTTAGTGCAATCAGTATTGATAACCATCTCTGAGAGAGAGCTCAATCGCTGGTGCTGTCAAAGTTGCACTAGGCACCGCAACTTGCACTAGGCACCGCAACTTGCACTGGTCTACATGTAGTGCTCTTATTTTTTGTAGACGTTCTCGACTCCTGGCGGCTAGTCCGGTCCGCTCGAGATTTTCTTTTTAATATTTACGTTTTATGATTCTTTCAATCGTGCATTGAGTTGTATAACAAGCACAACATGGATAACTTTACTTGCAAGAAAAATCACCACATGTTCACATATACATATATGCCTCTTAGGGCAGTGGCAGATACACATCGATTTCTGCTTGAGGTACACCTCGCTCTCTCAAATCATGTCGCTCGCGCAAAATCGACGCAATCAAAGCGACTTCATTCAGCGATGATGGGGGAGCGCGCTGGCGATGCGATGTGTGCTCTCGTTGGTGACTGTCTTCATCGTCCAGTTCGATTGGAGCTCGTCGTGTACCGATGGGCTCGAATTTAATCCGCGGCCTGCTGGTCGAAGGTAGCTCCGACAATTCACTCGTTCTGTCATGAGCCAAGCCGTCGCTGGAACTGCTCGCAGTACGGGCGTGCATATCATCTCTTTCCACCCCATTGTCTTCATCTTCAGTCATGCGGGGTTTCACTTTCCGTGCTGTTGCCATCATCGCTATCCAAATCATTGGAAGGAGAGCGACGTATCGGGGCAGTTTCTCCACCGAAGATTTCTCGAAGACGCGCTTTGTACGGGGACAGATTTTCCGACAACTGGCTTCGTTCCACTTGCTGTTGTAAGCCGTGCATTTGAGAGCGAATCCTCGACAAAGTGCACCCGGTGTGACCAGAGGCCTCAATCTTTTGCTTCAGCTCCTTCAGCATATTCGCTCCTTGCTTCTTCTTAATGGCGCGACTCAACTCTCCATAGTTGCGCTCTAGCCAGGTCACCATTATCTCCGTAGCGCAAGGTCCACCAGTACACGACGGAGCGAGCCAGAAGAACGTATTCCTGTCGCCGCTTTGCCCTTTATTGCCCCCTTCTTCACTAACTGCTGGAGCTTTGGCATCTGCTCTGGTCCGCTCCGCATTCTTGCGAGCATGGCGTCGACTCGGTACTTTTCCCCCTTTGAAAACTTTTTGCAGACGGCCGGCGTACGGTGACATTGCACCTGCATATCGCTGCCCCCTCCTCCAATTCAGCTGCAGATGGCCGATCTGCGACTGAACTTTCGAGAATGTACACCCGGAATGACCCGCGGCCTTAATCTGCTCCACGAGCTCCTCTAACACTTTATACGTTTGTCTCTTCTCCATAGCGCGAATAAGCTTGCCATAGTTGAGCTCCAACCAGGTGACCAGCATCTCCATAGCACTCGGACCTCCAGTCGGTGACGGACTGTGCCAACTAAAGTTACGGACTTTACCGGTGTCGGACTGCGGTTTCTTCTCTTCTTTTTCTTCTTGATCGGGCTCCTGTTTAGTGACTAGCACAAGGTGCAGGAGCCTCTCTCGATGGGGTAATAGGTCCTTGAATATGGCGTGGCTCAGCGTGGCCTCGTCCAGTAGCAGCTCCTGTAACTGCTGGAAGTCCGCCAGAATGTCGTCTAGGTCGCACTTGACGCCGCGCGAGTTGAGCTGCTTGGCGAGACGGCGCAGCTCCTTGAACTGGTCGCGAGACTGAAGGTACGAGTCCTCGTTGGCCACGAACCAGTCAAGAAGCAGCTGCACGGGCGTCGGCCCGCGCACGGACACCGGGCGCATCCAGTTGATCTGGAGGTCCGGCGGCATCTTACTATTGAAACGGATGATACCAATCTGAGAACTTCCTAAATGGAATGAATTAATCAGCGATCGCTTTTTGTGGTTATCAAAGGTTAGGTTTCTCATGTTTCTCAAACATAAGAAAACTTAATAAGCTTCAGCGTACCTAAAGTCTAAGCTTAGGGAAGAATAGATACGAGTGAGGAGAGAAAATCAATTTCTTGAAGTGTAGACGCATCAACTATTCGCGTGTAAATAACGAATGGTCTGAAGCCTTACAACTCCGTTGTTTTATTTTTCCAAGAACATCTTTCTTCAGTGCTAAGGGAGAAGGTCGCCACAGTTTTCACGTACTGCAATAGTTCGACATCCAGCTCTTTCCCAACGCACAATACTGCATAGCCCTCCGACTCATACCTCCTCACGGCAGCGGGAGATACTTATCAATTTCTGCTTGGGGTACGCCGCGCTCCTTCAAATTGTACCGCTCGCTCAATATCGATGCAATCAAAGCAACTTCACTCGGAGACGACGGGGGAGCGCGCTGGCGACGCATTTGCGGATTTTCAGCTTGCTCGTCGTTGTCTCGATCCAGTTCAATTGGGTTCTGTCGTGTGCCCAAAGGTTCCAACTTGATGCACGCTCTGTCAGCCATTTTCGTCGTCGATAGACCACCCTGGGACGACTCGCCCATCGAATGGGCGTGAATGCCATCCCTTTCCTGCCCATTGCCACCATCTTCACTTTGTTCGGGGGCTTCGCTGTCCGAGCTGGAGACGTCGTTTTGCTCCAAGTGTTCGCAAGACGAGCCGCTTGCTGAAGTCTGTTCTTGCGCGAAGATTTCCCGAAGCCGCATGTTGTACGACGAGAGAGATCGAATCGAGTACTGACCGGTCGCATGACACTTGAGATTGTTGATCTGCGAACGAATCTTGTCCGTTGTGTAGCCGGAATGGCCAGAGGATTCCATTTTGCGGAGCAACTTCAGCAGAAGCTTGTGCCCTTGGTGCGATTTGGCAGCACGTGCGAACGCAGGGTAATTGCTTTGCAGCCAGGTTACTAGGATCTCCATTGCACAAGGTCCACCGGTAGGGGAGGGACGATGCCAATTTAGCTTCTCGGTCTGGTGAACTCTAGACATTCGTTGGGCTCGATCGGAGGGTTTCGCTTGGTTTGAACGGGAACCTTCACGGTTTGGTGTTCCATTCCTGGCGAGCATCAGACGCAGCAGCCGCTCTCGACGACAAACTTTCGCTAAAGTCACCCTTGACGCCTCAAGCGTTTAGTGTCTTCGTTCTTCTTCAGGGCCCTCTTATCGGTTTGCTGTATACCGAGACGCATGTACGCGTCCCAGACCAGGAAGCTGATAATGCATCCCAAATATGTGCCCAAATCGCCCCAAATATCCCAAATAATGAATTGTCTCTGTAACATTTAGGTACATGTTTGGGGCCAAGTATATGACTGCTTTCTCGTAAAACTATCCCAAATATGTACCAAAACGGAGTTGACTGATTATGGTCTATAGTCTATGGGCGAGGGCGAGTGGACGCGAGCGCGAGCCTCACTCGATGCATTCACTAATCGCCAACACCCGCCGATTAGGCGGGGGCGTGTCTGTGCGAGCGAGCGAACGCGAGCGCTGCAACCCGATATTTTTTTTTCTAGACACCGCGCCTGGCCGAGACGAGGAACTTAGCGTAAGGGACAAGGGGGTGGGGCAGGCCGCGCAGCGGCGCCCCCCGGGCCCCCCGCAGACCCGTCGCTAAGTCCGCAGACGAGAGCCAACGCGCGAGTGTCCGCCCTGTGCTGCTCTTTCATACTGAAGGTTATTCTGTGCTAAATATGTACCAAAACGTTCCCATGGTCTTAAATCATTTGGGAAAAACTTTGGGATTTGGGGCGTTTTCGGGGTGCATTATCCAATACCCCAGACCATACGTGACAGTTGGTAGCATTTGGCATTTGCTTTTTTTTTGCCACCCAACGGCTCGGCAAGTACGGCTACCATGTCCCAGAAAGCTGACAAGTACGCGCTGCGATTCAACTGGACCATGAAGATGGCGTCTGAGAGCGCTCAATTAGAAGTCACGCCCATAGCACTTCTTGTCGATTGGTTTCTCATTCATTACCTGGACTTCTTTCAACCTTCAAACACTGCAGAAGTGCTTGAAGGGTTCCGCAAGAAGCTGGTGGCGCGACAGGTCCGTGGCTGCACCATCGACGACATCGATGCACAGGTTAAGCGTCTGATCACTGATCAGGTAGGTACGGCAAGGCTAGCAAAGATTGATGCAGGAACTAATGTTCAAATGCTTCATACGTTTTTTTTTGACAGCGAAAATCCAATTCTGCTATGGTCGCAGCCGAATGAAAGAGGCCTCAGCAGAATGGAGATCTTGGTCAAGTGGTTTGAAGCGAACTACAGTGCGTACATTGGATCAACCAACGCGACCAAGTTGTCAATGATGAAAGCGCCTCGAAACGAAACCCAACGCCTCTCTGTGCGCTTCGCGACTTGAGGGCCATGATTTCGACGTTGACGGCCACAGATCACTCGTCACTCTGTCTTCGAGTGCTCTCAGACAGGCTGGACCGCATTCTTCTCGGTGCTCAAGCGAGGCGCGACGACCGTATCGAGTTGAAGGCTGAGCCTATGGATGTGGCCAGTCAACACAATCTACCCAACACTGTGAGCCCACCACATTCTGAGACGCGAGTACGCCGCCGTGCGGCGCGAATTGTGACCTCACACAGCTATTTGCAAGTATCGGAGCATCATGATAGCGCTATGGAGGAGAGCAAAGACGACGACATGGAAGAAGGGATTCAACGGCATGCGCATGAGGGCGAAACGGAGTCAAGTACTGAAGCTCGGGTGAAGATCGAGTGGCCAGGAACCCCAACGATACAGGTCGAAATTGACTGATGAGGACGAGAACCGAGGCAATGCAGCTACCACCCGAGTTCTTACCCATTTGACGAAGATGAACTCAATACGCGTGAGCTCGTTGCTCTCGGACGAAAGGTGCTGCTGGACAGAGGTGTTCCTATTGAGGAAGTCGATGTTCTTCACCCAGGGCGTCTTGTATCGCGAATGCTGCGCTACCCTTTCAGCCCGGCGGAGATCCAGCTCCGCACGAAGCCCGGGTGGAAGCGTCAGGGACTACGCACTATGGGGGTTCAAGCATCTGCGATTGATGCGTGCCTGCCGATGCCGTCGCCGTGACAACCTTGATCGTTTAGATTAGCAGTTTGTGTAACTTTCTTGTAGCCGTTTGAATGCAGTACCTACTTGAATTGTGCGTTGCATGGAATTCCACTTTTCGGTCTTAACTGCTATGCGTAACACGAGGGTTGCTAAAGCAAACAACACATAACGAACGATCTTTAGATTATCTGAAGGTACACTACAGTACGTTCTTGAAGCCAACCTGAAGCATTAGCTTGCTCTCCTCCCTCTCGATATGAACAAACTTAGACGTCGGGCAATGGGAGGAACTTGTCGATCTGGTCCTGAGGCACGCCTCGTTGGTGGAGGTCGTGTCGCTCACGGAGTAGCGTCGCGATTCGCACAATTTCGCTCGTCGATGGAGAGTTGACAGGAGGCACCTTCGGTTGCAGCACCTCCAGCTTCGTGTTCACCTTCGCCAGATCGAATCTACCTGGCAACACTTGCAGACTACTGTTACCATTCACAGTGGCCTCTTCAACCCTCTCCGGCAGCACCTTCGGGCTGGACTCTTCCATTGAGACGTCGGTTCTACCTTGCAGCATCTGCGGGGCGCCGTGTACCTTCGCCACTTCGATTCTCTCCGGTAGAGCCTTCGGACTGGCGTGCTCCTTTGCTGGTTCGCATCTCCCTTCTTCAACGTCGCTATCAAACGGGTTCGTCGCGTGGCTCGGGCTGCTGCTGAACGCGTGAGTGTTGGAGTTGCTGACGCCACGATTCTCGATGTCGTTCACGTCAGCCTGCTCCACCACGAAGCTGACAGGATTCTCGTCGCAAGTCAAGAAGCTGCTCGTGCTCTCTTGAATGTCCTCTTGCTCACTGTCGCTTTTGTTCGACGCCGCATCTTCTTGAGTCTCCACAATAACGCGTGGAGAGGCCGACATTTTCTTCGGTGCAATGAGATCAAGCCCATTTTTCTCCTTCTTCTTCTCTTTCTCTGCGAAGACCCTCCTCAGCGACTCCCCGTACTGCTCAAATGCCGCGGAAGGTCTCGACTTGCCCTCCACTTGTCTCTGCAGACTGTCGATCTTGACTCGAATGGCGTGGATCGTACACCCGCGATGCCCACTGGCCTCGATCTGACGTAGAAGCTTCGCCAGCATCCTCCCCTTGTCCCCCTTCTTGGCCGAGTGGGTGTACGACGCATAATTGTCCTCCAGCCACTCTACCAGAAGCTCCATAGCACACGGTCCACCCGACGTCGGTGGCTTCATCCACGACAGTCTCCCGGTGGGGCTACTACGCGCGATTTTCTCGGCCAACGAGAGCTTCACCTCACCCGTACTACTTTGAATTGGAGGAGGTAGTCTGGGCTCGTTGTCGTAGTCTGTGTGGTCTCTCATCTTGGTAGAATCGTCCTCCCCCATGTCGTGGTCCTCGTCCTCCAGCTTCATGTCCTCCTGGTCCTCGGCGGCGTCCCCCACCGTGAAAATCTCCTCGAGCACAGCTCCGAACTGCTCGTAGGCGGTAGAACGGCCCTTCTCCCCGCGCACTTCTCTCTGTAGAACGTCGATCTTGGAGCGCACCGTGTTCACGGCGCAGTCGAGGTGGCCGGCCTCCTTGATGACGTCCACCAGCTGCTCGAGCATTCTACCCTTGCCGCCCTTCTTGGTAGAGTGGGCGTATGCAGTGTAGTTCTCGCGCAGCCACTCGACCAGCACCTCCATGGCGCTGGGGCCGCCAATCGCCGACGGCTTGAGCCACGACAGACGAGTGGTAGAGCGCGAGCGCGCCTTGTTCTCCAAAGGTAGAACGGCACTACTTTCCTCAAACTGGCCGTCCTTGAACAGGAGCTGCTGGAGCTCGGACTGGTAGGGTCGCAGCTGCTCCGGTAGGTCCTTCCCCGCCGCGGCGGCGTCCTGTACTACCTCCTGTAGGTAGCTTACGTAGTCCAGGATCTGGTCCACCTCGCAGCGCACGCCGCGCGCGTTGAGCTCCATGCAGAGTGGGCGTAGAACCTCCCGCTGGTGCGCGGACGCGTGGTACACCACGCCATTGTGCGCGAACCAGTCGAGCAGGATTTGCACCGGCTTGGGGCCGTCCGCCGACACGCAACGGTGCCACTCGATGTCCAGCGCCGACATTTGTGCGCCGGCAGCTTCGATTTTGACTTTTTGAGTTGCTGGAGGGAGGGAAGGAAGAGGAGAGGGGGTGAAATAAAAAAGAGAAAAAGAAGAGAGGAGGGAATTGGGTAAAAAGTACTTCTGATTCGTTGTTTTTGGACATAGAGAGAAGGAGATAAAGAAGAACCAGTGTGAGGACGAGAACTGGACCGAAAAAAGGGATGATCTTTTTGCTCAAAAACAAAGATTTATGGATGTAAATGTGAGCGATCCCTTCGTGGTTTGTTAGAATCAAGGCGAAAGAGAAGTTGCCTCTGGCAGCGGATGAAACGCGTCGATAACGCGTTCGACCCAGACGCAACTTACGGCGCTCGGTGGCCAGTAGCTTGAGGCCGTTGACGGAATTCGGTCCAAACGGGTACTTGCTTGTCAGTGATGGTGGGGTCGGAAGCAAATGATCAATTTCGACGTCGGGGACTCCTTCATCGTGTAGTTTCTTTCTGGCGAGACACACTTTCTTGCGGGTTTCAATACTTCTCACACCTAGGTGAGTGTAGTCCTCATACACTTGTCTCGGGGCCGGGAAAAACAGTTCAATGTCAGTGATGGAGACATGCGCGTCCTGCAGTTTCTTCCTGGCGAGACACGCTTCCAAGCGGATGTCAATGGCTTGTGTGCTCAACTTGGTGACATCAAACTCATCCATGGGTTTCGGGAGAAATAATTCGATATCAGCATCGGGAACGTTTGCACCTAGGAGTTTGGTCCAACACCGTACGACGCGACTGCGATTCTCCATAGTACTCGGGAGGACAATTTGTCCGATCCGTGGTTTTTTGCTTCGTCTTCGCTTTCACATTTGATGTCGACGAGCGTGCAATTCCCACTTCCACGCCTCTGTTCTGGTCCAGCTGCAACGTCGTCCACTTGGCTACCAGTCCGATCTCGAGCTTCTGCATGTGCATCAGGTGCAGACGCCCCGACAGGTAAATCCGTCGACGTGCTCCGGTCTTGTGACGCATCCTCCGAGAAAGTACCAGCACTTCGATCAATTTCACCTACCTGATCCACTTCCATTCCGGAGGCTTCTTCTCCTGCCTCATTCGAGCCATCACGAGCAGCTCCAAGATCACGCTGTGGATTCGATCCAGTGTTTTCCGCGGCATTGCGTTGCTCCTCCGGGTTTGAGAGGGCAGTGGCGGCGTGAATGTCCAGGTTTTCCATGCGTTCAACCACGCCGGCACTCACAGGTGATGGGTCCCTCCCAAAACGAGCGCAGTGCCTCATGTTAGACTCCAGATTCGGGTCGTCTTCTGTCGCCTGGCTGTCGACCACGTCTTCGCTCTTGGTCTCTTCAGTCTCACTACGCCGGGTTGAAGCCCTCCCCACTTCCCTTTCGTTACTATCCGCCGAAGGCGTGGAATCAGCGCAGTCCGGAAAAATCTCCCTCAGTGCGGCATCGTGCTCGATGAATCCTGGTGAGAGGGGCTTGTCACCACGTGCCTCTCTCTGTAGACTGTCGATCTTCGATCGAATTTGATCTACTTCGCACCCACGATGTCCAGCAGCGGCCATGTCTTTCACCAATTGTAGGAGCATCGTCTTCTTCACCCCCTTTTGTCCAGTACCGAATTCGGAGTAGTTGTCTTGAAGCCATCCGACGAGTAGCATCATTTTGGTTGGACCCCCTCCCTCTGGTCGAGAAGTCCACGACCGTTTTACATGTGCCCTCTGGTCTGTATGGTTCGCATTGTGCGGCGCATTGGAGTGCACTCCGCGAACGCCTGCAGCTTGAACGTGGTTTACATCAGCTTCATTGTTGTCTTGATCGCTCATTTCGACATCTTCAGTGCCATACACCGCGCCATTCCCCGAGTGTCTCACAACACTGTTTTGTCGGCGCTCACGAGATTCGTCAAACAACTCCATGAAAAACTTGCGGTGATCTCTGAATTCTGACAAAGTTGTCCTCTTGCGCCTTTAGGCTTTTTTCGCCTCCTCCTTCAGCTTGTTTATCAGTCCAGCAATGGCTGCCTCCGTCCAACCTTCATGTCCAGCCATTGTTATACGTTCACTGAGTGGTCTCAGCATCGAAATCTGATCGTCTTCGTTAGCGCTGGCATACCTCTCGTAGTGGCGTGGGAGCCAAGAGATCAGCTGCAATATCGGACTCTGTTCGTCAGTGGGTGTACGCTGGGGTCCCGAGGGCGGCAGAGCTCTGTGTTGAGGTGTCGGTCGAGCATTGACTCGGCGACTTCTATTGGCTTCCTTTACGGCTTCTTCCTTCCTCTCGTCGAGTTTATCTTTATGTTCGTCGTCAGTGAGCAAGCAGTAGAGAAGACGAGCACGATAGGGCTTCAACTCGTTCGATAGAGACCCCCCACTAAAGTCGCGTTGTAGATCTCTTCCTTGAGCTTGTCAATCTTGAAAAAGATGTGTTCGACTTTGCATTGGACTCCACGGGCAGTTAGTTGGTGGTGTAGCTCTGACAGCTCCGCGCGGTAATATGTCTCACTGTTTCTCAAAAGCCACTCCACAAGAGCCAGAAGGGGGCAAGGACCACCATGCGGAGGAGAATGGAACCAGCGTACACGGAGAGCGCGTTTTCCTGGCGTTCGCGGCTGATCCACCTGGAGAAACGACCTTGGGTCTACTGAAAAAAACACCTCCGCCACTCCCAGACAGGTCTCGCTGTGTTTGATCTTTTTCTGCAAACGACTTCAGCTCATCTGCAGGTTCCCTCCTGTAGGAAGCTGTGACCAACGACTGTTATGCACACTGCGTGCAGGTGGAAAGGAAAACAACCGCTACAAGTATGCTATGCTCTCGTGTCGGACAAACAGTTAGTGCTATTAGTAGAACTGTTAGCGTGGAACTTCGAGCTAACTACAACTTGTGCGTTGCCCGAGACTGAGGAGAGCTCGCATGTGAGCCCTTCAGCTGGCGCCAAATTTTTCATTTTCAAGGGCCATCGGTATTAATGTTTCGGGTAACTTGCCCAGAGAAAACCAAACGAACGCACGTATCCTTACGGGATATTACTGGGATAGGAAGCAACGTTAGTGCTGCTATCGCAGACCAAATAGGATTATATCCGTGGTCCATCAAGTCAAACGATGACCCTTCTTGACATCTAACTGGTATATTTCTTGAAACCGGTACGGCTCTGGTGCCGCGGTTTATATGCGTGGTCAGATTGAACCGGTGTGCTACCGACGACACTGGTATGAATCAGTGCATATGTTGAGCAGGGTACGGATGGACGAAGAGAACGCTTGGACTGTACAATAGCACTAGAGGTACTCAGTAAACATCTGCATTTTCTACAAGCTGCAAAACAGATCTCAACCAAGGTTCGCATTTTTAATTTTGTAAAGCATTACCGGTAGACAGTTTGAACTGGCAAATATCCGGACAGATGCTGCGGCGCAGGAGATGACCGTAGCTAATAAAAAAAATAAAAAATAAAAAGAAGGGGTTTATACCAAAATTCTCCTATCCCAGCCTTCTCGGAGCCCTAGTTATCAGCAGAGACCACAAACAACGACCCATTTGGCAGCAGAGATCACAAACAATGTGATTGGTTATTTATTTTGAGGTAATAGAGACTTGCCGGTGTTGATGTTAGTCGCGAAAACGGACCGGGCTGCAACCACGAGCGCGCCAAGGTCAAGGCTCGATCTGCTGCGTCTTCACGGTCTCGACGAACCAGTTCTGCACGCACACATCCCTGATTTACCCGAAGCCGGGCGATTCATCAGACGTTATGCTTTGAATAACAACTTTGGAGTTGAGCGCAACAAAGGCACAGGTTGTCAGAAGCGTTGGTATTGCATCGATAGCAACTGTACGTGGTCTATTACGTTGACAGAGAAGCGAGATTCTTCAGCTACCCCAAACGACACACAGCGCAAGAAGCCCAAGACCAAGCTGTCCGGCGTTCCTGAAGGTTCATGGTATATTGGCAAGCTCGATCTTCAACATGGTCAGTGCTGCTGTAGTGTACCGAAGTTCATGCTTGAAGATATTGTGAAATTACCAGGATTCAAGGCCGCCATCGTGGAAGGACACAACACATCGAAGGCACGAGTAGTGAACAGTATTAAACAAATCGACGGCTTCGACCTCCCTGCGCATTCTTCCCTAGTGTACCGTGCCATTCGGAAGGCGAAGGCTAGCCAAAAGAAGGATCCCGTCGACGAATTCGGTAAACTACCTAGTTTCTCACCTAGTTTGCAGCCAAAAACACTGGATGAAGAGCGTGCCTTCAACTAGACGCGGAAGGCAGATTTGTTAGGAGTTTTTTGTCGGTTGGAAGCGCTGTTCAAGTAGGAAATAGCCTCCTTCCAGTATGGGAATGTGATGGAACCCATATGAAGGACCCGGGGTAATGGAATATGTTTGACCCTCATTGGAAAGGATGGAGAAAAGAAGAATGTTCCTGTTGCCGTGGCGTATATACACAAGGAGACTGTCGACAATTTCGCCTGGTTTCTCTGCAACTGTGTAGCGGCTGGGTTACACTTGTACGACCGGCCTATGATAGAGGTAAACAGCTTGGCGCTGAAGTGCTCCTCGCCCAACTCGGTCTACAGGTTCATCTCAAGTTCTGCTCGTTGCACATTCGCTTCAACACCATGGACCGATTTAAGTCTTTGAAGCTGAATCAAGAGCGTTTGAATGACGACATTTTCGAGTTGCAAATACGATGCAGCGATTGATCGCTTACGTACAAGATACCCAACTGGTATTGTTAAGTGTGCGGGTGACAAGGTGGTAGCAGAACACGTACACGAGTACCTTCGTCGCATCTATCCCACCGACTGGTGCGTGGTTGGTAACATGAAGCCAACGCCCGCAGAATTGTCGTGGCTGAATGAATCTTGGGGCACTGTTTCTAAGCATGGGGATCCACTACCACTATTCAGGGTGCGCACTACTAGCGGCATCGAAGGTGACAATAATGGCCTACTCTGGACTCGTGTACGCGAAAATTTGGTACTCAGCTCGCTGATGGCGTTTTGTACTCATGCGGTTAGTGTTTGCCAGAAACGATTGAACTTGCTCAGAAAATGGCACATGGCGAAGTTTGACGTGACCTCCCATGCTAAAAAGCTACTAGGCGCAGAGAAGAAACACGTTGCCAAGCTAAACGTTTTGCCGGCAAAGGAACCTCTATTTTACGTGTTTGATGCTTTTGACGAGCGAAATGTCTGTGGAAACACAAATGTGGCTGAGGTGGATATGGACAAAGGCATCTGTACACGTTGTATGGTATCTGAGCAGCTGCAAGTGCCATGTCGGCACATCCAAGCTGTAATATTCTCAAGATCTAAGCTAAACGACTCTCCGTTGCCGATGTACGACACACGCCACTATTTTCACCAGGCGTACTTGGTGCCAAAACTCTACGATGTTTTCTCGGCTGTCAACATCCGATTGCCTCTCTACGATACTTTGTCAATGACAAGCGCTGTGAAGCCTTCTCCATTGTCTCTTCAAGCCGGGCGACAGATCCAACGATCTACGGAAGTCGCTGATGTTACTAGAGCTGCCAAACGCACCAAAAACCGTGGAGAAGGACCTGATCGGTCGAAAAGGGCAGCTTCAAGCCTTTTACAGCCCTGTGAGGTGTCAGACGAAGACGATGCGACCCAAGAAATAAGTGAGTTCTTTGACGAGAACGAACGATCATCCGTTGCCGTGACTCGGAGCGATTATACCTGCACCAATTGCGGCAACACAGGTCACAACACTCGCCGATGTACTACTGTGACATGCAAAGTAGAAGAGCGTGGTGTCGGCATCGTCCCAGGCGAGTATGTTGTGGGCGAGTCTCCGTTCATTGCTTGTGGTATTCAGGACCGTTACTGCATGCTTATCATAAACTACAGATAGGTCATCAGACGCTAGATAAGGGTGGGGTATTGCATTTTTCTATACATCAACCAAACATTCCACAAACACTGTACTCAGTAGTTATCCTGCAGCTTCTGTGTAATCTATAGAAGCCTTAGTAAGACGTTTTGTATAAAACTCATGCTTTATCTATGAGTCGTCGCATGGATCCATGAATCTACTTTGCTGTATCTATGAGTCCTCATATGGATCCATGATCCATCCGTGCGATATCTATGAGTCACGTTCTGGATCCGTCATCATATAGTGCTTTGTCTATAAGTCGCTGAATTGATCCATGATTGTATAGCGGTTTATCCATGATTACATGTCTGCTTTATAGACTATATAAAGAAATGGTTCCTATATTATATATGAATCCCTGTAAGAAACGGCGAGTGTACTCTATAATATCCACGAGATTTCACGTGGATCCATGACCGAACACTAGCAATTCCTTGATTTTCCACGGGGATCCATGAAAACACCTGGATGATCCATGACGACTATTGTCGAAAAATTTCTGTAGCTCTAGAAAATAAAGGATTACCGATAAAAAAGTAGCCAACATATATATATATCTACTAGAATTAACCTAGATCCATGCTCTTGCCGTCGACAATCCATGATAACCTACTCGGACCCATGAATCAACGTGAAGGATCCATGAGACGTCGTGCGGATCCATGAGAGTACCATAAAGACCACGGATCCATAAGTAAAATAGCCTATTGTAGTTGCATTCACTTGTTTAGTTGGATGGAACAGTTGTATAGTCGGTCATATGTAGTATAAAATTTATAATGCAGATGTCTTACATTAACAGCGTGAAAATAATAACATATTTCTAAGGTCAGTAAAATCTATAAGAAATAATGCGGAATTTCCCTAGCGTAGGTCATAAATCCCCTACAAACGCGTCATACATGTTTTAAGGTTTAGTTTTTAATCATAATAGTTATAATAATAATAATAATTAGTATTATAAGAAGAAGAAGAAAGTGGTAAGGCTCCAAGTTGTGTAGACTTTATTTTACTTTAAAATAAACACCTACACTACTTTTTAAGCCTAGCATTTGTGGACGTCGTAGGTGTTCTTCTTGCCGAAGTGGTGTTTACACTTGGCGCAGTAGTTCCCCTTGTCGTTGTTGGCCTTGCGCTTCCGAGCGATCTCCTCCTTGCTCGGGTTGCTGTCGCAGTAGCGCTCATGGTTTGAGAGCGCCCGCTTTGACCACCAGTAGCTTCGTTCCCTCGTGAAGGGCAACCATGACCAACGACTGTACCCACTCGAGTCTCTTGATGGCTGCCGTGGTCTCGGTGGGCTGGAAATCGCGGTGCAGCTCCTCGGGCGGGCAGCCTTCCTGGACCTCGACGATAGTCCACTTCTTGTCGACAGACCACGCATGGTGCAGAAGCGACGCGAAATCCACCAAACGCTCGTAGGCAAGGCGGTAAATAGGTGGGTTAGCATTGATGTTATCAGACAAATTCAGTACAGCTTCGCGGTGCTTCTCGGTGGCCGTCGACCTAAACCACTTGGACTCTGGCACGGCATCAACGCCCGCCAGAGCCATCGCGACTTCATCAGCAGTCATGAAGCAGCGGACGACGTGGTAGCCGCGGTTCCATAGGCCGCATAGGATGGTAATCTTAGCCGGGGTAGAAGGCGTGGACATGGTAGCTCGGTTGGGTCGTTGGAGTGCTTGTCAGATCTTGAATTGCGTTGTGTGCGATCACAGTCGGCTTTCATGGATGGGTGTCGGCTCCTTGGCAGGCCTACTTATTATTAACCAATCACATCGTTTGTGGTCACTGCTGCAAAATTGGTCGTTGTTTGTGGTCTCTACTGATAAATATCCCGCACGGAGAAAGATAGATTTTTTACGGGTCATGTGAGGATCAGGACAATTTTGGGTCAGGTCAACTTTGGGTCAACCGTCGCGTAGCACCTTCTTACTACGTATAGAACGAATACAAGCTGACGTTTGACCCCATAACGCCTTGAGCAGATTGAGGACTTCCGAAGACGAGCTTGATGCGCTTTTTTCCACAACCTCAACAAGAAACTTCTTGTTCGATTGCAGTTACGTCGTACGAAGTCGGAGCAAACTCGCAGATGCACACGTTTCAAACGCTGACATCGATTTTTTTCTCCCGGCACCCACCCAGGCGTTTGATGTCACCATGTTGAGCGCACAAGATATTGACATCCGCACGGAAGCGTGTCTCGCCAGGAAGCATCTGCAGGATGAGCATGTTTCCATCACTGACATTGAACTGTTTTTCCCGGTCCCAAGACAAGTGTATGAGAACTACACTCACCTAAGTGCGGGAAGTGTTAAGAACCACACGAGGGTGTGACTAGCCAGGAAAGAACTACAGGACGCGCACGTGTGCGACTCTGACATTGAGTTGTTTCTCCCAAAGCACACAACGAAAGGCATCAAAATCCGCGAGAAAGTGTGCCTCGCCAGAATGGAATTATATGATGCACGAGTTCCCGACGTCGAAATTGATCATTTGCTTCCGACTCCACCCTCACCGGCAAGCAAGTACCCATTTGGACCGAATTACATTGACGGCATCAAGCAACTGGCCATCGAGCGCAATAAGTTGCGTCTGGAAGGCAGTCGCGAACGCGATATCAACGCGTTTTATCCGCTGCCAGAGGCAATTTCTCTTTTGCCGTGATTCCGACAAACCCACGATGGGATCATTCACATGCTATAAGTCTTTGTTCTGGGCAAAAAGATCACCCCTTTGCCTAATCTGTCCAGTTCTCGTCCGCAGGTGTTCTTCTTTATCTTCTTCTGTTTATGTCCAGCGCCGAACTTGTGCACCGGCTTCGCTTTTGACTTTTTGGATGCTGGAAGGGAGGGAAGTAAGTAGGTATTGGCCTTATGCGTGCTAGGTAAGGCACGAAAATTTCCGGGTTTTGCTATGCGTTCGATCATTGTGTTTTTTACCAATAACCATTCTTTCTTTAAGGTATGGAAATTTGTTTTCGGATCTACCATCATCTCGTTATTATTAACTTCTATGGTAAGATAAATCCAGGTACTTATTTCTTGCCTTTACCCTTGGCAGGTTTCTTCTCGGCCTCAAGTCGTTCCAAGTACTTCTTGTTCTCCGCCTCCATGTTCAGCAAGTGCTGCACCTCCGCTTCAGCCACACGTCGCGCTCGTTCCCATTCCTCAGCTTCACGGATTTCAGCTCTTTTCTTAGCGTTATCATCGTGCCACTCAGCATCTGCAATTCTTTTCGCCTCCTTGTCCTTCTCCACTTGCACTTGGTGAGCCTGCTCCTTCATCTCCTCCATTAACTGCGCACTCTTGGCCTCCGCTTGGAAAAACAACGCCTGGTTCTTCTTTAAAGACGACGCGATACTAGCGAGATCCGACTGACTCAACGTATTGCCAGAAACCTCCATCGAGATCAAACCGCTGTTCTTCGCCAACGCGTGAGCAAGAGAACGCCCCACTTCATGAGAGATCCCTGTATTAAACAGGTTCAGACACGTCAATGAGGTGTTGGCGATGATAGCGTCCGTAAATGGCACCACGTGCGCGAAAGCTGCCGCCAAGTGAGGCGGCACCTTTGACGGAGGACCAGACTGCACGTTGTCACTCTTAGCGTTGGTACCAGCACTTTCACTGCTGCTTCCGTTGCCAGTCGGCAGCTCCTTCGGTAGTTGGAAAACCGGGTTCGAGTTCAGCATCAGCGACGTCAGCACTGTGTTGGTCCTTAGTGCTTCTCCAATAGGCTGCAGCGAGACGTTGGTGAGATGATTGAAGCCTAGATCCAGCACCTGCAGCTTCTTGTTCACTGTGAGCATGTTGCCGATCGCAATACCGACGATATCCGTGAGCGCATTGTTCGAGAGATCCAACGAGACCACGTTCGTGTTGTTGCGCATCGCTCGGAGCAGGGCGCAGCAGGCTAAAGGGGAAATCCCACGCACTGCGAGTCTCTTGGGCGCCACGTTGGTCTCGATTTCGTGAACAATTGTGGCAGATTTAGGCTCGCGTTCTAAAGCAGTCCGCTCCAACGCGACGGCAGTGCTCAACGCGTCCTGGTAAGCTTGTTTCGTCCTCTGCATCTCGAGTTTGTGCAGAGCTGCCTCGTATTCGACCACAGCGGTGTCGTATTCATCGTCGTATTTATCTTGCAAGGATGCTAAACGCGCGTTGGCATCGCCAGTAGTGATGCCATAGCTAGCGAACTGGACCAGAAGAAGAAGTATGTTAGTTTTAGGTCCACCAAGAAGATAAATATTTGTACATACCTCGGCCTGCAAGTCGTCGGGAGCCAGCTCCAGAGCCACACGACGCACAGGTGCTACAACAGGCCGCTCCATCTTGCCTCTTGGTCGCTACAAAGTTGCAGCGTTGCGTCGCTTCACGTTCTTGAAAACGAAACTGGCATGGACAAGCACTGCGTTATCTTGGCTATCAATTGAATGAACTGTGGGTATATTTGGTCCACGATTTCGAGATATTCCTCAGGTAATGGCAGCACTCTGTCGATCAACTCCATCGTCATACCAACAAGCTTCGTTGAATACAATTGCGTTTGCTGTTCTAGCTCTGCAACATGGCGCGAAATCTTGGACGCCTTCTCTTAGAGAGAATCTCTATCATCAATTGTCCCTCTTGACGTCATCGGGCGGGAGCACAAAGTTGCTGAGGCGCAACCACTTGACCGACGTGAAGTAGTCCTGAGTGAGCAGCATCAGCGGCGCCATCACGCATGCCTGCGCAATGATCAATCCCACGAGATTTTCCGCAGTGGTGTGGAAGTATGACGCCGTGAAGAAGAGCAGGTACGTCGCCAACCCGCCCACCAGAACCAACCACGCGCGCAACAATGTCCGCTTCAAAGTCGGTCCAGTGCTCTCGACGCTCAGTGCGAACCACTCGAACAGCGGAATGGCCAGGTAGTGGCTGACGAGCAGCACGATGTGGTCCGAGTGGTCAAAGTCAGCGGGACAGCGTTTGCCACGGCGTAGATCCGCGTACCAGCAGGCATGGTCCGAGTGACCCATAAAGAGCCGCTTCTCCAGCAGCCCCAGGCCCATGTACAACACGACAGTGCGCAGCGCCATCACCGCTACGTACAGCAGCCCACGGCGCACGTACACGCGGACGCGAGGCATGGTTACGTTCGGCCCCAGCATCATGGAGCCGTAGTTGAACACCAGAGCCGACAGCGGAATGGCCCACGCTCCCTACACAGCACACAATACGCCAAGAGTCAATATTGCACAGTGAACGCCCGTCATAAACTGCACAGACTCACCTGCATCGAGCCCAGCACGGGCATGAGGTCCATGCCGGTGTAGCAAGGCGCGTCCTCGTAGCCCCCCGCCTCATTGTTGCAGCACGTGGTCTCAGACCCCTCGGGGGCGTCCACGTGCAGCCAGTTGGAGTCGCAGCTGCTCGTAACAGAGGAGTTAAACGTTAGAACTATGCGTCTAACGACCCCCAAATAGCGAGGAGCCTCACGTACTCGCCTTGGACGCGCACGAACTTGTGCGGGAAGCGGCGCGACGTGTAGAACACCACGAGCAGCAGCAGCGCGTTCACCACCAGGAACGCCCCGCGCGCATTGATCTTGTGCAGCTTCAGCAGCGCCTGCTGCGTCACCGAGAGCTTCTTCGGCACCGCCGGCCTGCCCCCCAGCATGATGGCGCTGATCTGGAAATGTATGGGAACGATGTGTTCATCTATGTGTGCCACATAATAGACATGTTGCCGTTGACCATCACTCCTGGCGAGATCCGACAGTTAAGTTGAAGTTTTCGCCTTCGCTTCGCTGTCGCAACTGGGACCTTGCTCGTCATTCCGCAATTTGCTGCCAAGCCCGCAAGCCGCCAGAGCTGCAAGCCCAACGACGCAATGGAGGACGACATTCAGGCTGTGGTGATTGACAACGGCTCGGGCATGTGCAAGGCAGGGTTTGCCGGTGACGACGCCCCGCGCGCCGTGTTCCCCTCCATCGTAGGCATGCCGAAGCACTTGGGCATCATGGTGGGCATGAACCAGAAAGACGCCTACATTGGCGACGAAGCGCAAGCGAAGCGCGGCGTCTTGACGCTGCGGTACCCAATCGAGCACGGCATCGTCACGAACTGGGACGACATGGAAAAGATCTGGAGCCACACGTTCTACAATGAGCTGCGTGTGGCCCCAGAAGAGCACCCGGTGTTGTTGACGGAGGCTCCGCTGAATCCCAAGGCCAACCGCGAGCGCATGACGCAGATCATGTTTGAGACGTTCAACGTGCCGGCGATGTATGTGAACATCCAAGCCGTGCTGTCGTTGTACGCTTCTGGACGCACCACGGGCTGCGTCTTGGACTCGGGGGACGGTGTTTCGCACACGGTGCCAATCTACGAAGGCTACGCACTGCCCCATGCCATTGTGCGGCTGGATCTGGCTGGACGAGACTTGACCGACTACATGATGAAGATCCTGACGGAGCGTGGCTACTCGTTCACCACCACGGCGGAGCGAGAAATCGTGCGGGACATCAAGGAGAAACTCACCTATGTGGCTATGAACTTTGACGAAGAGATGGAGAAAGCTGCACGGTCGTCTACTCTAGACAAGTCCTACGAACTGCCCGATGGGAACGTAATTGTGATCGGCAACGAGCGCTTCCGTACGCCTGAGGTACTGTTCAAGCCATCCATGATTGGCCGCGAGTGCACGGGCGTTCACGAGTGCGCTTTCCAGACGATTATGAAGTGCGATGTCGACATCCGCCGAGACTTGTACAACAACGTTGTACTCTCCGGTGGCTCTACCATGTTCCCCGGTATTGGAGACCGCATGACGAAGGAGATGACCAAGCTAGCCCCCACGGCGATGAAAGTGAAGATTATTACGCCACCCGAGCGCAAGTACTCCGTCTGGATTGGCGGCTCTATCTTGGCCTCGCTAGCCACGTTCCAGCACATGTGGATCTCGAAGACGGACTACGACGAGTCGGGGCCTTCCATTGTGCATCGCAAGTGCTTCTAAGGCAACCTGCGGCTCCTATTTCTGCGGGGAGGAAGACATCTTGAGGCTTTAGTGCTTCGGTGTTGGATCATTCTCGCCGCGATTCATGTTGTGTTAGGTTGAGGAGTACTTGCGAAGATTTTTGATCAGTGTTTGTTAACATGGCTCAACACAAAACAAGAGCTTGCCTCACGCTCCTTTCGCCGCCTCCACCTTGGTCAGACGAACCGCATCGGCGAATTCGGCAATGGGCTTAGCGGTCCACATGGTTGGCGCGTCCTTGCGAGCAAGACTCCCAGCTCGCTCCTCGTCGCTACGGAGCGAACTCTCGTAGTACGCGAGGTGGCCGCCAGACTTGGTCAGACATAGAATGACATTCGGGCAGGCTTCCACAAGGGTACGCGACGGAAGCGCCGTTCGCACGCTGATGGGGTCGTCCTCGGCGTTGATGCAAAGCAGCGGCACCTTCACAGCACGCAGCATCTTGTCAGAGGATGCATCTTGATAGAAATCATCGGCATTCTTGTAGTTGAAGAGCACACTGGTGAGCCTATCGTCGAACTCTCTCACAGTGCGGGAAGCTCGAACAGCCTCCATGTCGAGGCCCGGGTAGCCCTCGAACTTCTCGGCAGCATTACTCTACGCAGCAAGCAAGCAAGTACCCGCGCATACATGATTAGTCCTCTTCCTCCAATACGATAAATGTACGCACATACCTTTTCGAAGAAGAGCGCACGCATGCTGCGATTCAGCATTTTGTCGTAGGCCAGCCGATTGAACAGCGTGCCAGACAAGTTCTCCGACACTTTGGTCAAGTTGAAGGGGTTCCCCACCGAAACAGCACCAGTCAATGGAGTGCGGTCGCCCTCTTCGCCCAGATACTTCACCAGCACATTAGATCCCATAGAGAACCCCACACCGACGAACGCTTCTTGGCCGAAGTCGTACTTCTTGGCCAGTTGCTCAAGCACAAAGCGCAGATCCTCAGTGTAGGCCGTGCAGTAAAGCTGAGCCGTCCTCAACGGCGTCTTGGCACACCCACGAGCGTTCAGCACAACGCACTGCCAACCCACCTCGTGGAGGCGAGCAACCGTGTGGCGAATATAATTCGCCGGACTTCCACCCGTAAGCCCCGGCAACAGCAACACCGTGCGTCGCGTTGGGTCCACACCTTCGATCCATGACGAGTCCTCTTCGCGAGGCGAAATGCTGGATTCGTTACCAGCAGGCGAGTGTCCTGGAAGCAATGCCCAGTCCAGCGACACCACGCCACCGTCGGGCATGTCCAGCAGCTGACGTTTGTAGTCGACGACAGGTGCGCGCTTATCGAACGCAAACTTGATAGTCTGCAGGTGGCCATTGAAGAGTCTCCACGACGGGTAGTACTTGGTTTGAGCTGCAGTAAGCAAGGCACACGTTGTTAGCAACCGCTGAAAGGGAATGAGAGCAAGCAAGCAAACAAACACTCGTCCACATACTCAACGTCACACAGTGTGACAGCAGCTTCTTGCTGGCAGGCGTCTTGCGGTAGATCAGTCGCGGCGACTCGGCCGTGCGCGCATAGTGCCACCGGAGTAGCATCGACACGAGCGTCGGCCCGAGCAGCTTCTTGCCCGCACACAGGAGGATTAGCACGAAGAGCAGGCGAACGCGGCGCTGGCGAACATGCGGCGTCAACGCGAGCGCGCGGGTGCAGACGACGTTCCCCATGAGACTTGAGCACTGCTAGGGATTTTCGTGAATGACCTGACAGGTAACGAGCGAGGGTAGCTGGCGTGATCGGCGGTCGAGCGTCATCGATCACGCCAACGATTTCGTTCTGCCCAGCATTTATAGAAGTGGTTGTGGAATGCCAGGCTTGCAGCACTTTCACAGGTGACAGCATTCTTCTTATTAACTAAAGCTTCGCCTAGACGCGATAGCTGGGTATTTCGCTTTACACCTTCATGTCCCCAGTGCGTATTTGTTGTACCTGCCCGTTTGGAGCTATTCCACTGGCAATGGCAGCATTCTTTCGATCAACTCCATCGCGATGCCTTGGTGTTGCAGTTCATGCCTCGCACACAGCAGCTCAAAGCGCCGCCGAATCTCCGTCGCATCTAGGGAGCTTCTAGCCTGCAGTCTCCTCCAACGTCTCTCACCATCGTCCATTTGGATTCTAACCCCACTTTCATCTTCATCTTCGACGACAAATGGAGCGCTCCTCGATCCGTCTTGAACCGCTTATTCCGTCTTGACGTCACGCTCTCCACCATCTGCAGGAGCAGTACTATCGTCCTCACTCGATGTCTCGGTATCACTCGTGTCGTTCACTTCAAGCGTAGCATCCTGCTCTCTCGTGAAAATGACCATCAGAGGCTGCTGGAACTGCTGGAAAGCTCGGGAGTGGCGATGGTCTGCATTCCAGTAGAACTTCTCTCCTCAAGCTGTTGATCTTGGATCGGATCGCGTGCACCGTGCAACCGGGGAATCCCGAGTCCTGCATGCCTTGGCACAGCTCCGCCAGCATTTCAGCCTTCGAGCTGGACCTGAAGAACGCGGCGTAGTGACGAGAAAGCCAGGCGACAAGCAGTTGCATGGGACTCAAGCCACCAGAAGAGGCGGGCTCGAGCCAAGACAAGGACGAAGCGTGGCGAGGCATCTGTGCAATGATTGACAAGGAGGCGAGAGCCACAAAAGTTCAAGAAAAAGTTGTCATTGACAATACTTTCTTCCAGTGTGGAGGAAATCATGAAATCGATCGACGGTCTCAGCAAAGCCGAGCCAAACCAAGTCGAGAGTTTCAACTTAGTTTCGATGCAGAGGCAGGAACGAGTCGATCGTTTCGGCGTCGACACCTTGCGATTGCAGTCCTTGGCGCGCAGAGAGCAACTCAAAGCGGCGACGGATCTCAGCGGTGTCGAGAATGGGGTCGATCGGCGCCAATCGCTTTAAATTGGCACTTACACGAGGTCTCGCAGCAGCTTCATGGTCCTCAACTTCGCTTTCGTCCGTCGCCTCCGACTCCTCCTTGACATCTTCGCGCTCTTGTGGAGCTTTCGCTCTGGTTGCAGCTCGACGGGTAGTCAGAAGCGGGCGCAGAGGGCCTCGTTCACGTTCATTAGCTGCCGCACTGGCACGCTCACGCATCGCGGCTCTCTCTTCGTCGTCGAACAGGACGCCCAAGAGACGGTCGTAGTAGACGTTGACGTCCTTCGAGGCGCAGTTGCCTCCTTCAGCTTTGGTCTGTACCCCGTTCTTCAGACGAGAGATCTGCGAGCGGATGGAGCTGATGGTGAGTCCGTAGATGCCGTTCGTCGCCATCTCCTCGCCCAGTTGCTCCAGCAGGTCGATCTTGCGCTTCGACGCGCGATACTCGTCCCCATTGCGCTCGAGCCAAGTCATCAACCGATCCATCGGACTTTGCTCGCCAGGAGAGGTAGGCTCCATCCATCGCAGCCGCGGAGTAGCGTGAGGAGTGGAGCGCGCAGGTCGTCGCATAGCTTCTTGGTCTTCTTTTCCTTCGCTTCGGTCTCACGCAGGCTTTCAAGTTTCAATAATTCTTCTTCCACCACGTTCTCGCGTTTGCCTTCGTCTCACATCAACGCCGTCTCCCTGGTTAGACTTCTTGAGATAGGATTGTGTGGAGTTTGTACAGCGCCTCGGCTGCTGTGGGGCGGAGTTTGCTGTCTACCGATACGCAAGCAAGTCCTAGATTCACCATCGACTGAAGCGCCCAAGGCGAGAACTCAACGTGGATTTTTCCAGCCGCTACCAATTGCAGAATCGCCGCGTCGGATTTATTCGTCTTCTTCCTTGCGTTGTCGTATGGTAGGCAATGCGTGTCCAACTCGGATAACACCACCCCGAACGAGAATATGTCGGCTTTGGCATCGTATTTCTCCCCCATCATAACTTCTGGAGCCATCCACAACGACGTCCCCACACCTGCGGTCATTGTCTCGTTGATCCGCTCGCGCGAGACGCCAAAGTCCGTGAGTTTTGCATCCAAATCTTCACTTAGCAAAATGTTCTTGGACTTCAAGTCGCGGTGGATCACGGGCAAGTCCAACGAATGCAAGTAGGTGAGCGCGTGGGCGACGTGAAGGGCGATCCTCACCTTCTCCTGGTCGAAGCCCTTGTGGTGCCCTTGAACATTGAGTTTATCGAGCAAAGCTCTTAGGTCACCGCCCTCCATGTACTCCAAGACACCACAAAGATCTGTCAAGGAGTCCCAGGCCACACCAACAAGTCGCACAATCCGTGGATGATCCAGCAGTGCGGTTCTCTTCACCTCGGCTAGGAACTCGTTGAGATGCCGGACGCTTCTTCGGTTTTCTTGCAGTAACATTTTGATCGCTACGAGTTGACCATTGTACAGTCCAGCGTAGACTTCTCCATAAGCTCCTCGACTGAGCAAATGCTGAACGACCACCTTCTCTCGAGGGATCCGCGCCGTGGCAATGACTTCATCGTCCCACAAACCCCCGAGACCGTGTGGTGCAATGTCTTGTGAGTTGGGGTCGCTAGACATCGTGGGCCGACCATTTGTAGCCGCGCGATAGTCGGCGTACGTGTCTTCGGTATCTTTTGAACTGGAAAGTCTTGAACGCCAGAAGACCACAGCAGCCACGAAGAAGACGAGAGCTACCGACCCGATGATGATACCGACGATGGCACCTGCAGTGAGCCCTGAATGCCCAGTTGAAGTTATTGATGTCGGCGACGGAGTGTCAATAACACCAAGCATACTCGCATCGGTATTAGCAACACTCGAGTTGCTACCACTTGAACTTGTACTTGTACTTTCACTTCCACTTGCACTTGCGCTGTTGCTGCTTGTGCTGGCGTCGTAGTTGGTGTAGAACTTGGTATTGCCTCCGTAACACGTGTGATTCAACAGTGTCGCCCTGTCGACGAAATACCGAGTGGCATTGCCGCCACACGCTCCATTATCGTACAGTTGATACAACGCGGAGCCATTCGTGAACAACGTAGCGCTGGACGACGAGTTCTCGGAAGCAAATTGACAGCCATTAGCCGTGGCCGTGGCGTTGATGGTGCTCAGCGTCTCGCAATCCTCACCCGTGTACGTCTCGACCATCAGAAATGGCTGCAGTACTCCGCCATTTCCATTGAAGATCTCGACTGAGTACGTGTACGGGTCGGTGATGCACTCGCTTTTGCTGTAGTACGTGTTCCCACCGTAGACTTCTGGCGTGCAGCTGGCGTCAGATACGCAGCTCGACACGGCAGTCACGCTCGTCTCGGTCGTCAAGGTCGACTCGGCCAAGCGCCGCGTCAAAATGCCTGCAGACTGGACGGCGGTCGGAGCGATGTACGCTGCGGCGGCGGCAGTGTCGTACGTGAAGTCCATGGTCACGATTTGAGGCGTGTTCATGCAGTTCTCATCAACGAAGTAACTCGTCGCCAGCAAGTCGACAGTCGCTGCTGCTCGCCCGAGCAGAACCGCAACGATAATAATTCCAAACATCTGCGCGTGAGCTCTGCGAGGCGAAATCTTCTGTGAGATTAGCTTACTGGGGACGCACCCATTTACCTGAACCCAAGACGCAGGGGTTGAGACCACCCACGCTTGAATTATTGACTCTTCATCTCAACGGCCACTGCTCACAACTTCCAGCTTACAACTTGATCACCATCTTGCCAATGTTCTGTTGCGCGTACAGGCGGTCAATGGCGTCGGGGATGCTCTCCAGGCCGCGGAACTCGGTGGGGTCGATGCCAGCCTTGAGCTTGCCGTCCTTAATGAGACCCAGCAGACGCTGCAGGTGCTCCGGGACGTGCTGGGCGTGGTGGAAGAGCAGGAACCCGCGCAGAGACGCCGAGCGGAGCTGCATCTTGCGGTTCTGCTGGTATCCGTACTGCGGGTCGGTGCCGGCGTCGCCGTGGTAGTGCGACACATTGCCGAAGACGATAATGCGACCGAAGATCGCAATGTTGTCGAGCACGGCCTTGAACATCTCCCCACCCACGCTCTCGAAGGCGAGGTTGATCCCCTCCGGATACTCCTTCTTCAGAACCTCGGTCAAGTTCTCCTTCTTGTAGTTGATGGGGCGGTCGACGCCCAGAGACTTGAGGTACTCGACCTTCTCGTCGGAGCTGCAGGCTCCAATAACGTGGTTGCCCGCCAGCTTGGCAAGCTGAACGACAAACTGGCCGGTCGCTCCTGCAGCCGCCGACACGAAGACCGTCTCATTGGACTTCATCTCGCCAGCCTTCTCCAGAGCGAGCGAAGCCGACACGCCGCAGACCGTGAGCGGGATCACCGAAGGCGACAGCTCCGGCGTCTTGACGATCTTGGCGGCCGGAACCTCCGTGTACTCAGCAAAAGCACCCAGATCTGCGCCAATAAAGCACAAAAATGTTAGTAAAACCCGATAAATCGTAATAAAATTGCGTACTCACGTTGGTAGGCGACGGTCTCGCCAACCCAGACGTCGGTCACGCCTTCCCCCACCGACTCAACGACGCCCACTGCATTCACAATCAACACATTGCAGACATTAGTTTACTTGCAGTATAGTACATGTACTTAGTTTGCAGTATGTTGCGGACCTCCTTCTAGCCCGCAGTTGATGGGGAGCGTGGTCCGGCCGTAGCCGCCGTTGGTGATGTTGATGTCCGTGGCGTTGATGCCCAGGAAGTGGTTCTTGACCACGACGTTGCCCGCCGAGGACTTGGGCAGCTCCTGGTCCACGACGATCTTGGTGGCCTTGCAGAAGTTCGTGGACCACGTGTGCACTTGCACGCGGCGGAAGGACGGCATCTTTAAGCTCTGTAGCTCTTGCTCTCTTCGACCTGCGCGCTTGCGTGTCAATTGAGAACTGACGAGCGATCCGAAATGATGTATGCGACGTGTGAGACCCGGGTCGGGATTACGAATCAGAATAGACTGTATTTCAGTATTACATGCAAACAGGTTTGGCCCGCTAAGCGTGACTAGCAAAATGTAGCCATTTGATTGGCACTTCAAGTTGGACGATCTCAATCCTGCGGCTACAGGCGAACGATGAGTTTGCCAATGTTTTGCTGCGCGTACAGCCGGTCGAGAGCTTTGGGGATGCTCTCGAAGCCCTGGAAGACGGTCGGGTCGATGCCGGCCTTGAGTTTGCCCTCCTCGACGAGCTTCAGAAGACGCTTGAGGTGTTCCGGCTCGTCCTTCGGGTGGTGGCGCCGCTGGAAGCCACGCAGAGACGCCGAGCGGAGCTGCATCTTTCGGTTCTGCTGGTAGCCGAACTGTGGATCGGTGCCGGCGTCCCCATGGTAGTGAGAGCAGTTGCCGAAGACTATAATGCGACCGAAGATGGCGATGTTGTCCAGCACCGCCTTGAACATGTCGCCGCCCACTCCTTCAAATGCGAGGTCGATGTCATTCGGGTATTCCTCCTTGAGGACGGCGTTGAGGTCCTCCTTCTTGTAGTTGATGGGGCGGTCGACGCCCAGAGACTTGAGGTACTCGACCTTTTCATCCGAGCTGCACGCGCCGATGACGTGGTTGCCTGCGAGCCTTGCCAGCTGCACGGCGAATTGGCCCGTAGCTCCCGCTGCAGCAGACACGAAGACCGTCTCGTTGGACTTCATCTCGCCAGCCTTGTCCAGGGCGAGGGAAGCTGACACGCCACAGACCGTGAGGGGGACAAGTGCAGGGGACAGCTCCGGTGACTTGATGATCTTCGAGGCGGGGACCTCCAGGTACTCCGAGAAGGCTCCGATGTCTGGGTAAAGGAAGCTATTGGTGAGCATCACAGCGTATGTATCTGTTTCAAAGTAGACGATAGACTTACTCGAGTAGGCGACGTTGTCCCCGACCTTGATGTCCTCGACGCCTTCACCCACTTCAACGACGACTCCAGCTATCAAGGCAAAGCAAATGGCGTCAATATGAGCAGCAAAGTTGTGGATTTCATATAGCTACTGACCTGCTTCGAGTCCGCACTTCACAGGAAGCGTAGTGCGTCCGTAGCCGCCGTTGGTGATGTTTACATCCGTCGCGTTGATGCCCAAGAAGCGGTTCTCCACGACCACGTTACCAGGGCCGGCAGTGGGCAGCTCGGGCTCCTCGACAATCTCAGTCGCCTTCAGAAAGTCCGTGGAGTACGTGTGCACTTGGATGCGGCGGTAGGAAGGCATCGTGATTCTTGTGGGCTGCTTGTCAATCGGAAAGTGAGCTCGCGGTCTGTTAAACGCGAGCTCGGCTGCCACTTCTGACGCGAAGAAGGCCTCCGATCTGGTTGGCACTTCAACGTGATGCATTATTACGTGTTCATCCCCATGTGACGAATTCAAGAGTGCGCCTTTGATTCGGTGAGACCGTGTCCTTGAAGACATTTCGCAAGTCGAAAGAGCTTGGATTGGAGGACATCAAAGATTCATTACTTTACTCTGCATGAGACTGACAAGTTTATCTGCGGCGCGACCTGGTGCTCTTGGGCTTGCAATTCGAATCGCTTTTGTGGACCGATGGTAGAACCGTGTCCGCTTCACCTGCTACGGAACTGGTGTCGGTCTCTGTTTCAAGTGCAACATCATCGACAGAGCGAACTGAGCCTGCAGACGAGGTCGAATTCGAGAACGAAGACGCCGTGGGGGTTGCGATTTCACCGTCAACAGGGTTGTTGCCCGGCAGCTTCGTCACCATCGTGATGTCCTCCACGATCTCTGGTTTCGTAGTGCATCGAGCCTCGGGGGCTTTATCACTGAACGAGGCGGAAAGCGGAGCGCACTCGCCGGCGTTAAAGTAGTTCTTGTCGGCACACTGGTCCACCGCAGCTTGGAGAACGTCAACGTCCCATCCGTTGAGGAAGTCGCCGTGGAAGCTGAAGCCCGTGCGATCGCCGTTGGCCAACACGAACGGATGCTGGTCGCCGTCCCATTCATCGTCGTACTGAGCGACATTGTAGAACGCCTCGTAGAAGATCTTGATCATCTTCTTCCAGCCATCGGGGCAGCGTCCGCCGTCCAGCCCCGTAGCGTACGCCACATGCGACTTGTGGTCGTGCGAGTCGAGGTTCTTGCCGTCCCAGCACATCGGAAAGTTCACCTGGCCGCGAAGTCCGTTCGGACATTTAAAGTTTGGGATGCCTCGCTGCTCTGGGTGGGGGTTGTCGTAGTCGAGGCACACCCACGTGATAGCCTTCTCCTCTATAGAGTCGCCCTTCTCACGCAGCTTCGGGTTACCCGCAAGCATTTTGAGACCGTCAGGGAACGCGATGACCTACTCGTCGCCCGTCGGACGCGGCTCGTTGTAGACGATCTGGTGGCTCTCAACGAGACCGTAGCCTGAGCCATTCTTGAACTTGACGTAGAGCTGCGGAACCCAGTACGCGCTGAGATCGGCACCGATCGGACACGACGTGCATGTGGATGCCTTCATTGCAGCACCATCAGCGTTCATGCTGAATCCGTTTCCTCCGCTGATGGCGTGCAGGTGACCAGAGGCTTCACCGGGGCTAACGATCGGGTCGACGCGATCCACCACGAGGTTGTTGAAGCAGTCGAAGCGAAACATGGCCAGAGTTGTTGGCATCAATGCAGCGGTGGCCGCCAGGGCTGCCGTTGCTAAAGTTGAAATCTTCATGGCTCTGCGTCGAGGTGCAGCTGAGTGTGCAATTTTACGAGTGAGCCGTCGAACGAAGGCTCACGATCGAAAAGGGTGCCGGTAGCCTTCCCGTGCTGCACAGAACTTGCGCTCAACTTCATTTGGCAGAAATTACCATCGGGATGCCCCCTGCTGTTCGTCCCCATACCGCTGGATTGTAGCGCTTCACCAAGTGGCATCGGCCCGCAACCGCAGCTGTGTTTGCCGTTCGAAGAGCAAGTCGTTGCAGCGCCCTACGTTGGCGGAGATGCGTGTTGGTTCTCATACTTCGTGGCCATCACGAGACTGTCGATGGCAAAATTGGAAGGACTTCCGTACTGTGAGCAGCCTAGAAGCAATGTTAGACCCAGCGTTAACCACACGTTGGTAGCTACGTCAGTCTGATCACATCCGCCGCAACCCCGTGCAGTCTGCTTTTCGAGATCGCCATAAGTCGTGTGAGCAGGGCGCTTATCATCTGCTTCAGGAACAGTTTTCTTCATGGAGAAACACCTCGTTTTCAAAGTCCGATCAATTGTGTCCACTGCCAGTTTTCTGGTTAACACGCGTGTTAAGCACGCACAGGCAGTCTCGCAGAAAAAATATCGATGCAATGGACCCTTGCGTGCCTTCAGTTGAACTGAATCAGTTCTGTGGCCGACGCGCACAAGATACACGGCAGGCAGCAGCAAAAGATTTTTTTCTGAACGCTCGCACCATCGGATTCATCAAGCAAACTCTAGTAAGAGCTCATAAAATCTATTGTAGTCGAAGCTCTGTGAATCGCAGAGATCGATGATCGATTGGGGCTATCAGTCAGTCACACTATGCACTAAGCTCGCTATGACTTATAGTGAGCGTCGGTCGGTCGGTATCTTGGCTACTTCAACTTTGACCATAGTAAACCCAAGACATTCAAACCCTCCTGTATCCAAAGAACTGGCCGCAAACATGGGCAACGCTCTTGACACGCTGCACTGGCCCGTCGTGCGTCTGCTCGTGAGGAATTGCCTCAGTCCGATACCTGCCGCGCCAACCACAGTCAGATGCGCCTGTGGAGTTTGCTGTACGCGATCTCGCTGCTCGTGTCGAGCGTGGCGTCCTGCTCCATCGCTGCGGAGACGTACCGCCACGCAGAGCTGCGCCAATCCGCCGTACGGTTCATCTTCTTCTGCTTTTTCTTCTACTCGTGGCTCTGGTCGCTCTTCCGCGGCGCCTTCTACCTGGACGCTTTCTTGTCCGCGCAGACTGAAGACGCCACCGACTACAACGACGTCTTGGGGATGCTGGGCGTCGCCCAGACGTCCAACATGACGTCGGTTTTGCTCTCATGTACGGCAGTTCTAGGGGACACGGCGCTGCTTGCGTGCTCGCTTTGGATGCTGCCAATGACAGCGGAGCTTTCGAGACTCGCACGTAAGAACATGGACCGAGGACCGAAGGGAGAGCGCGAAGCTGCGAGCTGGTACAGCAAGTGGATCCACATATTCACCGTCATCTTCTTGGTCTGCGAGGCAGCGTACACCATCTACAACAGGGGTTTCAACAACCGATCGTATCGGATCCTTATCAGCGGCAACATGCTGCAAGGCATCACATTGGTCTACGTGGTTTACGTCCTCATCAGTCTCAAGTGCAGTGGACGCAACTACGAGACCATGGACGGCTCTATCGTTCTGTCGCCGCTGTATAAGCGCATCAAGGGGATCATGTACGTACGCTCAATATTAATGAGAAATCGATAGATAGATAGATAAACTGACTTGATCTTGTGTTCATTTGTGTGTTGACAGGATCGTGTACATGGCGTTCTCGTTCCAGTATCAGATCATCTCGTTGATCTTACTCTACAGCCACTTTGAGGTGCGGATGCCGCCAGTGCTCATCGGTGTGAGTACGCTGCTGTTCAACAACTCAGGCACAGCACTGTCCATTGTGATGGGGTGCAGCCAGGAGTGTTTCTTCCGGTCATTCCGCAAGTACGTCCCTGAAGAGTACGTGGAAGCGTTCTACATGTCGGACCCCGCACTTGCAATGGCGAACGCAGCTGCTGGCTACAGTCCGCCGATGGAAAACCCTGTGTTCGTCTTCACGGACGTCGAGGCCTCTACGCAGTTGTGGGGCTTTGAGGACGGCGCCATTATGCGTCGAGCGAACGAGATCCACGAGGATATTATCCGAGGGTCATTGGCACAGTTCCGTGGGTATGATATCACCACGGCCGGAGACGCCTTCCAATTAGCCTTCTTCACCATCAAAGAGGCGGTCGAGTATTGTTTCCAGGTCCAGATGAAGTTACTCAGTGCTCACTGGCCTAAGAAGCTACACAACCTCGTACCAGCCATTACGCGCAAGAAGACGAAGACCAAGCGGCTTGTGTTTAGTGGTTTACGTGTTCGGATGGGGATCCACGACGCACAAGAGTCGGAAGGTTCCCTAGTGAAGGACATCCATCCTGTCACGGGTAAAGTCACGTATACTGGCTTGTCGGAGGTTATTGCGAATGAGATCGGCGACGTTGGTGCTGGTGGACAGATCTGCGTGACTCGCCGAGTTGCAGAGTGGTTATCTGTGAACAGTGCCTCAATCGGGCATACCTTTCACGTTGATCGCATGGGAGAACACCCGATCCCGCAGTTGAATATGACCGTGGAGGTGTTTGAAATCACCCCACACGGCCTGGAAGCACGCAAAAAGACATTCGACAAGCGCCGAGCAGCTCAATTGGAGTCCATCAAGGTCGTAAACGAATAATTGTCGGATCAACGCTAGGTTGTGCATTTTGTGGGCATTCATCGCGTTACAGTCCGTTAGCCTTCAGGAAGTCCACGACTTCGTCGCCTGATGGCAGACTCGGTAGCGCTCCAGGACGCTGGACACACAAAGCACTCGCAGCAGAGGCTCGGACCATGCAATCCTGGATCGAGCGGCCTTCAGCGAACGCAACAGCAAAGGCACCACGGTAGCAGTCTCCTGCTCCAGTGGTATCCACCACGTTGTCGACCTTGAAGGTTCTTTGGCGCACAACTTCCGTGCCGTCAACGGGAACATACACCGATCCATCCGCGCCGAGAGTGACGAGAACATCCTTCGCACCCTGTTCCTGCAGGAACCGAGCAGCTTCAATCGCGTCGTCGATGTCGTTCACCTCACGCGTCGTTAGCCGCGCCAGCTCCGTTTCGTTCGGACACACGAAGGTCAGCAGTGGAAGGACATCCGCCGGAATCGGGTAGTCGTCGCCTCCAGTGTCCCACATGACAGGCACGTGGGTCTCCGCTGCAGCCTTCGCGACCAGAGCGTTCACACGCACGGGGATTTCACACTGGACAAGCACAAAGGCGGTGGTCTTGATAGCGTCGGTCAGACCGGTGGGGAGCTCGTTGGACCACGCGGAGTTGGCGCCACTCACGATGACGATGGAGTTGTCACCGTCGGGGTACACGAACACGAAGGCGAGGCCCGACGAGCACTTTGCTTCAGTGCACAGCGAAGTGTCCACACCGACGGATTGCAGCGTCTCCTTGATCATTTTGCCGTGGCTGTCGTTGCCGAACTGGCAAGCCATCTTGGCCGTCAGCGTGGGGTGGTCCGCTCCGATGAGCTTGGCGATCGTAGCAGCTTGGTTGTCGCCCTTGCCGCCAGGATAAACGTTACCCGTGTCCGACTTGCTAGCAGATACCGTCTCACCACGTGCTGGCATACGGTCGACCTCCACCACGATGTCAGCTCCTACAGAGCCGACGACGAGAATGTGTCGGCGAGTCTGCGTCATGGCCGCGCGGTTGTTGCCGAGTCTTCCGAGTGTCGAGAGTGAGGTGCAGTGAGCTATTGCTCGACAAACTTGGAATGAAAAGGGTCAAGGCTGGTGAATATGCTTCGCTTCAAGGAGGGCTCTCAGCAGCAACTCAATTGAAGTTCAATGATGCTGTCACGCATCAGGGTCCGCACGAGCTTGCGTGGGGCTTGACTTCAATGCAAACAAAAGGAGCGTGAAAATACCTCGGACTGACCGCAATCCACGCATTTCTACTTGGTTGCAGCAGAACGGAAAGCTGCTTAGATGATTGAACTGCAAGTACAAGTACATACAGCAATGTGTGAGTCATCATGAATTGAAAAAGTCGCTGTACGTGCGCGCATATATTCAACACAGTTCATACATCATACGGATACCTCCTTCTAGCCCTCTCGCCTACAGGCCGTTCTCCTTAAGGAACGCCACGACCTCGTCGCCCAACGGCAGACTGGGCAACGCACCAGCACGCTGCACGCAGAGTGCACTAGCCGCAGCGGCGCGAGCCATGCAGTCCAGCACCTCGCGGCCCTCGGCGTACGCAACGGCGAACGCGCCACGGTAGCAGTCTCCCGCGCCCGTGGTGTCGACCACCTTGTCTACCTTGAAGCACTTCTGGTGCACCAGCTCCGAGCCGTCGGCCGGGACGAACACGGATCCGTCCGATCCCAGCGTCACCAGCACGTTCTTGGCACCCTGCTCCTGCAGGAACCTGGCGGCGGCCACGGCGTCGTCAGTGCTCTTCACCTCGCGCTTGGTAAGGCGCGCCAGCTCCGTCTCGTTGGGGCACACGAACGTCAGCAGCGGCAGCAGGTCGGCGGGGATCGGGGTGTCGTCGCCTCCCGTGTCCCACATGACCGGCACGTTGGTCTCCGCGGCCGTCTTGGCCACCAGCGCATTGATGCGCTCGGGGATCTCGCACTGCAGCAGCACGATGGCCGCCGACTTGATGGCGTCCGTGAGCGCGGCCGGCAGTTCGTCGGGCCACGCGCGGTTGGCGCCGCCCACGATCACGATCGAGTTGTCGCCGTCCGGGTACACGAATACGAAGGCCTGGCCCGAGGGGCAGGCCGGGTGGCCGGCCAGCGCCGTGTCCACGCCGGCGCCCTGCAGCGCCTTCTGGAGCGCGTCGCCGTGCGTGTCGTTGCCGAACTGGCCGGCGAACCTGGCCGACAGCGTCGGGTGGTCGGCGCCGATGATCTTGCCGGCCGCCGCCGCCTGGTTGCTGCCCTTGCCGCCCGGGAAGAAGTTGCCCGTGTCGGGCTTGGACGCCGACAGCGTCTCGCCGCGCACCGGCAGGCGGCTGATCTCCACGACGATGTCGGCGTTCACGGAGCCGATGACCAGCACGTGCTTGCGGCTCTGCGTCATCCTGCGCTTGGACTTGGCTTGACTTGGTCTCTAGCTGGCAAATTGAACTATGGCGAGCTTGACTCACGCCACCTGCGAGCTGTGGTTGAGGTCAAGCTTGCACAGGGGTACAGTACGTGTTTGTCTGGGTTACTGTATTAACATGGTACAGTGTACCCGTGGTACCGTGATGTTGCTTCAGTTTTCGTTCCCAACTTCAAGTAGTGTGTACCACATGATTTCGTGTCTCGCCACACCATGGCTACACTTCTCAATCATGGCGCCGCCGACCTTCAAGCCGGCGCTGGTGGAGCAGCTCTTCCAGGCTGCGTGGAGGGCCAACGCCGCGAGCGCGGCCGAGACCGTAGCCAGTGACAGCAGCGACGAGGAGGAACTGTTCGACTCTGCGCCGCTGGTGAGCGCGGCAGCGGCTGCCGCGCGCGTGCGCAAGATCCACGCGGACGCCGTGAAGCTCAGCGCCGAGATGCTGCGGCTGTTCGTGGTGGAGGCCTTCCGCCGCGCGCAGATGGAGGCCATGGTGGACGACAGCGAGCAGGTGGAGCCGCAGCACATCGAACAGATCCTGGCACAGCTGCTGCTGGACTTCTAGGCGGGCGCGGCGAGGCGGCGGAAGCGCGTCATGACGACGAGAAGGTGGCTCTGCTGGCGCTTGAACAAGGCGTCGGCCAGGAAGCTGCTGTGACGTAGGCGCTCTTGGTCTAACAAGCCAACGGATTCGTCTGAGACTGCCGCAAGCTTGGCGAGCGACTGGTGGAGCTGCTGCAGACGCGTGAGACGCTGAAGAAGGAGAGCGAGTTGGTTAGATGAAGGAAGCTGAAGCAGAGAGAAGAGCGTGTGGGGTTTACCTGCTGGATCATGTCGTAGAGGAAGCGCCCGTTGGACGAGAGCTCGGACACGGGGTCTTCTGTTGGGTCGAGGGTACCAGGAGTTTTATTGTCCGATAGCTGTACTGCTTGCAGACGGATGCACTCGTTGGCGTTGTGGATTTTCTGCTGGAGCATGCAGTCGACGAGGAACTATCGATGGCAATTACAGTGGCGTGAGCACGAGATAATCGTGCTGTTTTGGGAAGAAAGGAGGCTACCAACCTGTGCAGCTCCGAAGCGAGCGACGAGGACGTCATCTTCAGCGCTTTGTAGAAGTCCTTCGAGCTGGTCGCTGGCCTGTGCGATCTGTTCATCGCACTGTTGACAAGAATATTTAGCAGATGGTTCTGTTGGCAGCACGAAAGCTCGTTTTACCTTGACAATGGCGATTTCAAAGAAGCTGTGCAAGTCTTTCTCCCACTGCGTTTTAGCGGCGGCCTTGATACATGTCAACGCTCGTGTTAGTCCAGTCCAAGTAATAGACCTACATGGTAAAAACATTCGATTACAGTAACAAACCTTTTCAAGAACTTCTGCACGTTGTTGCCGCTTGAGTTTTTCCAACTCTTGGTCCTTCTCTTCGATCACTTCCATTAGCTTCTGCAGTTGGGTAGCATGATCTTCCCGCCGTGAAGACTGCACTTGTTCGTGCTGGCTCGTAAGGCGTTCGGTCGTCTGCTGAATGTACTGTTCAGCTTGCATCTTCAACTTCACGTGATACTGCTCAAGATGAGTGACCTCACTCCACTTTCGCCACGACCGCAGAACAAGCTTGGAAGCACGACGAAGGAACACCCTCCGCAGCTTTTGCTGCTGCTTTTTGTGCTGATCAGCGATCGCTCTCCACCTACGCAAAATTTGGACTAGCAAGGGCTGGACACTTCTGTGGTGGTAATGACGTTCCGATATGCGTTCAAGGTGAACGTCGAGTATGTGCTGCTCGCGACGCTGTAGTTCGAGCAAGCGGTTCTGTGTCGTGTGCAGACGTGCCACTCGTTCCCATCGTCGAAATGCAACGTGCCTCGTTAGCAGCGCTTTCTTGACAACAAGCCCACGTAAAAGCTTTGACCGCTGTGCCATCGATAAATGATGCTGATAGAGAGCCGTCCAGCATTTACGAACTAGTCGGCTTTCACATCGCTGCTGGAACGCTTCCAGTCGACAGATAATCACTTGGCTACTCAAAGTCGCTACATCTCGCCAAAGATGGAAAATGTGGCCACGACGCAGTTTACCGAGTGCTGCGCTAACCTCTTGAAGCTTTCGGGCTTTGCGCTCGCGGTTCTGACTCTGTATTCGGAGGCCTCGTTGCCAGCGAACAAACGTTTGACTCTTAATTTCATTCCGCTTCAATCTGATGGTCTGGTTGATAAGTTTTTCATGTAGTGCCGTTTTCGCCGCATCTTGTCGCTCCACCTTGACCGGACGTGAATCTGAGCGGGTGAGATCATTGAGTCCAAGCGACATCGCCTTCGCGAAGAAGTCGCGAGCTTTGGGCGGGTTGGAGCTCTGACGCTGTTGTTGAGGACCACTAACTTCAGAAACTGGCAAACTTTCAAGCGAATGATCCGGTAGTTCTTCGGGTTCTTCATCTAGTCTCCCAGAAGCCGGTAGGGGTCCGGTGCTACCTTGCTCTGAGTGCTCTGTTTGAATCGAGGCCGACAGGCTCGCTAGACGATGGTTCGCTGGAGGGCTAGCGGGCTTTTCCATCATGGCTGGCAGGTCATCATCTTCTTCCTCGTCGTCGTCTTCGTCTTCATTCTCATCGACATCTACCGCGTCCAAAGAGCTCAAGACGCTCGTACGGATAGGCTGCTTGGTGTTGTCGCCTTTCCAGCGTGATTTACTGCTTCTCACGCTCTTCGCTGTAGGTGACAAGTAGCTGTCTTGAAAGTCCATGTCTCCATTGAGTACCTATGAAACACAGCACATTCAAGTGCACAGAGAAGTTTAACAAATGAATCCTCATAGCACTGCACTTTCACGACCCTCCTTACATCGTTGACTTCGCGGATTCGCTGGGAAAGTTTCAGCTTCTCCACCTCCACCAAATTTCGTGTTTCCCTTGACTGCCGCACGCTGCTTGAAGCACTATCACCGCGCCTAGAATCACGTTGCTGCGAGCCAGCCACGGATGATTGTCTGGAGAGAGCTGTCGATCCGCTTCGGCGCTGCTTTAATTTGCGCTCAACGTAGTCGCTAAGCAACGAATCCGTTGACGCCTCTAGCAAGAACTTACTCAACTGGTCCTTAGACTTCGATGGTGACGGCGCGGAGCTTTCAACTGAAGAAACACTGCGGCGGTTCCGTTGATTGGTCTGAATGGAGGCCATGACGGATGCATTGGGGGTCGTTGCCTTGCGGTCTCCTCGTAGAGTGTCCAAAGCCCTTCGAAATGCTCGATTGGCACTAGCATCGTGTGAGTACTCAGTTTCTATCGACTGAGCAGTAGACATCGCGGTCATCTGTGGGTGCGGTGTCAGCTCAAACAAGAACACGTTGCGTGGGTGTCCAAAGGCCACACGGTCGCCATGCACCACCGTCGCTCCTTCTCGGGGCACAACAACGTCGTTCACGTAGCAGACTCCGGCCTCTGAAGTCGAGAACGGCACCAGCTTCGCCGACGCCTTGTCAGACGCCAGGTTCAGTAGCGCATGGAGATCCAAGACGTTGTCACCTGTAACCACCACGTCGCACGTTGCCGCAGCCGAGCCGATGAGGGTCTTCGAGCTGCGCAGCTCCAGGCTGCTGTCCACCACATCCAGCGACCGTAGGAACGGCATCCGAGGCTAGCTTATTGTGGGCTGCGACTGTTGGTCTGTGACTCGTGGCTGTTGGCTGTTGCTAGAGTACCGAACCGACGACACACACACACACAACACCTCAAAGAGCACACGACACAAGACGACGCACGAACTATCGAAGACCATCGGAAGAGGAGCTTGTACATTTCACGGGAGCAAAAGCCGCAGACCTGCACTTCTATTCCCTGTCATTATTCCCAACTCGAAAGTTTCCCACAGACCGAAGAGCGGCTGACGACACCTGCAACTCCGCGCGCTTAAGCCTTGATGCGACGGCTGCGGATGGCCTTCTTCTGAAGCACACCTGTTCAACAACAATAATAACCTCGTCAGCACGACGCTCTCCTTGACCCTGTGAAGAACCTGTATCTGTAAGCCTGTGTGTGACGCACCCTTCTCGACCTTGGCGACCGTGGACAGACGCGACCACTTGGCCAGGGCGGCCTTCTTCAGGTCGCGGCGGTAGTAGTTGCGCGAGATGTTGGCGCGGATGGTGTTGGCACCACCGCGGGCGCCCTTGCGGAGGGGCACGGCGTTCACGGCCTTGACGGGCTTCTTGGCGGCCTTCTCGATCTTGGTCGAGAGGGTCACCTTCTTGTCCGCGATCGAGACGTCCACGGCCTTGGTGGCGGCCAGGCCCGAGTACTTGCGGCAGTTGCGGTTGAGCAGGTTGAACTTCTCGCGCGCGAACTCGTTGCCGTTGCGCTTCACGAGGAAGGACGACGTGTTCTTGGTCAGCAGCCAGGTAAGGGTGTCGCTCGACATCTAGAGGGCGATTACGCATTCATTTTATAGTTTTTCACGTTAGCAACCTGAATGTAGTGCGGTGATTATTGCCTTCCGGGCCCATTTTGCAGAGCGGACGGAGGCCGCACCTTTTCCGCTTCTTCGATGGAAATAATGGGATGGCGGAGCCCGATGAAGCGCGGCAGGCCCAGCGAGTCGCTCGACCAATCGATTCGCCCAAGCTCCCGTCAAAAGCTGGCGCCGACTTTTTACACGCGCTGAAGCGTAATTACGTCGACATATTTTCAGCGAATCCACGGCGATGATACAACAATAATCACGTCGATTGGTGGAAATTCTGCGTGGGCCTGTCAAATGTCATGAAAGCTTTATAACATGCTGTTGGGCAGTATTGAAAACGCCACATACCTGTGCGGTCGAAAATGATGCGCGGCGGGATCTCCCAGCGGTGCGTGCTGCATGGATATCTCCGGCTTCGCTGCACCCCAGCGACTCATTCTTATATGTGTGTGACCCTACAGGTCGCGCGCATTTGCGGCCAAGTCGGCGTGGCGCGGCGTGACCTCGCGCAGCGTCAGCGACTGGTGCAGCAAGACGCTGCTGGAGGCCTCGGAAGCGCTGGATCGCGGCGACGTGTCGGCCGTGCAGCTGACGGAGGCGTGCATCCAGCAGGTGGAGAAGACGCGCGCGTTCAACATGTTCGTGGCCACGGACTTTGATCGCGCGCTGGACCTCGCGCGCGCGTCGGACGAGCGTCGAGCAGCCGGCAAGGCCCGCGGACTGCTGGACGGCATCCCCGTGGCCTTCAAGGACATCTTCTGCACGAAGAACTTGACCACCACTGCTGGATCCAAGGTGCTAGAGGGCTTCGTGCCTCCCTACGAGTCCACGGCCACGCAGAGGCTGCTGGACCAGGGCGCCGTGCCGCTGGGCAAGCTCAACATGGACGAGTTCGCCATGGGCTCCGCCACGCTCTACTCCAAGTTCGGCGCTACCATCAACCCGTGGTCGAAGGATCTGGGCGACGGCGCGGTGGTGGCAGGCGGCAGTTCAGGTGGCAGTGCGGCGGCCGTGGCGTCTGGATGCTGTTTTGCGGCACTGGGGTCGGATACGGGAGGTTCCGTCCGTCAGGTGGGTGACATTTGAGAGGGTGGAGGGATGGAGGATGAAGAGCTGATAAGGTTTGATTATTGTGTGTTCGTTGTAGCCCGCTGCGTACTGCGGCATTGTGGGTCTGAAGCCGTCTTACGGCCGGGTGTCCCGTCATGGCATGATTTCGTACGCGAGCTCGCTGGATACGCCGGGCATTTTCGCCAGATCGGTTGGGTGAGTGAGGTGGTACTGGCGCTTGATGCGCTTTAGTGGTCAAGAGCTGATTGTGTATTGTGTCACGGTGCAGTGATGCTGCTGTTGTGCTGAAGGCGATTGCGGGGCCTGATCACATGGACTCGACCTGCATGACTGACGCGTTGCCTGAAGCTTGGGTAGGTTTGGCACCACTGCCCACATTTTTCTGAAGTTGCATTAAGTGCTGAGTGTTTATTTGTATTTTTATTGCTGCCTGCAGTGCTCCAACACAGTTGAGGCCTCGCAGCAATCCAAGAATGTGGATCTGACGGGCGTTCGTGTCGGCGTCCCTGCTGAGTACTTCGTGGAAGAGCTGCCGAAGGAAATTCTGAGCGTCTGGGATAAGGGCGTCGCGTGGCTTCGTGAAGCAGGAGCGCAGGTCGTCAGTGTGTCGCTTCCGACGACGAAGTTGTGCATCCCTGCGTACTACATCCTAGCTTGCGCCGAAGCATCCTCCAACTTGTCTCGCTATGACGGTGTTCGCTACGGATACAGGTAAATGGATCCGAAAATATTGTGTGTCTCGACAGGAATGCACTCATTAACGGATGGTTTTGGTTATTACTAGGGCGAAGGACATTGCGTTGGAGGCGCAAGAAGACCAGTCCGGTGCTCTCCATGATCTGTACTGCAGAACACGTTCTGAGGGCTTTGGAGAAGAAGTGCAGGTTGGAATTACGAGACATTGGCGCCTGCTGGAAGTGACCTAACGTTTTTGTTGATGTTTTTTGGTCCCAGCGTCGTATCCTTTCGGGCACTTTCGTGCTATCCGCCGGTGCGATGAGCGATTACTACGAGCGCGGCGTGGTTTTGCGCCAACGCATTCGCCAAGACTTCCAGCGGGTGTTCGAAGAGCAAGATGTCGACGTCTTGTTGACCCCGACGACGCCTTCGGGTCCGTTCCCCGTCCACAACAAGAAGGCCAAGGAGGACCCCGTGAGCATGTACCTGAACGACGTCATGACTGTGCCCGCGAACATGGCCGGCGTGCCTTCCATTTCCGTTCCCGCGGCTCTAACGACCGACGGCGACTACCCGCTTGGCCTGCAGCTCATGGGAGCTCGCAAGACCGAGGAGCGAATGTTGCAGGTGGCCAACGCGCTCGAGCAACGTGCCAGCTTCGGCGATCTCGTTCCGGAGCGCGTGTATGCAACTGAAAGATAAGAGCCGTGAGTTCGTTCGAGTGATAAGAGTTTCTAGCAGTTCAATCAAGGCAACCGATAAAACAATGGTAATTCCTTGTTTTTCTGGCTGCCGCTGTAGGTGAGCAAGCCCTTTAACTAAGCTTAACGTTAGTTAACTTCGTGCTTGCTACGCTGATACCATCAAACCTATCCGGATGTTATTGTGGAAACCGATTAGATTGTCCGAGCGGATTAGCTGATAAAGCAGCGTTCATGAGAGATTTGACTGGTACTAAATCGGGGATCCTTATAATTGCATATGTCATCGGTAAGGGTATAAATCAGTGTAGCGTTAGTAAAATAGGGATTGCCTCATTACCCGCCAGCAATACGCGGAACGACCACTTACCACCACGAGCTGACTGTTTCGCGCTCCTACTAACGAGCAATAGCATCGCGTGTATTAAATACTTCTCTGTGAGCAGTCGACGTGTACTGCTATCTATTTATCAAGTTGTGAAGCCATATATTTGCGCTGTCATTTCTCGTCAGCATTAGCGTTTGTCGGTTTTACCTTAAATCCGCCGCCGAATGCCGAGTGGGTGTCGGACATTCGGGCTGATTAGCATGCAAATCAGTCGTCCAGAGCTTTGTAAGCCACTGAGCAGCTAAATCAGCTTGCCACATGGCGTTGCAGGCACAACAGACTGCTCTGTCAAATCAGAGTGCAAAGCTTAGGCTGTCGATCTAATTAGGAGGTCGGATTTAGTAAATCCGACCCGATTAAGCTTAATCATCTGCTTAACCAACCGATTTATATTCCAATTGGACAATCTAATCGGTTCCCACAATATATGAAGCGCTCCATAGGATCTCTCGGTTAGGTACGACTGCTTCTAAGCCATTCGCATTGAGTCATTCATTTCCTGCTTGACCTGGGCGAGCAGAGTACAGTGCCTACCGGTCGGTACCTTACCGTGTGGACACAGCGATGGCGACGGCGCTGACGACGATGGAGGGCGAGATGGTGCTGCTCGCCATGCTGCCGCGGGACGACCGCGTGATGCTGGTGCAGACGCCGCGCCTGCGCACGATCGCGAACCTGGAGGACTTCATCGTGGACGAGTTTGCGCGCGTGTTCCCGCACCTGCCGGCGCTGAGCCGCGACCTGCGCATCCAGAAGTGCGTGTCGCTCGAGCTGGTGGTGGACCGCCGCGCACACGCCAAGGTACGCCAGCAGTCGCCGCACTGCTTCGTGGACCTGGCCAAGAACGTGCAGGCCGGCAACGTGTTCACGAACATGGAGCAGATCTACGTCGTGATGAACGAGGCTGCTCCCTCCAAGCACAAGGCAAAGGCGCTGCAGACGCAGACGCAACAGCCGAAGCAGATCGCGGCCGGAGCTCCCAGCGACAAGACGAGCGAGATGGTTAATCTCTACTACGGCGCGGAGGCGAAGACTGCCACTCCGACCAAGAATTCCTCTGCTGCGGCAGCTCCGGACGCTAAGAAGAAGAAGAAGGACGTCGAGAAGCAGACGAAGAAGAGTGAGACGGAAAAGAAGACGGCCACGAAGAAGCAGGTTGCGGACAAGGCCAACCACGACACCAAGAAAACTGCTGCGAAGGAGAAATCCGACGCGAAAAAAGCTGCTGCCAAGGTGAAGCACGACGCGAAGAAGGCTGTTGTTAAGGCTACTAGTGATGCGAAGAAGCTGGCCGAGAAGAAGGAGTCCTCGAAGACGGACGCGACGAAGGTGAACGCCGACGCTACGCAGCCCACTGTCGTAGCGGAGAAGGCACCGACGCCTGCCGCCGCCACTGAGAACGCTGGTGTCGAGAAGCCCGCTGCGGCCAAGGAGGCACCTGCTAAGAAAACGACGAAGAAGGCCGCTACGAAGGAGAATACTGAAGTGAAGACCCCCGCCGAGGCAAAGGAGAAGCCCGCAAAAAAGGTGTTGAAGAAGGCGACGAAGGAGGAAGCTGCCACCAAGACGCCCGCTGCCGCAAAGGTGGAGCCTGTGAAAAAGACTGCTAAGAAGGCCGCCCCGAAGGTCACTACGAAGGAGGACGCCGACACTAAGACGCCTGCAGCGGCAAAAGAGGAGCCTGTGAAAAAGGCTCCGAAGAAGGCTGCCCCGAAGAAAAGCGAGAACGCCCTCCTCATGCAGATGCGGGCGGCCAAGCACAGTGCTGCCGAGTCGGGTGCTGCGTTGGTTGTGGAATCTCTTAAGAATGCTGGAGCCAATGCTGCGGCAAAGACGACTCAGCCTAAAAGCGAGAAGACACGCAAGGCCAGCGAAAAGGATGCTGCTGTCACTGATGGTAGCAATGCGTCGGAAGCCCAGGAGCCGCCAGCGAAGAAGAAGAAGACCTCTTCGAAGGCGGAAGCCAAGCAAGCCGAGTCTTCGAAATCTGCCGAGGTTAAGCAAGTGAAAACCAAGGCCGAAAAACCAGCAAAAAAGAAGGCAACCAAGGCTGAGAAGGCGGTGGAACAAGCCGAACCGAAGACGAAGACCGTGAAGAAGAAGGCTGCCGCCAAGTCGCTGATTAATCAGGCGGATGACTCGTCGACTGCTAGCGAGTCGACTCCCGTGAGTCGCAAGCCCAAGAAGAAAATCGACACCGAGACTGACGACGTTGAGAAACCGGCGACAAAGCGTGCAAAGAAGGAGGCATCGCCTAAGACCGCAGCGCCGAAGAAAGCGAAGCCTGCAAAGCAGGTCGAAACCCCGGTGGTTGCTGAGGCTAAGCCTAGCACAAGTTCCAGCTCTTCTGGCTCATCGACTCAGGGAGACGAAGCCTCCGGCGAAGATGCTGAAATGCCCGAGACTCCTGCTGCTAAAGTTCCTGCTAAGGTGAAAGAATCCCCGAAGGAAACTGCCAAGCTGAAATTCCAGTCGGCCTTGGCAGCGAAGGTGACGACCATCGAGAACGAGAAAAAGGCTAAAGCTGAGAAGGTTTCTCCGACCGCCAAAGCCGAGACCGTGAATTCTTCCGAGAGCACAGCCAGCGAATCGTCTTCTGACTCCGATCAAGCACCTGCGGCGGTTGTTGTGAAGCCAACCAAGCGCTCACCCAAGAACGTCGCCCCAGTTGAAAGTAGCTCGTCCTCTTCGTCGTCGGATGAGGAAGAGCTGGATTACTCGCAGAGCCTTCTGGCAGACTTGACCAAGAACGGTTAGGAGGCAACCCCATTACCTGAATCCCAATAGATCCATGAGCTCACATGTCTGGATTGTCGTGCAGATACCGATGAAGAAGAGGTGCCGTCCGTAGTTGTCAAGAAGGTGAAGAAGTCCAAGACTTCTGTTGTCACGAGCGACGATTCCGTCGTAGAATCCTCGCAAGACACCGAGTCTCAAGACATGCCGTCTTCAGAACTTACCCAAAAGAGTACGTTGAGGCTATTATTTCTCTGAATGCACACTGTTTATTAACTAACTCGTCGACACTTTACAGCTCAAGAGTCCAACAGCGTGCTGTTGCCGGCGCTGTCGCGGAATCGCTTCTCACTTAGTAGCATGCCGGTGGTGAAGCTGAAAAAATCGTCCAAGAACCCGTTTTCGTCCCCCAAGAAGGCCAAGACGAAAACTGCCGTGCGCCGTCGCCCGAAGAAGGTGAAGCCGGAGTAGAGCAGACATGGGAATGAATGGCAGCCACTCGAATCGTGGTTTTTGCGAGCCGAGCTGTTCATATATCTTCTTGTTCTGATTTTTGTTTGCCACTCATGTCGTACTACAAAGTACTTGTGTCGTGTTAATCCCAGCCTAAACGAGCGTTTGGTACGAGATTTGAGTGTGATTTCTAGTTTAGTTTTGGTCGTCGCTGTCAATGGGCGAGTCATTGGTGACGTTTGCGGAGGACAAGGCACGAAAATTACGAGCACTAACTCCGCCTCCACTGTCTTGGCAACTTCAGCAGTCTAATTCTTGTATTATCACCCTTAGGGTAAAATGCCATTGGTCATTCGTTGGAAGACGTCGTACTGACGAGTTCGGTAGCTGTTGTGGCTGCGTCGGACAAGGCTGATCACGTGCTTGATGACCTGGCTTTGGTTGTACTCGAGGCGGAAGAGCTGCTTCGTGTTACTCAGAATGTCTCTCGGGTTCTGGGACAAGAAGCACGGGCAAGACGACTCCTGCGCCATGATGGCGATCATCATCAGGATCGTATCGGCATGTTGCTACATAACAATAACATTACAGATCACACGATCAGCACAACACCACCAGCGCATATAATATGTCTGCATGTCCGTACCTGAAGAGCCAAAAAGCCTTGGATGAGGAAAATGACGTACGCCTTGAAGTAATCCGACTGCGTCCCGCCCATTGCGTCGACCATCTCGCCTGTGAGCTTGAACGGTGCCGTCTCCAAGCTGAACCTGCCACCTGGGGCGATGCCAAGGATGAATCCAAAGTCAATATGGATCACGTGACCGTCGCTGTCGATCATGATATTGCCGTTGTGCCTGTCCTTGATTTGCAGGAAGTAGCACGCCAAAGAGTAAGCAGCCATGCTCCTCACGAAGTTCGTCATAGCCGTCTTGTAAGCCGCGGAATCCGCTTGGCCATACGTTTTCAAAAAGTGATCCGCCAGAGTCGTGTAGTTATCCCTCGCTTTTAGGGCATCAAGCGACACGGCATTCTTGACATACTCGATCATACCAGTAGACGCTGAAGTTGCAATGATCTCGTACGGCAAAAGTCGAAGAGGCAAGTCTGCGCTATGGAAGATATCTTGCAGCTGGCGGATAATCTGCTGACACAGCACCTCTTGCCGAAGATCATCATTGGACTTGACGATGAAGGCGACACAGTCCCAGTCTTGCGCCGTTGATGTCGCGACATAGGACGATGTTTCACGCAGGCGTTCCCTCTTCTCCTCGAAACTCTCTCCAAACGCCGACTCCACGGCGACGTGAAGGCGCTTGCGTTTGTCAATCACGTAGTCATACACAATATTGAGCTGCTCTCTCAACAAATGAAGATCCTCGCTCAGCTGGGCAGCATTTGCAACGCCCTCTTTCGGTAGGACATATTGCTGCATCGCTTGCTCCACAGAGTTCATTGCCGCAAGAGCCGCCTCAGGCTCAAACTTGAGAAAGAGCGAGGCGCCACGAGCATTCGAAACCATCGAACGCCTATCATCGGATGACCCAGTAAGACATTCCTGGAGTGGCCTTGACGTTTTAGACGTGGAGCTTGGAGCATTCTCAGTTGCTGTATCGGCCAGATTCGCGTCGACAGCGTCAGCTAAGTCAGCAATATCCACCTTCCTCTCTTGGGGTTTCAACATGATTCGCGAAGACGTGCGAATCAGTGGCTGCTCTCGATCGGTAGATTCCGAAGCAGACCCGTCCGTAGATCTCGGCGACTGTTCTAGCACAGGGAGTGCATCATAGTGTACGACGTGGCGGTGATCTTGAGATTGAAGAATGGTGCTGGATTCTCTCTTGAGCTGGTACGACGTCTCGTCATTTGCTGCAAACCCACTGAACGAATTGGATGATAACGAGGTCTTTTCCAGAGCTCCGCAGCGCAGAAGTTCACTACCAAGCCAGAGAGCGTGCGCCTTGTCCGACACAATCTCGTTCTTTGTCATCCACTCGACAACTTGTCTACCCGTAAACGTGCCATGACCAGAAGGATTGCTCGCCAACATACTGATCTCCATGTTCTGTGCCATCGAAATCAACTGGTCATCGGTGAAGTTCTCGACGTGACTTGGCATCGATCCCAGGTTTTGCGACTTCTCCAACCCGGTGATGCCCGATCCCTCGCTAATCGATCGTCGCCGCCGATTCTTGATCGTGTCGGCGCAGGACGCAATAATGGAGTCCAAGGATTTCGAAGTAGTGTTCATTAAGGACCCAGTCCGACCACGGCGACTTCTCTTCTTCTTTCCACCGACAGCTTGAGCCAGCGCCACAAGCGATGGTGGCGGATCGGAGGACACGCGATCTCTGAGCTCCTCCGTGTCGCTATCATCTTCTTCCCCACTGGAGGACGCGTTGTCATCTATAATCTTCTTTTGACCACTGTATTCATCGGCAGGGTCACCGTTGTTGTGGCCCTCTCCATCACCAGAAAACGTATCCATTGTAATCACTTGAGCGATATCACTGCTTGTGGCCATTTCGATGGCATTTTTCGCGACTTCGACGTCAGAAGCAGGGACCAAAACCTCCAGACCGTCAACTTCAATGACTTCTTCGGAGTCACCTGGTTTGTCGTTTTGGGTGCTGAACGTGAGCGATCGGCCACGGTTGAGCCAGGCGCTCTTTTCGGAGATAGTCATCAGCCTCGCAACTTCGAAGAAAATTAACGTTGGCGCGCGCGCTCGGGTCGTAAAAACTGTTCCTTCTTCCTTCGCAATCGTAAGGAGCCGCTGAAGTGGATCATCACACGATCCTAGCGGGCAGAAAGCTCCTTCAGGCAGTTCAAGCTTCTGCAGTTCGCGTCGTAGCGCCTTCTTACGCTCCTGCGGAGCACAAAAGCGCAGTCTCTCTGTCATCGCACACAGCTCTTCGATGAAGCTAATTTGTGTGGTGAAGATCCGACGCTCTTCGCCATCGTCGCGGTGGGAATCGTTGGGCAGTGCGTCGCTAGGCAGTAAAAAATCCGGAGGAATGGAGCAGGCGCTAACTGCATCGCATATTGCACCGAGCGGGATCGTGGCCTTGGTATCCGTATGGACGAGGATTAAGAGACGGTCAAACAGGCACTTGATGATGGCAGATTGTTCCGTCGAAGCCGGCAAGTCCTTGTCGACTTCAAAAGACCAGTCGCCATGAGAAATCTGCATCTCCACGTTGACCATCAGCAGCTTGCACATGCTCATTTTCCGGTACAGGAACTCGGGAACGTACAGCTCCGACTGGCCGAAGCCCCACCCACAGCTATCGTCGATCGCCGCGCGTGTCAGCCAGTAGATGGCGGTCGCAAGTCGAATGTGGAGCTGCGTCGCGTAACAGATGACCCGGAAGAGCAGCGCAGCTTTGATATTGTTGTTCGTCCAGTCCACCGTGAGCCACATGTGGAATATCTGCGGCAGGAAAAACTCGAAATCGGCCAGGTTGGATGCAGACAGCTCCAGCAGCTTGTTCACGGCGTAAGCGTACGCTTCGTCGCATCCGTGGCGATGCAAATGCAGCACCTGAATGACATCAGAGATGCCGAATACCTCGTCGCTAAACATCGCGAGCAATGCCTCGACCTCCTCTTCGTCGGCCTTGGCCAAAGCAGGTTTCTTGACGCCTTGCACCTCCGTCTGGGCGATACTAAGCCGCTGGAGCAGCATCCCCAGCCACAACACGAAGCGCTGCACACGGTAACAACCCATGCAAAGCCGCACCGGGTGGTTCATGTGGAAGTGCCGAAGCATTGCAAACCGAGAGCTGTGGTCCGAGCAGACCGAGCCACCGCAGTTCCGGCAGTGATGCTGTCTTTTTCCCGTGCTGTCGAATCGTACGTGGCAGCCAGGGTGGCAGCACGTCGTGTCGTTCTTAAACTTAGGCGGGCTGCACTTCTTCTCCGTAAACACGAGCCCCCCAGGGGTGAGATCCATGATGTCCGGGCTCACGGAGGCGTGCGCGCTCCACTTGGCGACTGCATCCTCCGTCCCCTTGAGCGCGGCCTCAATGTACTCGATCCACTGCCGCTTGTCCTCCTCCGAGTCCGCGTCCACGTTAAACACGACGCCGGACGTGAACGACAGCTTGAACGAGTGGCGGTACGTGTGCCAGAGGCCCTTGCCGTCCCACGACTCGACCTTCTGCACCTCGGCGCTGAAGAGCGCCGAGATGAGCGCGGACGCCGCGTCTCGGGACGCGAACCGGTAGAAGTTGACGCCCACGCAGCGGCAGTAGAAGCGCTTCATGCGGTGGTACGTCACGCCCTCGTCGCGCATGCTCAGGTAGCCCTTGACGCCCAGTCCGTCGCGCTCGACGCCCAGCGTCCCCAGCAGCTCCATGGAGGCGGAGGAGGAGCAGGGCTCGGACATGGGCGGCCCGCTGGAGTGCGCGGAGCTGCGCCGCTCCGCGTCCGCTGCGCAAGTGGACGGCGGGGCGGACGTGGCGGACGGGGACTGCAGGTCGCAGCTGGAGGCGGCGGCGTCTTCACTGCGCGATCCTTCGCTGGCGTCCGAGGGGTTCACGGGCGTCCGCGGCTCCTCCGTCTCCTCGGTCATTGTGCCATACACTGCAGAGGAGCGGGTGCAGTAGGTGGGTAGGTGGGTAGGTGGGTACAAAGGCTTGCGGGGCTATGGGCTTCGTCCGCTGTTGCGCTCGTGGACGAAGGCGAAGTGCGGGTCTCGATTCAGCGCGACAACGTCAAGGCGACGATTGTCGAGTGTCGGACCGTGGCTGGACGTACACACGACGCCGAAGGATTCCGATTGGCCCAAATTGTGCTTTAGGGTGCAGGTTCGGAGGGGTGAAAAAGAACGAAAAACCCCTTTCAAAGTTTCCAATCGTGCCCCTACTTAAGGATGAGGGAAATTATTATACTTTGAAGTATTGTTTATTTTTTTAAAAAAAATGTTAAGGCAGATTTTCGTATATAGACGACTGTGATCGGGAAAACCATGACCCCATGGTCTCGTACGGCGGCTTCCGGATTCGAGCCAGCGGGAGCATGAAGATCTCAAGACGTCCGAGGCTGCCTGGATTGATGCCTGGATTGGGGGTGGTGCAACCAACTTGATTGCGGTATCGTGGATCCAACCTTGGCTTGAAGCCCGTTAACACCAATACACTGTGCACAACTTTGTTTTCTAGTAGAGTGAGTCTTCAACGTTTGGTTGACCCCCTATAACTCGTTCGGCCCCCTTCCTGCCCCCACCCGAATGGTAAAGGAAGAAGAGGGAGGATTAAAACCACGTAGAAAAGGGATTACTTCCGAGTGTATCATTCATTCGGATTACCAGCAGGTAGCGTTTTATACAGAGATTACCTGCGCGTAGGGCTCATCTGGGAGCTTGGTACCCCGCTCTGTTACTATAACAATGCCTTCGCTAGCCCCTACGGCTAAGCAAAAATAAAACGGATGAAGTGGTGAGAGCAGTTTTGAGCCTCTCCAATGGCTCCCTGACCTTACATGTAAAACCTTCGCCAATTGCGACCTCCAGTGTTTAGCTATTGGCTAGCCGAGTGGCTCTGCGACCCATGCAGTGGCATTATAGAGGTGAGACGTACGATCGATGCGGGAGTAGAGGTAGATGCCTGTGCATCTCAGGTCGTAACCTGTTGTGTGTGGCCAGTCACCACATCAGCAGTCACAATTGAACAGTAAGCAACTTACATGACCAAACCGAAGCTGACGGAAGCTGCACCGTTGGTGACAGGCATCATGGTACATTAAGCTACATCAGCTCTCGCTTCACCCTGCCTAATAACAGCGTCCAAAGTGCACGAACCCAGCCAAATCCTCGATGTGATTTTTTGAGACATGCCACCTGATAATCTGCGCGGAATTAATCCGTTCCAGCAAACTACGTGGGGCTAATCCGTTTAGTACGCTGAACTAATCCGCAACCACGTGGTTGAGCAACGAAGACTCAGAGGTTAAGCAAGGTTTTGGTTTCAGCATCTAACAGAAGTGATGTCGGTTGAACTGTACTCAGAAATTCCGGTAGCGTCGCCATCCGCGATCCTGATTTTGGCCGCGATCCGTTTGGGATCGGTGGGTGCAGTGGGGACGTGTGGCTGTCTGGCTGCGGTGGCTGTTCACTCATTGTTCATTTTGCAGAGCAGCCGCGATGATGACCACCACCGCGGGGGAATCGCACACTGAGACCGAGACGGACCGGACGAGCGAGCTTTCAGAACTCCCCTTGGAAGGGAAGTCTCCCTCGGAGTACACCCTCGATGTGACCATTCTTCGTTTCCGCGCGGTGGCGATCCCTGTGGCGATGGCTGCCTTCTTTGTTGGAGTAACGCTGCCATTTGCAGGGAAAGGGATGCAAGTGGGCTCTTTTCGGTCAATTGACGTGGACGAAGGGGAACGAAAAGAGCTTCTGGACAAGTACAACGAAAGACTGGGCAGTCTGACGGCGCTGATGATGAAGCCACTCGATGTGACTCTGAGCATGGTGGTAGCGGTCATCTTCCTGATGCTCGCGTCCAGAATGAGTGCGTATCTTGAAAGCCGACGCAGATATCTCTTGATCGGTGTCATCGGCGTCGTGGGTTATCTGATGAACACGGGTTTCAACTCCATGAACTTGCAAGTGGTTCCCGGTGCGGTGAGCCCAAGGATAATGCCGTCAGATCTCGTTGTAGAGAGCGTTCACGATGATACTCAACAGCTGGACGCCGAGGGGAATCTAACGACGACATGGGACCCAAAGTTTCGTGAGAGTACGCCTGGAAACAGTGTACTTAACACCATCCTGCGTGGTCTGTTCATCCCGAGAGAGGAGGTCCCGACGCACTGCAAAGAGACTGATGATTGGTATTACGCTACAGCATTCAAGAATGTGTTGCCAAGCTACGGCTTCCCTTCGCGAACCTGGCAGCAGAACGCACTGTCAAAAGCGCTAGAACCGACAGCTTCGTTGAGTATGCCCATGAATGCCGCGGAGTCTGACCTTGAGCAGTACGATGACCTGCCGATGAGCAAAGCCATTGCAACAAACCTGGTGGTGTACTCGCTGGTCGTGAGCAACACGTTTCTTGGGTGGTGGACGAAAGAGGACGAGGCTTGGGGTAGTTTCAGTCACGCCAACGCGACGGGGAAAGTTGTTCTGGCAGATTATTTCAACTTGACAACTCGCTCGACTGGCAACGCGAACTTCGCCTCTACTGCCCGCCAGGTAATCATTGACTACTACGATAAAGCGGAGCTCTCCAGGACTTCGGATGAGTTGGCGAAAGTGGAGTTCACGCGTGTAAACTTGACCGAAACTATCGTTTTTGATGCTCTGACGATTGAAATTCCGACCCGAACGTACGGTACACAGAGAGACAACTCGTCAAGCACGAATCCATTCTATTGGCCCCTGTACTCTTACGCATGCAACACGAAGGCGTGTCTGTTGGCGGACAACGAAGAGTACAAGGCGGATGGGAACACAACGGCGATCCACCCTCGCGTACAAGCACTAGCCATTTGTTTGAACGACCAAGGAGAAGAGACCCTCGTTGTGGACAACGACTATTCGGGTCTTGAGCAGATTCTGCAGTCGTGTACGCGGCGCTCGACTACGTCCATGATGGTTGTTAGTCTGGGGAAGCGTATTGAAGGGGACTCGTTGGTGAGTTCAAGCAACACAGTCGAGAATGCTCGCATGGTGTACTCGCTTACTGTGGGGCGTCTGGCGTGGAGACCGGAAAACTTTTCAGAGACGTACAACGCCGAGTGCAAGACTGGCGATGGGTGCAGAGGAATTCGATTTCCGCTGGGAAATAATGGTACCTTGCTGAACGACCACTTGCTGGTGAGTGAAAGTGGAATTCCAATGAGTTTGCTAAGCCCGATAAATCTGAACTGGAATTGGTTTCCTATCAGTGATTCACAGTGGAAAATGCTGGCGACCACGGTAGATGAACCCCGAGCGGCCCTCGAAGTTGAATCCAAGCCGTCTCTGATTGTCTTGCCGCGCAATTTCAACACCACCGATGGATCGTCCACTGCATACAAAATCGACTCTGACTATTGCCTAGTGTATATCGACCGACATCTGAACCAGATCGAGAAGAACCACTTGTACATCGAGCATAGTCTCCAGCCAGCGTACACGGCGGGACTCTACTTCATTTTCCAGAATGCTGTGGTGCTCAAGCAAATCAATGGCAGTGACGGCCCGTCGCTCGAGTTTTCAGGGAACATCCTGGATATGCACATTTGGGCGTCCATTCCAAAAACCAGCATGATTTTCGCGTTCATCGGCTGCTTCATCATGGTGCTGGGAGGTGTCGCCATCGCAGTCCTTAGTAAGCGTGGAGAGGATTCATTAGCTAAACAGGACAGTGCGACCGTCGCAGCTGAAGCTTTGGATAATACGGAGAAGTACCCTCCATCTTTGCTGCGGCTTCAGTTGAGGAATAGGTCGACCGGCAAGACTGCTGATGCTGCATTTGACTCGCTGTGTGTTGACAGCGTGGTGCTTGCAAAGAAGGAGGACAAGACCCAGCAGTTTGCGATTAGCAAAAGCGTTTCCCCGTCGGCTAACACCCCCACGATTTCGAGGTTGGACTCAGCGGGAGCATAGTGAACTCCGCACAAGCGCCAGGTTGACGAGCGTTCGTGAAACTATGATTGTCTGGCCCCGACAACACGCTCAGGACTACCTATTTTACTTCTGTCTATAATTCTTGAGATTTGACATGTTTTTCACGTTTCTCGAGAAGCTATTAGAGAACTTAGTAGAGTCGGGCCAGTGCTGCCCTCAATCTGTACTTACAGCAGAGCAAGGCCATAGGGCAAGAATAATTGCTAGCGTGAGGAGTAGTGTTGAGGACATGTTGATAGTGGTTGTATGAGAGGGATGAACAATTCTGTTGGTATGCGGCATCATATGACGAGCCCTACTGTGAACGAGGCGTGGTATTGCGGCAACGCCTTCGCCAGGACTTCCAGCGGGCGTTCGAAGAGCAAAGTTGTCTCTTGAATTGTCAGCGACCATTCCCGCCAGGAACACGCGTCCAGGAAGTTCCTGGACGCGCGAATGTTAAGATAAGACGAGCCGTGGGTTCGAGTGATAATAGTTCTTGCAGGAATTCAACGTTACAGATAATGCAGCGATTCCTGAGCGTTTCTTGTTGAAACAGGAACTCCGTTGAGTTTTTTGCGGGCGATGCCACCGAGGGTTTCAGATCGAGCATCCTGCCGAAAGGTCTTCAATCCGGGTCTCCCTTGACGACGTTACAAAGATTTAGAGCCAGAATAGGACTATCGTAGCCATTGCAGTTGTGCTGAAGTTAAATCATTCGTATCCATAACTCTTGTCTTGTACCCAACAGTTGTCGTTCGGGGCCTCATTGTTCATTTTGCAGGGCGGAAGTCGCGTCGATGACGCCCAATGAAGAATTGCAGACTAGCTCGGTCACTGAGACGGACTGGACGAGCGAGACTGAAGAACATGTGGATGGGAAGTCCTCTTCGGAGTACACCTTGAACATTGGCATCCACCGCTCTCGCGTTGTGATTATCTCCGTGATGTTGGGTGTTGTACTTGTGTGCGTGATGCTTCCTTTTCGTGGCGACGGGGTGCGAGTGGGCAAGTTTCGTTCGATCGATATGGATGCAGCGGAGCAGAAGCGAATGCTGGACAAGTACAACTCAATCTCCGGTACTCTGAGCGCTCTGCTGATGAAGCCACTTGATGTGTTCCTGACCATGGTAGTGTCCATGGTGGTCGTGTGCGTTTTTACAGAGTTTAGTATCCATCAGGAGAATCGACGCAGATACCTCGTAATGGCTGTGATTGGCGTGGTGGGCTATATGATGAATAATGAATAATGGCTTCAGTTCGCTAAACGTACAAGTGGTCTCCGGGCGCACTCATGCGCGCATTACGTCGGCGGACCTTACCAATGACGATTACGAAGGCCTACGCAGATTCAACGACCAGGATCTGGATGCCAACAAGTTTTTGATGACGACAAGGAACACCAGCTTCCGTGAAGACACGCCTGGTAACAGCGTGCTCAACACGATTTTGCGCAACTTCTTTCTGGGAATGGAGGAGGTTCCAGCTTGGTGCCCCAATACTAACAGCTTGTACTCAAATCCGTTCAAGAAAATTTTCGCTTACTACGGGGTTCCTTCACGATCGTGGCAGCAGCGCCTTCTTACCAAAGCAGTGGAGCCAACAGGTACTTTAAGCATGCCGATGAATGCTGCTGCTTCAGACCTTCCACTGGACGAGGGGCTTCCGATGAGTGTAGGCAACGCCACCAACCTTGCCGCGTACGCACTGGTAATGGGCAACGAGGTTTTGGGGTGGTGGAGCATGGAAACGACATTCTGGAAGGGGTTTGCTTCGGATTCTACTGACCCTCCAAGCAATCCTGTGGTCTTGGCAGACTACTTAAACTTGACTACGGGGGCATCCGCGAATGCGACGTTTGTAAGTACCATGCATGGGGTTATTGTCGACTACTTCACGAGAGCAGACAATGCTAGCACCTCAGATGAACTGGCCAAGCTGGAGTTTTCGCATGTCGACCTGTCCGACACTGTGGTGTTCGATTCTCTCACGATCGAGATCCCGACGCAAAAGCTTGGAGAACAAGAGGATAGTTCGTCAAGCTCGAATCCGTTTTACCAACTCGTGACAGAGGAGACGTGCAATACGCAGGCGTGCCTCGTTTCTGATATCCAAGAATTCATGTACACGATTACGAATTTTACGAATTCTACGTTGAATGACAGCACACCTGTTGAAGAATCAGTAGAGGCGGCGATCTACCCACGCATTCAGGCTGTCTCGATTTGTCTGAATGAAGCCGGTAAAGAAGAATTGACTATCGACCCCAAGTATCAGCTCGAAGGATTTGACGGAATGCTACAAGCTTGTAAGCAGCGCTCAAACACGTCCATGATTATCATCAGCCTTGGTAAGCGGGTGGAAGGGGACTCACTTTTAAAAAGTACTCGCACAGACTCGGAGGATTATCTCGTATCGAGCGACATGGTAAATGCTCGCATGGTGTACTCTCTCACAGTGGGGCGTCTTTCATGGATACCAGAGGACCTCTCTGACGTATATGGTGCGGAGTACGCTAGTGACGACGGCTGCTCTGCTATCCGATTTCCACTTGAGCAAGGCGATGATTCAATCGGTAGTGATATCCTGCTGGTCGGGAACAGTAATATCCCCATGGATTTACTTAGCCCAATTGATATTAATACAGACTGGCGTCTTGTGTCGTCGACACAGTGGAAAGTATTGGCAGCGACAGTTGACGTGGGGGAATTAGCCAACGAGCTCAAACCTGCGCAGATTATTCTGCCTCGCAATTTCAAGAAGACCGACTCGTATCTCACCACCTTGCAGGACTACGGAGGTGATTTTTGTAAAAGTGAGGTCGACAGGTATTTGAACCACATCGAGAAGAACCACCTGTACATCGAGCACACGCTTCAACCAGCGTACACAGCAGGGCTCTACTTTCTTTTGCAGAACGCTGTGGTACTTAAACAAAACACGTCCGACGCAGCTCCACCCTTTTCGGGGAACTACCAAGAAATGAACATCCAAGCATCTATCCCGAGGGCATGCATGACAGTCACGATCGTCGGCTCAATCTTCATGATGCTGGGCGGTATCATTATAGGTTTACGTGGGAAACATGGCGAGGCAGCGTTGCGTGACCACGGCACAGCAGGGACTGCCGTGGAGGCCATTGCAAACCGAGACAAGTTCCCACCAAGTATGCTGCGCTTACAGCTTCAAGATGCTTCGACTGGCGAGCTTGTTGATGTACTGTTGGATTCTCTTTACGTGGAGAATGTCGTCCTTGCGAACAAGAAAAATAAAACCCAGCAAATTGTTGTCGTTGGAAATTGGATTTCTCGCCTTGGCTTTAGTCCATACCAACCAAGGACTACTACCAAGAAGGAATCCTGCGACGATGCGGCATCTGAATCTACAGACAACACGAGCTCCGCTGATATTGCGTGAGCAACACATCTTTCGTTCTTTACTCTTCTTTTTCTTCATAACGAGCACAATACATTAATTGTTTTACCGGTATTGTCCCTCTCCACTGATGCTTAATACGGTGATTTACGCACGAGTGTTCACCTAGGGGTACATACTTTTTTTCCAGCTCGTTCAAGGTGCTGCTATGGTAATGCGCCACTGCACGGTTTTGCGCCAACGCATTTCCTGCGAGCAAGCCGTCAACCTCATGTTGACTTCAAGAACGGCTGCGGGCATCAATAAGAAGGTCAAGAAGGACCTGGTCTGGATAAAATATATGATGCCTGAGTTTGGTGGACGTACTTTCAATGCCAACTACCGTCTACCCTCGTGCCAAGCTCTTGCAAGTTGTCTGAATTATTGGTAGCTTCAATCTTGGCTCATGACAAGAACAAATAATACCTTCCGCCAACTACGTAGTGCTGGGTCTGATCTGCGTCATTCACAAGCAACAGGTTTTTGCTGCAAAGAGAGCCCAACGAAATGCCCACAAACGGTAGTTTTGAAGCCACGACTACAAGACCTCCAACATCGTCTTCCTCTGACCAACATCCGAGGAAGTTATTAGTCACCACCATTGCATGCACAACCAGGTAGAGAAATATTCATCGGGAGGTCACAGTCCGATGTGAGATCACCAGCACTCGAAGTCTAACGCTCGATGTTCGAGAAAGTGCGTGTTGCTGGGACAATTGTGACGGGAATCGATAATTAGCGACCAAGTTTGGAGGGGAAACACTGTGGTTACACCGGGTCGGAACGAGCAAACAAGCTCAGGAAGATAGTTGATGAATTCCCGGTTGTTCCCAAAGGGTCAGCACCCACGAGAAAAAAAAAAACTTTTAATTAGATTTTGGGTGCTGGCGGTAGGGACCCTTTGGGAACAACCGGGAATTCATCAACTATCTTCCTAAGCTTGTTTGCTCGTTCCGACCCGGTGTAACCACAGTGTTTGACTCGAGGAGAGATGGTGGTGGTGACTATCTGGTGCGCCGTCGCGAGTGTCGCGGGGAACATGTTCTCGGTGAAAGTGGATGAGGGCATCTCGGTGGACGACCTGAAGACGGCGATTCTGTTCAAGAAGCAGAGCACGATCACGTGCGACCCAGGCGAGCTTCATCTCTTCCTGACGTAGACGGACGACGGCAACTGGATAAGGGCGGCGTGGGTATCAGTGCCCACATGAAAGAGCTGGATAACGAGTATTCACGACTCAAAATATCCGGGTTGTCGGCAGCCGAAGTCGTGTCGGATAACCAAATCAATGCAGGGCTCGGCGAAGTTCACGATAGGCTTCACCGTGGGAAGCTTCACGAGCTTCCCACGGTGAAGCCTATCCGGATCATGGGCTCCGCCGAGTTGGACCAGTATAATACAGTGGCCGAGAAGCTCAAAGACTCGAAGGGGGTAACGGACCTGGTCAAGATCATCAAGACGATCCATGACGAGTTGAAGGTTGCCAAGCCCGCAGTGATGCCGTTTGTCGTGCTGGAGAACTCGTCGGGCACTGGCAAGACGCAGATGGCGTTCAACCTCCAGGCCACTGGCGAGTGCGTCGTCTTCCACGTGCTGTGTAGGAGCCAAGGGGAGGTCCGCCAACCTGTGTATGACGCCTTTATAAAGCGGTCGGAAGTGTTCCTCAGCTGCATCGAGACAGATGCGGAGAAGTTGAAAGCGGGCTCGATTGCTGATTTTCTCGGAGCACAAAGTCTACTGGTCTACGGTTTTATCAGTGCAGCGCTCCGGGGAATGGATGAGTTGTCGGGGTTGGAAGCCACGAGAGAAGACGTACAACGCGTTCTCGCTATGAAGACAGGCAAGCCTTTCGTCTTCTTCCTCGACGAATTTACTCGTGTTGACAATCTGGGGAAAGGTGAAATGGATCAGAGAAAGAAACGCATTCGGATGATGAGGAACGTTTTTCGATCCTTTCATATTATCGTGGTGATCAGTGCCACAAGTGGCTCCGCGCGCGATCACCTGGAGACAGGCAAAAGGCCGAGGACTAAGTCATTGCACGGGGAAACTCGGTGGTGTGTGGTTGTTCCGTCACTCCCAAAGTTTGTTATCACGAACGAAATGGAGTTGGATCCGTGGCTTCTGTGGATTCTCCGGCATAGTAGGCCTCTGTTTGCGTCTGCAGACCTGCAGTACATTGAGAAGAATCCATTTGGATCTAGTGGAAGGAGTCGAGTGGAGTATTTGGCGGACATGACGAACGAATTGGTGGGCCAGTTTCGTGGTTTGAAACAGACGTCACCAGCAGCAATTGGATTCGAACTCGGGCAGTTCTGCATGCTCTTGGGTGCTAGTTGCAAAGAGGTAGACGGAGGTGTGGATTTAATTGACGGCTACTGCGGATGTCTTCAGGAGGTGAAGCCTTTCACGCTGGTACTAAGTGCTACAAGAAAAGGATTGTTCAAACTGATCGAGAGTTCAGGGGAAACCTCCGAAGGCAAACGCATAGAGAAATGGGGTACTCGTTACAGATTGCCACTGCCTGAGGAAGACATGCTGCTGCATCTAACGCTGATGAACGACGAGCGCCTTCATACAGGAGGTGGACATGGTGAAAAGACGATTCGCCTACTGAAATCCGCAGTTCATGAAGAATGGCAAGAGATTAAAGTGCCGCACGACTTGAAAAACACCACACAGAGGTTTATGACACTGGAAGGGTTGGTGACAGCCGCAGTCGTTCTGGCAAGCCACCGCAGAGGCTTTTATGGAGTAAAGTTTCCTGAGTTTTTGGGCAGACTGCTGTACGAGCTGGGCGTTGAAAAGGACCTCAAATGCGTCAAACCTCTTCCCAAGCGCCTGAAGCAGAATACGATAATCCCATTTTTGTCGATGCCGAACACGAAGTGGCCGATAGAGTTTCTGCAAGACTGGCACGGCGGCGGTGCCATGTTTGCGAATATGCGTCGTACGACCACTGCTGAAGGCATCGACTTCGCGGTCCCCTGGAGCACGAGAGACGGCGATCAGGTGCCTTCGAACGGGAACGATACCGAAAACCAGAGCAACGTTTCCGTTTTCGAGAAGAAAATGATCTTTTCTGGTGAATGCGTGGATCGCGAGCCCTTTAATTTAGATGAGCTGAAAGATGTTCTGGCACATGTTCCGAAGTCCATTTGGTGGCGGTCCAAGAACTTCAGGGTAAATACTTTAGCAGAACAGAATGCACGGAGCCGACACGCCAATTAGGCACACCCAAGGACTCGGCAGCCAAGTGCACGGGGTCCACAAGAAACGTGCAAGTTGGCGTGTCATCGACTTCCAAAACAAATGCGTCTATCGGCGAGGTGGCTGCCGCACACGAGCTAATGTCGGCTTGTCAATATTTAGAGCACGTAGGCTTGCAGCACGCGGACTTTTACCAAATTTCACACAGTGGAGAGGTGGAGGAGTTCCGAGAGCTGATGGACGCAAAGGCTGTCGATGAGGGCTCGCGGAAAGGCGGCGTTCGTCGAAGTCGGAGCGATTTCAAGGAAGGGAATGTCGCGTGAAGCCGGACAGGCAGAGCCTACACTACTGCCGAAGAAGTCTCGGCTCATCGGGGACAATGAAGACGAAACGCTCTCTTCTACTTGACGATACAGTTGGGGTGGTGGGCCATCGGCGCAATATGCTCAGTTCGCATACCAGCATGCGCTGAATCGGGTGACACTGAGGTGAATGGATAAAATCCATGCGATAGTGGAAGTAGCTCAGAAAATTACAACTTAGGCAATCGTGGTCTTTTGATTTAATTGCAGCTTGGTTACAGTCTGACGCTGTGTCTTGCTGCCTTCTCCTGATGCGATGACATTGGGTTTTCTAACACAAAGTGACTATAACGATTTTTTGCTAGCATTATTAGAGTATTACGAATATCCGAGTTGACGTTCTAACTAACGCACCAACGATGATACATTACCCCCCGCCAACAACGAAGTGTTTGGTCTCATCTGCGGCATTCACTAGCAGCATGTTTTCGATACGAAGCGAGCCCAACGAAGCGTCGACGAACTTGCCCGTGACGCTATCTCGAAGCTTCAAGCGCAGCATAACAGGGGGGAATTTGTTTTGATTCGCGATGGCTTCTGCCGCCGTGTCCGCTGTACCGTGCTCAAGCAACTGAACTTCTCCACGCTTTCCCAGAAGAGCGATAATAATGCCCCCCAGCACCATGCCAACACAGCCCACCACCGTTAGTACCATATTCGTGGTTGGGATGTACGCTTGGACGTTCATCTCTTGGATATTTCCCATAAACGCCAGGGATATGCCCTCAGAATAGATACTAGCATTTGAAGGGAGGTATTTGACAACCACTGCGTCCTGGGAAATAAAGTAGAGCCCCGCTGTATATGCTGGCTGCAGAGTGTGCTCGATGTACAGGTGATTCTTCTCGATGTGTTTGATGTGCCCAAGAGCTCGCAGGTTTTGGACCCGTCTTGTTCCAGCATGTACGTGGTGAGACCCGAGTCGGTGTGTTTAAAATTGCGCGGTAGTGCAATCGGTGCTCGGCTAGAGTCAGTTTTCAGCTTTGCGCCTCTGGTTTCCTCGACAGTCGATCCACTCCGACGCACCAATTGAAAAAATAATTCACGTTCATGTTGATGGGACTGAGTAAATCCATCAGGATTCTGCTGCTACCGATAAGTAGTTGGTCACTGGTAGTTTCCAGTGGAAACCGAAGTCCGTCGCAGCCTTCTTCACTTGCGCATTCAACTCCATAAACGTCTGACAGATTCTGCGGCGTCCACGATAACCGCCCCACCGTCAGAGAATACACCATGCGCGCGTTCACTTAAGAAGCTTCGAAGGAGTCACCTTCGATACGCTTGCCAATGTTTACGATCATCATTGAAGTAGTCGAGCGCCTCGTGCAATTTTGGAGATACTGGTCGGGATTGTAGTAGTTCATATCCACAGCCAGATCTTCGGTTCCCTTATTGTTGAGACAGATTGCGAGTGCTTGTACACGTGGATAGATTGTCGTTTCGTTGCCGCCTTCCGTGAATTCCTTCGCCCCGTTCACGATACAGGCCTCCGGGTTGCAGTCGAGCCCCTTCAGCGTTTCGTAGAATGGGTTCGATTCTGACGAATTGTCCTCCTGCTGACCGATCTTTTGCGTTGGGATCTCAATTGTGAATGCATCGAAGACCACAGTCTCCGACAGATCCAGACGCGAAAACGCCAACCTTGCCAGCTCGTCAGTGATGTTCGCATGACCAGCCTTCCCGAAGTAGTCGGCAACCACCTCTTGGACGTCACTGACAAAAGTCGCGTTTGCAGATGACCGCTTCGTTAGATTCAAGTATTCGGCCATGACGAGCGGCTTGGAATATTTGGTGGTCTTGAAGCCTTGACTGCGTGAGCTCCATACCTCGTCTTCCTCCGACCACCAGCCGAGAAAGCTGTTGCTCACCACCACCGCATAAACAACCAGGTTGGTCGCGATAGAAATATTCATCGGGAGGTCATCGTTCGATGGGAGGTCTCCAGCACTGGAACTCATGGGGAAGTCCATTGAAACAGTGGGTTCCAACGCTCGAGAAAGCGCGCGTTGCTGCCACGATCGTGACGGGAATCCGTAGTAAGCGACAACATTTTGGAGCGGACTTTTGATGGAAACACTGTGGTTGCACCAGGTCGGAACATTTTCCGTCGGGGTGAACAAGTTGCGTAAGATGGTATTGTGCACACTGTTACTGGGTGCACTCTCGCGGAATTTGGCGTCCCGTGTCGTCGTCAGTAAGCGATCGCCATCTAACGGCTGAGTATTATCGTGCACATTCTCCACCGATAGGTCGGACGAGATGATCCTCGGACGGATTTTACCAGATACCACTTGGACATTCAGTGCACTAAATCCCGTGTTCATCAGGTACCCCACGCCCCCAATGACGCCCATCGCCAGATATCTGCGACGATTTTCATGATGAATACTGGTTTTGGCCGCTAAACACAAGAAGGCCACGCTCACCACCATACTGAGGAACACGTCCAGAGGCTTGGATACCAACACGGTCAGTCCGCCGGAGATGGAGTTGTACTTGTCCAGCATCTTCTTCTGCTCTGCGGCGCTCATCTCATCAGCTTCGAACGAGTCGACGCGTAGACCTTCACGCGCGAACGGTAGCATCGTCCCGATAAGGAGGCAGGCCATCAAGAGCGAGCCTACCACCGCTCGAAAGCGATGAACGCCGATGTTGAGCTGGTAGTCCGAGGCGTGTTCCTTTGTCTTTGTTGACTCTGGGAGAACACTTGCTCGGTCGGACTCGCTCAGTGACTCAATGGTGTTGGGCATGGCTGTGCTCGCTGGTTGGCGATATGAAGAATGACTCCGCTTGGTTATCGTGAAGCGAGCATGTCAAAACGGATCCCTGATTTTCTCATATCCCAGATATCATTATCAAAGCACAATCGGAAGTACATACACAAAAATTTTCTAAAAGGCGTTCGCCGCAAGTCATATCATTGCCATTCCCGCCACGAATTGCAGACATCGATGCCGGGGACTGCTCAGCCTCAGAGCGAGATCGACACGAGTGTTGCAGCTGAATCGCTAGAGCTCCAGGATGACAAGACCCTCACTGACTACACGCTCCACATTAGGGTTCATCGTCTTCGAGGCTTTGGTGTTTCTCTACTGATGACTCTCGTGCTGGTCGGTGCGATGCTGCCCTTTGCTCGCGATGGGATACGCCTAAAAACCTTCCAAGCGGGGGACATGGAGCCTCCACGACAGAAGGAAATGCTGGACAAGTACAACTCCATCTCCGGCGGACTCACTGTGTTGCTGACCAAGCCTTTGGACGTATTTCTAAGCATGGTGGTGACTGTCGCTCTGCTCTGTATTGCGACCAAGTACAGTGTTCACAATGAAACTCAACGCAGATACGTCGTTATGGGGATCATCGCTGTCGTGGGCTATTTAATGAACACTGGCTTCGTCGCCCTCAACGTTCAAGTGGTTTCCGGTCCGATCCATCCCCGGATTATCTCGGCCGACCTCGCAGTGCAGAATGTGTACGATGACACGCAACAACTCGATGGCGATGGGTTATTGACAACCACGATGAACACAAACTTCCGCGAAGATAACCCAGGTAACAGCGTGTTAAACACCATTCTACGCAACTAGTATTTGTAGATCCAGAAGAAGTCCCGACGTGGTGCAACCACACCGACGACTACCCAAATCCTTTCAAGCACGTCGTGGCTAGTTATGGCTTCCCCCCGCGAACGTGGCAGCAGTACGCGCTCCCTCGAGCGGTAGAGCCGACTGCATCATTAAATTTGTCGATGAGCGCATCAGCAGCGGATGTTCCACCGGACGAAGACCTCCCTATGGACCAATCTGTCGCTACGAACCTCATTGTGTACGCTTTGTTGGTGAGCAACAGTTTTCTCGGTTGGTGGGGAGCTGAAGACGAAGCATCGACGCTTAACACGAAGGTTGATCCTACAGGAACACTATCAATGGCTGAGCATTTCAACTTGACAACCCGCTCATCATCGAATGCGACCTTTTTGAGCGATGCTCACGCGGTGATGGTTGACTACTTCAACAAGGCGGAGAACGCTAGCTTAACTGATGAGCTGACGACAGTGGAGTTTTCCCGGGTTAACGTAACGGAGTCGATTGTATTTGACGCCATGACTATTGAGATTCCTACAGAGAAGTTTGGTGATCAAGAGGATAATTTGTCGAGCTCGAATCCGTTCTACGAAACACTTCGTGACTATTTGTGCAACGCCGAAGCCTGCCTCATGCCGTACGCGGAGGAGTTTACGGCGGCTGGAACGACAACGACAGTGTATCCACGCGTGCAGGCTCTTGCAATCTGTCTAAATGACGCGGGCGGGGAGGATTTGGTCGTGGACTTCAGCTACTACCAGTCGAACCAACCGTTGCAGTCGTGCAAGCAGCGTTCAAATTCCTCCATGGTCATCGTAAGCGTCGGTAAATGCATCCAAGGTGACGCGTTTGAGGCTGCTTCGGGTGTGTTAAATGAAGCTAGCCGGGTCGTGAATGCTTGAATGGTTTACTCTCTGACTGTGGGGCGTTTGGCATGGACGGACATACGAGACCTTGAATGACACGTACAACGCTGCGTGTGCTAGCGCGAACGGCTGTTACGGTCTGCATTACCCTCTTGAAGGCCCTGGGAATACATCAGCAAGCAGCTTCTTGTTAGTCAGCAATGAGAGCGTTCCAATGAATCAGCTCAGTCCTATCAACATGAACCGGTATTGGTACGCTGTTGCGTCGACTGTTGAGACAAGGGGTGCAGGGTTACGTACCGAGACTCGAACAGCTCTGATTGTTCTGCCTCGGAATTTCAAGACATTGAGTACGTCACTTGCCGACTACATGAATGAAACTGGCTGGAAAAACTGCGAGATTTTCATCGACAAGCACGTTAACAACGTCGAGCACACGCTGCAGCCAGCGTATACGGCTGGTTTATACTTCATCTTACAGAATGCGGTGGTGATGAAGCAACTGCCTTCGAATGCGAGTGTGTACGCTACCAAACGCTCCAGGACATGTACGTCCAAGCGTCGATCCCGACTACGAGTTTGCTGCTGGCTGTTGCTGGCTGTACCCTCGTACTTCTGGGCGGTATCATCATTGTTTTAGTTGGTAAACACGGGGAGGGAGCGCTGGATAAACACCGGACGTGGCGGAAGCGATCGCGAACCCAGAAAAATTCCCCCCGTTGATGCTAAGCTTACAACTACGGGACGCAACTGGCGGTGGCATTGTTGCTAATTCGCTGGGAACATTGCGCGTGGAGAATGTGGTGCTTACCAATGTAGCTGATGCCACACAACACTACGTCGTTGGGTAAAGGGTGAACTCATCATCAAAATTTATGACAAACGTTTTAATTTCTCGTCTAAACCCTGCAATTAGTTACGTGTTCTACAGTCTCCTCTATTTTGTAGTGATAGCGAATTGTTGGGGCTTGTCTGTCTTGTGAACGAACACAACGTTGTCCACTCGAAGCGTCCCGATCACAGCCTCCACCATCGATTTAATACCACGATCTCGCACCTTCAAACGCATCATGATAGGCGGTAAAATTCCTGATTTTCAATCGCCTGCACCGCCTCGCCGACTCTATCAACTCTTCCTTGTTCTGATGATCGCCATGGTAATTGCACCCGCAATCAAGAAGATGTAGCCGATAACCGCAACGATGAGACTTGTCGTAGGGATCGACGGTTGTACGTGCATGCCTTAAATATTCTCCCAGAAATCCAGCGATGGTTTGGCAAGAGTGTCAGTCTCATCAGACGATAGTTCATTGCGCACTACTCTTTTCTCGAAAATATGTTACAATTTAGTGGTGTACGCGGTCCGAAGCGAGCGCTCGATGCATAGGTTGTTTTCCACAAGATTATCGAGGTGATCATCGATGCAGATCTCGGAAATCTTCACGCCTTCGCGACGTATGTACGGCGCCCCAAGCTTCCCCTCCACACCACCGCCTCTAAAACCCTCTACCTATCACCAACGCATATGCCGCGAGATCCGTGGCAGTAGGTACATTCATAAGGAGTCTTGCGTCCGCTTCAGCTGCATTTATCGACAGAGTTACCGATAGAGTTTGCTCCACAGCTTTCGACAGCGGTCGAAGTTGCCACAACCGAGGTGGGAAGCCATAGTTGGCGAAGCCACTTGTCGGCATCGGGATAGTTTTTACTTCTGGAGCACCACGTCGGAACCGCCTCCGGTTCATCGATCAACGTGTGCATAATAGTGTTAAAGACGCTGCTCCCAGAGGCATGCTCACAAAGCCTGTAATCCCACGGTATCGCAAGGAACCGAATGCGATCCAAACACCGTATTTCATCGTTTAAAATTCTCCGCAGTAATGGCGGCTAGGATGATTCTTTGGTGAACTGCACCGGGCACGACGTGTAAGCTGAGAGTATTGAAGCCCGTGTTCATCGAAGTGTCAGACCAAGCCAACTATTACCGTGACGATACATTTGTGTTGGCTTTCAGTACAGCACTGTACTTTGTAGCTGTACCCAGGAACGCAACCGCGACCACCATACTCAGGAGATGTCAAGGGGCTTCATCTACAGTGAGGTCAGAGCCCCCAATATCCTGTTGAGGTCATCCGGCAGACTCTTCTGCTCGCCCGCGTCCCGCTCGTTGGGCTGGAAGATGTGAATTTCTATCCGTCTCGAGCAAAGGGCTGAAAAGCGCGCACGCCAGCGGCCCTGACCCAGCGACCCACACGTTCGATGAAGGCGAATATTTAACGGATAGTTTGGAGAACCTTTCTGGCTCACGTCTAGGGTGGACTCAATAAACAACTGCGTCCTCGGATTCTTTCGTGCTCGATATTACAAAGTTTGCAACCTGACAAGACCGACAGTGAAGTGGAGCTCAACTTTACGGCAACGTGCCGCGAACACCGCGAGAACGTCAACAGAGCAAGTCGTAGCCAACCGAAATTATGCTGTAGCCATTCGTCAGTCTTCTTAGTCTTGAATTGGTTGGTTTCACAACGGTTTCAGTGAATAGTCTTCTCTTAACGTTCTGGCGGTGCTGCGAAGATATACCGATACTTGGCTTGGGATTCATTCATTGTGCATTTTGCCAGCTCACAGACGCCGCAATGCCATCCACGGAAGAGTCGGAGAGCGGCTCCGACAAAACCAGCAGCACTGAGGTGACGCTAGAAATCCCGGAGACTGTCAAGACCACTGAGACCTATGCTCTAAGTGTTGGGGTTTATCGATTTCGAGCAGTGTGGGGGTCAGTGGGCTTGGCTGCTGCATTGCTTGGAGTGATGCAGATCTTTGCGAACAATGGGGTCCAGGTGGGGTCTTTTCGGTCCGTGGATTTGGATCCTGACGGCCAAAAGGAGCTTCTGGACACGTACAACGGGCGGTTGGCCAGTCTGACCTCGACGGTCATGAAGCCACTCGACATCTTTCTGAGTATGTTGGTCGCTGTTGTGTTCCTGTGTCTAAAGACGAAGTGGAGCGTTCATTTCGAAAGTCGGCGGCAATTCGTGGTGGTAGCGATCATCGGCTTGGTGGGCTACTTGCTGGACTACGGGTTCAACTCGTTGAATCTGCAGGTGGTTCCGGGGGATATCCAACCGAGGATTATGCCAGATGATCTCGCTTTGCAAACTATCGTGGACGTCGCTCAAGAACTTAGCGTCGATGGCTTCTTGGTTACAACCAAGGACGCTAAGTTCCGAGAAGATTCGCCCGACAACAGTCTACTTAACACCATAATGCGCAACTTGATCATCGCTCCCGAAGAGGTTCCAACGTGGTGCAATGACTTTGACGCCTACTCGAGCCCGCATAAGAATGTCATGGCCAGCTACGGCTTCCCAGCTCGCCCATGGCAGCAGTACGCTCTGTCGAAAGCCTTAGAACCCACCGGGTCTGGAAGCTTTCCTATGACGACTGCAGCAGTGGATCTTCCACCAGACCGAAACCTCCCCATGGATGAATCCGTAGCTACCAACTTGGCGGTGTACGCTCTGCTTGTAAGCAACAGCTTCCTCGGGTGGTGGAGAGGTGACAACCAGGCATGGACATTTAGTACTGCCGTCCACAGCACTGGGACTCTTTCGCTGGCCGAACACTTCAACTTGACAACCCGCTCTTCGTCCGATGCAACTTTCCTTAGCAACGCGCACAAGGTTATCGTCGACTACTTCAGCAGAGCCGAGAACGCCAACACGACAGATGAGCTCGCGAGAATTGAATTTTCTCGAGTTAATCTCTCCGAAATGATCGTGTTTGACGCACTGACCATTGACATCCCGACGCGGAAGTTCGGCAAGCAGGAGGATAATTCCTCAGCCTCGAACCCGTTTTACGAGCCTGTGAGCGACTATCGGTGCAACACGCAAGCTTGTGTTCTGGAAAAGTACGAGTACATGCTCCAAGATGGGACAAATAACGAGCTGGAAACGACGATTTACCCCCGTGTGCAGGCACTGGGCATCTGTCTGAATGCTGCTGGAGGCGAAGAATTAGTCGCAGATTTCAGCTATTACCGGCCGAACGAAGTCTTGCAAGCGTGTGAACAGCAATCAAACTCATCCATGATCATCGTCAGTGTCGGCAAACGCGCGGAAGGTGACTCGTTTGAGCCGGCTACAATGGTCTCGGATGCAACTGCGAGCGGTCAACTCGTCAACGCTCGAATGGTTTATTCACTCACTGTTGGACGGCTTTCGTGGTCTCCTGAACACCTTTCAGAGGTATTTAATGCCGATTGCGGAATGGCTGACGGGTGCTATGGAATCCGCTTCCCACTCGAGCAAGCGGACACTTCAAACGATAGCGAGGTCTTGATTGTTAGTAACAGCAGCATCCCGATGAATCTGCTCCGCCCGATCAACTTGAACAGTAATTATCAGAGTTTGGGCTCGTCAAAATGGAAAGTGTTGGCGTCGACTGTTGAGGAAAATCGAGGAGCGGGGCTACTAACGGAGACCAGACCCGCGCTTGTTGTTTTGCCGCGTAATTTCAAGAGGGTTGAGTGGGACCTTGAATCCTTCATGCTGTCTGATGGACTGATAAGTTGTGAGAAGACCATCGACAATTATCTGAACAACATTGAAAAGAACCACCTCTACATCGAGCAGACACTTCAGCCAGCGTATGCCGCCGGGTTCTTCTTCATCTTTCAGAACGCGCTGACCTTCAAGCAAGTAAATGTGACGGACAAATCTTCAAAGAAGTCGCTGGGTTTTTCGGGAAATGTACAAGAAATGCTTGTCCAAGCCTCCATCCCGCCCCTCAGCTTTGGTATCGTAGCGCTTGGCTGCTTGGTAATGATCGGGGGCGCTGTCATCATTGCTTTGCACGGTAAACGATGCGAAGAAGCGTTGCTCAAGTACAGTACGGCAGCTACGGTGGTGGAGGCGATTGAGAACCCAGCGAAATTCCCTCCCTTCATGTTGCAGCTGCAACTCCGAGATACCACAGTGGGGTCTGTTCCAGAAATGGGCTGAACACCCTTTGCGTTGACAAATTGGAGCTCGTTGGCAAGAGTGACAAAACGCAACGATTCGAGATTTCCACAAAATAGGTTCGAGGCTTCTTTCGTGTCATTGGAAGCAGGTCCATTAATTCATGAATGACACTGCATCTTACCTAGACACTAATTCCTACTAGCATTCAGCGTTGATTCCTTATGAGAAGAAGCTCACAACGATCAAACTGCAATATTATTTTTCCAGTAGCTCTGCTGTGATCGGTGAAATTCTCTAGCTTGATTTCCTCCACAGTAAAATAAAGCCGCTCGTCGGCAGTTCGCGAGGCTATATTCAACAAGTAAGCTATGCCTACGAGTTTGCTACTCGCGGTCGCCAGTTGTGCGCTCGTAGTGGTCTGCGGGTTAGTGATCGCCACGCTGACGAACTGCGAAGAGTTTATTGAGAACGGCTCGGCCGAGACGGCAGTGGAAGCGCTCACCAACCAGAACAAGTTCCCTCCATTCATGCTACGAATGCATCTACGGGACGACAATGGCGGGGGTGCAGCACGGCCTGCACTGGACTAGCTTCGGATGGAACATGTGGTTTTCGCTGACAAGGAGGATGCAACGCAAACGTATCTTGTTAACGCCGGTGACAGTGGAGCTAAGACTGTGACGAAAACGCCAGAACCCTGAACAAATCGCAGAATGCTGGTATTAAAACAATCGTTAGCAGAGAAATTCACCTAGGTTGATGTGGATTTTGGCTAAGATTACTTTAAACAATAATACCATAAATATGCTGAAGGGAACTCCAACTAGAGAAGGCCAGTTTTCAAGCATTGGCCGCTCCTCGTGTGGTTACCGTCTGTGCAATGTATATGTATCGTCTCACTCATGATCAGCCATAGTTACGTTATCGGGAAATAATCAACTACATGGCCTTGTTTGTACGAATAAGTTGTTCGTCGGCCAAGATGACTCCTTGAAGTTGAGTTGAGTGTGTAGTATTCAAGCCTTTGTTCAACCACAACTACATGTTGAAGTGGTCCGAGGGCACGACACGCAGAGAGACCTTCATTGGCGTAAGCATTGAAGACATAATGTTTAGCACTGCTGGAAGATCGCCAATGGTGCTGTCCCCACGCACGCTAAAGAGACCAACGACAGATCTCACTTCCACATTTGTAGCGGCTCGCACACATCCCAAGATTCCTCGCTGGTGGTCATCGATGCTTCACATGGGACTTCGCGCGCTCGGTTGGACTGCAGCGATTGCTTCCGTTGCGGTAGCAGCAACGTCTGACTCCAGCAGCAGCAGCAGCAGCAGTGAAGGCAACTCGACGACCAAGTGCTTCCCCTCGAACTTCTTTTCGGCTCCGCGACGGCGTCGCACCAAGTTGAAGGCGCAGTGAACGAAACCGGTCGCACACCCAGTGTCTGGGACGAGATTTGCGGTACTTCTTCGTTCCCGAACTGTGCTAACGTGGCCGACGACTTCTTCCACCGCTACAAGGACGACATCAACACGATGAAGGGCGACGGGTACGGCTCCATGCGCTTCTCCATCTCGCGGTCGCGCGCCATGAACTGGAACAGCACGCTCCAGCGCATGCAGCCCAACCCGGAAGGGCTCGCCTTCTACCACTCGCTGGTGGATGAGCTGGTCGACAACGGCATCGAGCCCGTGCTGACGCTCTTCCACTGGGATATGCCCATCGAGCTGTACTCGGCCGGAGACTTCCTGAACGCCACCATCATCGACCACTTCACGGACTACGCGCAGCTGATCTTCTCGGAGTTTGGGCAGAAGGTCAAGTACTGGTCCACCATCAACGAGCCGCTCTCACATGTACATCTTCTACATATACGCGGGGACAGACAGCGATGAGTATGAGGCAGCGCACACTCTGCTACTTGCACACGCCGAGATGGTAGCTCTGTTCCGTAGTCTCCAAGAGCAGGGCGTCGTCCAGAGCAGCGCTCGTATCGGCCTCGTCCTCTCTGGATTCGGCATCCCTTACGACGACACCAACGACGCGGACGTGGAGGCAGCCGAGCGCTACAACCAGTTCAACTCCGGCTGGTTCCTGGCTCCACTTACGACGGGGGACTACCCGCCCATGATGCGCGAGCGTGTGGGCAGTCGACTCCCCAACTTCACGGACGAAGAAGCTGCTCTCGTGGGGTCGTACGATCTCATCATGGTCAACCACTACTACTCGAACCTCATCACGTACTGCGACTCGGAGCACTCGGCAACCAACTGCTCCAGTCTCGCGGAAGGATACTACGCGGACATGGGGGTCGACCACTCGCAAGTGCACCCAGAGTCGGTCATCGGCTCGGGGAGTCTTGCCAACCCCACTAGCTGCACCGACCACTTCGGGTTCCCGCCCAGCTACATGGCCTACATCCGCTGGGCCAACGCCTACGACACGAGCGCCGACATGCTGCTGACCGAGAACGGCTGGTGCGGCAACGAAACCATCGACAATCAGGACCAGCTCTGGTACTACCGCACGCACCTCGAGATGGTGCACCGAGCCATCTACGAGGAGAACATCCCCATCATCGGCTACACGGCCTGGAGCTTCGTGGACAACTACGAGTGGGGGTCCTACGCGCCTCGCTACGGCCTCTACTACGTCGACTTCCCGGACAACATCGGCGACAAGGACGTCTACTCCGTTCCGTCGACGTATTTGAACCGTACGGCGCGCACGGCAGCGAAGTGGTACGCGAACTTGGCGACGACGGGGTGTTTTGAGTCGGAACCGGAAGACGAAAAGTGGCTGGCTTACCTGTAGTACACCTCAGTACTGCTCGAATGGGGCTGAGAGTTGATGTGTTCACATTTGGCTAGTCTTTCTGCATTACCACTTTCAGAGGAATGATTTAGCGGGTTTATCTCGAAACTTGTTGATAGGAGTAGCTTAAGCAGAAAATCGTTTGGACATACAAAACAGTGAGCTTTTCCCGTCCAAACCTTCACTATGTGCCCCACCCTCGTTGCGTAGACATTTCAATTATGTTTTATCCATTCGAATTGAAAGGTAAAATCGACACCTGGTAGATCACAGACCTCGATAAGCTCGCAACCGGATGAATTCTCTGAATGTTGAATAAATATACAGACTTACCGAAGTGTACAACGCGAAATGTCAGTGTCATCAATACCCATATCAGTAGCGTTGATTGCACGAACATCATCTGCTTCTCCAACACAAACGCAAGCTGATAGAGTGCATTGATCCCGCAGTTCCGTTTCATGATCAGCGCGAGAGCTACAAACGATGCGAGCTCCAAGAGTGCATACAGAAACATTCTTAAAACCATGACGTCGACATTTTCAAGAGAGACTCCATCCATTTCCGTGTGATACTGCGCGCTGGATTGGTGGACCATCGTCGAAATGAAGACGCCGTACACCACGGGGATGATTATCTCCACATACTCGGTCAACACGAGGCATTCTGACGTAAACAGCACCTCGAGAGCGTCTTTAAGAACAACGGAGTTGTCCACTCTAGGTCTTCCCTGGCCCAAAGCTATGATATTAGGTATATCATCAGTCCGTGGATTTTTGTGGCTGGCCATTATTGTCGGGCGAGGCTTTACCAAATTGCTGCGAAGCGCGTTCGTATTAACGGGTTCAATGGGATCGATGATGTTTGCGGTGAGAAGCGGGACATGCGCGGCAACTGATCAAATAGTTTCGTGGTAGCCCCCGGTTGGTAAGCATTTTCGAGAGCCGTTAGTAGTTTGTTGTTCTCCGAGGAAATGTGATGTTCAATACAAGAACGAATGCTTATCCCGACGCGAACTTGCCTCCGTAGCGCCAGAGAAGAGGAGCACAGCGACCGGACAGCTTCCAGCAAAGTGCCGCTATCGGACGCGTTAGGAGTAATACCACCGGCCACTGTTCGCGTACGAGCAATGATGCAAAGAGTTCGCTGGTGGAGTTCCCGCAATTCCACTGCAGATTGCACGATATCGATAGCCACTATAACCGTGAGCGTTTTCATCGATAAGCTCTGCATGAACGTGGCGAGGTACAGGGCATCGAAAAAGTCGACAGTGAAGACGACATAGACAGGGATCATATCCTCCTTGTGCAAAGCCGTCATGGCAAAGATCTTCTTGGCCACGATCCTGAATACAGGAAGCAGCAGAAGTACTGGTAGCTCGTAGACTGTGTGGGTTGCTTGAGTGAAAAGCACTTGGCATAAAGGGTGTGCCACGTACAGCAGCACCTGCAACACCAAAATCTTCTTCACTCCTCGTAATAGCTCGTGCTTGGCGAGTAGTTCCCTAAAAGCGTGACCAGAGACAACCCGGATATACACCAATATGATTGATGAGCTCACTCCACCAAGAGTAAATATACAGAATGGAATGGGAAATACCCAAACCATCGCTGTAGCTATTCCAAAGCCATAGTTGACCTTCCAGCCAGCTGCCGGATCTTGGAGCGGAATTGTTTCTTGTAGCAGTACAGCAGCAGCGACGACTAGTGGCGTACCAATGGTGATGAATAGCGCGCGAGTCAACGAGGTTTCACGAGAATATTCTTCTACACCTTTGCCCAGCCTTAGTTGTCTAATCCGCATCCAAAGTTGTCAGCTTTTATTTTGGGTGGGAACGAGGTACCCGAATTAAGGGGTACCACTCTCCTTAGTGCAAGCGAAGTCGTCTAATCCCCAATCAAAGTTGTCGGAACTGACGAGAACCTGACGTGAAGTTCCCGCGCGCGCGAAGTTGACCATGACTTCGTGCGTGGCGCGCTCACTCCTCAATCTACCCAACATCGCACGAGTGCTATAGCATCTGCCGGGACTGCGCGACGACGGCTTCAGCCATGAGCGACAACGTGATGCGAGCCAACGATAATGTCCGGCGGCGCGCTGCGCAGAAGCAATAACAGCGGTGGCCGCAAGCGCTAGCAGCAGTATGACCACACGCCACAGTACACAACGCGCATCAAGAGTATCATCCGCGTACTGCTCTACATGTACATGCACTTTAGGTACGTGCCCGAGTTCCTGAGCCCACTGCTCATCAGCGACGACCAGCCGATCATGAAGACCGAGGCGCGCAAGCGCATTCTCGAGCGCGCAGCTCATGTGAACATGGCCAACATCACGCAGCACATGGTGCAGAAGATAGAGCTGCACGCGGCCAAGTTCGTCAACGCCACAACTCGCAGCGAGGACATGGTGTACGGCGAGCAGAAGCCCATCGGTGCTTACTTTGATGCTGTGCATGTGTACTGTGGCATGTGTAGCTTTTGGTCAGTGCCAACTTTGATTGGGGATTAGACGACTTCGCTTGCACTAAGGAGAGTGGTACCCCTTAATTCGGGTACCTCGTTCCCACCCAAAATAAAAGCTGACAACTTTGGATGCGGATTAGACAACTAAGGCTGGGCAAAGGTGTAGAGACATCAACCGTTCAATGGAGTACTTTCCTCCACAGTGACCGACTTGGACAGCGTATCAAGCGTTAACAAGCCATGACGACTTTGCCTTACAGAGATTATTGATGCTTTCGAGTTTGGATGCAGGAGGCGCTGACGTTGAGGCCGAGGTCATGGACAGTCGACGTAATGGACTCCGATAAAACTAACGTGCCAAGGTTCACACTAACTTGTATTTTGAGACGAAAGTCATTGGGGTATTCATAGATTCATAGATTTCAGCATTAGCCATGCCACGAATACAATAGGCAATATTGGCAGCCAGTGCTGCGAGCTGAACGGGATATTCATTGAAAGCGACCGAGCGGCGACGGTATTTTTCTTTCATCAGAACCTACTTTTTCTTTTTCTTAAGCTTCACCCTACCTCACCAGACCGTCGTCGCCAAGTTGCGAGATGGGTGCATGCCTCTGTTTCCTGTCCAACATAACGAGGTAACTCCTGAGCCACTCCATCATCAGAAGTGCATCGCCCACCCTGTCCATAGAAATAAAAACAACTTATTTCATGAGGCTATATCATAGGCAGTACATGTATTATGTTTGTCGATGTTGCTTTATAGGTGATATGCATGTAAGCATTTTTTTAAGCAACTCGCTTTCGAGCCAAGTTAGCTGTAAGTTAGTAGCTTTAGCTCGAGTTGGCCATGGGACTCGGCGAGGTCCAATTGGGATTACAGTGGTTGCGCCTTAGGTGTCTGCAAACCGATGAAGTCATTCTCTCAAAGATTGAATTGCTGCGTTTCGCCCGATCTATTTACCAAAACCATGCTCTTCACGCGAAGCGAGTCTAGCACGGGTTCTGGTAGACCTCTTGCAGCTTCTTCACGGAGCTGAACGTGCAACAGGAAATGAGGAAACTTGTCCTGATTCCCCATTGCTTCAGCCGCAGTGCTTGCTGCTCCGTGGTCGAGCAAGAGCCCGTCTCCCTTCTTGGCAAGCTTTCCGATGCTAATCGAACATACTAATACCACCACGCATCCTGCAACAGCTAAAACCAAGTTGGTCGTTGGGATCGAGGCTTGAACGTACATATCTTGAATGTTTCCCGAAAATTCCAGGGAAACTTGCGAAGTAGAACTGTTCAATGATATACGCTGTTGAACAACGCCATTCTGGAATATGAAGAAGAACCCGGCCGTATACGCTGGCTGAAGCGCGCGCTCAATGTATAGATGGTTTTCTCCACATGCGTGAGGTGTTTGTCAATAAACAATTCGCAGAACTTCCAGCCTTCCTCTTCCATGTAAGCTGTAAAAGATGTATCGACAGTTTCGAAATTGCGTGGCAAAACGGCCACTGCCGGTCGAGTCTCTGCTACCAGCTCTGCACCTCGAGTTTCGTCAACGGTGGAGACCAATATTTTCCATTGGGAGATACTAACAGAGTGCTGGAAAAACAACTCGTTCAGGTTGATCGGGTTGAGCAAGTTTATCGGAACCCCACGTGCGCTAGACACCAGAACTTCGGCTCTAGAAGTATTCTCACCATTGTCCAACGGAAATTGAATGCCATAGCAGCCACTCTCAACCAGGCACTCTGCACTGAACACATCAGAGAGATCTTCCGGTGTCCACGAAAGCCGGCCAACAGTAAGAAAGTAAACCATGCGAGCATTCTTCAACTGGCCAGCTATGGAGACCCCAGGATTTGTATTTGCCGGGCGTCTTTCAAACGCGTCCCCTTCCAGGCGTTTACCGATGCTGACGATAATCATAGACGTATTTGAGCGCCGTTCACAGGCTTGGAACACCTCGTTTGCACGCCAATAGTTGAAGTCCACCACAAGATCTTCGCCCCCAGCCTCGTTCAAACAAATGGCCAGGGCCTGCACGCGTGGGTAGATTGTCGTCGAGGCTCCGTTAGCAATAAATTCTCCCAAATCGTTCAGTAGACAAGCGTCATGGTTACACAAGACGGAATTCAGGGATTCGTAGAAATCCGATGAATTGTTGGCCTGCTTCCCAGTTTTCTGCGTCGAAATCTCTATCGTGAGAGCGTCGAAGACCATAGTGTCTGACAAGTCAACGTGTGCAAATTCTACTTTCGCCAAATCGTTCGTAGTGCTGGCATTCGCTGTCTTGCGGAAGTAGTCAGCGACAACTTCGTGTACGTTGGCGAGGAATGATACCTCTCCGGAGAAATGTTCCGTTAGATTCAAGTGGTCCGCCATAGCGAAAGAATCCGTACGATCCTTGTAGTAAAGATACCAATCATGACCCCACGCCACGTCGTCTTCTCCCCACCAGCCGAGAAAGTTGTTGCTCACTAACAACGCGTACGCTGCAAGGTTAGTCGCAATCGACTTATTCATCGGGAGCTCCGTATCCGATGGCAGTTCGGATGCAGCAGCGTTCATGGGCAGAGTAAGCACACAACTGGGCTCTAACGCCGTCGAAAGAGCATTCTGCTGCCAACTTCGTGCCGGAAACCCGTAACTCGCTGCTATCTGCTTAAAAGGATAGGAGTAGTCATTACTCTTGTTGCACCAAGTCGGAACATCTTCCGTGGTGGCCAGCAAGTTTCTCATGATCGTGTTGAGAATACTGTTGCCAGGCGTGCCTTCACGAATACTCGAGCTCCACGTCGTTGTCAAAAATCCATCGGCGTCCTGAGCTTGGCTGTCGTTGTAGTCGTTGCTTACGGTTAGATTCGATCGTTCATTTTTTCTCTTTTTTATCTTTTATTCCTGGCGGGCCTACAGTAAAAATTGAGCTCTCGGTACGGTCGCGTTTGATACATAGGTTATCAAGAGGCCTAAGTTTTCTTATTTTTGATTGGCCAGTTATTAGCTCGATCGGCTAGGTTCATCGTCTCCAGACTGACGACTAAATCACCAGTCTCACTTTGGAGACGAGCGTCTTCACTGCGTTTCGATGGTGCAGAGCGAAAGCATCGTTGCTGCAGTTGCTGCGGCCACGGGGGCTCTCGCGACGGCGGTCCACACCACTGTGTGGGCAATTTCGAACCCAAAGCAGAACATCCTTACCCTGACACCGCTAGAGTTTGAGGCTATGCTTTACGACGCGGTCTACGACGAGTGGTTTCGACAGAATCTCAGGTGTAGCCAAGCTACGTTTCTACGGCTTTGTGGTGTTCTGCGTCAGGAGCTGAAAGATTTCGAGCTAGATCGATTTATGAAGGAGCACTCTTTTGAGGAGAAGGTTGCTTGAGCAGTAAGGGTGCCTTCCATGGCTGCGAGTTCTCGAGTGTGATGGTGCTGAGTCGAGCAGCTTGACACACCAAAACTAAGACGGTCTCCAGCCAACCGACCACATCGGCTCGGTTCACCTTAGGGGTAGGCTTACCGGAGAGGAGCGAGACTGAGACGATCATTCCCCGACCAGGCCCTAAGAAACACTTGTCATTGATGGACAAAAGGAAAATGTTCGCACTACGTTCGGGTTTGTAAGACTCTTGAATGCGTAGTGGAGTCTAATGCAGTCCCTCCCAGGAGCCAGCCATACAGATATTATCGTGTTCAAGTTCTCGTTATTTGTCTCATTGGTATCAATCGGGCTGGAGAACAAGACACATCGCCTACTAAATGGATCTAATGTGAGAAGCACGATATGGTCACTGGGTAAGTCATTAGCTTAGAAGATTCAACTACACCAAATGTGTCAGCCCCATTCGAGCAGTACTGAGGTGTACTACAGGTAAGCCAGCCACTTTTCGTCTTCCGGTTCCGACTCAAAACACCCCGTCGTCGCCAAGTTCGCGTACCACTTCGCTGCCGTGCGCGCCGTACGGTTCAAATACGTCGACGGAACGGAGTAGACGTCCTTGTCGCCGATGTTGTCCGGGAAGTCGACGTAGTAGAGGCCGTAGCGAGGCGCGTAGGACCCCCACTCGTAGTTGTCCACGAAGCTCCAGGCCGTGTAGCCGATGATGGGGATGTTCTCCTCGTAGATGGCTCGGTGCACCATCTCGAGGTGCGTGCGGTAGTACCAGAGCTGGTCCTGATTGTCGATGGTTTCGTTGCCGCACCAGCCGTTCTCGGTCAGCAGCATGTCGGCGCTCGTGTCGTAGGCGTTGGCCCAGCGGATGTAGGCCATGTAGCTGGGCGGGAACCCGAAGTGGTCGGTGCAGCTAGTGGGGTTGGCAAGACTCCCCGAGCCGATGACCGACTCTGGGTGCACTTGCGAGTGGTCGACCCCCATGTCCGCGTAGTATCCTTCCGCGAGACTGGAGCAGTTGGTTGCCGAGTGCTCCGAGTCGCAGTACGTGATGAGGTTCGAGTAGTAGTGGTTGACCATGATGAGATCGTACGACCCCACGAGAGCAGCTTCTTCGTCCGTGAAGTTGGGGAGTCGACTGCCCACACGCTCGCGCATCATGGGCGGGTAGTCCCCCGTCGTAAGTGGAGCCAGGAACCAGCCGGAGTTGAACTGGTTGTAGCGCTCGGCTGCCTCCACGTCCGCGTCGTTGGTGTCGTCGTAAGGGATGCCGAATCCAGAGAGGACGAGGCCGATACGAGCGCTGCTCTGGACGACGCCCTGCTCTTGGAGACTACGGAACAGAGCTACCATCTCGGCGTGGGCAAGTAGCAGAGTGTGCGCTGCCTCATACTCATCGCTGTCTGTCCCCGCGTATATGTAGAAGATGTACATGTGAGAGCGGCTCGTTGATGGTGGACCAGTACTTGACCTTCTGCCCAAACTCCGAGAAGATCAGCTGCGCGTAGTCCGTGAAGTGGTCGATGATGGTGGCGTTCAGGAAGTCTCCGGCCGAGTACAGCTCGATGGGCATATCCCAGTGGAAGAGCGTCAGCACGGGCTCGATGCCGTTGTCGACCAGCTCATCCACCAGCGAGTGGTAGAAGGCGAGCCCTTCCGGGTTGGGCTGCATGCGCTGGAGCGTGCTGTTCCAGTTCATGGCGCGCGACCGCGAGATGGAGAAGCGCATGGAGCCGTACCCGTCGCCCTTCATCGTGTTGATGTCGTCCTTGTAGCGGTGGAAGAAGTCGTCGGCCACGTTAGCACAGTTCGGGAACGAAGAAGTACCGCAAATCTCGTCCCAGACACTGGGTGTGCGACCGGTTTCGTTCACTGCGCCTTCAACTTGGTACGACGCCGTCGCGGAGCCGAAAAGGAAGTTCGAAGGGAAGCACTTGGTCGTCGAGTTGGCGCTACTGCCCGCGCTGCTTGAGGAAGTTCCAGCTTGCGATGGACTAGCGGTTGCTGCGGCGGTAGTGTCGCCACAACTATCGCTAGCGGTAACGAAAGCCACACCCCAGCAGAAGGCGAGGCCGAGCGTGCGTAGCCCGAAGTGAACCGTCGGCCCAAGGTAAACGAAGACTTGGTATGTAGTTTATGTGGTTGCAGCTGTTCGCAAAGTGAGAAGTGGGGGATCTGGCACTTGATACCCGATTGACTTCGTTGGTGGTCTTCGTCACCGCACGTAAGTCAAACGTCACATCGGCAAGGCTTGCATTGGCGGTTGATAGCATAGGCACCCTCGAATACCGTGTCACCACTTTTGACGTGGTTGAATTAGTGGGGCGCATAGGACTGCTGCCGGCAATTTGCCGGTTAAGAGTCGGCTACAGCATCTTGAAGGGGCCACGTGTACTGACTAAGACAACGTAATCATACCGAGTGGTCATATTCTTGACATAGCTGAGCAGTCAGAGGATATTCATGCCGGAGAACTAGCACGACATGATCAATGTAAATGGTATTCTGCTCGGCACCCAGCGGGCTATACGAAACGTAGATACATTGGTCTTGAACGACAAACGCTTGGCAGTATGTTTCAGCGAGGTCAAGCTGCGGGAGTGTGTAAGCAAAACCTGGATGTCTTGAAGTTTGGGCGCTGGTCCCTTTCTTCGTTGTGGGCACTCTACTTCCGTGCTCAATCTGGACGCGCGGTGGAGAGCGGCCCGTCTCCGTCTTGTCCTTGTTTTTTTTTTCCTCCGTTGACTCAACGGCGTTGAGGTGGTGTAGAGTCTGCAACTGACAAGTTGTGCGCGCCAGCATTATCCCATCATCTATCCCATCATCCATTTGAGCGATGAGTACTCTAGTACACACCAACACACTAATAGCGAGGCACGCTCTCGATCCTAAAGTATTGTTTCCACTGGCCATGCGATTGGAGACAGTGACAGGAAGGTGCCGCACTGAGTTAACCCCTCCAGCCCGGCTGCTGCATAACGCTGGATTAGGATTTTCCTTAAACTGCATATATGCAGTTTAAGCGATTTTTGACTTGAAGTTTGTATGGGTTGTATTTTCCCTCGCCACATGGTATACAAACTTTAAGATTAACTTTTGTCGGGTTTCTGTTCGCGCCTTTCTTTTGCAACATAGGAAAGGACGGACAATTTCTCAAAATTCAAAATATGGGATCTAGCAGGTTCCCCGTACTGCAACTGATTTGCATATAATGCTAGAGGCTTTTGGGACACTCCAAACGAGTGGTTCAGCACTTTGCCGCTCGCCGCCTTTTGAAAACGGGCCTCATTCGAGAATTTGCGCGCGCGGGGCACACATCGACAGAGAAGCTGTGCGGGGAAGATCGCGCTTAACTGCTGTGATGATAGCTTGCAAGAGCAAGGCTAGGCACGGGCTGGACGACCACTACTTCTACCTGTGGTCTGAAGGCGACGCAAGCAGCACCAACGGCGTAGACGTATCTGTGGCGATGAATCGTTGGGTGAGTCCAACGCAATTCGTATGGTTGCATTGTTTTATGCTAACTAAAAAATCTCCGAGGCGGTTATATGATCTGTATGCAGTTCTCGACTCGGAATCCATACTACAGAACCAGTCTTTCACCTTCTTCGACTTTGCTACAGCTTCCCTCCCGGATTTGGCCCTGCTTCAGCTTGCGCAGCTAGTGATGCTCGTATCGCTGCCGCCGCCGACGTCAGTCGGATGAATTATGCGGCTGAGACTGAGAGTACCCTGCTACTGCGGACGCAACCAAACTGATCATCATTCAAGTGCGGTTTCAGCGCTGGGCGAGTCGGGTAAGTTGAATGTTATCCTGCATGTAGGTACTATACTGTGTTGTAAGCTGCATCTTATACTGAACATTTCTCTGAATATGCTGTGCAGGCCCCGTTGATGAAGCTAGCGGGCTCGTCAACAAGTTGATAGCAAACAACAACGACTGAGACTGGCGCGATCGACTTCGCTGAAGACATGGAGCCTTGCTGCGCTCCGGATGACGAAAATGATGGATTGCAGCTGGATTAAGTGTGTCAAGAACGTTTGAACAATACCGGGGGCAAAGATGAAGTGTTGGCGAGCAATTCCGTCCAAGTCTGCGCGGAGTGTCAACGAGGCGGAAAGACTTCTTATTTCACAAGATGGTTGTGTATGGTCAACGGAAATGAAGCTGTTCCGTTTAGCCTCTAAGTAACAGCGTATATCCACACTGAAAAACAATGTAATTTATCCTAGCATTCCATGAGCCGACTTAGTTCCTACAGCATACGTTCTTAGGCGAAGGGATTCCCGGTCGCGCCATGCTCGGGTAGCGTGTCAGCTAGTGACAAAGTACCAAGTGCTAAAACGTAAAAGTCGCCTATGTGTTCATGACGGGTTGCAGGCGGGCATAACAAAGTGCGGCTGAAGACGTCTGGTTTTCTCTTCATGCTGGCCCAGCGCCATGTACGAGATGCGGCTACGACCTATTGAGACGTGGCCCAAGTAATGCCTACATGATAAACTGATTGAAGGCAACACCATCCGAGCACAACGACGGTAGAGCTTTGCCTGACACTCCACGGATCTCTGCGTCGAGCAAAAGTTGTCGCACATTGCCAAATTAATTAAGCTGAATATTATTCTGATGTTAGGCTGTATAAAGACAGAATAATGCTGATTGCATGCGTGTTGTTTTTCAGTAAGCACTCTGTTTACCACTGTAGTGCAGCTTCAATCTCCTGTTTTCGCGCACGCCGATCTCAACCTGCATCATGTTTGTGCAGGCCGATCTTGACTTGCATCCTTCGACTTCAGTTTATGAGCAGTGTCTTGCTGCTAGACGTGTGTTCAAGCAGCTGTTGATGCTGGATGCTTGCTTCAATAGAAAATTGTATACAACAAAAAACGCTCAGAGGCGTATCCTTTGATCGCGTTACCAGCCCAATGTGATCGCGTTACCAGCTAGGGGTGACACCCCAACTCCGTATATGATAAACGGTATAGGAAGTTTGATTTTCCAAAATTTAGAAAGTGAGAACAAGGTGCACTGCCGGTGGGCGCATCTTCTGTTCCGCCACTGCCCTGTCCATTTCCTTTGTAACCGGTATTATGCAGCTTAGCTCTGTGACTTTGGCTAACAAAAGGCAGTATACGGCAGTTTTAGCACCGCTCTACACACTTTTGCAAATCTCAGCCTTTCGCTTGCCGCTAACCCGATCCCTTTATATACATAGGTCAAGTCTAATTGCATATGAAAAAGTTTTGAGGCTCCGGTCTGGAGGGGTTAAGTCGATTTGATGCTTGCCTCGCTGATTCTAGGGTATCACTGGCAGCAAGACCGCAAGGCATGTTGAAGTCCTTGTCGTGGTTTCGATATGCGGGTTTTGCATCAAAAGGCATAGAAATGGATGGTTATGCCCTGCTGAGCCAAATACATCCTACCTCCAACGGCGCCAGCACAATTGTATCATGGCACGCTACAGCGCAACGCTAAGACTTTCAGCCACGCTCGAAAATCGTTGAGCTGCATCCTCCTTTCGTCAAAACCCTTCTAGTGCTGAACAGCTGTACCGCCATGGCCCATGGCCCATGGTTGCCGCGCTATCGAAACCGCCACTCATTGCTTCTTCGAGTGTGAGCCCATCCAGATATTGTGGCAGGTACTGTGGGAGCCTTTAGCTCCTGCTTTTCGATGAGCAAGGTACAACCTTCCAAAATCAATATTCAAACGACTCATAAAAAACAGAAAACCGATCTATTTGCATTACACGACAGCTTCCTCGATAATGTGGTCGACGTCTTGGTCAGCGTCCACAACTGGTCCAGCCAACGAAAGCTGCTGCAGCTCATCTACCAGCGACGCCGCGGCGAGGCACTCGTCGCTCAGCTGCAAACTACACTTCTTGTACCCATTCGCAATAGTGTCGGTGTTTAGCCCATTCCAGCTACGACGCACCCACCTGCACATTCCGGCACGTCCTGGAGGTTCCAGCTTGAACTTCTCGCCCTCTGGGCGCGGCTGGTTTAGCTGCGCCTGCATGTCGTCGAGCCACAGCTTCCGGAGCCCCCACTTGAATGGGAAGTTCCATGGTGCATCTGTCGGTTGGCAGACGGCGGTGGCGTTCGGCGGAACCTTAATCAAAACGACCTTGATCGAAGCAGCGTAGAGAAGCACTTCCGAAGTCCAGTGTCCGCTAAAGTCGTCCCAGAGAAGCAGGATGGGCTCCTCTGAGAATGACCGGTTGCAAAAGTGAAACTTTAGAAATCGTATCGAAAGATCTGTATTCCACCAGCCTAGCATACAAAACCAAACCATGATCAAAATTAGTATCATAGAATCCCATCACAATAACTTCACAGCATGAGCCCACCATTTTCGTTCGTGTAAATCTGCAGTCCTGTTTCCTCTTTGATGCGCTTGATTTCCGGCCACGTCCGAACACCGAACCCACAGCGCTTCTCGTTGTTGGTCTCGACAGTTTCTTTGTTCTTGGATGGCTTCATCTTGAACACGACGAACGGCGTGTGCTTGACCCCGTTCGAGTCCCCCAACAGCATCACAGTTGCCCGTTCTTTTGAATACCCCGCGCACTTGGCCCAAACCGTTTTAGCACTACGGGCATTGATTATTTTCTTCATTGGCAAATATTCAAATAAAGCAGCTTCATACATACACACCTTCGAATTAGCTTTGTTAAATAAAATAAAAAACTGTTTGGTCGGCATTGTAAATGCGCTTGATACCCAGTTGGCGCGCCATCTTACAACCTCTTCTGCAAAATCCGCCTTCACCTTTTCAATATCCGCAGGACTGACTTGGCCCTGGCGTGTGGGCGCCCGCATGCTCAGACGATGGCGACCTCTGAAGCTCTTGATCCACTTGTCCGACGCCCTGAAGGAGGCGACACCAGCCTCCACAGCAATCCGCTGAGCTTGGAAAGTTAGCATTCGGGGCGACACGGGTACCCCCTCCTGTCTAAGGCTATTAATCCATGCTACGATCTCTAGCTCAACAGATTCAGAGAGAATGGTCCCTACCCCAACGCTTCGCGCCTTTAGATGGACCCTTTTAGAGCTGCCTCGAGCTTGGCTGAGTCCCTTCGCCAGCGCTGGATCATGGTGCGCTTGAATTGTAGCGTTCCGGCGCTAGTTTCGGCCAGAAGTGCGCACTAGTACTGCGCATCTTGGGTAGAGGGGCAGATGCCCAGAACGCGAGAGCTGTCAGCTTCTTCTCCTTCTTCTCCACTGAAATACCCTTAATTAGGTGCTTCATGTGGTGGCGCCCCTTGCCTCCGAGGCGCGGTCTGCCCACAGGGCGCGGCTTGACGCGCGTCATGGCAAAAGCCGAATGTCTGTGATACAATGCTGGTGCCGTCAGACTTGCGGCTAATTGGTTGGTTTGGGGCTTGTGCATCTCTCTACAATGTAGAGTCTACATGCGATTCAGGGACTGCTGCTCAACACTTTTTAATTGGCTAATATCAGGGTGCAGCTCATATGAGGGTGCAGCTCACTACTTCTCCGGTCCGGAAAAGAATTAACAGTTAGGTTTTTTCATAAAACAACCTCAAAAAATCGATTTATGATTGGTCGAAGTACCCTATTATGCACTGATGTACCATCTCTCATTGGACAAAAAGCCAACATCAGTGATTTGTATGAAAAAAACTCAAACATGATTGGCTGTTTTTCAGGCGTTGGAAGATTCGATTGGTTATGGCGACATAAGACACAAATAAGCTCTCTTTCACCTTTCTAAAGAGTATTTTTACGCTCAAATCTGATCATTTTTAATAACGCTGAGAATTTAAACCTAACAAACCCAAAATTCGACCATTTAAACTGGCCGATACAGACCGCAATGGCGGGAAAACGCATTTAGGAAACAATCGGTGCGATACAGCAGACAAAGGGCTTTTCGTCAAGGCCAATTACAGCTCTGTTGGCGTAGTAGAACGTGAATTATGGTCGATTATATGAACTGTTAATTCTTTTCCGGACCGGAGAAGTGCATGCGATTTGCGGTAAAGTATTATAGTTTCGGTGATATTCTAATGTAAATGTTCCATTGTAAAGATTCGGTTACGTTGTGTGAATGTTTGGAAACTATTGAGAAATTCTCAATAGTGGGTAGCCACGGTAGTTTAGCCATAAATAGGCCATAAAAAATAAACGCTCCACTTTTACTTAGGCACTAAATGCGGCAGCGGAGCGGGTGGAGTGGGCCGGGTCGGCCAAGTTTCGACCGGACCCGCGAAACTTGGCCCGAGCCATTTAAACAGGTGATACCCTTTTATTTTCGGGTTTTATACGCAATGACCCGCGAAACTTTTGTGCGCCACAAATAGCCGGTGCTCCGCACCCCATTTCGCCACATTTTGCCACAACCAGAGAGGGCATACTGAGGCCAAGTCACTGCTCGACGCGCGCAATCGCCACCACCATGAAGACGTTGCTGCTCGCGCTTGCGGCCTCCGTGTCGCTGCCATCAGCGTCCGCCATCCGCATGCGACCCGACGGAGGTCCTCTCTTCGCCTCGTCCAAGGTGGTGAAATCCTTTGACGTCGACAGCTTCGACGCCATGCTCAACGACTCGCAGACGGTCTGGCTCGTGGACTTCTACTCGCCCTGGTGCCCGCACTGCCGCCAGTTCGCGCCGCAGTGGGAGGAGGTGGCCGGCGTCTACGCCGACGTCAACACCGTCCAATTGGGGGCGGTCGACTGCACTGAGCAGAATGAGATCTGCGACCGAGAGGACGTGCACTCGTACCCGGGCGTCAAGATGTACCACGTGACGAACGAGGCCATCGTCATGCCCCATGCTCGACACGTGTACGCCCGTCAGGTGGCCAGGTGGATCGAGGAAACTCTGCACGAGAACAATATGCAATCAGGCATTGATATCGATACGGTGTATACCAAGAACCCGCTTCGGGACGATATGAAGAAGAAGGAGTTCAAGTTCGGAGACCCCGTGGAGCCTTTGCACGATGACCGGTCCGCGGAGATTCAGCGAAAAAGGCTGAAGGATGCGGCCGCAACGACGTTGCTTACCTTTGAAGACGGGTTTTTCATGGGCACGGCGGTGCTGGATGGACAGAGGTATAAGGCTGCGGTCGCGTGGGTATCGGCGCTGGCGGCGTCGTTCCCCATGAAGGAGAACCGAGCGGCGTTTGCTCTTCTTGTGAACGAGATGAAGCAAAAGGAGCGGTGGGGGAAGATGGAGTGGAGAGAGAAGCTGGAAAAGTGGAAAACGACGGCCAATGCGATGAGCTCTCCTCGTAACCTCTTCCTGTCGAAAGACGAGTTGGCGCTGTGTACAACGTACACTTGTGGGCTGTGGGGGCTGTTCCACAGCCTGACGGTCAGTGACGTCAAGACCGGGACGCAGTTGAAGCCGAGTGAGATCATGTCTGCTATCCGTCTCGTCGTCAAACACTTTTTCGGCTGTGAGGAGTGCAAGCGCCACTTCCTGCAGGCAAACCCCGAGAGTATCATCGACAAATTGGCGCTGAGGGACGACGATGGGCCTCATGCCGTCGCATTTTGGATCTGGACGATGCACAACACCGTCAACAAGGTCCTCGGCAAACCTAGGTGGCCTACGAACTTGTCCTGCCCCAACTGCTACACTGCCACTGATCAGCCGCTGTCATTAGATCCGGCACAGCTGAGTGAAGAGGACATTGTTGCATACATCAGAAGCGTCTATAAGATCGAGGGCAGCTTGAAACTCGAGCAGCGTGCTGCCAGCGCTACATCATGGAGCTCGGTAGGGGGCTTCACTTGGATGGCAGCTGCTGCTCTACTACTTGCCGTTTTTGCGATGTTGCTCCAGCAGAACAAACACTGGTTGGTTGGAGTCAAAGCGCTGAAGGGGCGTGATCACATCGCATAGAAACATCGTGGCTAAGCTTGAGCTTATGTAGTTAACTGGTTGTGATGGAGATGTTCTACCGACCATTCGCAAGCTCAACGGCCACTGTGACGTTTGCTGATACAAAATCAAACTCATTGGATGTAACTAAGCTTTAGCATGATCATGTCATTCTTGCCATTAATTCTCTGAAAAGTTCTGATCAACCGGTCGGGGACGTGCATGCCGAGTCACGGCCGAATCCGCATATGACCAGACGCACAGGTTTCGTGAACCATCACAATCGGCGAGTAAGCCCAACTATGGATCAATGTTGTTCGTGTTCGTGTTCGTGCCGACACTGGCTAGCATAGTGCTTTTATCGCGATGATGGCTCAAACCGCAGGCGATGGAGTTAACGTGTGTGGACTAACACTTACTTAAAAGTAAACCACATTGAGAAGAGCCCCTCGTACATTGAAGATATACTGTATCGTGATCATTATTATTAGTGGAGTTTTCTGGCGAATCGCCACTGGCGATACGCGGAAAATATTGTGAGAGCGCCTTGGTGAAGCACAGCACAGTGGATAGAGCTGCAGAAGCAGTCGCGAGCCAAAACAAAATTCCACCGTTCATGCCGTGACTTCATCTTTGGGATTGCGACACTGGCAAATTAGTGGAGGCTTCGTTAGACTCACTCCGTTCCGAGAAGCACGTGCTCGTCGATAGGAAAGATGAAATATGTTGTCCGCAGAAATGACCTCGAAACCGACGAAAGTGGTGGCGAGTGAATTGATGATGGGGCATAGGAGTACAATATCCACCTTGGTTAGTCCCCGTCCGCTATACTGCATACAACTGGTTCAACCGCACCGCATAGCCCTTCCGAGCGAATCACCGTTTTGTAAATCACTATAGCATTGATTCATGTTAATGCCTCTACAGTGCACAACCAAAGCTCAATGACTACATGTAGTATCAATGTCTAGGTAGTACGAATGTCTGCGAAAACGCCGGGATCAACACTTGCGGGGCAAAAACTGTGAATTCCGAGCTACGATGAGTCCCAGACGAACACCCCAGGGTTTCTGCTCCCACGGGTCCTCAGACGGAATCACGAAATCGTGTGGAACTTCCTCATCTCCATGAAGCTCGGCGTACGTGCTCAGTAACGGCGCCACGCGCTCTTGCCACGCCCGATACGACAACTTGACGTTCAATCCGAGCTTGTCTAGCTTGTCAATGTCGCGTCCATAATGTGCGAAAAATGTCCCCATGCATCGCACATGGGAGAGTTTTCCACCCAGCCTTTCCCCCATGTTTTTTCAGACCAAGGGGCTTCAGACGGAACAACAAATTTCGCGAGGACTCAGCCGTTCTTGAACAGATCCACATACGTTTCAAGAGCTGGAATAATAATCTCGTTCCACACCGCAGTATTGCGGTCCCAAGCAAAACCTAGGGCGTCAAGCACGGGTCTGTCGCGAGTCGTATGCTCTACATAGCTTGTACTTGTTCGACAGGCGTTCACAACCTTTCCCAGTGCCTTTCCCCACGCTTTCTCTGGCCATGGATCAGAAGATGGCACTACGAATGACCGCGGTATAATGCAGTTGCCAAATTCTTGGCGATAGACCCGAAGAGACGGCAGGATCTTCTCGTCCCAGTCGCGATCGACAAGCGTCATCTCGTAGCAAAACTCGATCCTGTCCTGCTCTTCCTTTGACGTGGCAACTTGAGCGCTATACGATATCTTTTGACGAATGTTTTCAGCCATACTTCCCAGTCAATAACCCCACGCCAGTCTTGGCCAGGTTTTGTCATCAGTTGGGACGACGAATTTTCGCGGGACATCCGTCATGTCTTGCGCACCGAGGGTTTTGGACAGCCAATCAGGACCGTTCTAACTTCGGAACAGTGAATTTAATTTGGAAGTTCCAAATTTAATTCACTGAAAGTTCGGTACTCCAGTTCCCAGAATTTAGTCCCAAAATCTGATCAAGATGACGGCGCTGGCGCTGGCAGTGGCGCTCGTGCTGCTGCCCACGGCGTCCGCCTTCTCGCTCCTGAGGCACGACACCAGCCCTCTGTTCACCAAGGCCTTCCAGGTGCACTCTCTGACCTCGGAGAGCTACGAGGACATGCTCAAGGCCTCGGACACAGTCTGGCTCGTGGACTACTACGCGCCGTGGTGTCCGCACTGCCGCCACTTCGCCCCCGAGTGGGAACGGATCGCCAACTTTTACGCCAAAACCGACAAAGTCAAAGTGGGCGCCGTGGACTGCACCAAGTACACTGAAATTTGCAATAGCGAGAACATTCACGGGTATCCGGGAGTGAAAATTCACCATGTCCCGGCAGACGCGGAGAAGGCCATTATGATGCCCCTAGGCGCCAAGAACACTAAAGTGGTGATTAGCTGGGCGGAGAGGAAGATGGAGGAGCACGGGATCAAGTCTGGGGTCAATGTTGAGGACCTTAACGCTCAGTTGAAGAATTTCAGGGGCGACGGCGTTGCTGACGAGAGTGGCGAGGAAGGGAAGGCGAGGTACAGTGACCAGTCCCTGGAGATGAAGTACAAACGTCTGCATGATGCAGGTATCGCTGCCGTGTCGACGTTCCAGAACGGGTTCTTCATGGGGGAGAGTGTGCTGGAAGGAGAGAGGTACGACGCGGCGTTGAATTGGGCGGAAGCGTTGGCGGCGTCGTTCCCGATGAAGAAGAATAGAATGGCTTTGTCGATGCTAGTGGAGTCCATGAAGACGAGCAATCATTGGAGTTATGCGGACTGGGGAGTGTTGCTGACCAAGTGGAAGGAAGCGGCGAGTCAGATGACGTTTCCACCGAGCTTGTTCACGTCCAGTGAGGATAAAAGTTGGGCGCACTGCAAGTCGTACACGTGCGGGCTGTGGACACTGTTCCACACGATTTCTGTGAGCGACCTGAAGGTTAGTACAAAGTCGAAGGTGCGACCGTGGAAGCCGAGCAAGGTCATGGCGGCCATCAGGCTTTACGTGAAGAACTTTTTCGGATGTGAAGAATGTCGAGAACACTTTATGGCGGCGAATCCGGAGAGTATTATCCGTGATCTCGCTGCTAGCGATGGACAAGGGCCGCACGCTGTGGCGTTCTGGATCTGGAAGATGCATAATACCGTGAACAAAGTGACCAAGAAAGCCCAGTGGCCGTCGATGACGGACTGTCCGATCTGCTACGTGGAAGACGGCGAGCCCGCTTCGCTGGACCCAGTACGTCTGCATGAGGACAAGATCGTGGCCTACGTCACGAGCGCCTACGACCACGACGACGACGAGATGTACGCAATGAACGCGGCGCACAATGGAACTCTCGTTGCGATGTGGTCGTCGATGGAAGCCTTCAGCGCCATGATGATGGTGCTGGGCTTTTTCTTGATGCTTGCGTTCGCGTACAAGACGAGGGCCAATCGCACTCCAGGCCGAAAGGTGCTGATGACAAGAGATCACACCGCATAGAGGAGAACTATTTAGGCAGTGGATGAGCGAGTGAATATACGCTCGTGCCTACCAGCATTCCTACGCAGGAGTGTCACTCCGGTGCTGCAGCTACGTATTCAAACTGATTGCGTTGAACGTGCTGGATTGCGCTGTGGACATTAGCGCTTGGATTTGGGCTTCTGTATGGGTTCATCTAAACAACACGAAAGCAGCGCCGACAGGCATGCCAGCTCATCTAAACAAGCGCCACTTGCGTCTTTCAGTGATCGCATCGACGAGCAATCTGCAACTTCCCACATAGCGGCAGTCCACCAAGAAACTTCCTCGTGGTCAATCGGTCAATGAAGCAACAAACAGCAAGATGCCGTTCAGAGTACTGAGGTCAACACTTGGTTAAATATGACAGATTTATCCTCTCTCATTGGCTATTTAACGTGTTAATCCAATACATAAGCCACACTATCCACACTATCTCCGTTCAATATTGCGCACTTCCTGCGTAGATACGCAACGCCTGGCTTCAAGCGCACGTCGCGTACGTCGTCGGTATCGGCCGCTCCACGCGTCATAACCGAATCCTAGCAAAAGAGAACCAAGTCCGTCATGGCCGTCAAGACGCTGCTGCTGGCGGCTGCGATGGCCGCCGTCGCCTCCGCGCGCCAGGCGCGCGACAACAGCCCGCTCTTCACGACGGAGCAGTGCCAGGTGCGCACGCTCAACAGCGAGGGCCACGCCGCCATGCTGAAGGACACGAGCGCCGTGTGGCTCGTGGACTACTACGCGCCGTGGTGCCCGCACTGCCGCCAGTTCGCGCCCGCGTGGGAGAAGGCCGCCGCCTTCTACGCCGACAAGGCCAACGTCAACATCGCCGCCGTCGACTGCACGCAGAACAGCCAGGTGTGCAACAGCGAGGGCATCCTGGGCTACCCGACCATCAAGCTGTACCATGTGCCCCCGGAGGGCAAAGAGCCCGCCAAGATGCCCCCGCAGAGCCGCAAGAACACCAATACGGTCATTGCCTGGGTGGAGGAGCAGATGGAGGCCCACGGCATGAAGACCAGCGCCGATGCGGGAGATATCGACGCGCACATTGAGAAGATCAACACGGACTGTGAGATGGGCTCTACCACCAAGACGGCAGCGAAGGCGAAGACGGCGGAGCAGACGCTGGACGACCAGAGCTTGGTGATGAAGTACAAGAGGCTGCATGACGCAGGGATTGCTGCCGTGTCGACGTTCGAGAACGGGTTTTATGTCGGCACCACGGTGCTGGAAGGAGAGAGGTACGATGCTGCGGTGACGTGGGTGGAGGCTCTGGCGGTGTCCTTCCCCATCCAGGGCAACCGAGAGGCGCTGGATTCGCTGGCGGTGGCGATCAAGAAGCAGATCAAGTGGCCCCAGAGCGAGTGGAACGCGATGCTAACCGAGTGGAAGAAGAACGCCACGGCGACCAGCTTCCCCGCCAACTTGTTCGAGTCGAGCGAGAAGAAGAACTGGGCGTACTGCACCACGTACACGTGCGGCGTCTGGACGCTTTTCCACACGCTGAGTGTGAGTGAGATCAAGTCGGAAGCGGCGTTGAAGCCCAGCGAGATCATGGCTGCGATTCGGCTCTTTGTCAAGTACTTCTTCAGCTGTGAGGAGTGCCAGCGCCACTTCATGATGGCCAACCCGGAGAGTTTGCTCGAGAAGCTGGCGGAGAGCGACGCCGAGGGCCCGCGCGCTGTCGCAAGCTGGATCTGGAAGATGCACAACAAGGTCAACAAGGTACTCAAGTACAGCCAGTGGCCGACTCGGGAGAGCTGCCCCCAGTGCTACGTGGACGACGGCGAGCCGCTGGATCTGAACCCTGCGCGGCTGCACGAGCAGGAGATTCTGGCCTACGTGGCCAGCGTCTTCGGCCACAAAGACACCGACCTGTTTTTCCTGGACGCCGCATCAAACGGCGTCTGGCCGGCCGCAGTGTCGCTGATGCAGCGATACAGCTCCGTGACCATGGTCGCAGTGGTGGTGCTCCTCATGCTACCGTTCATGTTGCGCTCCAAGAAGACCCCCAAGACCGAAAAGACCGACTAATCTATCCCTACGCGCTCGCCGCGGCCTTCATTCTGCGAGCGAGACGCTTCTAACGTTGGTGCTTGTAAATACGCTTCAACATGCATTGTCCACTTCAACTTGGTCGACTATCAAACGATCTATGCTGTACTGGAGTTTATCTACATATATATGCTTTACCATAGTTTTATATTTGGATTTTCGTACTTAAATGCGATTGAATCAGTCGAGCCTAAAGCTCATCACTCTCCAAGTCGCCTTATATCGGACAAGTCGAACGCAACGACTTCAACTATCACAGCGCAATGGCCGCACGCCAAGCCGAGAAGAAGCTGCTAGTGGCGGCGGCGAAGAACGGCCTGGCCATCCCGTGCGACTCGGACGCCACCGCCTTCCTGTTGGCGCACCCGCGTGGCGCCTACACGGCCGCGCGCACCGTGCAGCAGACCAAGATCTTCGACTATGAGGCGCATATCCGCCGTCTCGGTACGATCTGATATAATGCAGATTAAATAAGAGTAAATTACTGGAGACTGACTGTTATACTCTATGCCCTGCAGTGGATTCGACTGTGGCCATGCAGACGGACAAGCAGTTGGTGCCCAGTGCCGTGGAGAAGGAGCTGAGACCGAGGACGGAGGCCACTCTGCAGGCCGCTATGACGGCGTTTAAAGCGCAGTTCGAGGTCCACAAGGACCAGGAGTACAAGATCAACGTGCTGGTGTGTCCTTCTGAGGGGGACACTGCAGGACAGGGAGACGGACAGGTGCTGGCCGACACGGACGTGTTCTGTCACGTGGGGTTCCTCCCGCCGCTCCGCTCCGAGATGGTCAAGCTGGAGGTGGCTGGACTGCCCCGTCATAACGCGGCGGCAAAGGACTCGGCCTGGGTGAGGGAGCGCAAGGCCATCTACGACAGGATGGCGCCCGATATGGAGGAGGTGATCCTCATGGACCCGGCGACGAGGCAGCTGCTGGAAGGCTCGCAGACCAACTTCTATGCGATCCAGGACGGAGCGGTGTACACGGCGGAAGATGGGATTCTTAAGGGAACTGTCAGGTCGCTCGTGCTGGAGGTTTGTGCGGAGAACGGGATCCCCGTGAAGCTCTCGCCCCCGACGCTGGATGATGTCGAGAAGTGGCAAGGGTGCTTCATCTCGAGCACGTCGAGGTTGGTGCTCGGAGCGAAGTCGCTGGAATATGAGTACCCTGAGACCAAGAAATTCATGACGCGAACGTTCCCACCGCACCCGATTCTGGATCAAATCACGACTTCTGTCCGCACCTCGGTGATCGGCAAGAGCTCGGAGGTTTTCAAGTGATGATTTCAGTCGTGTGGGCTTCGAGGTTGATCCGGATCATATCCAGTTATGACGATCTCGCTCTCCCCTTCAGCCGGGTGATTTTGCAGCGCAGCCTCCTCAGTTGAAATAGAGGTACTGTCCGGTACGACTTGCTCGTCTAACTCATGTTTCTCATCTTCAATCTGCTCCCACGCTTGCACGCCGAAGTACGAGCGCTCTTGTCGTTGTCGCAGGATTTCCTTACGTCTTGCTTCCCGCTCCAACCTGCTCTGAGCTTCAGCTTCAGCCTTCTGTCTCCGCTGATCCTCTAACCACTGCAGTACTTTCGCAGGTGTGCTCATTCCCGTCAGTAACTTCCACCTCACAAGAGGCCAGCGAAGCAAGCGCTCCGCCACTCGTGCTCGGTATCCACCGCCAGCGTTGAGCCAATTGCTCAAAGCTGTGATAGCCGTTGCTCGGTCATTCAGCATCGCAAACGAGCAGCTCAAGCGCATCCAGTCCGAGTCGTCGAGCTTCGAGACAGCATCTATCTCGTGCTGTGATTGCTGTCGACGAAGAGCTGCCATCACCGCCTTCCGTTTAGTGGTTAACTCTGAAGGCTTGTGCGTCTGACGCTTCCTCATCACCAGGTACGCATCTTTCGCCAGCACGTACTCTCGTTGATGGAAGTAGCGATCCCCGGCTTCCCGCCAGGTCTCAGGAGCTTTGATCCAGTCTTGCCATGTGTGATGAACGGAGTGCAGATTCCCCCGGTAAGTTTTGCTATATGCGTCGTCGTATGCCACCGCGCATAGCTGACGACTGGACTTTCCCTCTAACTCCATGATTCGAGCAGCCAGGAAGACAATATCAAAGGATTCCCAGCCGAAAGGCGAAGCATCCATGGTGTGTAGGACATATTCACGGCTTTGACGAAACATCTTCAACGAGAACATGACAATGCCAGCTCGAAAGATCACCTCCATCAGTCGAGCATATCTGGGGAAGCACGAGATGATACTACCAAGAAGTTCCGCAGCATGGCGATAGTCCCCGTTCAATTCCAGTGCGTAGGCGATTTCTTGCAGGAACGACGGGTTGCTGAGGAACACGAGGTGCGTGCTGGCCTGCTGAAAGAAAAACAAGGACTTGCTGAGATATCCCCACTCTGAACTCACTTCAAACTGCTTTAACAAGCAGCGTCCAAGTTGTCGTAGCAGTGCAGGTGGGACATCTTGATACGAAGAAGTTGCTGAATGATCGTGGAATCGAGTGTACTGCATGCTGTGAACCGCCTCCAGAAGACACTTGCAAGCTTCTTCGTACTGCCCATTGTGCATGAGTGCAAACCCTTTTCGAGACGCCTCTGACCCCCATGAACGTCCTAAGAAATGCGCAGCCACACGCTTCCAGCGATCACGAGTCAATTGGTTGGTACTGCCCGGTCCGGTAGTCGGTGGGGGATTCCTGCGGCGGTAAATCCGCTCCATAATCGGGTCCTCCTCGTAAAATTCATGATAGAAAAACTTGCGGAGCTTTCTCTTCTTCGCCGGCACCATCTCTTCAGTCAAGGTGTGTTCAATGGACAAATTAGCTGCTACAGCTTCGTAGTGGAGATTCAGCGGGGGCGGTCCCTTCAGGTTCTCAGCGAACTCCATCAAGACCTCGACGTTCACCCTCAGAAACATCGGATAGTCGATCACCATGTGCCGTAGCGCTGCGATTTCCTGTGATGACCAGAGCAACTTTTCCAGGTGAGTGCCTTCCAGCTCCCAGTCCTGGCGCTCCATAGCCCCCACGTCTTCCCTCATCATGCGTAAGTTGCGCTTTTTACGGACTCTTTTTTCTTGTAGGCGAGCTTCAATTGCGTCGAGGTTCTGAGCTCTCTTGTCTTCCTCTTCCATGGCTTCACGCTCACGCTTCTCGAGGATACGATCAAGCTGGAGCTGCACTTGCTGAACGCGATGCTGCCGAGTTTCTTCGTCGTACATCAACTTGCGGTTCCTCGCTTCTTGCAGTCGGTCCTTCTGTTTGTTGGCCACTTGGTCGGCTAGTTGTTGCATCTGCTCCAGCGTGCGCTTGTACTCTTCCGCTTGACGTAGCGCTCGTCTGGTTTCTTGTCCTAGATCGTCTTCACTTTGCATGAGGGACGATTCATTCGCCTCCCGTCGACGTTCGATGTCTCGAAGCCGCTTCCTCTCACGACAGAGCTTGAAGTACTGCTCCTTGCGCTCTTTCTCTTCGACAGCTCGACTGAGAGCGTCTTCGTCGCGCATCAACAGATTTTCACGACGCTGGCGTTCTTCCAGAGCTTTTTGCGCCTCCATCTTGGCGAATTGCATGGGGTCGAGAGAGTACTTCATCTTCTCCTTCTCGCGCTTGGCAGCCCACTGATCTGCTATCAAACTCTTCCGCTCAGCGAAATGCCACCGACGACTGCTCTTGTCCGCCTCCTCCATGAGTTCTCGTTCTTGCTGCTCGCGACAAACTTCCTCGTGTTTTTGCCGTCGTAGGGCTTCCTTCTGGTGCTCAACTTCTCTAAACTTCGCTCGTTCGGCGTCTTCTTCCGCTTCCAAACGCCAGCGCAACTCCTCTTCCTCCCTCTCTCGTTGTCTCAATCTTTGTTGCGCTTCAGCCTTCGCTGCCTTGGACAAACTCGCCCAACGTGCCTTCTCTTCTTCATGCGCTATCAAGCGCTGTCGCTCCATCTCCAGCTTCTTCTCTGCATCAGCTCGCATGATCGTCTCCATCTCTCTTAGCTGCTGTTGAGCTCGCTCCTGTAGGAACTTTTCACGCTTGGACACCTCCATCAAGCGGTCTCGAGCTTCAAGCTCCCGACGCTGAGACTCGGCCACCACGTAGCGCATCTGGTACTCCTCGATCAGCATCAGCGCGTTCTCTTCCTGCTCGCGGCGTTGACGCTTGAGCTTCTGACGGATTCTCATATCCTCCTCGACCGTACCCAACGCATGCACAAACTCACGCGTCTCCATCTCGATTCTGTGCATCATTTCACGCTCCCGAGCTTCTGAAAGTCGCTCAGTAGTTCGTGCCAGCTCTTTCTTCAAAGTTTCGTCATGAATTGCTCGCTTCTGCTCTCGCCGAGCGCGTTTCGCCTCCAAGAACCGCTCCTTTGCTGCTTGTAAGTCTCGTTCACGCTTTGCCACTAGCTGGCGTAATTCATGAACGGCATGGAAAAGCTGGCGACGTGTGGCTTCAACCGGACGCGCGGCATTCCGCGCTGCAATTGCGTTAAACTTTGGCGTTCGCTGCTGACCCCGAGATACTTCGACAGCAACGTGCGTCTCGGTGATAAGCACCAGCATCGAGTTAAGTTTTGCTGCTAGAGCGCGATCTCCTCGAGCTATTTCATGCAGTCGATGGAGGTTCCCAGTCGGGGAGATGGAGGCCAGCAGTAGTCTCAACTGGGTCTGAAGCTCGTGCTTTATCCGTTTACGCGTTGCTCGCCCCCTCCACGCAGCTTGGAGTCTCGCAGCATGCAACACGGTTGGTTGAAGAATTCTCTCTCGCCTTCGTAACCATTTACGCACACAGCGTTGAATTGTACGCGCGGCTTCCCATTGAGCATACAACGCGTCCAAGTTCCGACGACGACGAGCCCAGCGTTGGCTGCGGAAGCGAAAGACGCGCTGGATGTGAACAGCAAATGGAGCAAGAGTTTCAAGACGTCGCTGCTCTTCAGCTTGCCACGCCACGTACTGTCGCCAGACTCGCCATCGCGATCTCAGTCGTCGTCGCGCGTACAACTTGAACAGCGGCGTGAACTTGTACAAACTGGCCAAGCTGGAGGAGCGGATGTCTGCGAGGAGGGCGTGGACTCGAGTGTCTTCTTGGTAAGCTTCAAGGCGTATTCTATGCTGCTCTCGAGCGAGGGATTGAATCGATTCGTCTAATGGTGCTGCATCGACTCGCCCCTTGTCCTGCTCCTCCAGCTTCAGTAGGAGTGCGGGGACATCTGGAACAGGAATATGAAGCTTCGGTGGACTTGGGCATGGCATCCGGAACTCTTGACGCGGTAGAGCATTGGTAGCAGGGATTCGAGGCGGAGATACTACCGGGGTGATGATCTCCTGGGCGATGACACTGGCGATAGCGCCTCGATTGCGAACTGATGCCCGTTTACTCTGCTCCGTACGACGTAGTTTTAAGTAGTTGATAGGCTCTGGCGCCACGTCGAGAGTTGGTCGGGGCTTTTTCGTTGGGCTTATGGACTTGACTTGGCCTTGGTTGGCTGGGTGGACGAGCTCAGTTTGTTGAAGCGCCTTGAGCTGTTGCAGTTGCCGGATCGACTGGAGTTCTCCTGGTCGAATGCGCCACTCCACCTCAGTCCCCGCTTGTCGATCACCGTCGTTGTTATCGGTCCATTGTTCGAGACCAAAGCTCTTGGAATCAACTTCTTCATGCGTTGCCAGTCGGAACTGCATGACGGCGTGCGTCGTTCAAGACCCAAACATCGATGTTGAGATCAATTCTCGACTTTGAAACGCACCTTCGACCTATTTATTTCTTGCACACATACCCCACAAGTCGAGTCTCCCTCTACTTGGCAAGAGATGCCTGCTGATGCTGACGAGGAAGAAGCTCTGGAGGATGTCGAAGATGATGACCAAAGTGAAGGAGATGAGGGAGAGGAATACGAAAACGAAGGAGAAGAAGATGCCGAAGATGATCAGGAGAACGACGACGACGAAGATGATGATGATGAAGAAGAATCAAACCAAGATTCCAAGAAGAAGACGAAATCCTCAAAGACCCCCAGCAGTTCCGTCAAAGTATTGGCCGGTGGCGCTGCTTCGTACGTGATTCCTCCCGTCCGTCCACGTCCTCAACGTCCAGCAGACAGCGACGCTGGAGTGCGGATCACCCAGCAGAAGCAACTTGGTCGTGCTTGGGCGGACGGCCCTCGCGTAGACTTGGTGCACTTGGAGTACGTACAGGAAGACTTCGAGCGCCGCCAAGAAGCTGTCGCGAATATTCGAGAGCGCATGACGTTGAAGTCGCGTCCAGGCTACCAGCTCCGCGTCCACATGAAGTGGAATTGCCAGACTTTATCCCGGATGATCCTGCGTCGCCACTTCCTGTGGCTTCCGTGCGTGGTGAGCTCGCTGCCTGAAGCAGTTTGGGACGGCGACATCCTTCAGGTCCACATGCACCTGCTCCAGCGAGCCGACGTCAACATGCGTGACCTGCTCACGGGACAGTTAGCACTCAACATCGCCATCCAGCAGCAGCACGAACCCATTGCTCGTCTCCTGATCGATCGAGGCGCCGACGTGAACCAGCAAGACGACGTGTCGCTGCTCGCTCCAGTGCACAACACCATCATCATGGGCAACAAGGCTCTGTTCCGTCGTCTGCTGAAGGCTGGAGCGGATGTGGGGCTGGCTGACCGAGAAGGCTTCACTCCTCTGCACTGGGCGTCCGTGCGCGGGTATCTGGAGATCGTGGCTCAATTGGTTGAGATCTCGGGCGCTGACGTCAACCACCAGGACGCCATGGGCTGGACGCCACTCCACATCGCCTGCTTCAAGGGATACCCGGACCTCGTCGAGTATTTCCTGGTCGAACGTCACGCGCGCACCGATCTGGAGGACTGCTACGGCTTCACGCCCATGATGTTCGCTCGGATCGCTGAAAACATGGACGTCGTCAAGCGTCTGGACGACTTCGCAGCTCAACAGGAAGCCAAACGACTGCGGAAACTCGCAGCGGGGAAGACGGACAACAAGAACGCGAAGAAGAAGAAGAGATCAACGTCCCCCAAGCGCTTGTTCATATGAGCCAAGAACTGAGCGAAGCTAGTTAGCGTTAGTCTCCTCTTCATTGCTGCGGAGCACAACGCGGCGGCGTCCAGGAGGAGGCAGGTACTCGATCTCGTCACGATATCGGTCACGATCCCAGCGCAGCACGCGCTCCACCGGTACAATACGCGCAGTCATGGCGCCAAGTTGAGCTAGAATCTGCTTGGCTGCAGGCGTCTCGGCCACGTCGAACGCTGTGAGTCCGTACATGTTCTTGTGGTTCACGTCCGCTCCTCCGTCCTCCAAGTCACGACGTAGCAGCAGCTGCAGGATTCTCTTGAGCGTGGCGAGGCGTTCAGGCGTCTCCGGCGTCGCGAGTACCAGCGCTGTGATAGCCACCGAGTTGTTGCCGTCTTCGTCGAAGCAGTCCGCTTCCAGTCGACTCTGCAGCACCAGGAACTCCACCACTTGGGGCTGCGCACTGGTGATGGCCCACAACAGCAAACTTCCAGGCCTCCAGCGCTTCGGTACGTCGTTCAGCGGCGACGCGCAGCTCAGTAGCAGCTTCAGGGTGTCCAGGTGACCAGCAGCGCACGCGTAATGCAGCGGCGTGGCTTCCGCGGGGTCCAGCATGAGGCTGTAGCGGAAGTTGGTCGTGCGTGGCGCCGTGCTCTCCAGCGTCGACTCGGACTCGCGCAGGTTCGGGTTGTCCGGGAGCCGCGCGAGCGGAGATGCGCCATGCTGCAGCAACAACTGCACGGCTGCGAGCTGCTGGTGCAGCACTGCGGTGTGCAGCAGCGTCTCTCCGAAGGCGTTGCACGCTCTGACGATCGAATTGACGTCTGCCTCCTCCCCAGAGCTCAAGGCAACTTGAAGAGACTTGGCGTCACCCAGCGCGATCGCGCGCTGCAGCGGCAGCAACCCACCACTCGACTGCGCCGCCGGCATGCAGCCATCTCTCGACTCCCCACTCAGGAACGCGCGGTCTCCAGCACCCAAGAAGCTCTAGCAACAGAATAGCAGCTCAACGTCAGTACGCAAGTAGCAGCAGAGTCAGTCAATGCGCGACTGTAGCCACGTACGTCGACTGGGCGAGACGCGGCCTGGCGCAGCTTCTGGTCCGATGCGAAGGCTCTGGGCGCGAGCGGGTTGCCGTTCACATGGCGCAGCCTCTCGCTCTCGAGCCGCGCAGCTCGCGCCTCCTGCTCGGGCGTCGCCTGCTCCAGCAGCTCCATAACCCCCTGCGAATAGAGAGTCGTCCTATTAAAGAGTGGTCGTCTGTGTACTAATATCAAAAAGCTACTGTCTATTGAGTTATCGACGCGTCGGCTTCCTCCTCGACCGACACCAAGTTGCACGCCAGGTACGCGGCTGGGCTGGGCGACATATTAAGAAAAACTGCATCATAGAAGCTGGGGACCTGGAGACTCTCTGTGTGTCTGAGAGGGACGAAGCGTCGGTGGGGGTCGATGAGCAGCAGCCGCGGGCCTAGGCGCTGCCGCCCACGAGGATGTTGTTGATGGGGATGTGCACGAGCTTCACGAAGAAGCCGATGAAGCCCATCATGAGGAAGCCCACGGACGTGGCGCCGGCGATACGCGCGAACTCTGGTTTAGAGAGAGAGCAAGCAATAAGGTCAGAGTTACGCGAGGTTTTAGAGGCATGGGGAGAGCTGCTGGCGCGCACCTTTCCGGTCGGGCTTGTTGCACTTCTTGATGAGGTGGAGGCTGTTCTTGAAGAACTGGTTCAGCGGCTGGAACACGAGCGCGTTGACGTCGGACATGGCTGCAAGAGGAGCTAACGGGGGCGGGGCTTGAGTGCTCGAGGGGAAACGAGGGAATGACACCTCAGGCGGGCCACGCGGCGGTCGCGGATCGCGAGCCGGCCGCTTTTCCTCCAATCCACGGCCTCAAATTCAACCAGCTCCCCTTCATTGGATAAAATCCACCTTGACCGCCACGTGGTGACAAGCATGTACCGGCTCTGTAATGTGTTGGTAATGTGGTGCACATATGTACCTTTTTGCCGGTACAATTTCAAAAAGTTGCACTTGCCGATTCAAACCGCAAGTGACGCACTCAAGCCAAATGAAGCGGCGGCTGGGCGAGACGATGGACGTCAAGCCCGACCCGGAGGAGATGCAGGAAGGCTCCGGACTGCAGCAGGTAGCCACTTTGGTGGCGCAGCAGGTGGCGGCGGCACTGGTCGCCCCTCTCACCGGCGGCAGCGCGGCGCGCTTCGGGCGCGTGGCCTTCGGCGCGCAGGAGCAGGAGAGCGTCAACGCCTTCCTGCACCAGAAGCTGGGCAAGGACAGCCTGGCGCGACGACCCGGGCCCGGTGGACGCAAGCTTACGTATATCGAGAGCTGCAAGGCCATTGAACTGGCCAATCGCGCGTTCGGATTCAATGGCTGGTCGTGTCACATTGTCGAGTGCAAGGAGGAATACGTACGTGTTGCAGCTGCAGTTGCCGGTTAAGTGGTGTTAACCGTTTAAGTGGTCCTAACCGTTTAGGTGGTGTTAAACATTTTTTTATTATTATGTTGCAGAAGGAGAAGAAGGGCGATCGGTGGAGTATCGCCTACAGTTCGCTGGTGCGGATCGAGCTGAAGGACGGCACCAGCCACGAGGACGTGGGATTTGGCTCTTCGGATGGCCAGAGAGATCTAGGAGCCGCCCTGGAACAGGCCAAGAAGGCCAGCATCTCGGACGCCAGGAAGCGCGCGCTGCGGGTGTTTGGAGAGTATCTGGGCAACTCTTGCTATGACAAGGACCACATCAAGGACGTCAACTCGAACAAGCCCATGCCTCCGCTGGCGGTGGCGCCCAACGTCATCCTACCAGGCCAACTGCAGCAACAGCAACAGCAACAGCAACAGCAACAGCAACAGCAACAGCAACAGCAACAGCAACAGCAACAGCAACAGCAACAGCAACAGCAACAGCAACAGCAACAGCAACAGCAACAGCAACAGCAACAGCAACAGCAACAGCCACAACAACAACAACAACAACAACAACAGCAACAAGCAGCGGCTGCCCGTCCTCCGGTGGTGAATAGACCGCCGGGGAATAATGGGCCAGTGGTGCAACAGAACCAGCAGATGCAGGCCCAGCAGCAGCAACAGCAGAGACAGCCGCAGCACATGCAACAGGCTCAGCAGCAACGGTCAATGCAGCATCTGAATCAGGCTCCACAGCGCCAACAGACGCCATCGCCACAGCCGATGCAGCAACAAGCTCAGCAGCAACAAGGTCAGCAGATGCAGCAGCATCCTCAAGTGCCTCCACAGCAATCTATGCAGAATAACCGCCCACTACAGCAGCAACAACAACCACAGCAGCAGCAACAACAACCACAGCAGCAGCAACAACAGCAACAGTGGAAGCCACCTCAGGTGTTGAGGAATGGGAGTTCGTCCATGCAGCAGAACCAAGGTGCCATGGTTAAATCGCGGTCTTCGACGATGCCAGCTCCAGCAGCTAGTAACAATGCGGGTACTGCTAACGGATCTGCTACTTCTGGTGGGATGCCGAGTACGTCGAGTCCGTTCCGTCCGCAACCGCAGCATTGGGCCTCTTCGAATGCCCCTCCGCCGCCGCGAATGATGGCGTCGAACTACCCGCCCACAGTCGTGAAAACGGAGCAACCCGCCATGGTGCAAGCTCGGCCGAATGCGCAGTTCAACATGGAAGACCTTAGCCTCTCGCAATTCGACTACGACCCTAACACGGAAAATGGCAACCCTGCCAAGCGAATGCGGCCATGAATCGCGTGGCCACTAACTGCGTGAGTGTATTTGGCTTAACCGTTTTGGGGATTGATTAACTGGAGTGAGTAGATGGAATTTTTAGGGGACGATGCCGTTCGTGATCTTCTGGAACTGGTCGTAGCGCTTGGTCCACTTGTTTTTGTAGCTCGCGCGCATCATCTTGACGACAGCCTTGACGGTCTTCTCCGTGGAGCAGTGGAGTAGGAATCGGCCACGGAGTTTCTGGAGGTCACGAGATACGTCGCGGCCTTGGAAGCAGGGGAACGTCGAGTTGTGCATCATGATCTCGACCAGCGCCACGACCTTCTCGGCCTGACGTTGTGCAGCAAGTAATCCCAGCGCCACCAACTGCACGAACTCGCCAAATAACGGCGACGACACACCTCCAAGCACCGCCACCATCTCTTTCGTGAGCTTGAACGGCGCCGTCTCGAAGCTCCAGTTGCGCCCAGGTGCAATGCCAAGCATGAAGCCGAAGTCAATGTGCACGAGGTGGCCTTCTGTGTCGAGGAGAATGTTCCCGTTGTGCCGGTCCTTGATCTGCAGCAAGTAGCACACCACCGAGTACGCTGCGAGGCTGTGCAAGAAGTTCCGCTGGGCCTTCTTGAAGGCCTCCGTACCAGCTCCGTACGTGCTCTCGAAGTGTGCGCGCAGGCCGGCGTAGGTGCTCCTCTTCTTGAGAGCATCCAGCGATTGAGCGTCCGTGATAGTCTCGAGCAAGCCGCTGGTACGACCCGTAGACACGATGCGATACGGTCTCAACCACAACGACAGTCCGCTCTCACGGAAAATGCGCTGGAATGTCGTGATCAGTTGCATCGCGAAAACCTCCTGTCGGATGTCGTCGTTGCTCTTGGAGATCTGTCGCGACGAAGCAAAGAGATCAAGTCGTTAGCAGAGCATGAACGAGTGCAACAACTGACAATCCAATGACTACTGTACCCACCAGTGAGATGACGTTCCACCCCGGCAAGTGTCCGAAAGGAGACGCAGCACGAATGCGCTCCTTCTTGGCCTGCCAGCTCTCACCGAACACTTCGCTGGCGCTGAGGAGCTTGGATAGACCCATCTCGTAAGCTGTCTTGGAGTACCCACGGATGAGTTGCAACTGCTGCGAGCCGGCCCCGCTCATCTCGGACATCGAGTCCATCGAGTCGTCAGAGGCGATCGTCGACGTTGGAGAACTCAACGCGCTGTCGATATCGTGTAAGGCGAAAACTGGCGAGTCAGTGGAGCGGCGATTGCCGACAGCTTCGTCTTCACCGTTCCCAATCTCGGCGTCGTCGTCTTCATCCTCGTCCAGAGCTGACGGGTTCTCCACGCAGATGAGCTGCCCGTTAATGGCAAATTTCTTAATGAGACCGGCGACTTCAGCTTCCAGGCTTGGTTGTGTTGAGTCAGACGAAGCTCCAGGCAGCGACTCGATGAGTCCTTTGAGCTGCACGGACAGTCTGCGCTGGCCGGCAGAGTTCACTTGGTCTTCGATCACCTCGAAGCAGAGCAGGCAAGGTGCGCGGCTGTGCGTGGAGAAGACGGTTCCTTCGTCCGTGAGCACGCGGGTGATGCGGCAGAATGGGTCAGACACGCGACCGAGAGGGACGTACGCCATGTCCGGGACAACCAGCGCCTTCAGTTCATCCGGAAGAAGCTTCTTGCGGTTCTGAGGCGGATCGACAGCGCGCATCCGTTCCGAGATGTCCGAGAGCGCCTTCACAAAGTCTCGCTGCTGGTGGAAGTACTTGTACCGCTTCTGCCGCTCCTTCTCCATCCACTGCAAGAGCAACGCAGGCTGCTGTGCACGAGCTTTGCCGGGAGTCATGGGAGGCGACACCAACGTGCTTGCGTCGCTTTCAGGTGGTGCGAGGACTTCAGCCGGTCGCGATACTTCCTCCTTGCTTTGAATCCCGACACTCATCTGCTCCAGTCTCTCCTCCATGTCGGGAATATCCATGAGCCGTCGAGTGACATCATCAGCAGTCTGTGTACTCGGCAGCTCGAACTGCTGGTTGACAACCTTGGCCTCGATGGACATCAGCAGCTTGGCGCACAAGTTGTACGTCTTCGGGTCGTTGTCGGCGATCTTCGCCTCCAGAAGCCAGAAGATCTGCAGCGCCAAGTGGATGCAGTTCCCGAGGTGTTCCACGTACGCTTTGGCGCGGCAAATCGAGAGCAGCAAGTGCACCAGCTTGTCCGTCGCAGCCAATTCAGTGTTGACAGTCAGGTGGACGATCTGCTGAATGTAGAACTCGACGTCGTCCACGTTCTGCTCGGCGTAGGAGGCCAAACGGTCGAGAACCAGCTCAGTGGCCATCGCATTGGTGCGGTGCTTGTGCAACAACGTTACGGCCATGTGAGCGTCGAAGCCGTCAGCTGACAGCACCGACTGGAAGAAGGCCTTCTCGTTCTCCCCTGAAGTCAAGTAGATCGTCGACAGCGCGTGCAGCCAGCGGCCCTTCTCGATGTGCGTGTCGGCCTCAGCCACAACGAGCTTCGACTTGTGCGAGCTGATCACGAGCGCATTGTCGTAACTCCCTGGCGCACCGCTTCCAAGTAGCGCCACTCGCACACTCGTCTCCAGCTCCATCGCATCCTTGACACCCACCACAGTGATCTGCTTCTTCGGGGTACCAGGCGACGCTGAATCGCTGGGCTTGTGCTTGAACACAAGCATCGTCTGGCCCTGCAGAATGCAGTAGCGTCGTCGACGCACACGCTTGCGAAACACCAGGAACCCCTCCATCTTCCTCTCGCCCGCTTCGTGGCCTGCAGCAGCCACAACGTCGGTCACTGCCGCACCAGAATTGCTCAACACGTTCTTCGTATCGGTTTGATTCGCGTCTTGACTGGCATCTTGGTCCGTCTCCTGCTTTTTCGAGGAGGATCGGGAAGACCCGAATGAAAACGAGCTTCGGGTGACTGCTCTCATCTTTCACGGCAAGTGTGTCCCTGGTGGCACACTTCCAACTATTCCTGAAGGCAAACACGAATGAATCAATGGCGGGGCATTGCAGAATCTGCTTCGGACTGGTGGTTTTGCCTATACATAGGATGACCCCTTCAACGACAAGAACAAGTGTGAGAAAAGCTCTCACGCGCGCGTCCAGCAACAAACCCCAGCCATCTAAAACGAGAGAGTAGAAAGCAGCAAAAACAAACACAATAAACAGGACGGTTCTCGCACATTGACTCCAACCGCGACAGGATGGCGGCGTTGATGGCAGTCAGATTTTTTTTTGGCAAAATAAATGTGCGATATCAACGTAAACTTCGAAGCTACTCGCCTTCATCTTTCCCTCACGGTACATCACTAATCAGCTCAGGTCAATATCACGCCGCGTCTTGTTCATGCCAAGAACGCACTGGCACCTGGAGAAGTCGCCCAACTTGAAGAACACCGTGATCACCTTCTCCTTCAAAGTGACAGCAGCAGGGATGGTTCCATTTGCATTGCGACGTAGATCAAGAACCGCGTAGTCATCAACTTCAAGCGCTGCATAGCGCCCACCTGGGGCAAATCCCGACGTATAGTCTTGGCTGTCCTGGCCATCTACCAACACCTCCAGCCCCCATCTATCCATCGCCCCCACGAAGAAAACCATACGACCACGCTCATTTCGATCGGGGGTTGACGACGGGAACACGCGTGGCAGTTCGGGACAAATGGCGCACGTTTCGAAGGTGTTCACAGCAATACCCCTCATAAACTCCTGCCGGAAAGTCACTTCGTCCGGCATACCACCAGTTTTACGAGCGCTCGCAAGCAGCGCTTTCGCTGACATGCTTCCCAGAACCATCGCGACAAGATCATGCAACGAATTGGGATCCCAGCCTGCGCATTCTGGTATAAGCCGATAGAAATAAAACCTCTCGGCGACCGGCGACGAAAACTGCACCATTTGCCCGATTTCTTGGACGATAACTCCGGATTTCATCAGATCCACGATACATCTCCTGTCGTCCTTGGCGAGTTTTCGCTTCAACGGGACCGCAGCTGGTGCCAGGGCGAGACACTTGGCCAGAAAACTCTGGAACTTGCTATTCGTCGGCGTGGCAGGTTTACCAAAGCACCTCCCCATATTTTTACGGCAGCGATGCGACAGGAAGGTTAGCATCAACTCGAGTTCAGACGGAGTAGGGCTTAAAAGGAACTCTTGTTCGAGGATATTGAAACCAACTCGCAAAGCACCGATCAGCCCTCCACACTCACGAACCATGAGCTGCGCGAGCATCGCCTTGTCTCATCCTTCATTTTCTCGGGCAATCCAACCACTGACAGCGCCAAGAACCCGTAGGATTCCTCGTCACTCAACAGAAAATCCGGCCTCCAGAACGTCTTAATCGACCGAAACTCTATGGGGCTCTCACCATGCAGTGCGTGGTTGGCAGCGATGACAAAGCGGATGTTGCTTGGTAACTACGACGAAGAATCCGTGATCAGAGCCTTCCAGAACGCCCTGTCCTCGTACTTTTCCTGAGCGTCGTCGATCAGGATCACATGCTGTTGGTCTTCCGAGAGGGCCGACTTCCTCCCGCAGATATCAAGTCCGTGCTGCTGCATCACTTCATTCACCGGCCCCCTTTCCCAAATGAACGAGACGAAGACACAGTTCAGATCAGCGTGGTGGTGTTCAAATAGCATGACTATTGACGTCTTCCCAGACCCTTCTGGCGCTGCGAGGAGCACGAATCGCTTTTGGTCGGCCAGCAGACTCGTGGCCACTTGGTCTAGCAGTTTTTTGCGTTCAAGGCGCGGCGCCTCAAGTCTCACCCCATGCATGACAACGCGGATCCGAGGAAACATAAGCGGCGCTTCCACGAGAACCGGGTGCAGCAAGTCTACCCCAAGTCCGTCCACCTTCGTGTCGAGGTCGAGCGGCTGCTTTGCGTGTTGAGCCGCAGGAGACGCATAAAACTTCACTTGATCTTGAACCTTGCGGGTGAAGAACTCAAATACTACTTTCTCTCGGAGATCGCCGATGCTGTCGACCCCATCCGTCATAGGAGCAAACTGGACTGGCCTGTCCGGAACCTTGAACCACACGTGCCTCTTGTGCGTCGCCATCGTTTCCCTGGGGAAAGATCTGCGGAAATACGAGGGTGAGAACAAGATGCCCAAATCACAATGCAACTTGCATCTCAAATACGTAATCTTATTGAACAATACAGTGCTGCACCGCGTTTTCTAATTCTATACCCCAATATATGCGATTGAGATTTGACTGTATCTCGACCACGATTCATTTGCCAATCACCTATGATACATGATTCCTCCCTAGAACCCGTTGATGTACCCATGGCGAATACGCGGTGCAGCACTGTACATGTACAGTATTCTCTCTTCTACAGGCTAATAACTCAAAAATGGGTAATATTGATATTAATATAATATCGAGCACCTTCGGTTTTGATATGTAAAATATTACTACTATATGATATTTTGATGCCTCAGGAAAAGTTATATTAATATTAATATATTATACTGGGATAGGAAGCAACGTTAGTGCTGCTATCGCAGACCAAATAGGATTATATCCGTGGTACATCAAGTCAAACGATGAACCCTCCTGACATCTACTGGTATATTTTCTTGAAACCGGTACGACTCCGGTGGTGCACTGGGCCCTCCAAAAGGCTTATATGCGTGGGCAGATCGAACCGGTGCGCTACCGACAACACTGGTATGAATCAGTATATATATTGAGCTGGGTACCTATGAACGAAATGAAGTAAATACTAAAACGTTTGTATTTTCTACAAGCTCCAAACAGATCTCAACCAAGATTCGCATTCATAATTTTGTACAGCATTGCTAGACAGTTTGAACTGTCAAATTTCCGGGCAGATGCTGCGGCTGCGAAGCAGGCGCAGGAGATGACCGTAGCTAATAAGAAAATATAATAAAAAAATAAAAGAAGGGGTTTATACCAAAAATCTCCTATCCCAGCCTACGCGGAGCCCTAGTATGATATATTAAGATCTCATTAAGTACGAAATGATTACGTATATCAAGTATTTTTGGCCAATCGTTAGCGAGCTTGTGGCCATTTTGTTAGCGTCATCATGAATATCAGGTTGATCCGGCAAACCATTGACGCAGCGTCACATTCTTTGTGTACTCAAGCATGATGATAGCTAACTATGGAGCAAATGCTCAAGCTACCAGAATTTGGTACGTTTGAACCATCGCAGTACTAACAAGTATTAGAACAACGAGCACATGGTAACCAAGATATCTGAATACTTGGACCGGGTATTTCAAGCATCCCACGAGCTGAGCAGGTGCACTGCTCGCGGGAACGAGCGCGAGCAGCAAAAAGCCTGCGAGCGCGCTCGTTGGGATTTGGGCGCTCTTCCATGATCCGATTTTACAGGGGAGCACAACGAGCCCGCTCGAAAAAAACAAGAATTCATTAGCTAAAAACAGCAAAAATGTACGGAACATAATAATAAATATCGGCTAAGCTTACCTGCAGTAGGAGGAGGCCCCCACCGCCGCGTGCCGCCCGCAGACGTATTGGTAAGCGACTTGGGTTGCGGGATTGGCGTACGAGTTGGGGAGCGAAAATGGCCATGACCCGTTTACAAGCTAGGGCTGCCGCAGCTGCTGAATATCGGAGCGATGACACAACTAATTAAGAAATAGTTGTTGCTACGAGAAGGATGGGTGGGTTTGACGATGGTGAACGCGCGCAACAGCTACTGGTCATTGATGGATAGTCGGAGAGCGTTGTTAACCAGTTTTGGGTGCGCACAGAGGCATTAGCAACGGAGTATGCGGCCCAATAAGAAGATCAGGCGCAAGGCGAGGCTTTATTAGCTGCACAGGCGCCAACGCAGCAAGGGGTGCAGCTGCTAGCAGAACGCCAACGCGCGACTACCCTTCAGTTCCAGCAGGATCTGCAAGACACGAGATCTATGCTGGAGACGCATCCGAATACTCTCGCTAAGATGCAAAACGAGCACGATACGCGCACGGAGGCAGCCCTTACCAGTCGTTTGGAGACATTGAGCGTCCAGACCCAGGCAGAAATGCGCAGGATACATGGCAAGGTCGACGAAATGAAACGGGTTGAAACAGAGCGGCAGGGTGCAATTGATAAGGCTTTGGAGACGTTTGAGGCGAGGCGGGTGAACGCCTTTATCGTCCAGGGTGTATAGCGTACGTCCGGTAGGCTTAGACCCGGGAGGGTTTAGCTTACGGAAACCCGAAACTTACAATGAATATAAGCTCCGGTTGACGTGTGACCTTGTGAAATCCCTACAGGTGTCGTTTATCTTCGGCGGACCGAGTTTCAACCTTGGGAATCGCAATTGATCAAAGATACAGGAATACAGAGAACTTCCGGGCGCTACTCTTTCCGGGAGTCCTGAATGGGAGTGAGATCACGAGCAAAGACCTTCTCCAAAATAACCAATATCAATACAGAGTCTGTACACACAATATGCAGCCTGTCAATTTAGGTTGCACCCCGAATACAGGTAAATTCGGGATGCCCCACGCGCACCACTCCTGAATGTCAGGAGAACAATACAGGTACCTTCCTACCACACGCAATCGACAATCGGGTCCTAGGGGGCGATTGCCACAACCTCCTAAAACACAGGGAATATGAAATGCAAGCGCACACTGAGAGTGTACGCCACAACTGGGAAATGAAACAAGTGTACCAACCCGAATGGGCAATACGTTTGGGTACCTGACTTGGCTTGATGATGTAGTGAGAAGTTTTCGGGGGCCTTGGACCAGGCGTTACTCAACGCTCGCAGCGGGGCTCCGAATGGTACACCCTCTCGTGGGCTCCTAAGCGGTACACTCTCCCGTGGGCGGCGGCTGTCCTTAGGCGAATTACGAACCAGGCACTTGTGCACTTGAACGCAAAACAAACTCTGTTGATCTTTATCCTCTTCTCTCTCTCTCTTTGGCTATCTCTCTTCTCTTTTGTATCTCTCTCTTCTTCGTTGTATACTTCTCTTCTTCTTCGTATGGTCTTGTTACCTTGAGGGCCGCTGGATTCTTCACGCGGTCTCCTCTGCTCATATCTTCATACACTTGTTCGGGTTCTCTTGGCTTCAGTATACCCGGGCGTCGCGTCGCGGCGCACACTCATCACTTGATGTCGGAGGGACTCGGGTGCCTGACCTAGGGATCTGCTGCACTGCTGACACATCGAACTCAGACTGGCTCACTTGCCATAGTGAAACCAAGTCACGCTCGGAACTGGCACCTTGGTCGCTGACTTCGCTGACTTGGCACGTTCCTGGGCGTCGGTCCATTGGCAGATAACAACAGTGGCTTGCGGCTTCTCCATTCAGGGCAGTGTTGGTCCATTCAGGATGATCGGCACTTGGGCACTCCGGGCGTTGTCCATTCAGGATGGTCATTCACCATTCGGGGTATCCATCCAGGCTGCCGTCGACTCCACGAGCTTCAGTGTCCACTTGGTCTCGCTGCTTGAGGTCCTCAACCCATTGTCGGGTCACACTCGGGGTCTTCGTAGTCGCAGTATCCTGGATGTTCGTCTTCAACACGGTGGTGGTACAATTCAGGGTGTCGATGGCTTGGTACACTTGAGTAGCTTCACACTCGGGTTGTTGGGGATTCGAAGTACTTTGGGATGCTTTGGCTTCGCCAAGAAGGGTAGCTCTCGGGGATACGTTCACCGGGGCACTTCACGGTCTCCCTTCGTCAGACTAGGTCGGGGCCGGACTGGGTTCTGCGCACCTCCGGCCAGTTGAGGTCAAACGCAACCAGGTATCGATACTCCATATCTTCTCCATCATGCTCGGGCGTTCCACAGGTACACCATCCTGAATCGACCCTTCTTTCCCACACTGTCGCTCTCCCTGGATCGGCGCCGGGGCCAGCTGCGCGGACACTCTCCAAAATTTCAAGTCGCCTCGTGTCAACCGCCCCTCTGGCTACGGACTGACACTGAGGAAAACACCATCGAAGTGTCAGACCATGGGCAGACACCCACGAGCGCGCAGCCATCCCGGGCGGTCGGTCCTCCCGAATCGAACGGTCGCCGTTCGCCTTCACAAATTGGCGAGCGTGCTAAGTACGATTTCCATTCCAACTGTCGGATCCAAATCCATTCTCCGAGAAAAGCAACCGCGCTCAAAACGCAAAATCCTCTCGCTCCGGCAACTGATGAGCGACGCAGACTGCAACGCGGGCCAGGCGTCTGATGGTGGCGCCCCTGCACGCGCCACCGAGCAACTCCCGGACGCGCCGCCCGCTGGAGGGGGTGCTTCGGGCTCGGCTGGTGAGCAGGGTGACCGCGGCGCAACTTCTGGCCATGCGGACAAGCAGGACGCGCGCCAGGCTTCGTTTGATGAGCATCAAGACAACGCTAACGCCCCTGACGACGCAGCCAGCAAGTCGAAGGCGCTGGTGGTCAAGACTGCGGGCACCGACACACCTCCGCACGCCAGCAGCAACACGGACGCGGCCAGCGGCGAGGGCAACAACGACACGGATGCAGCCGGCAGCAAGGGCAACGGCGACACCGAGGGCATGGTGAAGGACGCAGCCGGTTCGACTGCCACGGCGGCTGGCCTTCGTGGGTACTTCGTGTGCGAGTCGCAGCGCTAGAGCCGAGCGCCTCCCTGACAGCGGCAAGGGAGCTTTCGGGTACGCACCTCCAGTGCCTCTGCACGTGAATTTCCGGACGAAAATGGAACCGCTCTCGTCATCGGCTGCCAAGTACGAATTTCAAGGCAGGCTGAGTCTTCAGGATTCGCGCTCGCGTGCGGCGCAATCCTCCTATCCGGAACTGGCGGGTCAGGCACCTCCGGCCCGCTTCGCGGTCAGCTCGGACCTCAATCTCACCTTCGTCGGTGTTCCGGCTCGGGTTTTTGACAGCTACGAGGAGTGCATCCTGCGAGACGGCTTTGGGGGCATCGAGGCGCTCTGGACCGTGGAACGTCTCACAGACATGGAAATACAGGAGCTGATTGACTTGCTGGACCCGGGCATGGAGCTCCACCGCTCTGTGCTACGCCTGCGGCCTTCCGACACGGGGCGCTCCATCTCTGAGCTCAACGGACTCCTGGATAGTATTGCGGCCAAGCGCGAACTCGCCTCACTCCTGCGGTGTTACGACCTCGACGGCCTCGCGCGTAAGGTGTTTGGGACAACGTCGCTGGTGAAAGCCGTGCTACGTCAACTTTGGGAGGCCCGACGCCAGCTTCGCTCGAATGGGCTAACCGCCAGCCTGGATTACCTGGCGAAGGACAGTGAACTGCAGAAGGCCAAGCGCGATATCGCCGTCCTGAACCGCTGCTGGGAGGAGACCCTGGAGGTCGCCACCAAGAAGCGCGAGCAGGAGATCAAGGATCACGACCGGGACTTCAAGCAAGCTGCGCAGGAACACGAGCGCCAGGAACAGGCGCTGCAACTCCAAATCGACAAGCTCTCCCGGGAAAATGACGATCTCCGTTCCACTGTCCGGACGCTGACTTCTCGGCTGAAGGCCGGTTCCATGGACGTGGGCAAGACGATGAACTTCCTGAATCGGCACAACACTCGGGTTGACGGCAATTGTCCTCGCCTGAAAGCGCTCCTGGAATGCGCCAAGGACCACACACTTCCTCCGGACGGCTGGGCCACTCAGAGCTTGGTGAACGCGGTCGACGATTACGGGGCACAGCCTGGGGCTTACGTCTTTGTGGACGTCGGTGACGACGATCAGGAAGAGAAGGACGACGATGGCCCGGGCGCGAGGGAGGGATCCAAGGACGCGCCCCTCGACTTCACCCAAGACTCGCCCGCTCCGTCAACCCCCTCGTCACTCAAGTCCCGCTCCGCCAAGACATCTCGAGCGCCGAAAAACGCAACTGGGCGGCACTTCCACCGCGCATACGAAGTCAGCGGGTCCATCGCGCACTGGACGCGATGGACCCGCTGACTTCGTATGCGCGGTCGATGGAGGACACACGGGCTTCGCTGGTGGCGCATGCCGTGATCTGGGACAAGCTTCGCCTAGATGTGCAGTTGACGATGCAGTCTGGGCTCGACTACCTGGACGCGTTCGACCTGGTCTGCGGGGACAATGTCGTGCATCCTCGGTTCCACGTTCGGGACCTGCTCGAGCTCCTCGTCCGGATCATGTATTGACGCAAGTTGGACCAGACACCTTGGACGAGCTACGTCCCGAGCTGGTACTACAAGAAAGCCGAAGCCAGACTGGAGCAGCTCACGTACATACCGGACAAGTGGCCTGCCCTGAAAAGTGTCCGCCTAGACGAGGAGGCGGAGGTGATGCAGGCGATGCATTCCGAAGTGGGCGACGACATCGACGACGAGACGCAGGACGAGACATTCAGGACGACCAAGCCATTCAAGACCAAGCTCGACTTGCGTACTACGCCCCCTCGGGAGGCCAAACGCCCCAACAGCACGTCTTCCACTACTTCAAGTACCACCGGGTCCCAGCATCCTGATCCTGTAGTCGCCCCTTCTCCGGCCAAGCATCCGCGCGCAGCCCAACGGCGCACGCAGTCCACCCTCGCCCGGAAGGAGTATGCCAAGCTGACCCCAGAAGAGCTCCAAATCATCGAGGTCCCGGGTCGCGGGGTCACTTCCTGGCGCCATTACGGGATACTGGTGAAATTCCAACCCGGTACTGCCAAGGCAGTCGAGCAAACCAGTGGATTCCCGGATTACACCCCGAATCTGTCCAAGCCTGAGGAGCGCGACGCCGTTCGGGCACGTTGGCTTCCGGGGCCGTTCAAGGAGCTGTGGAGTACCAAGCCCTGGGACGAGATGTTCGACAACCGATCCAAGTTCCTGGTCTGCCACGCGCCTCCAAAGGCCGGCACGAAGGCTCTGGTGCGCCTGGATGAGATCGTCACCTACATGAGCGACCACCGCTGCACATTCTGGCTGATTGGTCACTGGTTCTCGATCTACAACCAGTTGGACGCCTATTCGGAGGAGTTCGCTGACACTCGGAAATCCGAATGTGACAGCATCCGGGGTCACTACCAGAAATTGCTGGACGCCGCGGTCGACGACGGTCTGGAGCAGTCGTACCTCGAGGAGCCCGGGGTCTGGACTTTCCCGGCCAAGTGCTGTTCCTGGATCTGGATGGCGCCCTCGCACAAGAATGCCGAAGGCAAGCCGTACTCTCTGCAGGAGCAACTCGCGCTGACAGACCAGCAGGAGCCCGCTCGGGTGCAGTGGGACTCCTGCTCCTCGGACGAGGAGCGCATCGCTCACGCGCCGGCCCAGCTGGACCTCCGACTCCTACCAGAGGCGGACCGCCACCGCTACCTGGTTCCCAAGAAGTTCCCGTAGCGCGCCCGAGACCTGTTCTCCGCGTCGAGCTCGGAACTCAACCTCAATCCTGCATGTCGTAGCGTAACACCCACTAATCCGAAACTCGTTGTCATTTTCGTCTTCCAGACTTGAGTCGCTCCGATAGTTCGTTCCACTTCCGGGTCTGCTCCTCTGACCGGGCGCGCTTCGCCTTCTTCTGGAGATCCTCGGTACATGCTCGGGCGTAACTGTAGTCTCGCTGGAACTTGCGTCTCCACTCGTAAGCCGTCCGTTCAGGAAGGCTGGAGGGTCTGGGTCCCAGCATTGCAGTTACCGTGCCCTGGGCATCCCAACCGTGCACCAGGTAAAACGGGGTGTCAAGTCGGGTTGCGTCGAACGAGGTATTCAGGGCGAACATCAGCCTCTCAGCATGGTCGTCCCAATCTGACTGGTTTGCCTCGGCGACGTATGCTTTGACACTCCGAATCACCGTTTGGACCGACCGCTCTTGTTGACCGTTAGCCTGAGGCCGGTAGGCCAGAGTGGCGCGTTGCTTGCTGCCCAGGAGCTCCCGGAACCTGGTGAACACCTCGCTCAGTTCCGAGATCAGGATCTCGGACGCAACACCCTGGAGGAATACTCGGCGAGCAGCCCGGAATTAGTTCCGGACTCTGAACCTGAAGGTGAAGTCGAGGAAGAATGCGAGGTAGATTTGCCTACGTCCGCGATGGACAGCACCCCGCTCAGGCAGCTAGAGATCGAATACGCTCGCTGCATGAGAGTGAGCGCTGAGGAGTTGGACCTGGAACCCTCGGTGTACATTCACGAAGGAAGTGAATTGATGGCGCAGCTGAGGGACCAATTGGCCCTGCTCCCTGAATTGCCGGATCTCAGCCCGGAGTGCGACATTGACAAGGCCGACGTGGGTGAGCCCGGAGTGAGTACTCCTGCTCAGGAGAGTAAGCTGAAGGACATTCTGAAGTACCACAGGAAAATCTTCCTGGGTGACGGGAACGCCGCTCCAGCGCCTGCCAGAGGCGTGGTGTGCGACCTAGACGTCGGAGACGCGAAGCCGGTGGCCCAACGGCCCCGATCCGTAGCTCCACATCTTATGGTGAAGGTTTACGAACTCTTGAAGAAGTTTTTGGGGACGGGACTGATCGAACATTCTGAATCGCCATGGGCTTCCCCGATTGTGATCGTCCTGAAGAAGAACGGTGTCGACATTCGGATGTGCATCGACTATAGAGTCGTGAACGGTTTCATTCAGCTGTCCAGCTACCCGCTGCCTCTGATTGATGACTTGCTAGTCGGTTTCGAGAAGGCGATGTGGTTCATGAGTCTGGACATGGCGAGTGGCTTTTGGGCGATTCGGATGACGGAAAGAGCCAAGCTCATCTCGGCATTTGTGTGCCCATTCGGGCATTTCCAGTGGGCACGGATGCCATTCGGGTTTTGAAAAACGCTCCGCTCGTCTACCAACATGTGATCAACAACTGTTTGTGGGGATTCGTTCGGTTGCCACCCGAGGAGGAAGCTATGGTAGATCAAGATGTGTTGGGTTACTTCAGATTGGATCCTTCGCAGCCAGAAGCTGAGTACGACGGTGACGCCGAAGCCGCCCCGGAAGAAGGACGTCTGCCCGCCCTGACTGACCAGATGACGGTGTTCAAGCGCAACATACCTGCGCCCACAAATAAAGATTCGAGTCCGTACTTTGTAGGAAGATAGCAAGTCTTGTCCGATTTCCCCTGCACGATAAGATACAAGAGACTGTCCTGTGCAATCGTTTGATGCTCCTCAACATCTCGTAGACGAAAAGATAGAGTTGAAATCACCATCCTCGTGATATTTTTTGCTGGAATGTTAACGCCCGTCGATACAAGTCGTACAATTTTACGAATGTTTGCTAGTTTCTGTGAGTCAAGGGCTCCGATTCTTGCTCGTTGAGAATATTCACTACTATGTACGCTAAGTACCGTGTACATACAGTATATCACTGAAAATAGCTCACTAACGTCGATAATCTTAGCTACGATGAGTGCCAAGCACAGTGGCAACATCACATTCTTTGTCATCACTTAGCAGTGCGCAGCAGGGCCTCCGAATATGGCATTTTTATTTAGTAGGTTGGTCGTTGCAGAATAAATTATCCCCTGACGCTCCTACCAATACAACAGTACATTATGGCATTGCCCCCAACGTACCACAATAAATAATGCCATTATGAAAAGCATGAAGTCTATTAACAAGACACCAGTTAGCTTATCATCTAGCTCAAATTGTCCACAGTCGTTGCATCCCAGTACGACCGATTCTGGCGGAGAAACAAA